ATAATTTATACCTTAAATAAGCTATATATAAAGAAATAAAAATATTATAATAATATATAAAAAATAACTATTTTATAGATATTTTTATGTATTATATAGTTCTATATAGCTCTTAGAATTAAATCTTTTATTTTTCTTATTCTCTGTACCTAGTGCAGAGGTTACGTGCCAGTAGGCGCACCAGGGTCGGCGCAGGTATGGGTTCTCTAAAGTAGGGCTCCCGTTAGGCTCCCGTTAGCTCAGATCTACAGGTATTAGTTAGATCTGCAGGTAAGTTAGATCTGCAGAAATATAGCTCATAGCGTCATACATAGCCACATATATTTAATGCATCTCCCCTAACTTTATAACTCTTTGCTCTTCTTTTTAAGATGGATAAATCGTGGCACCAGGCAATGCTTTCTTCGCGGACCTTCCACAATCGGAAATCTCGCAAATTTACACCACATTCTTCTAGCCCCTCGAGCATTACAAGAGTCATTGGCTCGTACCAACTACAATGTCCTAAAGCTCATTCCCTGGCACGTACCTCTCAATACAATCCGGATCCACTCAAAGACAAAAGGGATGTAAAACATAAACGTCACCCCTTGAATTCGGCCCGATTTGACATTCATCGGTTTACCGATAAGGAAGATGGGTTGGAGGGCGACATATTTCTTCCTGACGTGTTGGATGCTTCTTTTATCATGGCCGGAAGTCGGAAGAAAATCCAAGAGATCTTGGATCGGGCAATTACTCCAGAGAATTCAGATTGCGATACTGAAAGCGTTGCACATAGCCCTGGTGAAAGGTCAGCGGTTGACTCTGACGCTGATGATCAGCAACAAGAGACCTACCCCGACCAGGAACCATCTAAGGTTTTAGGAGATGAAAACGATCGCCCGAAAGAATGCCATGACTACAAGACCACTGAAGAGTTGAGGTCTGACAATTTTGAGAAGAATACTTTCAGACAACCAAAGTTCTGGCTTTCATGGAGAGGAAAGGTACTTGTAAAGCCTGAATCGGGTGTAGTCCCGGAGCATCACCCCCACCCTGATGCAATGCAATCTGGCATCGGTTATATTGTCTTTACTGGGAATAAGTACCAAAAGTTCAAGGGTACCATTACCTGTGATGATCTTGGTTGGGATAATGTTGCAATAACCGGTTGGAAACAGTAAGCCCCTCTCTGTGGAAGGCTCAAACTCTTTCAAGGCATAGACCATACTCCTTCTTTCAATAGTACCTTATGGGTGATATACCTACTTGATTCTTTTGCGCCTCTGTCACTGCAACACTTGCATATGATACTCACACGATCTTATGGATACAGAGTTTGAGCTTCGTTTCTCTGTCGTCCAGACAGATTAAGGTCGACAAGATCATGGCTTATGTTAGGATCATGAAAGATCAACCAACCGCAACACGACAAGCGAACATGCAGCAGCATCTGAATTATAGTGGCATTTATGATTTTTATTTCAGCCGATAGCCATTATAGCCATAATACTATAGCAACTTGAGTCAACCTGACCCGGCGGCTGACTCTTTAGCGGCCGGAGAGAACAGATCTAATAATGCCCGGAGCCCAAGCAGGAATACGGAACCCGTACCGCGATGCAAGCTAGCACCTTGCGGAAGTGTACCATCTAGTCCTGCGATATTCGGAAGGCATTTTGAACGCTCTAACTCGGGCTTTGATGAGCATACACTGAGGTCTTCATTACGTTGCAAGTGCATCTCATTGGCACGCATTAACCAGCCTGATGTGAAAAAGGGGGCCGCATAGATAGGGGCCTCACTCCTCAGCCAACCTCCAATCTTCCGTAAGAAGCCGGGAGCCCGGAGAGAAGCGGATTACTTGTAAACATGAGAGGAACCAACCCCATTTCATAGAGTGACATCATGTAACGTACCAAGCAAGTAATAGCTTCCATTTACGGCGCTGATGTTTTTGTGTGAACACCCGCAGGCATTGGTATCATAGACGAAAACCATGGTATACTGTGTAGTACCTCTCCCTGGCTGGCAGTGGGCTTGAAGATCAGGACTGGCGACTGACAACCCAACCAGAGCGTTTCTGTCTGTACATATGACCATGGCGACCAGCAGAGCGAGGGGGAAAGCAGATTGTCCTCCTAGCTTCAATATCATGAATCATTAGACTGAAGGTTGTGGAACTCTATCATACTTCTCACGTTACACGGCTCCGTTGTCACTTGAGAGATCCGCCGGAGTGCGGAAACCACAGGATAATACTAGCAGAGATAACTGGGAGCATACCGTGAGCATGGCAACAAGGTTAAACATATTGGAGATAGCTAGGTTGAAGTATGAATCATTAAAGCGAACTTGAAGCATCTCCGGATTGAAAGGGGACTCTCGATCGTAGAAAGTACAGGAATCGGTGATCCTTCGCAAATTCTGCTGTATCAAATGGAGTAGAGAACACTCATTGAGAGCTTACACTGCATGCGCCTGAGTATCTAACAGTCAATAGTCTGAGCTTGTGACAAGATATCACTAAGCGATATGTCTTGACCAAGTCTATGAACCCAAGTCAAACAAACCTAGACCTTGAACTAATGCAGGTATAAATCAATACGAGGATTTAGCTGTTTCACATCTCACGTGATGTCATTGTCTGACCAAATCAGGATCAAGCTTCCATTTTGAGGTGTAGCTGGTCGCCAAGAAAGTCCCCGACAACAGCTAAAAATACCCTAAACGAGACTATTGAAAGTTGTGCATGCAGAAATGGACAGGTCATCACACCCTGAAATATCAAGATGGGGAGCCCAACCATCTCGTTTCCTGCTCTGAGTGGCATGAGCAGCGAATCGCAAACCCTCATACGCTCTGTTGGTGGACAAATGAGGCAATACGTCTCACAAGCATCGCAATTCTCACCAGTAGCGCGAGACTCGGGAGTTGGTTGTTTTTAGCAACGACTAGAGGTCACGAAACGCCAGTTATGACTGTCAGCCATGCATTCATGCATGAAACTCGACACGAGCTTCTAGGCGGGCACCAATGGCTGTCAGTCCCAAATAATATTCTCCTGGTGCACAATAGAAATACCACAATCGAGTTTGCATGAGGCGCCTGCATGATTACACCTACACATAGTGTTGGTGACGGGGAATTTCGGTGTTGGCTGGGTTCAGCCGGCTCATGCTCTCTAGAATCAGCCAGAGCTAAATTGATCCATGAAAATACCAGGTCAGGTTAAGCTGAAAGACTTGTGTTGACTCGATACGAATGCTAGAAAGTTTAAAAAGAGCCATTTCACTCAGTCATGGCCGAGTCAAGATGACATTGTGACCATGTCAGCGTACCAAACTAGCCCTCAGACTGCCAGATACTTGGAAAATCTCGCTTGACAGCTCCAGGGAAAGACACATTAGAGTCACGAACAACCATAAATTTTAGCTTAGGTTTGATGCTAATATGGAATTGAGTTTGGATCTGCCCGTTACGAGTGCCTCAACGTTGAGGCCGGTTGGGCTTGATACCCACACTCCTGAGCATGCAACACTCGCAAAGTCTTGATTGGGGGTGACCAACTTGGCCAGACCAATTTAATCCTACACAAGACTCGCATAATGAGTAGCATATTATGTTGTGTCACGCTTATAGCATTATCTCCGGAAGACTCGGCTGTGAGATCTGGAAAAGGTACAGCAGCAGTAACTAGCAAAGTTCTTCATTCTGTTCCTATTCGACCGTCAATGAATACGATCTCTTCCCGGAATCATTGTTTCACATCAACTGGGTGGGGTATTGTATCTAAAGCTGAACTATGGCTGTCTGGACACGGAGAGTTCATTTGTCCGAACCGCACCTGAAAACCAATCGGCCATAGTAACCCCACCAGTAATCCCAGAATCTGTTGGTGAGATTTAACCTTGGCTGTTTCAATATTCAGCTTCAGGGGAATTGACCCGAACTTTGGCTCCCTGCTTCTGCATGAAGACACCACATTCGAGAGTGCATGCATGATACGAGAAGACACGAATTTCTGTTGGTAAGCAAGCCACCACTTGAAAATCGATGACAATGACAACATCATTCTGCAATACCGCCATGTGGCAGAATCCTCCAGAGTATCGACTCCGTCCCAAAAGAAACAGCCATGTCGGGCTCGAAGCGTAATGCACTTGTAGAAGCCAATCGCATCTAAGAACCAAGGCGGAAGTTCTGACCCGATAGGTTAGCTATCTATTCTTTTTGAGACTGAGAGCTAAGGCATCAAGACACATGCCTGCCGAATACTTTCCAAGTGACTGTAGGTGGGCATGTCCCCATGAACTTAACGAAGATTTCACACGGCCCCAGCCGATGCATTCACGACGGAGTTCAATACGTTGATCGACACCAATTGCAGAGTCGTATAGTCCGTTCCCCGGGGTGCAAGAAGACTTCTGATGTTAAATTAAGGTGCTAAAAATACTTAGTCTAAATTTATCTAAATCTATGCTAAATCATAGCTAAGTTTACCTAAGGCTTTTTGTCACCTAGGATAGAGGCCCTAAGTTGTATTGCATCCCCTTGCCGTCTCAACACATCCAGCGACAAGAAAAGAACATAAAAGCTCGCCGTTGCCCCCTCGAGATCTATTCTCTTCCTTCCTCCTCCACCTTTCACTTTCTCAACTCTACTGCTTTGACTGTCTCTTCACTCTTTAGAAAGACTTTACAACCTATTTCACAAGCTTTTCTTCACTGCAGCACAGCCCTGCCAACCATCTGCCAAGATGAAGCTGTCTGTTATTGCCCTTTTGGCTCTGAGCTCATGTGCTGTCTCCGCTCCTGTTGCCGAGCCTGGCAAGGAAGTCTACTGCCATGACTACAAGCCCGTCAAGGGCTGGGGAGAATATGGCGGGCCAGGAAAGCCCAAGCCATATGATCCCGGCTGTGTTGTAAAGAAGCCGAAGACTCGTAAGCCCTGGGAGAATTATCCCCGCCAGCCTGAGAAGCCGCACTACCCTCCCAGTCCTCACAAACCGGAGCCTTATTATCCTGCCCCCAAACCTAAGCCAGAGCCCCACTACCCGCCAAAGCCTCACTATCCTCCTCCCAAGCTTCACAAGCCTGATCACCCTGGAAAGCCTGACTATCCCAAGCCAGGAAAACCAGATCATCCAAGCAAGCCCCACAAGCCTTGGGAGAACAACCCGGACCAGCCTGGGAAGCCTCATTATCCGCCTCCTGAGCATCCTAAGCCGGAACCCCACTATCCTCCGCCTAAGCCGCACAAGCCTGAGCCTCATCACCCACCCAAACCTCATAAACCTGATTACCCAGGCAAGCCTAACCATCCCGGCAAGCCTGACTACCCAGGTGGTAAGCCAGACCATCAGGGCAAGCTTGATCGTCCAGGAAAGCCTGACTATCCTGAGCCTGGCAAACCTGATCACCCGGGTAAGCCAGACGGCCCAGGCAAACCAAATGGTTCAGACAAGCATAACGGTCCTGGCAAGCCTGATAGTCCCGGCAAACCAGAATATCCTGAACCAGGCAAGCCAGATGGCCCAGGTAAACCATCTGGACTAGGCAAGCCTGAGAAGCCTTCCACCTAGGTCAGCAACTCATGGCCACTATCTCACGCTTCAGCAAAAGCTTATATCGATCTTGCTCGACGCAAAATCGCACTTACGACTGGCTTTAAGTCTGGGATCATTGGGCCAGAGGACTCATGACTTATGTGCTAGGATGATAAGGACAGTATTTGGGGGACATTCACGCAGGGCAATCAATACTCGTTTATTCAGTTATCACACACATCTCACCGAGAGAACCTCTGTTTTTACCTTTTGACTTATGATTTCTACTGTGAAATTCTTTGGCATCTGTCGTTGACTGGTTTGTTCTCTTCTCATGCTCTCTTTAATCCTGTTCTTCAATACTTAGGCTGAGACAGTGGAAGGCGAACACGACCTGACACTGCATTCTATCATTTATATCAAACATTTTCTTCTCTCAAATATCATTTCTGTGACTGTGAGTTATATTGTTTTGAAATTCCTAGTCCATCGTCTCCGTTCGTATCAATTGCTATTAACTACAGGCTTCAAATGCCTGATATATAGTTGAATAAAGTTCAGTTCCGAGCCCAGTTCCGGAACCGGACCTCCAATTCCGATTATCCGTCATCAAGCGGGGTCAAGCAGTCTGTCTCCCCATACGAACCTCCTCATGTGTGACAAGTACACAAGTTTTACACATCATTGTTTAAGCTCATAAAATGACTGTTCATGGTAGCCCTGATGACTCATGGCACGGGGTCATCACTCCGGATGGCCCATTTCAGCCCGAGAAGGATCGCTACCATCTTTACATCGGACTTTTCTGTCCTTTCGCTCACCGAGCAAATCTTGTCCGGCATCTCAAAGGTCTCCAAGACATCATCGGTCTATCTGTCGTGAAGCCCTACCCCAAGGGCGATGATAAGGGATGGCCAGGTTGGCAGTTTCTGAGTTCTCCTGATGATCTCTATGAAGGGGCTACCGAAGATCACCTCTTCAAATCAAAGTATATGCACGAGGTTTACTTTAAAGATGACCCTAATTACAGAGGCCGGTACAGTGTACCTGTTCTCTGGGATAAGAAGGAGAATCGAATAGTCAATAATGAGAGCCACGAATTGCTTCGTTGGTTGCCAACAGCCTTCAATTCCATACTTGACTCGAACAGCCCCGGGCGAGACCTTGACCTCTATCCCGAGAACTTGAGATCGACCATTGACGACATCAATGTTTGGATGCAACGAGACCTCAACAGTGGCGTCTACAAAGCCGGGTTCGCAACGACCCAGGAGGACTACAACAACAATTTACCAACAGTCTTCGCGGCACTTAACAAGCTCGAGGCACTGATTCACAAAAATGGAGGCCCCTATGTCCTCGGCAAGCAGCTCACCGAAGTTGACATCCGTGCGTATGCCACTGTCGTCAGATTCGATGTTGTCTATGTTGGTCATTTCAAATGCGATCTCGGAACTATTCGCGCCAACTATCCAGTCATTCATGAGTGGCTCAAGAACCTCTACTGGAATGTTCCGGGTTTCAAAGAGACGACAGACTTTAGGCATATTAAAGAAAACGTAAGTCCATGACTCGTTTGTCCGAGTGGGACTAACCTTGGTTCAGTATACAAAAAGCCATTACAAGATCAATCCTCTTGCTATTACACCTCTTGGTCCCTTTCCATATATGGAGGAGGGCGTTGACACGGACTTTGGCAAGCTGAAGCCAGGAGTGATTCGTCACCCGGCTGTGCTTGAGCGTCAGAAGGAGCTGTACGATTCGGAATTTAGCCAAAGGCTCTAGTAACCATAAAGATTGTACTCCTCTAGAAAAATATGATGCGTCCGATTCGCCATCGAGTGTTTCGCACATGATCACCAAACTGACCTTCACCTAATCCGCATTTGTTTCATACATGCATCAGTCTTGGACTGAAGTTCTGAGGCCTATTACCCAAAATTACTCAAGGAGGCCCCGTGCTTCCTTGATTCAATTCCATACCTGTAGCAGACTGTAGCCACGTATTCCAGTCAATATCAGTATCAATATCCATATTTATATCGATGTCTCCAATCCCGTTGCCACTCTGATCCATGTCTGTCCAAAGCCACGACGCAACATCTGCATCTCCAGGCTGGCCATCGACCCATGTTTGAGGTAGCATGTTCATCTCTGTTGGCAGTATATCACCAGCTACGCCCATCTGAAGACCAGGGTGGTATGAAGTAAAGTCGAACGAGGGGTTTGCCCACTGAGTGGCATTGTTACTCACGGCCGGATTAGCTAGAGATTGCGTTGTGGTGCTATCACTGGCTTGAGACACTGCTTGCTCCGCATTGCCATAGGTAGTCTTGCCAACAGCAAAGCGCCAGTGCTCAAGAAATCGCTGCTGCGAGTTTGTCTCTTCTGACGATTCCGGGCTTACGGGAACAGGAAGCGAGCGATCAGCCTGCTCCAATTTCTCGATCATAGCTGGGTTGTTCCGAATTTGCATCAGCTGCTCATCCCGATGACCTCTGGCTTTGGCCATCAAGCGACGCAGTGGAATCCACATACGCGCATTCTTGGTCACGTTGTGCTGCGACGGTATCAGCCAGACGCTGTGCAGAGCCACCCATGCCCGCTCGATAGTAGGCGACCACTGTCGTCTGGATATCTCAATCAGAAGCCATACAATGGCATACCAATGAGTATACGTCTGGTAGATCCATCGCCACTGGCGGCATTTCGTCTCAGCATTGAGCGCGTGGTTATGCTCTGCAACCTCAATAGCGGCGATGAGCAGTTTGTCTCGCATCTCATCCGAGAACCGCTCATTAGGTGACGCAAAAAGGGACGGGAGATACACTAAGAGTGTTAGCTTGGAAAGCACAAGCCGCGCGCACACGATGCCGACCCAGTTGGCTATATCCTCTGGATGTGCGGAGCGGAAAAGGTAGCCATTCTCGAGCTTTTCTTGGATACCGTCGAGCAGCTTAGTTTGCTCCTCGAGGGTCGGCCCAGATGAGTGAATACTCGATGCCATCAACTGCCTCGAAACTTGAGCTAGTTCACACATGGAGAGTGCGAAGGACATGTCTGTAACGCCTTTGCGCTCCTGGGGAGTCTCCTTCGTTTCGGGCTCAATGTCCAAAGTGTTGACGTTGAGAGGTATCTTGGTATCGAAGCTGTCTTGTGTAATGGAGAACTCGGTCCCCTGATCTTCAGAAGCACGAATGTCAACTGTAATGATCATCCACCACAGGCGACGTCGTTGTTCAACTTCAAACGGTGATAGATGCTGGAACCTTGAACCGTCTCGATGGAGGCCAACAGCGTGAGCCATACGAATCATCAAACCAGTCATCATCCAAACGTAAACAGGGCTATCGTACCGCCTCGCGAGGGATAGGAAGATGACCAAGGCCTGAACAAGGACGATGTCAGGGTTGTTGAGGAAGTCTGCTCGTGCCAAGGCCTGTTCAAGGCCTCGACGGAACTTCATATTGAGCTCCGTTTTCGTAGACCCAAAATTAGCTAGCACATCGTCGTCTTCCATGGACGTGATGGCCGCGTAGTAGATGGAGAAGAGCAGTGCCTGGTGCTTGAGAGATACCTTGGCCGCTGTCCCATGTGAAGGACGGACCATCTTTCTGATGCTCGGCATATGCACAATATGCATGATGAGGTTAATGTTCTCGTCGAACACGTCCAGTAGGAAGGGGATCTGTGATGGTAACGGGCTGAAGTCCTGTTCGCCGGGCGATGCAGGAGCTTGACTGTTTCGAAATAAGAAAGCATGCCGCTCTGAGGGTTCTCGGTAGAGTTCTTGGGTTGAGGGAGTGCTGGCCGGAAAGTCTTCATCTTGGGAAGATTCATCCTCATCTGCCATTCTACGAGTGTCCATCTTCAACCCATCGAGCTGCGGGCAGTCAGAACGATGAACAGCATAAAGCGAGGCTGGAGTGGACATACCTCATCACTGATGCGAGACCAGAAGCCACTAGCTACATACTTTTCTCTGTTCTTGTCCTTGATCACCATTCTCCCAAAATGTTTCTGCACATCTGAAGCCGTCGATGTCGACGACGGACTAGCTGCATCCTTCACAGCATCTTGCGGCGACGAGGCATCAGAGGACGCACCCCTACTGGCAGCAGCATTAGCCACCTCAAGCTGTCCACTCAACTCCTTGACTAAATTCTCCAGCGTCCGCAGTCTGTTCATAACCTGATCAGTGCTAGAGCTGCCACCACCCTGTCCTACAGCACTCTGTCCATTATCGGCGATGCGCTCCAAGCGCTTGGCCCATCTTGGAGGGCGGTCATTGGAGGGAACCACGCAGGGGATGTTAGCCTTGCGACAGTTTGAGCATGGTGATAGCTTGTCGCAGCGCACTTTGCGACTGCGACATACGACGCAGCTGCGGAGCTTGGCTGTGGAGGCGTTCCTCGCGTTTTTCTCGGGCGCGGAGGCCGAATCTGACGCGAGAGGGGTTGGGATAGCGGGGGAGGGCGTCATTCGTGATGAACAGCGATAAAGAGACCGGCAAAGATGAGAGTCTCGTGCTCGCACAGCGTGATCTGGCAATAGTTTGACACCTTGTCGCGATAGAGATTTGACTCTTTCTTCGCGGGAAATGAGCATTTCTTCGGGTGAACTATCGTGGTAGATGCACCTCTTCCAACCATCACTATCATGTACCATCAATCACTACCTCATCACTAGTTTCGGCCAGTTGGGGATTCCAGATAGGGACATTTCCTCTCAGTACCAAACCTTGCCCAAGTAATCCTTTACTATTGACCCTATTTACAGCTGTCAAAACATGTATATGATCGATGGTCATCATTCACTCTGATCCCAAAGCAGGACTGATAAGTAGCTACGATACCGAGCGTTAAAGTCCTGATAGGTTATCTGGAGGACAAGATAAGCGCTAAAGCATTTTGGGATAGCTGTACCATTCTCTCCATCACGGATGCCTTGGGGTAATACTCTTATGAATAAGACAGCAAGAGTTCATCCAAGATGGGCACAGGAATAATTATTTGATGTTCAGATGATTATTATTTGTATGTATCATGTAAGAACTGGATCGTACGAGCTAACTAATTTATTCCTTCACGCTGAGTTCCCAAGCAATTCCGTACGCCTTCCAAATGCATCCTCTCCCGTTGAACCGCTCAGTAAGTGATGGATGCAATCTTGTTCACGTACTCAGCACGTGTTTGTACAAGCAGATTATCCGCCAGCCATTTCCCAGCGTCCTCCCTTGAGATAGTGTATCCAATTTCCAGCGACTCTAATAACCCATTCTTGGGGTCTTCGATGCCCACGCGCACTGGCGTTTCGCTCTCACCATCCACCAACAAACTGCCCCGCACGATGGTGAATTCTTCACCACTGTCGGCCAACTTGGTCTCCATGATCTTTTTGTCTTGGTGGGGAACCTTCAAAGCAATCGCATAAATAGGGTAGAGCAGAAGGGGATAATCGCGACCAAAGTCGGACATGCCAGTGGTACTAAAGACAGTGATGTGAGGACTTCCTACTGCACCCTCTGCACGTATTTGGGCGAGAGCATCAAGAAGGACAGACATGCCGATTCGACAACAATTGGGATCATCAATCGTCATTTTGTGAATGATGGGCTTGCCCCCAATCGTAGAGACAATTGCATCGACGATTGAGCCATCGTCCGTCTTTAAACAAGAAGCCACTGCCTTGATATCGTGGGCATTGCCTTGAACAATTCGTAGATTGGAATGGGTTTTTGGCGAGATGTGCGCCTCAAGTTTTGACGGGATTCGGCACAGAGCGATACAGTTATGCCCTGCTGCCAGTGAATGCTTCAGCGCTGAGAGGCCTACGCCTGTGCTAGCGCCGAAGAAAGCGACTGTCTTTGGTGAGGACATGGTTGTGCGGTTGAGGCCTGGAGGATCTGAAAAAGTAAAACCAGATATTTTACTAAGGAAATTGTCTTAGCTAAAATGATTATTGTTATAGTCTATTGTCTATTATCAATTGTCGAGGTCGTGACCCTGCTTTTGTAGAGTTTGCTCGAGGCCGACAGTTGACCGAAAGCGAACAAGCCTGTAAACGACCGCTAGAATCTCGCTCTTTTTTCGCGCCCTTCGCGTCCATGGCTGCTTGACTGAGCAAGCAGGACAAGCTCAGAGTTCAACCACAATATCACCTCATCTTAGAGTGTTGGTAATTCTACATTTATGCATTGAAACACGATCCTCAAAATGTAAGATTTATTTACATGAATTGCCCTGACTTGTCGATAAAGGCAGCGTCTCGAGCTGACCGATAACGCAATAGATCGGGCTGTGGCCTTGAAAATGCATCTATTGGTCACACCCAGCATATGTAGTCAGCTCCTGACTGGACGCCATCCGCATGAAGGCAAGTACCTAAGGCAGCGGCTTAGACAGGTAAGCGTCGCGAGCATTGCGGCTGAGACTTGGTGTCTTCATCAATCATCGTATCGCCATTTGGGCGCCTGCAAACAAGAAACAGAGTAATGTTACGAAAATGAAGAAGTGACCCTAGTTCCGTTAGACCAACATGGCGACTCAAGCTTTTTCATCAGGCAATACAAATGCGCAGAGTCTCTGGGATCAAGCATTCAACTCCCTCAGCGCAGATCTCAAGACATCACTCGGCCAGGCTGCGACACACAAGCGCGACATTCTAGCCGCCGCCCTCGAAGCAGCGGAGACACGTAAAGCCACTAGCCTCCGCAAACGCTGGAAGTTCAAGCTCTCAAATGGACAAGTCGTGATTATCCGAGATGTTCTTGAAAAGATTGCTAAATGGATCGACTCCTTCAAAGCGGTTGGCGATGCGGCTGTGCAGTTTGATGCCAGCAACGCTTCGCTGCCCTGGGCCGCTGTCAGAATGCTTCTTCAAGTCACAGTCAACGATGTCCAACAGTACGGGGCCATGGTTCAGGACCTCGAGCTGGTGTCTCGGGTCATTGCGCGATACAAGGAGTTTGAGAATCTGCATCTTGGCCGAGGTCAATCCGCTGAGGCTGCGCTTGAAACAGCCCTCACGGTTCTCTATGCAGAAGTCTTGACATATCTGGCACAAACTATTGCCTTCTTTTCACAATCAACTGCAGGCATGTTTGTAACTCCACTGAGAAAGGTATTCACTGACCAGAGCAGTCCGACTCGCCAAGAGTGTCTTTTGGACGGGTGATGATGGAATACAAAAGATTTTATCCCGGGAAGACGAGGTTCTCAAACTAGCCAAGCTTCAGGATACTTCAGACCTACGCTTTATCCAAAAGACAGTTCTTCGCCTCAGAGATCAAATCAACTGTAACACCAAGCGTGTCGAAGAGGACGATTATACAAAGATGATATGCTGGATGTCCACGTCGCCATTTTCAATTCACCACGAGACCATATCTGAGTCAAGAACGCCAAACTTCGGCCAGTGGCTTCTGCAGCATGAGGCTTACAGACACTGGTGCGAGTCCAGCTCTTCATCGACTCTCTGGATTCGTGGGATCACGGGTTCCGGCAAGACCAATCTTTTCTCGGTGATAGTCGATTCGTTGCGGGCAACCCGGGCTTCGCAGCCAGAATCGACACCCTTTGCATACTTTTACTGTATCGAAAGCGATTCCGAGCCTGAGAGATCGTCAGCAGATGGGATCCTCCGTAGCATTCTGCGTCAACTCGCGATTACAGAAACCCAAAGTGATGTTCGCGACTTTTTCTATTCCGACTTCCAGCGCCGCTCGAAATCAGCTCTCCTTCAGGGACTGGATCTTCCGAAATTGAGTAGGAAGGAGTGTGTGGATCGCATCGTTCAAGTTGCCAATGAAGACCCCATTACAATATTACTCGATGGTGTCGAGCAGGTTGAAGATGAGAGTTGTGATGCTCTCTTGCAGTCTTTATCTGACATCATGTCAAAGGCTGAGAACGTCGTCAAGGTGTTAGTCACAAGCAGGAATAGTCTTGATATCCTCTCATCACTACCGACTGCGAAGGAGGTTATTGTGACGGCTGACCATGTTCACGATGATATGGCTAAGTTGATTACTCAGAAGATTGACGACGCCAAACTCATCAGTGGAAGACTCTCTCCGGATAGAAGAAGCGGCTTGATAAAGGAGCTGCTAGAGGGCGCAGGCGAAATGTAGGCTCCCTCTTCCTTCACCATCCAATTGTTTTCTTAACCAAGTGGCGATATCTAGGTTTTTATGGGTTCATCGGCAAATACAGCAGCTTCGCAAGGTCAAGAACGAACATGATTTGCTTCCGGCTCTGCGGTCCAACATTCTATCTGATCTCGACAAGCTTTACGAAAACGACCTTGGACAAATCTTACAATCAGGAGAAAAGTCGCGCCAACTGGCCATTCATACATTCTCCTGGCTGCTATACATGAAAGCGCCATTGACCCCTGAGGCGTTGTTAGCAGCTATCAGTGCCTCAAGCACAGGGGATGTCCCTTGCACGGCGGCGGACATAGCTGTTGTATGCTCGAACTTGGTGGTCATAGACCTCCATCGCCAAGTTGTCCGACTCGCTCATCATTCAGTCAGAGAGTTTATCCTCCGTAGTAAACAGTCTTTGTTCTCCGCTCCCATAGCTCACAGTTTGCTAGCATCGACCTGCATAAAGGTCAGCGCCCGTGGTGCGCCTGACAATGGAAGCCTGGAACAACAGGTTCAAGGCTTTTTCTTGTATGCCGCGACGCACTGGGCAGGCCACTTTGAGAGTTCAAGGGTTGTCAAGAAGGAGGACAAGCTATTTCAAGAAATGATCTCATTCGTCTTTGAGGACGAGGACTATGATGTCAGCCTTTCCTTCGAAGTCTGGCTAGATACTGCGAAGGAGATTGCACAACTGCTGCCGAGGAATCACCCAATGAAGCCGGCTCTTGATGCCGTGTCAAACGCAACATCGTCTCCTCTCTTCCTAGCAGCTGTCTTTGGTATAAACGGCCTGCTGACTCTTATTGCAGAGTCGGAGAATGATATAGACCGGGACCAACGAAACGACCTTGGGCACACGGCACTCTACCTCGCCGTTGCGACTGGCCATCTCTCCACTGTGACAGCTCTGATCTGGAAGGGTGCAGAGCTGAACGTCGAATGTGGTGCATATGGAAGTCCGTTGCATGTTGCGTGTTTCAGAGGATATCAAGACATCGTAGAGAAGCTGCTTGAACACGGTGCGTCTTCAAAGTGTGGTTCGAAGTTTCAGAGTGCCATCCAAGCTGCATCTCAAGGAGGGCATGAAGATATTGTACTCTCTCTCATTGGGCATGATGCCATTATTAAATCTGGGGATGACTACGAGCAAGCCATACAGATGGCAATAGAGTATGGCTTCATCAAGGTCATCGACCAACTACAAAAGCCAGAGTTCAAGCGCTTTGCCGACAAGGATACACCAGACAAACACAAAATGAGGTTAGCCAAAGCTATCAAAGCCGGCCAGCTATTTGTGCTACAACGCCAGCTTTTGAAAGCATCACCTGGAGCTACAGACCCTTTCCCAAAAGACGCAGTTGCAATCGCGGCTCTCTATGGTCATACAGATATCGTCAAGTATCTCCTGGAACAAGGTCTTCATATTGAAGCCGAAGGTCAGTTCGGCACGCCACTCCGTTCTGCTTGCTTGATGAACCACAAATACACCGTCCAAGAGCTACTGCAGCGCGGTGCCAATGTCGGTACAGAAGAAAGGAAAGGCAATGCACTTTATGTTGCCGCTGCGAAAGGCCATGTCGATGTTGTCAGGATACTACTGGATGAAGGTGCGGATGTTCACCAGAAAACGGGGCCTTCTGGTACTGCGTTGCAGGCGGCAGCGTACTACGGACACAGAAAGGTTGTCGAGATGCTTCTTGATGCCGGTGCAGATGTCCATGCTGAAGGTTCATCTCCAGATGCGTTCCATGCCGCTGCTGAGGGTGGTCACCAAAGTATCATTATGTTTTTTCTGGAACGAGGCTACAGATTCCTCTACGAGCCGCCGAGTCCCAAGTACAGGAGAGCTCGACCCTCGCCATACAGGCCACTTTATCGGGAGGCTTCTCCTGGAAGAGATAAGCATCCTCGCTCTAAACTGTGGCCGGAACTTTACAAGCAGACAACTGGCACGACCGAATCTGTCGCTGATGGAGATGCCCGTGACAACATCACCCGAATCGAGCATGATGATGAAATGGATATACCCGCTATGGATCAAGGAAAGCATCTCCGTAACGGTGGAATTATGCAAGATGAGTCTCTGAAGAACCGCCCTCTGGAAGTTAGTGCTGCTGGAGGAAACGACGCAGTTGTCAAGATACTACTAGAGCAAAAAGAAACTTTAGGATTCATGGATTATGAGGTTGTTACTGCTCTCAAGGCAGCTGCGTCCAATGGACACTTGAACACCGTTCGGATGCTGCTCGACCATGCCCTGAAAATGAAAGTTCACTTTATTGAACGTATCTATGCAACTTTGGAGAACATACCAGAAGGGCGTCACGATATGTTGCAGCTTACTCTCGCGAAAGCCGCTGAGAGTGGCTGTACGGAGGAACAGATTGATCAGCTGAGGCTGAAACTTCCACCAGGAGAAGAAAAGTACAAAGTCGCCGTCATTGAGCAACAAGCTCTGAAGGCAGATCTTCTGGCATGCTGTACCTCCGGAAATGTAGCTGTTTTGGAGGCCATCATGAGTTGCAAACACCAACCGCTACTGCAAGCCAACGACCTCCTGGAATTTCTACAGAAAGCTGCAGAGAGGGGCCGCCTCTGGGTAATCAAGAGCTTGTTCAAGCTTAGTTCTGATGTGCAAGGCGCCGCCATTCCTGACGACACACTGGTATGCGCTGCTGGAAAAGATCTTGAGATTTTGAAGTTTCTCCTATCTCAAAAGATCGATGTGTCTCGTTCCGAACTCCTCCTGAGCCGATTGGTCTATGCTGCTTGTAGCAAGGGACAGTCTGAAATCATCGAGTATCTCGTATCCGACTTCGGTGTCGATATCAATGCCAATATTCCTGAAGACGAGAAGCCCAGGCGTCGTAGACGTATCAGGCAGTCTATCCACGCCAGCCTTATGAATGCTCCTCTAACTACCACTGATCAAGCAGATGGTTCGAAATCGACTGACGACCGTCGTCTTTTCAGTCCTTTACAGGTCTGCCTGAGCGCTTTTGATATCTCTGAGCGGTCTTACTATGCGAGTTGGTATATAGATGACACAATGCCTCAGCAGCAGAGATCTATACAAACACTACTGAGACTAGGGGCCGATCCGAATAGTCTAGGCGGAAAGAATGTGTATCCTCTTCCGTACGCAGCAAGATTCTGCCCAGGTTTTGTGGTAAAGGAGCTGCTTGCAGCTGGAGCAAATGTCAAACTTGCAGATCAAGGAGATCTAGCTCTTTTGGGAACAGTTCAGAGAGAAATGGAAGCCATGGCGGTTTTGACCATGCTATTGGATTGTGGCTACCATCTTCCCGACTATTGTGATGGAGGTAAGGCGCTTCTAGATAAAGCTCTCGCGTTATTTGAAGGTGATAGAGGGCGACAGACTTTCCATAGCATTGTTGATGACCCTGATGGTCGCTTTTTAGAGGCCCCGTCTTTGGAGTATGTCTTTGAACAAGGGCCAGGGGCGGTACTCGAGTTCCTTTTACAGAACTATGACACAGGCAAGCTGGAAGACACAAGATATGGGCTAGTTCTCCAGATGACTTGCGCACTGGGCAATGCTCCTCTCGTTGAGTTGCTCTTATCTCGGGGAGTCAGTGTTGACGCTGCTGGATACTACTATGGAAGTTCTCTACAGGCTGCAGCACGTACTGGCCAGCTACAGATTGTCAAGAGTCTGTTGAACAAGGGAGCCAACCCGAATTTGATACAGGGCCGTTGGCACACATCCCTGCGCGCAGCGATTGTACGTGGTCACATCGAAATCGTGCAGCTTCTGCTTCAATATGGCGCAGATCCCAAGGTGAAGTACCAAACTAGCCGACAGTCAGAGAACGAAAGAGATTCAGCATCATCGAGCACTCTTCAGCTTGCTCTTCAGGAGGGGCATGGGGAGATAGCAAGACTACTTCTCAAAACTGACCCTTCACTGATCAAAGAAGAGGGTCGCCTCCAACATCCCCTCATCATAAGCTGTCGAGCAGGAGACCACGCCATGACAGAGCTGCTACTCGAAGCCAATGCTTCGGTCAATGTTCGAGGCCGTAAGGACGCTAAAATGGTAAGTATGGAGGCTCAAGATGCGAGCCCTTTGCATGCCTCGATTTTTGGAGGCCACATCGACGTCGTCCAAACGCTTTTGTCGAGAGGGGCTGATATCAACCTGGAAGTTGACGACTGTGACTGCCGAACACCATTCTTGGCAGCGATTAAACGAGGGGATTTGTGTATTGTGAGACTGCTTCTTGACTCTGGCGCAAAAGTCAACAGTTTGAGTCTTCAGGAAGCCTGCAGAAGTGGAGATCTTCTTGTGGTTGGGGTACTTGTTGAACGGCTGTTCAAAGACGAGGAGGGTTCATTTGAGATCATCGACGAAACACTGGACTCCCTGACGATGGAAAAATTCGCTAACTACAGAGCTCTCGACCTGTTACTTGACTATGTGCCTCCAACTCCCAGAAGGTTTCTCTTCGTCTGTTCCTCAAGTTCTGTTCCTCTGGTAAGGAGAATGATTCAAAAAGGGATGGGTGTCGATGGCAGTGACCAGGAGGAAGATAGCCCTTTGCAAATAGCTTGCTACTACTTGAACTTTGAAGTGGTACGGCTACTCTTACAACGCGGCGCAAGTGTACGGCCAAGATCATCGCAACCCGGAGACCCAATTACCTTGGCGTTATGGGCTTGCGCTTTACCCCTGCAGCAGGAAATGGAACAACGAGGGACAAGACATCAGAAATATTACGCTGAAGGTGTGGACTACCGAACGACACAGAGATGTACCAACATTGTTCGGATCTTACTTGAACGCGGCGCCACTGCTGATGGTGGAACGGATGGATTGGAGAGTCCACTTCAACTAGCTTCCTTCATTGGCAACTTCGAACTTTCCAAGCTTTTGATCACACACGGAGCCAGTGTAGATAAAATCACTGGAAGCTTCAAGACTCCCCTTTTTTCGGCTTTACAGGGGAATAACAGTGACATCATATCACTGATTCTGGAAAAGGGGGTCGACGTCAACTACGTTCATCCAATTCATGGTTCAGCATTACACTTGGCCTGTCAGTACAATGATGAGTCACTTGTTCTCCAGTTGCTTCAGCATGGCGCCTCACCTGCTTTGAAAAACGCAAACGGAGTCACAGCTCTTACGTTGGCCCTCGAGTCTGCAGCTTCTCGTGGCGGTTATGGCGCATTCCAGAATATACCCCGACTCATTTGTCAACACTCGGCAACGCTCGATATCACAGATAGCGACATCATAGCTGCAGCTCGGCTAGAGCCCAGTGACTTACTGTCTTTCCTCCTTGTCCGGAGAGGAGAAGAACCAGTGACAGAAGATCTCGTCATTCGTTTCCTCAGCGAAGAGAGATGTCCAATCCAGGAAAACGTGGAGGTTCTATTTGATCATAGTCGGGGATTGGAAATAACTTCACAGATGCTGAATGTTGGGCTCTCTGAACAGGCTTTCAGAAGTCTAACACAGGCTCGCAAGCTTTCAGTTGACATCACTCCCGTTATGCTCGAATCTCAAACAGATATCGGAACCCTGAAAGCACTCATGAGGTACCAGCCCGGCATCGAAGTAACGGAGGGCCTCGTGATTAAAATACTTTCAATTGCACACGCGTCGCGTTACAGCCGATGGTGGCAACGGGAAGAGTGTACCGAGCTTCTCTTGTCAATCTGGCCTCGAGACTTGCCATTGTCAGTGACTAACGCCATGCTGAAAGCGGCAAGGTTGGTGCCCCATCTGGAGATCTTACTCGAGCGCCTTGGTCCAGCCCAAGGAAAGTTACAAGATGTCGCGATGTGGATTTGCGAACAGGGCACTGATTATTCCGGCAAGCAAGAGAACTTGTTGGCACTGGTTTTGCAGGCTGACCCAAAAGTTGACCTCTCCACAAGTCCCCTTGAAAAAATAATGCTCGGTGGCAAGCCTTGGATGTTGGATACAGTCTTGACGCATACGCCTTCCCTTCCAATCACAGAGAAATTATTTCTCAGCATCTTCAGAGAGTACCCAGAAGCTCTAGAGGTAACGCGTAAGGAATTTGCGGAAGTACTTATAAGGCACAAGAAGAAATTTGTTTTCACAGAGAAAATTCGCGAAGCTATTGATAGGGCATATCAAAAGCATTCCGATATTGACAAGAGAGACATATGGTACAGTCTGAGGGAAAGGGATGAAACTCAGGAGGAAGCTGAGGCCAGGCAGGCTCAGGAAAATGATGCAAACAAGAGCGACGATCACGTTTCCCCATGAGACAGGGTCGGTAAGTAAGAGGAGCGATGGCAGCTATATATGGGTAGTTGGAGTAATATAAGTATTCCCGGGGCTGAAATTGTATGAGACTTTTCGCGGGCTACTCTAAATAGGATTTCATCCGTAAAGTTAGACTAGGTTTGGAGGACTCTTTACTAAGCTTATTTTGGTGCCCTGTTTTCAAGTCTCAGGTCTCTTGCTCTAAAATTCTCTGGCGTCTGGGTCCAAGTTTGTTCTTGACCAAAGAATCCCAGAGAAGAATAGCTTCACAATAAATGACACGTGTGTAATTGAACATTTGATTCGAAATATCTCGCTGGGGTATAAGGTACAGAGGCTAAAGTACGAGTTTAAACAATGCACAGGCAAATTCCAGGCTCATTTCCAAACCACCGGACTCAGAATCTTAAGTGCTTTGTCTACTCAGGAATAGGGCAAAGATCATAATTGCCGTTGACGTTGTTTCCCCACCAGCTTGGGAAAGGATGGCCCGGGCCACCAGCTCCAAAGACGGCGAAAGAGAGGATGAACAGGACTGTCAGACTGGCACCGTCGAAGGCACCAGTCACGAGGTAAGAGTAGTCCCTGAAGATGCGAGGTCGGTAGTTTCGGAGGTAGAACTGGACGAAGAAACCAGAGAGAATCTGGCTCAGGATAACGCAAGTCTGACTCTGGTTGTAAGGGATATATCCAGCGAACTGGATGAACTGAGGAAAGTTGATATCGGCGACATCAAAGTTCTTGATCTTGGGGTAGAACTGAAGATTGTTAGTCGGTTATCTAAAGACTGGTGACTGGGGGAGTGTACCTTGTAGAAGATTCGGTGAAGCACAACGAGACCAGCACCGACAAGCAGGCCGAAGGGAACGAGCTCATAAGTACCGCCGAGCTTGTAAAGATAACCAGCAAGAGCCCAAGAGGTGGCATTGGTGTTGTAAGATTGCATGGTAGCACCACTCCAGGATGAGTTACCATCACCGTCGCGAAGAAGGTCTCGGTTGCTGCCAACAATGCTGATCATGATAGCGTAGTTGATGAAACCACCGAGGATGGTTCCCCAGATTTGAGTAAGGAACATGACGCGAGGAGGGATTTTGACTGCATCCTAGTTAGTATACACTTCAAAAGATTGATGAGTGAGACCTACGATATTCGCCCATCTTGAGATCACCAGACAGGTTGACAGCGTTGGAGATGACGTTGTGAGACCATGCAGCAAAGTACATGTTACCGACGGGCTTGCCAGGAAGCATGAGACCAGCAATCATCTTGGAAAGGTTGTTGGTCGCAATACCGTTTCCATAACGAGAGTATAGGAGAGTGCTCTAGAATGAAGGTCAGTTCTGCTGGCTATACCATGGACCTTCAGAACTTACGACTGGTGCAATGATGGAACCCATGATGAGCGAGACCACGTAGGCCCAAGCAGGGAGAGTAATGTTCTCCTTGATGACGACGATCAAGCCGAGAACAAAGCTTCCCACGAGGACGGTGACATACCACCACCAGGGAGCCTCCTTGTAGTGCTTAGCCATGTGCTCGTGGTGGCGATCATCATATCGTCCCTCCCTAGCGCTCTTGAAAGCCTTGACGACGTCCTTGCCCCAGAAGAGGATGCAGTGAAAGATGAGAGCACCGATCTGTTGCAAGATTAGCTTTGGTAAGATCATGGTAGACTCGATGACTTACAGCAGCGTTAGCCATGAACATGGCGTAGGCAAAGGTACCAGTCAACTTGGGAAGACCAAACTCCAACAAGCGTGACTCGTTGAGGACTCCGCCTTCGAAAACCTCAGCAACGGGGTAGGTAGTACCATTGGCCATCAAGAGTCGAGTCGACATGAAAGGTAGGGACTTAGCACCCCAGCCATCTCCGTAGTAGATACCAGCCATGACGATATAGCAGACCACGAATCCAACAGCCATGTGAGCTTGGAGAGGGAGAGGGAGAGAGGTGTTGAAAGAGGTGATCTATCCATGTCAGGTCATGTTCCATATAGTTGCTTAGAGAAACTTACATATTGCCAGTCCAGAGAGATGCTGAAGAGGCCAAGACCCTCGTTGTTAGTAGCACCACCAAAGACACGAGTGAGGTTCTTGGCAGTGTTTCCGGTCGCCTTCATGGCAGCCAAGCACTTCACAAGTGGTTAGCAAGAGTAAATTATCGCCAATGAGGGTATAGCTTACAGGAACCGATACCGAGTTGAGCCAGGGGAAGATGTAGGCAGGGAAGAACTCGTAAATCGACATGCCACCGAAACTGTACCAGAAGACTCGGAGAGGCTTAGAGTCCTTGACCTCCTGCCAGTGAAGACCCTGGAGAGTCTTGACAGTGGGCAAGTTACTCCAGAAGACAGCATCAACGTGCCAGACGGCAACAGGGCGCATGATACCGCAGAGACCGTAACCGAAAAGACCGATGGAGATGGTGCTCAAGATAACAGTAGTCGGGCTCAATGGCATGTTGTAGAAGAGATCTTGGGCGGCAAAGACTTGAACACTTGCAGCGGCGTTAGAGGCCGAGGTGGCTGTGATGGCACAAATAGCGTGTTCCTTGAGACCCCATGGTCCAGGATTGATGAACTTGATGAACTTGATCAGAAAGGGGAGCGAGCCGGTGTTACCCTTGGCTCTCCATCGAGCTTCGAAGTTATCGCCGCGGGGGAGGGCAAACGCCCAAGCGTTACCGATGAAGTAGGAGATGAGGACGATGAAGGTGCCCTGAATGGTGATCATGGTGGGTTTGAACTATGGTTGATTATATTAGATGATATCTCATGAAAGTCTAAGTGGAATGAGCCACGAACAGTGTAGATCTGGTACATGACAGCCTGGAAACAAGCAAGACCGGAGGCCAAAAGAATACTTCGGAATGTCAAAGCGTTATCGTGATCGTCTCTCATCGGGAGCAGGTGGCGAGAGGCATCGGCACCAGTAATGATAATGGCATCTTTGCTGTCGCTGTCGCTTTCGTCGGTATGAGATGCGTCGTGGACCTCGGGGCCAAGAACAGCGTTCTTTGCGTCGCTCTTCTCGTCGATGTCCGTTGGGCTAGGAACAGGGAAGACCGAGGTCTCAAAGGTATCCTCGGGGCCGTGAGGCCCCTTGGGCTCGACATTTGTGGACGACATGCTTGAGCAGTCCTCTTCCTGAGAATGGTAAAGAGGGGTTTGGATGTCGTTTGTGTAACAATCCACAGCTGGCTCAAATCATCTGGGCTGCAGAGTCAATCCACGCATGGGCAGCAGCGCATCTTTATCTAAAACCACATCGCGCCCGGTGATACCATCGCATTACACGATGAGCGAATGTAACATCCCTTGGTTCTGGAACATCGATATCGGGTACCACGGCGATAAGGAGCAAAGACGTCGGCCGCGTCTCACAAGAGTTCCCAGTTTCTCGAGGTCCTTTTGCAAGATCAATTCCCTTCTTGGACATTTGCCTCTGGGGGAGATGGAGATGGACCCTCGTGGTCCCGTCCGTTGCAACATAGCAAAACCCTGTTCTCCTGCTCTTTTGGTACTAGCCACGTCCCAATTCTGTAACCCTCCCGCGCGCATATCGTGGAGGCGTTAGCGTTGAACTGTCGCCTCAAGTCCCCGAGGCTAGAAACGTCTTGGCCTTTGCCTCATCAAGCAATGCCTCCATGTTGCGCTATCGATTGTACACTCGGAAGAGACGCACTTGAAGCCCGCCTCACCCGATTCCACCAGGAACTTGTGTTAGCGACTGCAAGAGTTGGTGACATTGCCTCAAGGTCATTGGCTGTAGAGTGGCAAATGCTGGATCAATGTTGATTGCGACATTCTGATTAGCAGGGGTCTTTTGCAAAGGGTCTCGGACTGCTATAATCAAAGCGCGGTTATTGGTTTGAGCGTCGGAAGACCTCATGTTACAGGGACTTTTTCATGGTGTTGGTCTGAACCCTTGTCAATTTAGACGGAATGGTACGTAGCTATTGTACACTAAGAATCCAGAATTCTGGAACACGCGCCATGTCAGCACCCAATTGATAAGCTTTAAATGATGATGGAACATGTCTACAGCATATTAATTGACGTCTGAGGGCGTTGATTGTCTGAGGACCGAAAAGAAAACATCTTGAGCGGTAAGTGGGAACGATATCGATGAACGGACTGAGCATGTACTGTATGTATTTCTCGCAGAATGACACCAGCATGCCTTTCGACATTCCACATTCCGGTGTTACATGGCCAGTGCAGCCGGTTCAGTGGGATATATGGGGGAACCTTGGGCCAACCGCTTGACTTTGGGGGCCGGTGACCTTTTGCAACGCACGTCAGATACAATCGTGCCTCTAGTATATGGAACCTTTGATCATCAAGGCAAGGGGTCAAAGGCCGAGACAGTAGCAGAAGCGCCGACAGTAGATTCAAGCTTAAGTTGACTTAGGGTTAAGCGGCAGGATTGGGTCGCTTGTTCTCGATCTTGTTCATTCATTTATCGGCAGATTCGCCCTCTTATCTGGGTCGTTTTCTGCCGTGATAACCGAAAGCTAGTCACGTGGTCCGGGTTTGCAATTAAATCGGGAGGGTCTGGAGGAACTTTTGCTCGGTGCGACTTATCTCGTCAACAACCTTTAAAAAGGCGTCATCTAAGGGATCCTTTGAGAGTTCAAGATGCAAAGGTCCATTCCGATGAGTTTGGTCTTTAATTTATTGTTCATTTTATCTCCTTTACACTTGAAGCTGCTAAGTTATTCTTCCTCTTCTCTCACATCAAAACGGTCGACGTATAAATAGCTTCGGCAGGACTTATCTGCTCTAGTCCGAATTCGAATCTAGCACCAGCCCGTTCCAGACGCCAAGAGTACTGCCAAGCCGGCACTGATCGGTCTCTTGGAGCTCCCCATTGATACGTGCGGCCGCTATCTGAACTTGAGGCATGACCCCCCAGTACCTCGCCGCTTTCCACGATGCCATGGCCAGGTCCAGACTGAACCTCACTTTCGATCCCCGGGTGTTGTCAACTTTTGGCCTCCTCTTCCCTGGTAGTCTTTCATAAAAGCGCCTTGTAACATCTGACTTGCCTAACAGAGTTAGGAAAGTTCACTCCCATAATTTCATTGCTGGCAGTGACCGAAGAGCTCATGCATTCATGTACCCTCTATATCAGACAAGGTCTATCAGCTATAGTATGCGATGTCAGGAAACCTTTAAGCTGACAGGTTACTCTGCTTCAAACCTATCAACGTGACATCGCTTGGCAATTATGCTTAAACCGATTCGATATCATGTTCTGAGTAATGCTTTTGATTCTCCTAATCTATGCATCTACGATAGAGCCTAGCTTGAAGGATTTTGACAAAGGTCTCTGATCTATATCATGGTACTTCCATAGAGTACCATCACAACTAGATTCATAAGATACAGAAGTTCTTTACAGTTCTAACCAAGGTGCATAAGATCTTTCCATGGTGGCGGGTCGAGATCTGACAGACAGGGAATCAGACATCCCCTGCAGTTCCTTGCAACGTATCATTCGTGGTTGGCCTCCAATGCCAACTTGACAACGGATAATGCTTGTACATGAGGGAGGTTTACATGCAGTCTTTCGACCGGCGATCTCATGTCGTTGGAAGAGTGTAGCCCTATAGCCTATTTCTGTTCCTTGCCCAACAAGGAAGGTCGGTGATGTCTTATCACTTCAATGGCTACCAGTTATTCCCGCGGCTATAACGGCTTCCTATGTGGCAAAGACAAACGACATTGTTGTATTGTGGTGCTATTGCGCTTGATATTACAATCATCACGCCATGGATATTGTTTCTCCGTTGGTCTTACTTTCGCCTGCCTGGCCACCAAGCACGACATTTGCTTGATCAATCGATTGTGGTCTGCAGATTATTACAACAGTGTTGCAAAAAGATAGTAAAAAGCTGGAGGCAAGTCGTAGCATAGACCTTTGACCAGAGCAAGATCATAAGATTGAAGACATCCATTTCATGACCTAACCATGATAAAAAAAAAACATTAATTGAGACAGAGGATTAATACTGTTTGAACTCAAAAGTAATACAGAGACTCTGTAAGGTATATGCAACGAAATGAGTACTAAGCCGTAGAGAAGATTCATTTCCATAGCGAACGATACTGGAATGTTCCAAGCGGCCGTAAATGTAATTCGGTGGCCAGTTCCTGATGGACAGTACTAAAATGATTACTCTACGATCAGTCAGCCATCTTTAAACCTGTAAGTTAGAAAGAAAGCCGTTGCTCACTCTCATGTTTATCGTTGGCTAGCTTGCCCAGCCTCAGCACTTGAGTAAGTGCTTGTCTGCCCTACGTGACAGATAGAGATATCAGATCTAGCACCATTCAAGACCGTTGCATAGCTCAAAGCTCTTGTAAATACCCACAGCTGAAATCAAGGGCATTGAAATGAACATTTTTTTCAGGCAGCCGGTAGCACAACGGCTCTCTAGATCATCGAAAGACTTGTCGCAAAGCAGGAACACCATGGCAATGCACCATAATTCAGATGCCAAAGTTCTCGTTTCAGTTAGAAAATGATTCCTCGTGGTCACCCAATGGTTTCTCGTGACCATGATTTCTTGACTACAGCGTCCAGTTGACTTAACATCACGATGCCGCTTATCGTCGATATTATGCAAGATAATAGACGACACCCGAGAGAATCAACGTATACACTCTTCTAAGCTGTTAAAGGTCATATCAAGTAGTGTGTAAGATGTTTCGTTTTCATCGTCAGGCGGTGGCATGCTGTTGCCAAAGTCTTGCCTCGACGACGGAAGCAGCCTCGAGTAACCCGATCCTAGTATGAAGCTTTCACCAGGTACTCGCCCAGCACTTACACTTTGTTGCTTTACACCTGTTGCGACGAGTTATGAGATACTGCTGATATTCAGAATCTGACTTTCGGGGCCATACTGAAAGCTCATTACCCGGTTTCGGAGCGGATCAACATTTTGGTTCAGAGAAGACATCGCGGTTCAATCATACTGGCAATCAGAAGAACAGATCAAATCAGGCTATCCCGGCTACATCTTACGTCCCGTACCAATAATTTATGCTAATACAATACAGCTAGAGAACCAACACAGGGTTTTCTTGATCAATCTCATAGCACTACCATGACATCTTGTATTATTTATCACGGGTGCCATAGAAACCATGTATTATAGGTTAGGTGAGTTAGCCAGACAACCCGGTCTAATAGTAATCGCCATCGTCACCTGGCAAACAACCTATGAGGCAAAAGAAACGATTCACATGCATTCAAATGAGGCTTATAAAAGGCATGCCTTTTTTGCTCAATGGACTGAAGTTGCAGTAAAGCAGAGCAAGCCGCAGTGAATGAGGGGTTATGGTGAGCCATAAAATAGTACGGAATAGCAGCCACCTCTCAAACGCACACTGATAAAGTTCAGATAGGCGATCTTAAGTCAAACTATTTATAACAGCAGCATAGCCACTCATGCTTTTCTTAGCATTCACTATTCGGGTATTCAACTTGAGTTACTAACTGCCGAAACTAGACCACCTTGAGATAACGGATCTTTGTATCCGCAGCAAATCAGGGCAAATTTGTCTGGTCGGGTGTTTAGCCTCAAGAGGGAACAACCTTGACAGATCAGCCCTAATTTCCAGGGGTGAAGGATCCAGTTGTTGCACCAATGACAGTCGCTTACAGGGCATTTAAGCTTAGTGCTCACGCTGTTCAGCGGCTCGGTGCTTAGTCCACAGCGGGCCGTTTGAGGCATCGTCTTGGCCGCACGACAATGCAATTGAGACTGGTCCTGGTGGGAAGAAAAGCGGCAGTTGGACTTGGAGAAAGGTTGTATTTCCTGTTCAAATCAGGACATCCTTTCCGGAGCATAGCAACCCGGAATAACATTTTAAGGTCGCAGTCCACTTCCCGCGTATGCATTGCTGGGCACAGCCCTGTAAAGCCACTGAAGAGTAAGCACTAGCCCCTCAGAATGACAAAGCAGCCAACCACGAGCTTGCATTGAGTTCCCATATGAAACGATCGCTGCCAATTCTGGCTTCATCACCTTTTCTCACGCACCAAAGTCCCTCCAAATCTCCGCTCCCGCTGCAACGCGATGCTGGGTAAAAAGTCCAATGGATGCCCATGTGAAGCTGGGCCGCTGCTGCTTGCTTGGCCTTGCTTGGCCCCTCTCGGATACCATTCTCTTTCTGTCAGCGTCACTTTCGCTTCTTCGTCTTACGCCTTGATGGAGTTGCTGGTGTTTGTTAGCTGATGAGGCTGGAGCCTGTGCCTCTTTTCTTTCCATCTCAACGCCATTTTCTCGATATCGGACAACAGTCGACATGTCTCGCTCGGCGATTGCGATTGCGTGCCTTTTGGCAAGGCCGGTAGTGGGTTTGGCAGGATGGTGGACTTGGTCGCCATACACATTGACACCGCATTTCGCGTACCAAGACCCGGGATCTGGTGATATTCTGCACAGCTCGTGTAATAGCAACGGATCGGCTTCCTTTTCGACGAAAAACCCCAACAAATTTCCACTCAAGGAGCAACCCAAGGCCGCGACGCCGCTCGCTATCTCGGGATGGTGGGACGACGACCTCAATACACCAATCGTGAGCATCTTGCAGCTCTCGTTGCCCAAATTTCGCTAATGTTTTAGGCCTCCGTATTCTACCAGAATGCCGACGACGGGATCGTGAACGCATATTTAATATGCGACAACACAACAGGCAGTTACAAGCTCGACACCGACGGCGAAGAGGTTGTTTCCGACTCGGCTGGGTTGCCCTCGGTGAACGAAAAGACTGGATTGGCGGTCGCAGAATTAGGAGACTCGGGCGGCTCCCGAGTCTATTACCATGACGAAGATGGCCGAGTCAATCTCCTCGCATACGATGACGATACCGATTGGCGATACGATGGTCCGGTATCGCTGAAGAAGCCGGGCGGTATGGCGATAGCGGCTGTACAGACCAAGGGCACCAACGTTTCGGTGGTGTATCCCTACGATAGCGAGGACATTGTCGTTGCTCGCTACAATAACGATAACAAGAGCAAATGGCGGCTAGGTAAGGACAGACAATTCCGTGAGATCAACAGTGTAACTGACAGGCTCTTCAGAATCCTTCCCAACGCCATTCGATAGCCCAGCGCCGACGAATGCGACCGAACCTTCAGATATACGACTCGATACATCGACAGCGGCATCGCTCACACTACCCTCCTACGACAACACCGCCGTCGATCTGGGCATTGCGAACCAAGCTGGCAAAGGATTGACTATATTTTACATTGGCAAGGACTCTCAACTACACGCGATAACACATAAGAATGGCGCTTGGACAGAGGTGGACGGGCCCGGGAAAAAGAAATGGCCCGAAGCAGACGACGCTTCCGCGCGCTTGGCCGTTGTATCACCGCTGGACTCGGATGAGATCTGGGTATACTACATGAGCGGCGATAAAATCCAAGAGCTACACAGATCTGATGGTGGAACTTGGGACAACGCGCAGACACCATCGTCAAATAACGCTACGGACAGCGACTCCAATTCCGAAGGCGGCGACGAGGCAACGAGCACAGGCGGTAATGGTAGTTCTGGCGCCAAAGAGACAGAGAGCACCGCAGCTGATGCCGACACGGGAGGAATGACAGCTGGGGCCAAGGCCGGAGTTGGCGTTGGAGTCAGCGTGGGTGTGCTCGCAATCGCTGCTGGGGCGTTTTTCTTGCTGCGCCGAAAGCGCCAGGCACCAGTTGACAGCGAGCGCAAAGGATCGGCTGAATTGGCTAGCTATCATCCTGTTGAGCTGCCGACCGAGGTGCATGAGCCGCAGGAGTTGTCGGGGATACAGAACCAGCAGTATGAGCTGCTTGGCGACACGAGGAGAGCGACGTAGAGTTACTAGTACATAGTCTATATCATGCCTTGTCTTATCCCCGCATCGATTGTCTTGTCAGCTGCCACTCTACGGATCCAGAACCAAGAAACATGCTTAAACCTGCCAATAACCGCCTTCACCCGCGAATAAAATCCACCAATGTCTCGTCTCGATTATGTCACTGACCCATGAACCCACTCACATTCCAAGGTTTTCCAAGATAACCTTAACCTCTCGCTCCACTTTTCAAGGCACAATTGCTCCGGGATGAATGCACATTCGATCATTGACGTAATTAATGTTCCAGGAACGCGATCAAACAAACTCGAAAGCACGCGACATGTCAAACTTCGACTCTGCAAGCACAACATCACTCACTGTAGAGAAGAGCCAACAAACATGTCTAGCAGTGTTGTCAGCACCTTTGTCGGTGCCATTCAGGCGTCGGCGTCTGTTCTCTTGACCATCTTTTATGGTGTTGTCGCTGGACAGACAAAGCTTCTTAGTGTTGAGACGGGACGGCAGATCTCCAAGATCTGCATCAAGATGTTTCTTCCTGCGCTTCTGATTGTCAATCTTGGTTCACAGATTGAAGCCTCCAATGCGCTTCAATACATTCTCATCCTCGGTAAGTCAACAATCTCTCTCCCAAGGCCTCAAGGCTAATGTATGTTTCGTAGGCTGGGCACTCGTCTACAACCTCGTCTCGATCGGAATTGGTTACGCCCTCACCAAGGTCCTCAGTCTCCCGAAGTGGTTCACGCCCGCAATCACCTTCAACAATACCACGTCTTATCCTCTCCTTTTGATCCAATCCCTCGGTTCGGCTGGTGTTCTCTCCACCCTAGCAAAGTCCGATGATGATACCAGCGACGCAATCATTGACCGAGCCAAGTCCTTCTTCCTCGTCTGCTCCGTCATCTCCAACATGCTCACCTTTGGTCTCGGCGGAACCCTTCTTGGAGTCAGCGATGAAGATCCCGTCGATGCTATGGATGCCGATCTGAGGGACCGAGCGGGACATAATGATACCCCAGATGAGAGCGGCTCAGACCAAGAGAACGGAGAGTCCAACGAACGAACATCTCTCCTTCCTGGACCGCTCCCACGATACGCGAAGAAGGCGTCTCGTGGTACAGCGCAAGCTCAACACGCCGTATGGGACAAACTACATCCTCGCATTCAGCACGCGCTGGCCCTCACGACTCAGTTCATCAGCCCGCCATCTGTCGGAGCCACCATCGGTGTCGTTCTCGCTTTTGCGCCTCCTCTCAAGAAGGCTTTCTTTGCTGACAGCGAGGATGGTGGTATCTTCAACGCCTGGTTGACTGTCAGTCTCAAGAACATTGGAGAACTCTTCGTCACCCTGCAGGTCATTGTCGTTGGCATCAAGCTCGCTCACAGTCTTCGTCGTATGCGTCAAGGTCATGACTCGGGTAGCATTCATTGGCTTCCTTTGTCTATTGTTGTGCTGATCCGCTTCTTTGTCTGGCCAGTGTAAGATCCTCCTCGGAACCCCATCCGTGCACTCACTACTGACACTGGCAATTAGACTCAGCATTTTGTTCATCCGAATGCTCGCCACACAGACCGACGTCCTAGGCCAGGACCGTGTCCTTTGGTTCACCATGATGCTCATGCCCGCTGGTCCACCAGCCATGAAGCTTGTGGCCATGGCGGAGGTTGATGATGCAGACGAGGATGACAAAATGTCCATCGCTCGAGTTCTAATGGTATGGCACTCCTTGATCAACTATTTATAAGCTACTAATACTTTTTGCAGACTTGCTATGCTATTTCTCCCTTGTTGTCTCTCGCAGTGGTCGCCAGTCTGAAAGCCTGTACTTGATCCGCGGCATCGTGTCAACAGCATGCTGAGGAACAGGAACAGCTGTCACAGCTTACCAGAGTTCTCGCCGGAATTACATCACCGATCCCACTACTTCATACTTGATGATCCCGCGAGCTCTGATACTGCCACATGCTGTGGGATCTTGGCACCCTTGCATGGAATCATCATCCACTGTGCACTTACCCCTTGCTCTTCACTCGCCAGACATGGAAGCAAAATCATTAGGTGTCATTCTCGTTTCTTAATCATTATTATAGACCACGGTCTTGCGCAGAATGACAGAACAGCACTAGATCATGGAAGATCAAGAATACAGAAGATCATTCTCCATCATCTCTCACCGTGACGACTCCCTTCCCCTTCACCAGAATATTTTCGTGACTTCATTGGCTTCGCAAGCCAGCCCAGGCCAAAAGGGTAACAGCTGTAGCCACATTGCCAGCTACCTTGTTCGTCCCACTGCCGATCTTCCAAAGTAGTATCGCAATGCCAGCCTTGTACAAGCCCATCAACCCCAATAGCGTCGTTACTCCATTCCTGTTCTCGTTCATCTGGTGTGCCAACAGGAGAATACCAACCGACACCTCCCAAGTGCCCAGCATGTAAATCGGTGCCAAGCTTGGGTCATCCTTCGAAGTGGTGGTATGCTTCAGTCCATTGAGTGCATATTCGGCCTGCGGGTTCGTAAAGGCCATTATGCTTCTGGTGATACAAGATAGGCCAAGTGCGTAGATTGCTAGTTCGCAGAAGCCCATTGCCGGAGATATCAAGCCGCACCTATAGTACTTTCAGTGATAGACGTTGCAGAAATGGTGTGGCAGTTAAGGAGCTCTATGATGAGGAGATTGTGTGGGAGGGAGGATCTTAGTGGAGATGGGCTGACGTGAGATATCTTGTCCTAGGACCCACGTAAGGGAAGCCTTGTCTGAGTAGTAAAAACACTCAGGGGGACTTAGTCTATCTTATTAGGCTTCCGAATCGGTTTATTCCGGCAGTGCCATTCAATGTCAGAAGTTTCCAGTTCCCTGGGGTCACTCTTGGACCGGCACAAGAGCACAATAAGATCATTCATGTATTGAGGCCACCATTTGGACTTTAGTCTTTCATTCAGATATTCAACGTCTATCATAACAGCACTCGAGCCAGTTTGGCAAAGACTGAATCTTCTTTAAGTGACAGTGTAGCCTCCATCAACTCGAAGATCCGATCCAGTCATGTACGAAGAAGCATCAGACAAGAGGAAGGTCACAGGTCCCATCAAGTCTTTCGGCTGGCCCATTCGCCCCTGGGGGATCAAAGACGTCCAGGTCTTTTCAAGATCCGGGTTATCATTCAAAATCTTCTGTGTTCTGCTACCTGTCAGTCAAAAGCTCAATGATGGATCTAGAGACAACTCACAAAGCAGTCAACATGTAGCCGGGAGAGATACAGTTGACACGAATCCCAGCATGAGCCCACTCAACTGCCAACGAAGCAGCGAGATGACGGACTGCTGCCTTGGCAGCGTTATACGGCCTAATCAACGCCATCAGAAACTACTACTCTGGGTTCCTTGGGGTGACTTACGCTTGCGGTTGAGGAACATTGACGATGGCCCCAGACATGCTGCCTATAACAACAATACTTCCAGGCGCCTCACGTTCCATGAGATGCTTGGCAACAGCAACAGCGAACAGATAAGTTCCGTCGACATTGACGCCCCATAGCTTGCGCATACGTTCAATAGGGTAGTGGATCGCATCGAAATTCTCAGTGAAGCCGGCTGATGTAACTAGGCCATCGATTTTGTGATGGATGTTGAGAATCTCGGCAATGCATTTGTTTACTGAGTCTTGGTCTGCAACATCCGCGTAGTGAGCTGTGACTCGTGGAATTCTGATCATCTGTCAGAATGAGAATCAGAGAAAGGGCCCATATACTAACTTCTGGCTGTTGGGATTCTCCCTTTTGAAGGCATCGGTCAACTGCCCAACTTGAGACTGCGCTTCATCCTCTGCAACCTGTCAGTATTTCCTCGGATCATTCGGAATAGTTACATACTGTTCAAGTCAACAATCGCCAGATCAGCACCCGAGTAAACGATTCCCTGCCCCATAACTAACCCCAACCCTCTAGCACCGCCTGTGATAACAATCGTCTTCCCCTCGAGTGACAACGACGCCAACGTGGGCTTGGAGAACTGTCCGCCCTGGCCGATCAACGGCTTACTAGCAGGAAGTTCATGATGTTCTGGGTACTCGACGCGAACAGCAGCATCGGTACGAGAGTAAGATCGCTTTGGTGGAGCTCCAGGAGGCATATTGAAGATGTAACTAAGTCAATTGATGGATAGACATGACTATAGAAGGGCCTAAATGAAGGGACAGAGGTTCAGTTTTATTCACCCCTCAATATCTGGTGATCCTTTCCGAATCCCGATCACGGCACCAAGAAAACATGACATTCTTCTGCTGATCCAAGACCCTCGATATTGGTGAGCTGCGAGGGGGGACGCGTTTAGTGTGTCTCAGCTGATTGGCAAAGATTTCCTGTTTGAGTAGCGGTCAAATCCATCACTTGCCTTGAAAGAAAAGTATGTATCGAGACAGCTTCAGAGTAATATTTCATCCCCCGCGTGACGGTTGACCGATCCGGGTATGCCGAGTGTTTGATACGAGCGCGCGTGGGCGTCCACGTGAACCCCCACGTTTCCAGGTCCCGTTACCCTGGATCAGATCATGTTAAAGTGTCTGACAACGAGTTCTACGGCCATTGTTGGTTGATTTCGACTAGGAAACAATGGTCATCTGCTTTCTAGAGTTTTATTTGTGGAGATGGTGTTATTCTGAGTTTGGGATGAGGCGAAACGGAAATGCAGCCCTGCTTTGCCGGCCGCATCAACGCAATGAACCCGGGGAAGCAGACCAACTTTTGTCAATTTGTATCCGTAAGTCAGTTAAAGATCAACACCTAATTGAGGCTCAAGTTCTACGTAAACCACAGTATATCTCATAAGTATACAACAACATAACCGCATTGTTTACAGCACCACAGCCCTCTCCGCCTCCCTCTTCACCTCTGCACTAAACCCTTCAAAGTTTCTCTTGGCACTTCTCCCTATAATCCAGCCCGGCTTCCAAAGAAAAACAACGAGGCCGTGCCAATTCTCTTTCTGCGTAAACGTCGTCCCCCCAGGAGTCTTTGTGCTCGCCCTCCAGCTGAACTCATGACGACCTGTAACAAGCGGCCATAAACCGCCTTCCCACTCGAATACATCAGTGTCATTTCTCTGAGACTTGTTAGACATGTAATACAGGGAATCTGGATGGAATCACTGACGATAGGAGTGGCTGTGAGTTTGGCGTCTTTGACATCGACCTTCATCTTCTCCATCGGCATCAAGTCATCGATCTTTTTGGATGAGACTACTGGTTCGATGGACCAGCTGCTCCATTCTGGTAAACGAGGAAAGTCCTTGAAATATATGCTGTTAGATACAGGTCAGAGCTATCAGGTACTGCCTTACAAGTGATTTGACGGTCTCAACGGGAGCATCGATCTCGACCTCGACAACCAAGGATGCTTTTTGGCCCATGATCGCGGTAGCTTGAAAGGGAATTAGCCTGCGAGTTTCATTCGTCTATTGCCATCTCACGATATACGTCAGAATGGTCATGGAGTATCTGTCATATATGCGTCTCTGGCAACGGAGTTGTCGGACTTTGCCACGGAGCAGAGTGTCAGCGGAGGTAAGAAATCGGATTCCGGGTAAGCTGACAGGAAGAAATGAGCAATTTCTGAAAATGCTAGAGCTCCTACCACCTGCGATCCTACGAAAGAATTGAACATTACTTGTGTATCACGAATTGCGATGTTCTCGTCTCGCAACAGAATGGAGGACTCGACCATGATGACTGGTCTATATGATGCGCGAGCCGTTGATGGGAAGGATTGCCATCGGAAAGATCTATGCATACTAAATGAGCCTGAAATCTTGATAGAACGTCAAGCTATGAAGATAGCATATGTCTCTTGTCATGTGCTGTGCGATGTACAATTAGTGGACAAGGAATCACGGCGCGGCAGTTGAACCAGCTGCGACTCCGGAGCCTGCGAAAGTATGTAGAGTTGTCGACCGCACCTCACAGCGAGTGTCATTGTTACGCGCATCTCACAACTGCTCCAGCGAACAAGATATTCGTGGTGCACTTTGGTTTATGTAGCAGGCAGCTTTTGTGTGGCTTCTCACTGTGTTCAGATTTGGAAGCTCAATCGGGATGCGGGGTCAGCGGCCGATGGCGGGGAGGTTCAAGATAGTTACTTCAAGGCGTGCGCGCTGTGGATGGAATGGATGAATGAAACCACCAATGAATCATCTTGATTGAGTTCCATTTGTTGTGTCGCTGCAGTGATCCACGTGGCTACCGAGATGCCGAGTTAAACAGAGAGGGGGAGGAAGCTTATCCACCAAAGTCTTACAAGGAAGCTGTGAGCTCAATGCTAGGTATTTGTATCTTCACATCGCTAACCCTTCACCAACAACATTGACCTCTGCTTAATCTACAACAGTCACAATGGCACCTACGGAACTCACCCCAGAGCTATCCGAGCTCTTCCAAAGCGTCGAAACCCGCTTCAAAGACACTCAGCTAGGCGACCAGCGCTGGTATCTCCTCGTCATCGCCTGTCTCTCCGCCAGTCCCGACCCCGAAGCCGCAGCAGGTCTTTACCAATACCTCACCTGCCAAGAAGCCTACCAGACCAGCGAGTCACGCCAGGCTCTCATACGACGCCTCCGCGAAGCCCTCGTCAAGACCACCATCCTCGTGGGCGTGTGCAAGCCCCTCGAAGCCATCCTGTCAATCATGAAGGTCGAGAAGCCCGAGGACCGAGACTTTAGCCAAACGCGCGACGGATGGCAAGCCGATCAAGCCAACCACGACCGCGGAATCGATTGGTTCAAGAAAGTGTACACTCGAAACGCGGGGGATACGATGGGATTGTTTGATGCGCACAAGGACTTTGCATGGGTCTCGGCGGAGATCACATATGGGTTGTTTCTATCGGATCGGCAGATCTTGGACGATACGGACACGCAGCTTGTGGTGCTGCCGGCGATCATGAGCCAGAATCTCCCGCTGGAGACACATTGGCATATTCGGGGAACGCGACGAATTGGGGTGTCGAAGGAGGATGTTCAGATCATCTGGGACAGTGTCAAGGAAGTGTCAAAGTTCTTTGGGGCCGAATTGCACAAAGTGCCGACGGTGGACGAGGTTGAGCCTGATGTGTAGACTTGAACAGACACCGACGCCATGTAATAGACCAATCATGGACCAATACATCTTATTGCGAAAGGAACAAGGCCGAGCGTGTCCGTAGTCGTATTGACGTTGGCGTAATCCGTCTGTTAAGGAGGCATCGCGACAAATATACTGACAGGCAAACTTGGGGGCGACGGCGATCCAATAGTTCGCGCCGGATCTACCAAAGGCATGAGAGTCTCGACAGACCAAGGCCAACATGTAGTGTATTATCCATAATAGCGGGCTATAATGACGCGGCTCGTCTCGAGAGGAAGAGGTACGTGACTGAATAGAGCTTGGAAGCCTGTCGGGAGGGTCGAGAGCGGGACGGGAGAGTTAGACAGCGCGAAGTGGGCGGCCACCATAAGTCTAAGATGGCAGGATGGTAAGCTGGAGTACGGAGTAACAGTCGGACAGATTAGGCCCAAGGTGCACAGCATCTGACCATAGCCATGTGGAAAGTCGAGCAAGATAGCCTTCGCGACGGACCAAGACGCGAGTGACAGCTGGAGCAAAGGCCAGCGTTGGCGTGGGAGTCAAGAAGGACAGAGGCAGACTGCCCGCTGCCAGCTCACTCAACATTGGCCTTGCATCAGTGCACTGCGCCTCGAAATATCTGAGCACCGCTGCTTGTCAAACATAGGACAGAGAAGGCATCAAATGCACTAGCAAATGTTGTGCAACGCCAAGCTGCCGACCTTGCTGTCTTTCCGACAAAGGTGTCCACTTTTGCGAAAGGTACATTCAAGCTTGTCGCTCTCAATGTACCTTTCTCCCGTGCCTCTCCAGCCATTCAATTTTGGTTGCTCGCGTCGCGAGACAGCAAACGCGTTAGTGGGGTGTTGGCGTACTTCGTGTGCAGCACGCGCGGATGGGTACGCGTTGAGTAGAGTGGGAAAACTGGGGCCGAGAAAGACGTGTCTCGTGTTCTGCGTGTTTGCCTGGCTCACTCATTTGAGGTGAGACGGCGACTCAGAACAGGGGAGGATAGAGATGACGATGGTGGCTGCGAGAAGTTATGAATTACCCGTTTTGTGCAGAATGTGCTTATGCCATTTTATTGACTTGTGCAAGCTTGCTGGAATCTGGGCAAAATGACGTTGGAACTACCCCTCCCTCACTCATCCAGTTCGGCCGCGATATGGGAGCAGCTTACTATCGACCACAATCTTTCTTGTCCGATTTCAATGTAGCTCCAATATTACTGCGCAAGGCTTTGCATCTGCGCTTTTCTCTATGTCGCTGAAAATGAAGGGGTCGCCAATAAATACAATACAGCCCTTAGAGAGTCGCTCTCTCATCACTCCAGCACAGTGAAAGCTACATTTTCTACAGAATGGTTACAGGCTTCTTAGCTCATATCTCACCGTGCAACACACTGTCAACCTCGAGTGGCAGAGCAAGGGCTTTTCACGTACCCTGATCGATGGTTTCCCCATCTAGACTTAATACGGGAAAGGATCCTGCATCTCCGGATGTCGGCGGAACTGGGGTTTCTCACGGACGCGGCACGGCATAAAGTGGAGACCGGCTCCTCTGCCAGATGCTCCGAACCGTTTGGTCTCCACTATCAACGCCAACAACTTCACCTCCAAACGTTTGGTGATGGCGGCTAATGTCAATAACCGCGATCTAAACTTCATTTGACGAGCAATGTAGTGAGTGAGTCACAGCCGAAATATCGGTGAGAATCTTGGTCTTGCTTGTCAATTTAATGAAGACTGAGATCTGATGGAAAGAAGCGCTAGAACATGGCAACTCTGATACTAGATGGCATTGTGAATACGCTAGCCCAACAAGTCGGAAACCTGTCACATATAGTCCAGCTTGGGAGGGAACAGCCCCTGTGACTCATCTACGACAATAGCTATGGTGGCGCATACGCTTGCCAACACTGTCGCAGAAGAGGTCATAGCAAACCGCCGTGTGTCGGTGTTGGCTGACGCTTGCTAGAATACGTAGATGAGAGGTATTCTAGAACATTAGGCGTTAGATAGGAGATCATAGAGGTGCCCATACTAAGACCTAGTAGCTCGTGGCGCTGTTCATCAGTGCAGGCATGGCTACGATCACGAAGCGACAGAACTGCTTCCAAGATAGCATGAAAGCAGTAACAGTTCACCGCCCTTTTGCTCTCAGTGTCAGGGCAGACAAGTTGAGGACCTGCACTGCTCAAAAGTATCGTCGTACTAATCGCCCCGCGATATCGCGGCACAAGTAATCATCCATCTTCACAACATCGGCAAAAGGTTCAACAGATCGGGACTTTTCCATGACGCAGCAGCCCTATCCCCCACCCACCTCATCTCTACAGCAGCACAGACATGGGACAAGGGTGCTTCTTGCCAGTCGGTGAGGACAGTAGCATATCGCTAACGTTGATTCCCGTCATATTTCCAACGCCACGCCGTATAGTGGATACCCACCAAACGGTTATTTTCCGACATATCACTATACCAAACAGTCAAATTGACAACAGGACATGTGATTCTCAAGGTGATGGAAGAACCAAGCGAAGTTAAAAAGAACGGTCGATTCCATTCCTGATTCCTTTGAGGTTCTTCTTTTCAATTCCTATCACCAGTACCATAACCTCGCTTAAGTAACTTTCCTTCTTCACCTTGCATTTACCAGCTCGCTTCATTCACGTCATATCCCTCAGCTTTTCTACCTTCTCAAATCATGTCTGAGACCAACAACATTCGACCATACATAATGCCTGCCCTTCGAGACACCCCTTCATCGCAGCTTACTTTGCAGCGTCGACCACTCCCCTCGTCGGCGCCTAAGCGCACTGCAGCTCACCTGGATGAGGTAAGACATACATCGTGACAAACACTATACAATGTAGCTGACTGATGTAGGAGACAACCCAGGAAAGCCCCAGCACCCCACCCAAGAGAGCTGCCCGCAGAATTTCGTGTGGAAAGAAATCGGACACAAAATCTAGGGTCAAGCGGGGCGGCGATGGGAAGAACACGTCGCCAAGCCCATCAACCTCGTCGCCGGTCACTCCTACAGAGTATCTGGTAGCGACGCATGTTGCGATCATCCCCGGACATGGCTACATCTGCTATGCGGAGGAAGGCCCTCCGGTTTTTGTGCCCGGCACAATGATGCACATGCACCAGACTCCAGTTGCGCATGCCTGCCCCTGCCATCAGCTGCAGGCAGCGAGCATTGCTCAAATGCAAGGCATACATATTCCCTCTATCGGGGCTCCTGCACTCGGACATGTTGGAGGGCTCGGTAAGTTCGCCATACATGGCTTTATGTTCCGAAACTAACATCGTCATTTATAGGTTGGAACGAAAATGCCTGGGGCTATATGCCAGGGCTTGACTTGGGGGATCTCGCCCAGATGCAAGGAAACCCGAACTTCAACCACAATGGTTGAAGATGTTCATTAATTTGGGACAAGTTGGCAGATGACAATCTGGGAAAGTGATAAATGGTGTAAAAGCGACATCGGTTTCTGTTTCGGCATTTTATAGACATATTTTCTTTATTTTCTTAGACTACATGCTACTTTGGGTAATAGACTTCGGATCACTGGCACTGTGAGTCTCCATCAGCCACCAATCACTGCACCCATGACTGTACAAAGGGCGATGGATTTATAAAGTATCACAGATCTCAGTAGAATTTATATTCCAACTGTCGATGGTCCTGCAAGTCCCTTAAGTACACCCATCTAGATTCCCATTTCCTTCATCTGATCCTCAATCCTGCCTGTCCCACCCTCTTGTTCAGTTCTGGCCAAATTCTCATCAACGAGAACACCACAATACATGCCGAAGATATCCTTAGATCCTCGATAAGGATCAAGCTTGTTGATAGCCAACTGAATACAATATAACTGTTTCTCCAAGACTGTTGTCACCTCCCCCAATGGCTGCAACAAATTCCGCTCGTTCTCATGGCCAGAGTAGAAACGATGTTCCATGTCAAATAAAAAGTACATGACACTTCTCAGGTCGCCTAGAAGTTCATCAATCTCATTCTGTGATGGATATCTGTGGGCAAGCGGCCTGGAGGTTTCAAGAACAACGTTGGTAAGGTCAAGGTAGCAGTTCAGAATTCGCGACTGAGCTTGGTGGACTTTCTGTACCTTGCCTAGAGTGTCGATTGCTGCGTCTCTGAATACACCTTTTTTTATCTTGCAAAGCAATTCCACAAACGTACTGTATGAGATGCTGACGAGTGGCATAACTCCTGGGGCGTTGGTAGCCATGTTGGCGATGAGTTTCAGAATACCAGTAGTGTTTGAGACTAGAGAGATGGTGGGCTTAAGCCTTAGCAAGGGAAATCTAGTGGTTAGGTACAGCTTTGGGATGTAGCAGGGCTTTATATCTGTGGGAAACAATTGCACATTCCTCCTCATGTCCTGAAAACGGACCTGAACGTTACACAATGCAGAGCTGGGGCTTGAACAAAAGCTTACCGAGACCAAACGCTTGCCTAGGACCGAGATTGAACAATATCATCTTTTGGGTGTTTGGCGAAACATTGTAACAAAGAGCCTTTGCACTGTGCATTGTACACCGGGCTATAGTACAACTGATACGGCTTCCAACGAGTATGCAAAAAGCTTGAGCACACTGGAAGAGGAATTTCATGAATCTGAACAAGGCTCATTCGCAAACACGATTACCGACGAGCTTCATATCCAGGAGGCCCGGAGTCTCGAAGCATTGTCGAAGCTCCTTTGTAGCATTTTCGGAAACTTGTAATTAAATAGAACAATATCATAACTGCTATTTTGAGCGAGCAGGCCGGAGCTATCAGCTAATGATTTTCTGGGTTCCAAGGTTTTCCAACGATACCAAGTTTTTTGATTCAACCATAAGGCACGGCAGTTCATAGTCGACCATCTTGAGAATTCCACAGCAATGATGTGAGACATAGTATTCTTAAGTCACAGTACTTTACATCGAACGCATTTACGGGTAAGCACATAATCTTTCACCACATGAGCAACAAAATAAGGTTGGCACATTCAGTCAAAGAGTGATAACAAGCATCGGTAAGTTCCTAATTAAATGATCTCGTGGTCCTACTAACACGAGGGATGCCCAAGCCTTCCGTCAACCAAATAGCTCGACTGCAGGTATTTGTCAATATAATTCCGATATACTTACCGCATCTCAGCCTTACCCGGATATAAATCGGTCCTAGTATTCTTGAGTTCATCGACTCTCCAGTTTGTTCTCCATCCTATGATGTGAAGTTGCTTCGTACTGATGAATACGGTGTACCAATGGGTTGTCGCGAACAACACCGTGAATGCTGCTACAAGCGATCAGGTTCGTGTCCATAGACGGCAAAAAGCATGTCCCCCACTTCAAACCTGACTTCAGTAGCCGGCTTGGCCACAGCCATTAGCATTCGCTGTTGGTCTGGGCCACCCACCTGTTCATCCATCCCAGTCATGTAATCGGTGAGTGTCTCGAGGTGGTCAACCAGTTCGCTGACTTCTTCCTCAGAAGCTGTGCGAGAAGCTGCTCGCACAACTTTTATCTTTTCAGACATTAAGGCGATGAGCGTCATGGCCTGGTCCGACAGGTCTTTGAAAGTAGTGGTCATGGTGCTAGACATGGTTAGAATTCTGATTGGTTTGTTGAAGTGTTGTGTAGGTTGCTACAAGATCGCAACACGTTGCGATTGAGAATTGAAGTGATAGTGGAGATTCATTATCGGGATTGATGAGCCACAGCAGCTTCATTTATAATTCTTCTGCTGCTATCATGCGTAGATGATCAAATACTGAGATCAGTTTCAGAAGCTCTTTATTCATCCCAGAAGCTCTTTATTCATCCTGAGTTCGTCAAGACTAATCCTGCTGTGTCATCAGAACAGATAGTTACGCCCTTGGATGCAAGTATTTCGAGTTATTGATCAAGGAGAACATCCATGCAACCAAGAGAGTCACAAATGAACAGCGCCAAATTCAAACGAATTATGAATTCCCATATGGTTAAGACATTTTCCTACAGCGGTCACAAAGGCTGAGATACATAGTCATCATAACCACATGGAATATTAAGACAATAACCTAGGACTATCCACTTATCAGTATCTTTCCAGGTTTAAAGGCATTCTGCAGGGCTGTTAAACTTACTAATTAAGATACAAGAGAGGGACAATTCGCAGCTAGCTTCAATGGAAACATTCTATTATATAGTAATAATACTCAAAATTAATATCAAATTTACAGTAAACTTCACGTTTATTGATCAGTTTGAGTGGTTACTATGCTCAACACCATCGAGTCTCAGAAGCTATTTAAGAAAATATAGCCGGACCTGAAAGTAACTCAATATATAGGCCCCTAACTATACTCCGATTTGAGTCTGTCCTTTTATATTTTGTTAATCCGTTCTTCACAGAGATTATGGTGGGCGGGCCTTTTGATACTGTGACAAAGTCGATCGGGACTGAGTCGCCTGATGTCAATCTCTATGCAATCCACCGCAATCATAACCTCACTTGCCTCTTGGCACACAGCTTGCAGGTCACGCTTCTGGTCTACATAGTGATCGTCTACGCATCGCCGCGCCAGTTCCGTGGCTTGGAAAACAAGGCAGAGAATATCACGGAGCTTGTCAATTTCCGTTTCCGTAGGTGTTCGTGGAGGCCCTTATCGAAAATCATCCCGAATGTCACGAATCTTCCTCAATCTTCCCTCGGCCAGGCAGACGCAGGTGTTAAAAGCATAGGGTCTACCTATATGCACTGTAGAAGATGTCTTGCTCATCTTTGTAGACAACAGTACAACGTGGGATTCGTGGTGATGTGTTGTATGAGCTCTAAGGTGATAGCGAAGATTCAATGTTTAAAACTGTGAAGATATTGCATAGCATAACTTGTAATAATATACTGCGATTAAAGGAATATATACATTATGACATAGCCATGCTACCCTTATTTGTCCCGAGCTCTCCAACAGAACATAGAACCATACCTTGAACATGCGTAGTACTAGTCCCAAGCTTTGTTCGACCTCTTTTTATATTAATAAGGCTTATACCCCGCAACCATGAAGAGTAACCAGTAGTATTAATCGATAGTTAAAGCTTACGACGCTTCAACGAGACATAGCAGCCAATAAACTGAAGAAACCCAATTACCTTCAGCTTCTGGAAGACAATATGCGCATAGCCTCGACAAAGATAAGTTTCCTAATTAAAAAGGGAAATAATGTGCTTTTATGATAACTTGATTAATACCCTTATTTGTAGATCTTGCTGACGTGGCTACTAGCAAAGTCATACGTGGCTGCATGTAGAAACACAGTTGAAACCACATGAAGTTCCCACGAAGAGGGGCACCCAGCAACATGATGTGTAATTTTGAGCACGGGAGCTTTGATGGAAGCCCATAGAAGGAATAGCGTCATCGCTTCAAGGTATTGGCAGCTGTAACTTTGTTCCGGGGAAGTCTTGGGTTAAAAGCCCGTATCAGGAAAGAAAATAAGAAGAGTCTTATTTCTTTTAGCTGGAGAGCTACTCTGGCTAGCAAGTCATTCCATGGTTAAAAAAGAGAATCTCGAATGACCATTTCAACTAACTTGCTGCGGTTGTAAAGTCTAATGGTCGCCCACTCTCGCAAGCATGTTCGATTGATGCTGTTGATTAGCACCTCAATGCTCAGAAGTCTATGCTCTCTTATCTTAAGATACCCACATACGGATTTCCCAGTGTGGCAAAGGATATTCAGAAGAGAGGAATTAAATACGTTAAGTTGTTTGCGGAACGTACGAGACGGCCAAATTCAGGATCATGTTAGTGCACGATAAGATGGGAAAGGTCCTTTCACGAGACCGGACGATACTGTTGTGCCGACGCTCCGGGCTTCAGCAAACTTGAACCTCCACCCACCAGTTGCTCTCACGCAACAACCATACCCTAGCATGAGTAGTACTTGTCCTTCATAACAAAGGAACGGGAGTTGATAGAAAGTAACCCTGTAAGTAGCCCTGGCGTAGCATCACTTACTAGGATTTGTCGATCACTTGTATCGAGACTAGCCGACTTGAGTGGGCAAAGAGATGTAAGCGAAGTTTGGCCGATGTGTCAAAAGCAAGGAAGACCTTACATTCAGCATGCAGATCATGTCTGTAGTACAGGCCTGGGTAGCTCAAAATTAGTGAGGCAGGCACTGATAATAAGCCTGGGACTAGACCAGGACGCCAGCGAGGCAGGTTTCTCCTTTATCTCCAACACTCTGAAGCAGCATCTTGCTGATAAAACCATTCATCAGTTATTCATGTTCGCTTGTGGCAGAGTCTTTATGCAGTCAGAATGCAGCGGAGGGTTTTGAGAAGGTTAGCCAAGATCATCAAAGCGCCGATCCCTGTCTAATTCGGAATCTGGTTAAATAAACGAGACCCTAGCCCTAACTTGTTTGAGTAACTCGCACAGGCTGGGTGATGATTGGTTATAGAGTCACCGAATGTGGATACAGTAGGATGAACGCTCTGAAACTCCTCCACCGAAAGTGAACAGTTCACTCGCAACGCATCCCCCTCGTGTCATCTCGGGCATTTGGCTCGCCTTCCCCATACCGTCACGCCACACTCTTTCGGTCCCGACAGGGTAAATGCGTACGTGAGTGATGGAGCAGACGATAGCTCTCAAGCCTAAACCTAAGGCCTCTGCCTCTGCCTCTGCCTCTGCCTCTGCCTCTGCCTCATCTTCTTCTAGTGGTGGCGGTGTGCAACCCCCTCGCGGCGGCGACCCGTCAGCATCTCAGATGGTCTCGGTCCCGGCCAACAACAAGCCACGGGTGAGCAGAAAGCACAAAGTGCCGCTAGGGCAGATCCGTTTCATGTCGTCGGTGGCTTACTTACATGCTTTATCTTTTGGCCGCCGTTAGATCCCGAATGCCAATGTGGCTGTCCTTGACATTGCAGATCGCTCGGGCCAAAATGCCGCTAATAAGAAGCCAAAGACCAAGTCTTTCAAGACACGTACTGGTTGTAAAGAGTGCAAGTTCGTGCAGACAGACAAAACGGACGTCTAAGCATAAAATTGTTGCTAATACATATCCTGCAGACGCCGCAAAGTGAAATGTGACGAGGGCAAACCAATCTGTAACCGGTGCAAGGCCGTCGGTCTAACATGTCATTTCCCGCTGAGCCAATCCGTCAGCTTCAACACCACAGCTACAGCTACAGCTACAGCCGTGACAGCAGCAGCAGCAGCACCCCAGCCCGACACACGCATCCTAGCCAAGCCAAACTACATCCTCTCGCTCTTCAAAGACCAGACGCAATATGACATGTTCTCCACTTTTCTCTGGTCCAACGAGCAGGGCACCACCCTCCCTCACAACACCTTGGCTACCATCACGCCTCAGCTGGCCCATGACGATGCCGCTGTCCGTGAGACGTGCTGTGCCCTAGGCGGTGCCGTCAACGCCTTCACGCAGCCCACCATTGACTCTGCAGCTGCTGATAAGGCGCACCAGCTGTCTCTCCAGTACTATACACGTACTGTGCGTGCTGTAACGACTGCTACCTCTACACTCCGTGCGCTACGTAGTGTTACTCACGTGGCTCTTGTTTTCCTCACCTACGATATCCTTCGTGGGGATATGCACGCTGCTGTTCTGCACCACGATCACGCCGCTCGTCTTTTTGAAGCTTATCTCAGTAAACGAAGTGCCCAGGAAGGTGTATCTTTATCAGATTTAGTGTTTGATGATTATGAAAATGCCCTGTTTGACATGATACAGCGATTGAGTACCTACCCGTGGGCCCTGAGACTGGGTATCACCGGGGACACGGATGAGTTCCTAGCCGCGAAGCGATGTCTGGGGAGACATAGGTACTCCATAGACAAAATGCCCTCTTCATTTCATGATTTGGATCAAGCTTTGAGATGGTGGGATGTCGCGCAGCACCACCTAGCTCACCATCTCTTTGACGACGATAAAGAGACGACCAAAGCGACGTGGGAGAGAGCTTTCTCGGTCCTTTCAAGCTGGCACAACGGTTTCGTGCTGCTATACCGCTACACGCAGCAGCGCAAAAATGAGGAGCCGCACAGTTACGTGACAGCCAGTGTCTTTGAAGCACTGTACCTGGAGTGTTTGTCAAGTCTCCACCTACAGCTCAACACGGATGCAAAGGTGTTACCCGACGCAAAGCCTGTGTACCGCGAGATCATCGCCACGACGCACCGTATCCTCGGCGAGCTAAAAGGGCCGCAAGCAAACTTCCGCTTCATGGACAACAACGTGATGAAGCCGTTGTTTGTTGTTCTCTTCAAGTGCAGCGATCCTGAGATCAGAGATGGTGTCAAACAAGTGCTGCAGCATGGTGTTGCCAAGTTTGGAAGTGCATGCCTTGCTGGGATTGTATTGGGCATGATGCACATGAAGAGCGAGCACGTTCCGCAGATATTGAGGAACGTTGAGAGAGCGGTTGGATGGCATTTGACATCTGTTGGATGCGGACCTGGAGTGATTACGGCTAAAATTGCATAGATACTGATGAGAGCGTGATTTCATAGAATATACGACAGTCATGATAATGAGAACAAGCGCTTGGGTTGAATATCTGATGGTGTTGAGTACAGTGTAATTTCGGATCCGATCTTTAGTGCTGAGCGGACATGGGAGCGGTTTTCTTATCTTATCAGAGCCGTTATCTGAAGACTCTCCTCCATGTGAAAAAAGGTACATCGTGCTTACTGTGGGTCTCTCAGAGAGGTACTTCTCTCCTGGAGAGAGAGCGGAGACAATTAGTGCAAGCCATGCCACTGCATAAGTGGAGAGTCGCACAACTCAGTCTTTGTGCGCGATTTCTTGATTTTGTGTGCTTGCTCAACTTTGTGCATTTGTGCAGACAGAGACGAAACAACATTGCATTATTCACAACCAACACAAAACATAAAACAACATTTGCCTGTATATAGGATAATAAAAGAGTGTAATTCGCTGTGATATCTATAATATAACTTTTCCCTACTCAACTCCAGACAAAGTCTTCTTCGCAAACCCAATCCTCGTCTTCTCCGCATCAAACACTACAAAAGCCGCCTTCAACGCGATATCACCAAAGATATTGATATCGCCCGCACTCGACTGCAATCCACCGTAACATGTCCCAACCTCTCTCTTCCTCCTCTCCTTCTCCCCCGGGACAGGCCCCTCGACTGGTGCGAAATTCATGTAAGAACCCGGGACCGTGATACCCGTCTCCCCCACGTAGAACGTAAAGTCGGGCATTTTCGTGTCGCACGGGAAAACGTAGCCTGCCGCTGTTGCGTCGATTTTGGCACCGTCGATCTGAGAATAGTACGCCTTGTTGACTGCTTCAGGGAGGAACATGAGCGATGTCCCGGTGTCGGCGATGGCGGTGATGGGCGTCTTGGTGACATTGCTCTTCCCAACGGCATATCCCGTTGATGTGAATGTCCACATTCCCGTCGATGAATCAACAGTCGTATACGTAATATCCCCCTCATACGCCGTCTCGTTGATGACGCCAAAAGTATATGTACCTGGTGCATCATGTTTCAAATCTGCGGTAAAGACCCCAGTGCTATGCTCTGTTTTCGCATTGTCGAAGAATGTCTTTTGTTTCTTCGGTGTAACCGTGTTGATAGAGCTGAAGCCCAGTCCTAAAAGGCCGTCCAAGTCTTGCTGCTGCGCAAAAGACTCATGTACTTTGTCAGCGACTTGTACCGCCTGAGCCTCCACTGGCAGGCCGCCGATGGAGACCGTATCTTTCACAACATGGCCCGAAGCGCCACTTCCATCACCGTACTCGATTGTCCACTTTGCACCGGCCATCTCCTCGCAAGACTTCGATTCGGTGGCATTGTATCGGTTGCTGCTACCGCCTGCAGTGGCTACTTTTGAACCATATACCCAAAGATCCGATGATCCTGTATCGAGATCCATCTGGAATGTCCTTGGAGGATTTCCGATTTGAACTGGCGTCAACCACTCGGCATTATTCTCGATAGGTTTATTGGTGGCGGTGCCGGTACTATCTCGACGAGCAAGTACTAAACTTTCGAGGTGTTCCGGAAGATCGAGGTGATATTTTCGATATATCTTGGCGAGAGCTGCAATTCCGTTTCGTTTATATACTGAATTTCGGACTTGTTGAACAGAATGTTCACTCGGCGATGTAACAGTCGGAAGGCCAGCGACCAGTGTGAAAGATGCGAGCCCGCTCGTGAGTACTGAAGAGAACTTCATTATAAAAGAGAGTAGATACAACGAAAAAGAAGAGACAGTAAAGTGAACGTGCCGTACAGAAGGAATGGCTACAGCGAAGAGTACATCAGAAACAAAGAACGGTTCGATCTGGGGAAGAATAAAAACTCATATACTCCCGCAGTCCCAACAGCTCGGAACTCGACTCGGGATGAAACTGCAAAACTTGGCTTTTTGTTAGTCTCACAGAACGCGTCAACCGGCACAAGGCCCCACGAAACGGACGAGTTTTGGAACGATCATATTGGATACCGGGTTGGAGCGTGGGGCGATCAACGGCAGGAGAGAATGTCTGTGGCGTTTAACGTAAGTGGGCTGGCTATGAATCGTGTTGTGGGTTGGTTGTTTGTACGTCAGCATGAGGGTGGAGGTTGACACGCGGCTGTTCAGGGCGAAGTGTTTCATGAGGTGATACACGGGAGCTTCCGCCAAAATAGCCACAACAAGTATTATTTCGGGATGGTATTTGAAGGGAATCACCAAGACTTTGGGATATAGCTTTTGGATATTGGCGCGGGAAATGAATGAGTAGATCGAATGCAACGGTGAAAGACGTTGATCTACGATGGGATCCAGCGGGATCCTCCCTGTAAAAATGTTTCAACTCCACCGAAAACGCTTTTGACGTGCCCTGCGTTAGCGGACTGGTTAGTCAGTCAGTTAGTGCGTGGACTGGAGAGCCGATCTACGACAATCGCCACATCCCGACCTGGAGCGAGCCAGGGTTACGAAGTCAATCACAAGGGCTGGTCCAAATATTCCGAGGAGAACAGGGAGGTTAAAACCTGCTCATGATGCTTCCCACTGAGTCTTCTTGCTCTTCACAACACGACGTAACAGTTCCTCATACAATAAAGTTGCGATGATTTTCGATTACTTAGCTGTTTAGTACGTCACAATCGTGGCTACCTGAGACATTACCAAATCATGATTGGTGAAAGAAATTTCACGTGAGGGCTCTTAAAACCCCGCCCTTTCTTCATCATGAACGTGCTATACTCTCTACAGCCCTTGGTTGCATTGGCAAACCTACCAACTCTCTGTCGAACATGCCTCGCAGTCTGTTGCCAGGCCCGGCCCCAGAAAATATCCATGTTCTAAGCCAGAATCCACCCCTGGTCCCCAACCTAGGAAGACGCCGTAAGGCCATCACTTTAGCCTGCGAACCATGCCGGCAGCGCAAGTCCCGAGTGCGCAGTTTCATGTTGTCCTAGTGTGCGAAGCAATGAGTTAACAAGGTTTTCTTCTAGTGTGACGGCGCCAAGCCTAGGTGCTTACAGTGCAAGAGGCGAAGGACAGAGTGCCACTACCGTCCTACCCTTGAAGAGCAGGGAGCGTACCAAGAACTATTCCGTATTCTAGCGACAAAGTCAATGCATGAAGGTACTGATATCTTGAGAAGAATTCAGAGCGGCCATGATGTGGAGTCGATACTTGACCACATTCAGCGTGCAGATCTTCTAAAACAGGCACATGTAGTGCCGGATCACTATTACCAGTATGAGTTTCCTTACCGCAAAGAAATGCCTAACTTCTTGATCCAAGAAGGGAATCAGTACCTTGATTCATGGCTGTATAAGTACTCATTGGGTGAGGCGAGGATACAAGATGGTGACAATCCACTAACAGAGCATCCTATAATTTACGAGGCTCCATATCATGCAGCCGAGATGGTCGATCCTCTTCTAGACGAAGTCGACGCACAGAAATGGACGTGCATCATCGATGATAACAAGTTATTACGGAAGCTACTAGAGACGTATTTCATGACCGAATACACTTTCTATCCAGCCTTCCAAAAGAACTATTTTCTGGAGGATATGGCATCAGGTCGAGGCAAATACTGCTCCTCTCTTCTAGTCCATGCAGTCCTTGCATCTGCTTGCGTGGGTAAGACCCCGTAGTTTATCAAAACATCTAATCTAAATCATGTCTTCAGCACGGCTACTCCAAGATGAGTCATCGCTCTCAGTTCTGGAATCCACGGACTCTTGGATATCAATTCCTTGCAGAGGCACGCCGACTATGGGAGATGGAGATTGGCAATGCTCGACTTACGACCATCCAGGCTGCGATTGTCCTATCGATTGTGCATGATGCCAATGGCAGTGACGAGGTGGGGAGATCTTATCTGACCCAGGCCGTTGCGGCTGCGCATGCAATACACCTGTTTTCCACGCCGACCACGAATAGCGATGATGCTGAGCATAATGCAAGAGCTTTCACAGCATGGGCGCTATTCGGACTACAGGCGTAAGTCCCGCTCCCTCGCCTCATGGCAAAGCTGACAGACGATAGCGTCCACAGCTTCCACGTGTTCAAAGCACCACTACTATCCATGCCCCCTTGCATACAACTACCTACACTAGACGACTACTATGGCGACTTCGGGCTTCGTTATCCATCGGCGAAAGGACCTGCATCGGTCAACTATGCCCATACCTTTCGGACATTCTCTGAGTTCCGACTTATAATGAATGACGTCGCTGCTGTATTTTTCTCGGGTTTCGAGAATACTCCGGAAACTACTGTGGATAGGATCAAAGGTTTCTGTATTCGTCTTGACAGCTGGTATCGAAATCTTCCACCAGGTCTCAAAGCAACAGAAATTTCCTTTTCATGGCAGCTCAAGCTTCAGTAAGTTTGCCTAGCCATTCGTTCCTTGGACTATGCTAATTTTCTTCAGTATGCATTACTACAACCTGACTGTATATCTACTAGAAACACTACGCATGACAACTGCACCCGCACTAGTAGACGACAGCGTCAACAAGGTTTTGAGCGACGCCAAGATAAAAATGGAAACGTTGCTACGCTTATACTATCAACGGCACGGATTCGAGTCTTATGACATATTCATCATAATTCTGCTGGTCTTTATAGGTTTCATGCATGCTAAAACCTTGGAGAGTTCTGAGACGATAGATTTAGAAAGCCGAAGATCGTCGGTCGTCCTTGTTGTCAAAGGTCTTGGAGATCAAAGCATCAACTGCTATCTGGCCAAAGTAGTTTTCCGCCTACTGAAAGGTAGTATTGGAAGCGAGAATGACTCTCTGCTTAGAGAGGTGGGCGTTGTGGAGGAAGGGGGGGAGGAAGAGAAAGCAATGGAGCAGCAGGTGAATTCATCCTGGCCCATTGACCTGGAGTGGATTGAGGTTGATCCGGAGAAAAATAGATTAGACAATGTCATCAGGAAGACAAAACAGCTAGAATTCTGAAGATCCATTTCTAATAAAACCATCTTATGCTCAAAGATCAGTCAAGTTGGTGTCGAGGACCCAGAGGTGCATTCAACAGCAGATCTATAAGACTTCTGCTGGAGACATGCGACCAAGCTCTTGGAGGCTATGACATGGAAATATCTGTGACCTCATTAGTACATGCATTACGGTCTTGGCCATATCCCGGGATCTAATTCAGTCAGTGTCAGCTTTGCCAGATGTCTTCAATTGCCGACGTCAGATCATCCCTCCTCCTATCCAATGGCTTCAGGGCATCGTCCGCATAAGACAGTCGTGGTGAGCATCCGAATCAAAAATAAACGTCTGTCCGCTCACCTATCTCTAAAAGACGGATCAGACATCAAAGCCGAAACTCTATCGGAACAAATCCCATCTTAACCTTATAAAACCCGTCAATATCTACAGGGCACCACGAGCTGCCTTTCCAAGTAATTCACCCTAGCCTAAGGGAGGCTCGGTTCACCACCCGGACCCTCACCATCTCCACAACAAAGGGGTCAAAGCATTAGCACGGCGTTTTAAGATGGTAATTACAATCGCTACTATTGGCTCATCTCCGGACCTGCATCTTTCGTCCGAGTCGCGCGGCGATTTTGCACCAATCTCACGACTCCAAAGCCACGGCTTCGTCCTGTTTCTGCAAGTCGTCCGTGAGCCTCGGCATTGACCGCGATAAATTGGAGGGCTCAAATAGAATGTGAAAGATGATCGTCGCTCAGGGGAAGACGTTGATAAAATGTCGTCAGGAGACTGTCCTTGCTTGTCATTTTGGTTCTGTATCCTTTGAGCTTTGTTGCAAGAAATCACGATGCTTTTTAACGTTGCCTTCTTTTGCTCTGCGGCTCTGGCTGTTAGCGCCAGCAATGAATGGCGAGCACCTACAGCGTCTGATCGTAAGTTGCATCGTGTCGGCAATCATGAATTTTAGCTAACAGTTGCAGGCCGAAGCCCTTGTCCCATGGTGAATGCTGTCGCCAATCACGGATATCTCCCTCGCGACGGCCTCCATATCTCGCTTGAAGATCTCATCGTCGCCTTCACCGACGCCATCAACCTCGACCCAGCTGCGACAACCCTCGTCGGCCAGAAGGCCCTTACCACTGGAAACAATGGTACCTTCAACCTCGACGACTTGAACAAGCATGGAGGTGCGTACCCTCCATAGATCACGACCACGCCACAAGCTAATTAAACTAGTCATTGAGCACGATGGCAGTCTGAGCCGCGCCGACATCTTCTTCGGCGATAACCACAGCTTCAACGAGACCATCTGGGAATCAACAGCCTCTCACTTCACCGAGGAAACCATCTCCATCGCGACCGCCGCTAAGGCTCGCAAGGAGCGCCTCAAGGCCGCTGAAGCTGCCAACCCCGAGTTCTCGCTGCCCGCCGATCTTCAGCAGTTCAGCTTCATTGAGACTGCGCTTTACCTGTCTGTCTTTGGAAACTTGAACGATGGAAATGCCAAGACTGAGTGGGTTAAGACATTGTTCCGTAAGTAAACCTGTTGAGCAGATCGTATGTAATAATGCTGACGTTGTGCAGAGGAGGAACGCTTGCCTTTTGAGGAGGGATTCGAGAGATCTGACGACGTGATCACTGCTGCTGGTATCCTTGGTCTTGTTGCCAAGGTCGCTGTTGCTAGCATCTAAAACGATGCAGCATGGTTAGATATTGATAGCAAATCACTGAGTATGTCAGCTACCTCTGGCGTGTCCCTTTCCTTTGTATTGTCGTGGCCAAAGAATGGCCTGCATTTAGCTTATGACAAGATTTTTGATGAGAAGATACTCGATTTAATGATAATCTCATGTTATTGTCACACAGCGACTCCTTGTTCAATCAGAGTGACCAGAAAACGCCATGACGCTCAGCTATGCAGCTGACGAGTTGCATTTTCATGTAAGCCCTAGCAAACCTCGCAGATTAGATCGACACACGAGGTGGTAGAAATGTTGAAATCTGTTCTCACCAAAATCCGTACGTCAATCAAAAAACCCTTTCCCTTATTTTTCTGTGAGAAAAGCTCGCTCAAGTGCACATCGCAATGCCCTCAATCACAGCCGTAACGATCTTCATCTTCGGCCTCAGCGCCTTCAATCACGGCGTCAGCAATCTCATCTCCCCTCGCAAAGCTCTCGCCGCAAAGCAACTCCAAGACTCAGCCCTCCCCGCACTCAACGGCTTTTCAGTCGCCATCATCGGAATCGGCATTTACTACATGCTGGCTGCATATCAAGAGAACCGCGGCTTTTTTGCTCTCACCCTGGCACGATTTATTTCAGCCAGGATCTTTTGGCTGCAGGGACCTGCTTGGAGAGTAATTGCCACTTGGGAGGCATTTTCAGCTGCACTTACGGCCGTGGCTCTTACTTATGAGGGATACCATGGGAGGTATGAATAATAGCCGAATAAAACAGATGCGTCCTGAGTATGGACAGTTTGAGTTCGAACTCACGGAATTTGGGTTTAGGACCGAAGGAAAGTTTAGCCTCTGAAAGGTTTCACGGAGCCAAACAGGTCCAAGTACGCACAAATCTCAATGAATAAGCCTTGAAAAGTTAATTTGTTCGCCGTGTGACTCTACCTAACTCGCAAGTATATAAGGGCTGCTTCCTACAGGAAGAATATGCCAACCTGTTCACACAGACAAGAGGCACTGCTTACAGTCCCTGGCGAAAGTTTAATACACTCGACAGTCTGATTTTACCCTGCCCGAGACTAAAGCAAGTTTCAAGCATGCACTTGCAAGATATTCCCTTAGAACTACGCCAGGCTATATTCGAGCTTGTGCTCAGAGCTCCTGTGACACCATTAACTCCCTCAGAGAGCCAACATGGCCGAGCTCAGCTTCGTTACTGTCTTCGAGATGTGCGATGGGGATGGAGACCTAGAGGTGTTTGGCAACTGGCGCCCATGAACAAATCGCTTAGCTTGCTTCTGGTCAGCAAACAGTTCTACGCCGAGGTTCAGGATATTTTCAGGCGTCTTCCAAACAGCTATCACGTCGACATCATGTTCGTAAAGAACTATGGGTTCTGGCCCACATGGGATATCATAAAGCGACCAACATCACGATACATCGACAAGATAACATCGACGATCCGCATCTTCGAGCCGACCGACGATCTTGACGATCGCTTCAAAGACAGCCTGAGCTTCAGAGGTGGCGACGGAGGACCCGAGAGCGCCGCTTGGGCCCTTCACGAACTGCTCGTAAGCTTGATTCAACATGGACCTGGATACGTCGGTCACCCGAATAACCAGGGCTTCGTTATCAACGAAATCGAGGTGAATATCGTCTCTCCAACAGACGGCGCAGCTCACACAAGACTCGCATGCAGAGACAATGAAAACCCGCGGTGGCTTCGCTTGTGTGGCATCGAATATGGAAACGAGCCGGTACCCGAGAAACGACTCGCAAACTACATGACTGGTTTTTTGGACATTGTGTTCAGGGCTGACTCTGATGTCAGGCCATACGGTCAAGAATTGTACGAACACATCTTAGAAAGTATAACCTTTCAGCTCAACGGACAGGAGTGGGAGAAGAGGCGAATAGACGAGTATCTAGAGAATTGCCATCCCTTGACATGGCCGCAAGACTATAGAAATGGTTGGTGTCGCAAGACTTTGAGGACAAGGCAATGGTTGAGGATGATTCATAGGAGGCCAGAGAAGGTGAGGAAAGGTCTGGAGGTGCATGATAAGCAACCAAAATAAGCTTCATCTTTGGTGGGGGATTGAGAATTGAACTGTTCCGAATCTGATAACTGTTATCGGTGGGTGATATGCGAATAGACACCTGGCAATATAGACATGCTCAACACAGACAACAACAAGTCCTATTCGGGTCAAATCTTGCAAATATAGGGCGTACAGAGCCTTGTCCAAGATGTAATTATGTTCAATATGCTTTTAATTGACGTTCCATTGTGGAGATCTTTACCCGATCAGTTTCGGACTTAACGGTTAAGGGAGTCCTCATCAAAGTAACGGCATGACGTATTCGACCCGATATTTATACATATAAACAGACAGAAGACTACCATCTGACAACAGTTTCAGCAAGAAACATCTCAACCTCACAAAATGGCATCTTCAGGTCTTGCAATTATCATCGGAGCTGGTCCGACAAGCGGCCGTGGCATTGCTCGGGTTCTCGCTGATAAAGACGGCGGCAACCTCGCCGTCGCCCTCTTGGCCCGCAACGCCGACAACCTCAACAATCTACGCGACTCACTCCGCAAAGAAACCAACGGCGTTCTCCACTCTTTCCCTACAGACACTCAGCCGGAGAACCTACGTAAAGCGTTCAGAGACATCGCTAATCATCCCGACTTCAAGGATCTCAAGCTCAAGCTGGCAATCTATCACGTCAAGCACGCCAGCAAGAAGCCGTTCCTCGAAGAAACGCCCGAGGAGTTCAATGAAAGCATGCAGGTGTATATAACCGGTGCAGTAGTCTTTGCCCAAGAAGCTCTCAAGCTCATGTACGAGCAAAACGGCGGCCAGACCCTTCTTGCCGATACAAACGGTGCCAAGAAGGGCACTATTATCTTCACTGGCACCCTGGGTGCTATGCGTACAAATACTGGCTACGCCGCGTACGGAGCGACTCGCGCCTCTGCTCGAATGGTTGCGCAGGCTGTTGCGAAGGAGCATAGCAAGTTTGGCGTCCAGTGCGTGCATGCCATCGCGAATGGAAGGATCACGGATGAGGATACTGAAGAAACGAGGACGGGAAAGCACATGAGGGCTGAGGATGTTGGACAGACGTATCTGTGGCTTTCGCAGCAGCCTAGTTCGCTCTGGGTCCATGAGTTGGACTTGAGGCCGGCGCAGGAGTCGTTCTAAAATATCCAAGTTACTGAGATGTGTCTGAATGATAACAATCTGTGTCAGTACAGGCATTGATATGACGATACGTTGTTCGCCAATTCGTGAATTGAGGTTTTGTGAAAAGCAGCTATCAGTTGAGACGTCTAGCAATGCTCCAAGACAAAGCGTCGTGAGTAGTCATATATATCATGACAAGAAGACCCGATAGGGAAGCTTTCTCCGAAGGGGTTGTATGAGAATATAGCCATATACTTCGCATCCTGAAGGCTTGATTACATTCTTGAACCTGTTTTGATCCATGAGGCGGTCTTCATGAACAACCTCCAGTTCTGAATAGCACTAATACATCTCCAATCCACCACTAGCAGACAACGCCTGCCCCGTAATCCATCGACTCTCCTCCGAAGCCAGCCAAGCAACAATCTGCGCAACATCATCAACCTCACCCAACCGATTTCCTGCTGCTGTCTGCTTCTTCTGCATCTCAATGATCTCTTTCGGAATATTGTCCAATAAATCACTTTGAACAGGTCCAGGATTGACCGCATTGACCGTATGGCCCTCCTCGCCCAACTCAGCTGCCCATGAGCGCGTAAGCCCTTCGAGTGCAGCTTTGGAAGCACAGTACAGAGAGAGGTTCTTGAAACCGCAGCGGGCGCCCACTGATGAAATGTTGATAATGCGGCCACCGCCGGACGTGGGGAGAAAGGGTTTTACTGCTTGGAGGAGGAGGATAGGAGCGCGGACATTGAGGTAGAAGATCGAGTCAAAATCGGATGTTGTGATCTCGGCATGAGATTTGACGACTTCCATGCCTGCGTTATTGACAAGAATATCGATTTGAGGACCGAATGCAGCGACTGCTTGACGGACGATCTCAGCGGGAGATGACTCGTCCTTGAGATCTGCTTTGACACCAATGCACTCTGATGGTGGGTCGAGTGATGCGATTCTGTCGGACAACTCCTTCACTAGCTTTTCACTGCTTGGAGAAGTGTATGTAGCGACGACCTGTCATGCTCAGCAATGCTCTTTGACGAGATTCGGTATATTTCTCACCTTCGCACCTCTTTTTGCAAACTCGTAAGCAAAGCCAGCTCCAAGGCCCCGAGAAGCGCCTGTGACAATAGCGACCTTGCCCTTGAGGGTTTGGAAATTTTGTTGGCTCTTCATGGCTCTGAATTGAATGAGATTTTAACGAGAAATTAACTAGTCAGCAATTGCAACTCCATTTCGAGGCTCATTTATACGTGTTTGACTGGAGTCTTGGTGCTTGCTGAACGCCGATGGCAACGGGGAAGTGATGCAAGTGGGCTTCGGCGATAACTTCAGTGTCAACCATGATTGGCCGGTTCGTAGGGGCGACATTCATTTCGGCGTTAAGACAAATAACAATCAATGTGCTTTTGCTATAGCCGATGGGTATATCAGCTGACATTCAAAGGATCTTATTTGCCTACGTCTCAGTAATATTTCAATGCAAATCAGAAGAATGGAAGAGGGACGACGAGCATATTGATGCAGAGTATACATTGGCACTCCCCACCGTCGAACCTCATATAACAGCTTTTCAATACTCAATGTTCAACCATTTAGAGAGACAGTTAGATAGTGACAGCCAGAGAATACCTGCTGGTTTTAGAGATCAATTTTCACAGAATCCGAGTAGGGTCAGGCTTCTACTGGGAACATGTGAACTTTCAGCCCAAACGATTGAGGCGGAGAACGATTTTGACTCACTATAGCCACACGATGGCCTTAATATTAGTCCAGCTATGGGATCCGAAGTAATCCAGTTACCAATTTTACCCCCCTCAAACGCCCCGTATACCTGCCTCTCCTTTATCGCTTGTAGATCTTGAGCTCAAAGTATCGCAAGACAGGGAAGATAATGATAGCAAATCCGCAACCAAGCCACATTCCCAAATCCGCATTGGAAGCAGCTTTGGAAACGGGACCGATGTACCAAACCTGGGACATACCGACAATAGCACCAACCCAACCGATGATGAAGCTTGCGAGAGCAGCAAGACCAACGGGAAGATAGTTCTTATGCTCCCAGGCAGCCCAGTCAAATCCCTGGCGACCTCGGAAGAACCAATGCTCCTCCATGACGATACAGATCATGAGCATGACCCAGTATCCCATCAGACTGACAAAGTTCTGGAAGACGACAAACAAGCTTTCACGACCAGCCATAGCGAGGACGAGGGTGATGACAGACATGACAGTTGACCAAGCCCATCGTGGAACGGCCTTGGTATAGCGGCCAAGGACCTGGCATCCAAGAGAGGCAGAGTACAAAGATGGAGTGCTGTTGGCAATGACACCAAGGGCGATGACAACAGAGCAGAATTTACCAAAGCCACGAAGAGGACTATAAGCCTCGACGATGAGAGCACCAGTGCTAATGGCATTGGCATCAGACCAAGCCTTGTTATCGACAATGCCAGTAGCAAGACCAATAGCAATGAGGTACACAAGGGTGAATGACACTGTCAGTCCAGTGACAGTGAGCAAGAAGACCTTGAGACGGGAAGTGCGCTCCGGGTAGTAGACATAGAAGTCAGAAGCAGCAGCAGCCCAGGAATTGGGGACGTAGAAGCAGAGGGAGAAGAACGACAACCGACTGGCAGCGAGGACACTGCCAGACACAGTAGGCTTAGCGGCGGCATTGAAATTGGGCCCAGCGACGCCGATAAGAACAGCAAGGACGACGACCTGAGCGATCCAAGCGTATCTGTGCCGCGTCAGTACGTGTGCATGCATAATAGATGGCGGGAGACGTACCGTTCATAAGTATGGAAGATCCTCATGCCAAAGACGGCGACGATCCATGAGACGATAGCGACCACAATGACGCCAACCAAGATGGTCATGGTGCCGCCACTGACGGCTGATAAAACCTGTCCACCGATGATGCAATCAATGGTGGCATATCCGACCATGAGAACGATGTTGAGGAATGTCGGAAGCTTAGATGGCCAGTAGCCCATGAAGAATCGCAGAACAACCTGGTGTAGCACATGTCAGTCAACACCATCACCGATGAAACAGTTACACTCACCATGGTACGATTGCCACTCTGAGGTCCCCAAGTCGCCATGTACGCAGTCGAACAAGCACCCAGAATTGTTCCAAAGACAGCAAGCAACGCACTATCAAGAAAGCCCAACCCAAACACCATAGGTCCAAACAGACCTGTCGCCAGGTTGTTCAGCGACAGATTGGCACTGAACCATAGCACCGCGACCTGCAAGTCAGCAGCACTAGAAGGTTCTTGACGCTCCTCTGGAAGAACACGCTCGATGCCTCGGGCCTCAAGCCCAGCGAGGCCTTCGATGCGATTATTCAGCTTCTGGAAGGAGGAGAGGGAGATGCTAGGGGGGTTAGAGCTTTCATCGCCCGTAGGTGATGAGCTCACGGTCGCTGACTTCTCATGAGTGGCTTCCGTCGTGTGTGTTGGGAGAGACATTATGAGGTCAATGGCCGCAATGTGGAAATTAAACAGGAGGGAAGAAAAAAGAAATGTATGTATGCACGGCACACACAGAGTCCGTGTGGTATAGAGGTTGCGTTGCAGGAGTTGAAAAAGGAAATGCAAACAGAGTTTGTTTTTGTCTTGCAGATACTGAACCCTTGTAAGCTGTCTCGGTTGCAGTGAACGGATGCGAGTGGGAGGCGGAATGTTACCGACCTCTCATTGACGGTAAAAAGCTCATGCATGCATGGTATGTAGCTTGACTGGTCCATGGTATTGGAGTTTATTGTGGCTTGAAGCTGATAACCAGGGTTCCTAGGCCTAGGTCCGCTAGTCCATGCAGTTAATTTAGCAATGAAACCATCCCCCGTGTGCGCTAACAGGAATGGGTTTAGAGGGGAGGTAAGGATCGGTTGGAGCGGAACCGTGATGGCTACGCCGCGGAGCGGGAGGGAAGGGAGGGGAGGGGAAGGGGTCTTGAATCTCCATTACGGGCACTAAACGATATGCCGGTTTTATTCTTGGCGATCAATCACTTGGCCGTGAGGGAATAAACATGTTCATAACAAAAGTAAAGTCATTGGAAATATTCATGCTAGTCTAAGTAATACACAATTGGTGAAATGGTCTATGTCTGCTTCGAGCTAACCTCCACGCTCGTAACCACTGTAATCTGCCCACTGCGAGCCCTCTCATGCTGCTGCGTCCCACTACTAATCTTCGCTTCAGCGCGGTACGGCCGCTGCAGCAGATCCGGTCCATGCTGGTCCACCAGCTCAATCTGGCTCCCCTGTTCGGGCGAAACGTCAGTACGTACGACACCATCCTCGTCCTCCAACTTAGACCAGATTGAAGGTTTGCCTGACAGCGGGTGAAGGCCTTGAGTCCTCCGTCGCGCTGAACCTTCGGGGTATGAACCGTTGCGGTAGGGAGTGTTGGGGTATGAGGAGGGGTCCGTGGAATCGCCTTTGGAGCCGAGGGCGAGACGCAGAACGGGCCAGCAGAGAGGCAGGTTTCCGACCCAGAGGGCGACGCCGCCTTCTGCGACGTACCAGTAGAGAAAGACGTACGAGTTGGGGTTGCTGAAGTTGTAGTAACGATTGAGGACAGCGGCGAGGATCTGCACAATTAGCGCATGTCAAGAGGGGTTGGAGAAGAAGCTTACGTTGAACAAACCCAGTCCAAAAACACAGCACAAACCAATCTTTCGCTTCTTGGGGAGACTGATGTTGATGACAATTGGGATCGGTAATAGGATCAACATGATGTCGCTGGCAATGTTGCAAGCGGTCGCAAAGATCATATGGTTGTAATAAGTCGCACATTGCACTGTCGTCATTAGCTCAATCCCTTGCCAGCTCTCAATCGCAGACTCACTCTTCTTGGGATTCACAGGAACAGACCAATACTCTGGCGTAGGAGAACACCAAAAGAACACAAACATAAAGGTAACGACGATGTACGTCACCGCGCAAAACGCAGAGACGAATCGCACCGCCCATTTCTGTCTTATCGATGTGCCCTGCGTCAATCTTGCGTACAAAAACAACAGACACGCTTTGATGGTCCATGTACAAGTGAGGGCGAATATCTCGAGGACAAAGGTCATTTTACTGCCGATAATGGCTTGTTGTCGTCCCTGGGGGGTGAGCTTCGCGGCGACATCGGCGGGCATGTAATTGCTGCCATTCTTGGCGACTTCGTTGATCGAGACGACGACTCCTGTAAAGTTGATCTACGGCCCGAGTATTAGTAACGGCGCCTTGGTGGGTTTGACGGGTGAAACGAACGAGGGCAAAGACCATGAGATAATCTTCAATGGCGAGACGACTCCATTTTCTAAGTTTCATGCGTCGTGATATCCTGCAGGAACCAACATGTCAGTGAAAAAACGCCTCAAAAGCCACGCATTGTGATGGATGGATGGCTGGCTGGCTTACAGTCGACACACAACGACAAAGAGACCCAACACCCAGAGAACCCAAGACTCAACCAACAGCTTGTGCAGAAAATCCATAGCGAAAAATAAAATGAAGGAATGAATGAGTGACGAACGCCGCAGTTGGCTGCTCCGGAAAGATGAACCTAAATGTCCTCCCAAGATTCATATCACCCCTGAATCCTGTCCTGTCCTGTCAAACGATAAACTTTTATCGCCGGCACGGTAAAATGGCACGACGAGCATGGTGGTGAACCCAAAATTACAGGAATAATCTCAGCTTGACACAAGGAGGGCAGGGGGGCAGAATGCAGTCTGCATGGCTAGTCGTTTCCCCTGCATTTTTCCTGTTTTTTCTTCTATGCACTCATACTGGGATCAAGACGTTGGCTACAGAGTTGCGCTTAAATCAGCACGTCAGAAAAGCATGGGTTTGGAAGTCGGGTACTGGAGACGATCGAAGTGATAGGCAGTAGTTGATCGGAATAACGTGTCGATTGACAGTGACGATCTTGATCTCGGCCTGTACAGATTCCACCAACAGCCTCAAAAGCCACGAACAAAGACCAACAACCCGTTAATCACGCCTCCGTTTCGTCGTGTACAGTAGTTCCGTACGGATAGCTCTCCCACTACCCGTTAATCCCAAGCTAGACGCGGCAGATAAAGAAAAAAACGACCACCGGAAGTGGCTTGCACCTAATACTCAAAACACCCAATATTGCAAAGGAACGAACCGCTTGATAAGGTAAGTATGGTCCGAGACAATCGGCTCCCACAAACGGCGCGGAAAGAAAAGAAACAGAGACAGTCGAAACTCTCTGTCTTAGCAGATCCAATTACCGTCCAAATCCTCCAGGATCCGGCGCCCGGCCCGCCTCCGACCCCTGCGCGGGCCGTGGGGTGTGATCCCGGCTGGGCGAAAGCTTAGAGTTTTCTTGTCATACGATGGTGGGCAAGCTAAAAGCTAATCTGCCCCGTTTTCACTAACGTAGCGGAGATCTAGAAGGGGACCATTCTGGAATTGGGGGGATGTTTAATGCTTGGGCGCGCGGCAGTTGAGTTGGTGATGGATACCTGTTACGTTGGGGGTTCAAAGTATGTCGGATTGCGTGATTCTTTGGGTTAGTACTTCGCAGCTAGTAAATCGAAGGATACTCTTCTAATTAATATTGCTCGTGTAATCATCGTGGCTCGTGGATTGGATCCTGGTGTTTTCTTACAGGAGCCAATCATTTACGTATCCAAAGAGGAAGCTAGTTAACACCAGCAGAATATTCCATCGGGAGACTCGTAGCTGCAGATAACGCCTCATGAACCTGGTAGGGAAATTTCACGCGGATAAAAAGAAAAGCAGCCAGGATCCTCGGTTACGTCGGATCTCGTTCTACAGAATCGTCGCTTGGCGCTGTTATCTCTTTACCCCGTACTGTAGTCCCAAGAAATCAGCGCATTCCCCCAAACCAAACCACTCGCTCTCACTGTAAGGGTGCTATTGGCTCGTCTAGTAGCGGGGGTTGTCTCCGCGCTTTTTTCCGAAATCTTCAGCAATCTTCCCGCTCTCACAAGAGGCGTTATAACTGTCTCACTTGCTTGGTAGCACCGCACGCACGCACGCACGCACGCACGCACGATTCTACACTAAAAAAGATAACCACCCAAAATTAATCATCAACCATGCCCGTCAACCCCTCTCTACGCACTGTTGACCAGTTCACGCAGCTCGTCTTTGACTTTGTCGTCATAGGCGGCGGCACAGCTGGACTAGCGGTGGCAGCGCGTCTCGCTGAATCCGACCCGTCTTACACCGTCGGTGTTATCGAAGCAGGCGGTCTTGTACAGAATGATCCTGATATTGACATCCCCGGCCACTATGGCAGGAATCTTGGAGGGAGCTACGATTGGCACTTGGAGACGCTGCCTCAGGAGGGTCTCGGGGGGAGAACGCTTCCGTGGCCGAGGGGCAAGTGTGTCGGTGGCACAAGCGCCCTGAACTACATGGCATGGAATCGCGCTAGCAGGGATGATTATGATGCCTGGGAAGCTTTGGGCAATCAAGGTTGGGGCTGGGATTCTCTCCTGTGAGTTTATGCTTGTTTTATTGGATGACACCCTGAAGCTGATTCGTTTTCGTTATGTAAAGGCCCTTCTTCAAACGCTCTGAGACATTCCATCCTCCTAGTGAGAAGCTCCAGCGCGAGTTTGAGATCGCCCATGATGCAGAGACCTTTGGTGATTCAGGTCCCATTCACATCTCATATCCAACCTCGTATTCACCATCGCACGGGCTATGGCACAAGACGCTTAATGCGCTTGGTGTAGAGACTAACCCATCCCACGTCGGAGGCTCAAACGTCGGCGTTTGGACATGCGTCAACGCCGTTGAGCCGAGCGCCGCGCGAAGATCCTACTCAATAGACTACGCCACTGGATCGCGGAACCTGCACATCCTTACCAACGCCACAGTTGACGAGATTCTCATTAACCAAGCCCTCGTAGCCACTGGTGTGCGGTTCACCCACGGTGGCGTTGAGTACGCTGTTCCAGCTAGACGCGAGGTTATCCTCTCAGCCGGGAGTGTCAAGTCACCGCAGATCCTTGAACTTTCGGGCATAGGAAATCCCAGCGTACTAAGTAGTGCTGGTGTGAGTGTCAAGGTTGAGAGTCCGCAGGTGGGGGAGAATCTGCAGGAGCATATTAGTGAGTTGAGAAGGTTTTTGGGATCGGCGTTTTGAGCTAATTTGTGTTATCTAGTGCTTGCGACGATCTTTGAGGTTGATCCATCGCTCGCTAATCGGGATGATCTTGTGAGAGATGAGAAACTTGGTGCTGCTGCGAAAGAGGAGTATCTAACAAAGGCAGATGGGCCTTTGACTGTGTTGCCTGTGTCTCTTTGCTACGTTCCCTTCGCTCATTTCGTTCCGAAGAATACTCTTGCTAGTCTTCATGAAGATGCAGACAAAGTATCTGTGTTTGACTCTGACAAACAGGATATTCTGCGTGAACGTCTTGATGGTAACTCTACGCTTGGTCAGATAGAGTACATCTTTGATCTTGGGAACTGGAACCCTAACTTCGAGGGTGAAGAGGGTAAGAAGTACGGTACTATGTTACAGATCTTGCAGTATCCTTTCAGTGTTGGATCTATTCACATTCGACCAAGTGAGCACGCTACAGCCGAAGATGCACCAGCCATCGACCCAAAATACTATGAAGGTCCCCATGGAAACCTCGACATGGAAGCTATGAAGCAGTGTCTCCAATTTGTCGATAAGATCGTGCACACAGCTCCTCTCTCAAACATAATCCGCTCCTCGGCATCTCCTTCCGCAGCAGCTCTCAAGGATGATAAGCTCCTAGGAGACTGGATCACACAAAACACCATCACTGACTGGCATCCTGTCGGAACATGCGCCATGGGCGGTCGTGCTGGTATCGAAGGCGGCGTCGTTGATGAAAGGCTTCGAGTCTATGGCGTTCATGGCCTGAGAGTTGTTGACGCAAGTGTTATGCCGCTGCAGATCAGTGCGCACATTCAAGCTACTGTTTACGCTATTGCTGAGAAGGCGGCGCATATGATTGTTGAGGATGCGAGGAGTGCGGATAGAGAAGGAAGAGAGTTGGTGACGAAGCAGGCTAGGCTTTAGATGAGGCTGGTATGATAGATAAGCGGTATAGTAGTTTTGTGTGCTAGTATCTGGTATGATATTCGAATGAGGATGACTTCAGTCGTTGCGGAGCCATGCTCGCACGATGGCGCCGATGGCTTCAGGCTGGTCATAAGGGGACATATGACCAGCTTCATCAACAGCATAGAATCTCAACTGATCATTTCCTTTCCAGAAACCTCCTTCCTTGACATTCCATCCATCGGCATCAGACGTTAATTCGCCGTCCTTGTAGTACCAGCTTTCATAGCCAAGTTCTCGATAATTATCTTGTCCATTCCACCGCTGTCGGTTCAGCATACGCATTTGCCCAGGTGTATTACTACAAAGGTCAGCGATCAATTTAAGCAGAGACGTATTGGGAGTGCCTACATAATGATATCGTTGTTGCCGTTGATGAATAGAACTCGTATACTTGTCTCATCAAGAATCCACGTCAACTCTCTTGTAACGGGTATATGTATATTCTGCGCGATGTCCCAGCGCTCATTGGTATCAAAGTCGATGAGATAAAATGGAAAGCGGTCGAATCCAAGCCTTTCTTGGACCCAACGACGATTCAGGAACTTCCATTCCGGTCCATGGTCCATGTTCGAGCACAAAGGGGGCTTCTCACATGGATGTCGGTCTGTCCAAGTCAGTATACTTTCGGTCAATCTTGATGCGATTAAAGCGGGATACTCACTATCGTAAGGATCCCATCCGCCGGGCACGACGCCTTCCATGAAGTACTCCCCCAACGTCTGCTCACAAACCTCATTCGCCGCCTTGCAAGTCTCAATATCATAAAAGTACCGACACTGACTTCCGAGCTTCTGACACTCGGGTATCGCAGCAAACATATTCTCACAAGCCGTACGGTTCATCAATGGATATTTCCTTCCATCACCAGCCCAATTCTCACAAAAGAAGGTATAGTATCCGATGAACTGCTGCGTCGCGTCAATATATCCATCGACAATGATGGCAGATGAAATTTCGACCCTCGGGCTAACGCCGCGCTCCACATTCTCGCGTTCGTGAGAGACGATGTGTTTCGTGTAGCCGGTGACGTAGTGGCCGCCCATGGATTCGCCCGTGATGTGCCATGGCTTTCCAGCGAGGTTGGGGAATACGTCGTGGGAGAATGTGGAGAGGAAGGTGTGTACGTCTTTTGCGCCTTGTTCGAGACTGACGGCGATTTTGTTTCGGTCTGTGATTTTGGAGAAGCCGACGCCGACGGGTTGACTATCAAGTGTCAGTCAGAGTGCTGATGCTGATGTGATGACTTACTCAATGTAGACGACGTTGGCGCGGTCGATCCACGAGTATTCAGCGCGTCTTGTTGAGTTTCCATCCGGATTCACATTACAGGGACCGCTTCCCATAAACAATCCCATTTCTCCGGATGCGCCAGGTCCACTGATGACTGAGTTAGTTTGTTCTGGCCTGTCGTATCAACGGCGACTTACCCGCTCATCCATAGTAGTAAAGGGTCAGTCTCTGGATTATTACGGCTCTCAAAATACCCTAAAAACAGTCAGTATTCTGATAAAAGCTCAGAACTGGGCTGCGTACAGAAGAACATGGACTTATCCTCCGTCACGTTGACCGTGCCGGTGAATTGACGAGCGCCCGCATCGCAGAGATCAGAAGATTGTTCTCGGACGGTGAACGCTGGTTTAGTTACTGCTTCATCTGTTAACGGCTTCTGGTCTTGACCAGCGACATGGCTAATCGTCGCGAGGAGCGACACTGCAAATGGACCAAGCCACATGGCGAATTGGTGTTGAGATGAGTGAACTTTGATGGCGCTTGAGAGAATTACTAATGCTGACCCTGGCCAATCAATCTTTCTATGGCCGCCATGGTGGGGGGGTTGTAGATAAGGATAAGATAAGAACTGTTGACCGTGTCCTATCCTGGATGATGGTATGTTTATGTCCTGTGGCGCGATTTGAGCACCAGAATTGACACAAAGAAGGTGTCTTGAAGATGAACATACAGACTAACCTCTACTACGACATGTTTAATTGTGTTCTTCCTGGGGAATGAGTGGTTTGCAGGAGGGATATATGCACAAGGTCGTCTGGATCATATAACTAAGATAACCGATAACACCACTTTTGCTTTCCTGGCCAAGCATGGGCTTTGAAGTGTTCCGCCACTTGGCGTAGAACAGGCAACAACGTAAACTCCGTCGAATAAAGGAGATTGGTTATGATGTCACTAGAAAAGCGAAAGCGAGCATCTGACTTAGGTATACCAAGAGAAGTGATTGCTCGCAAGGCTAGATGCTTCTAGCGCGACGCGACGTAACGACAAGCGCGTTCCAGGCTGACCTTTAACTCACTCACCGGAAACTGAAGCTCACTCTAGAAGCTCACTCTTCTTCCAGCAAGCCGCTCTCGTATTTTCCATCAAAAATGAACTGGATAAAGTTATTATGAGGGAATAACACCGCGGTCATACCGCCGGCTTATTTCCTCAGAACTAACACAAAATCATCAAGTCTCTAGCCTGTTCGTCCCCTTGAGCTTTGTCTCTGAAATATGAGACAAGAGCGGCAGAGGTACAAACACATCGCTGGAAATAAGCGGTGAATGAAATCAAGATCCTGCCCGTCTCTTCTAGAACATCCCAACAACTTGGAACTCCCTTCCACCGTCCCCTATCTCAATTCCGACATATCAAACGCCACTTAGTGACTCAAATCCAGCCCATCCTCACACTCCGGAACCTCAATAATTTCCCGAGCGAATGATTGGTCACCACAGCTAGGGCCTGTCTCACAAGGTTACACTAAACGAAAATATCGAAATGACGACTACGATGTTTGCCCAATTTCCCGCATTCACCATTAACTACCGCCATTTTTCTCTCCAGGAAAAGTAATTCACTTTGCACTTCATCGCCATGAGCCGCTCGTTCATGTTGAGTAGTGATGTGATGTGAAAGTGACCGACACTGCCGCCAAACGCTTCTGACCGGGGTTAGTCACACTGCGGAAAGCGCCTTTGTTGACACCTCATCAGACAGGCAGAACTCTGCGCCTGCATCACACGTCTTTGTTCACTTCTGTCATTACTCACTTTCTATAGCGCCATTCTACGGCGTGAATGCCTTATACTAATATCCTCTTCCTGTTGCTTACTCTCCTATATCCCTCTCCCAACTCAACTCAACTTCTGTTTGGCAACACTGCCTTGAGTAGCAAACTTTTTGCTCCGTTTTTGCCTCAACTTTCATCGCGACATAGCGATCTCAATAGTAATGTCTAAAAAAGGTGAGATAATCTATCAGACGGATTTGTAATACGTTTTACTGACCTTCTCAGTCATCGAACCATATCTTTCTCTCATGGCCACGCCTGAGGAAGAATGTATGTTGACTCCACCTCAACGTGTCAACTTTCGCTCACAAATCAAAGTCGCAGAAGACTATGACGATTTGATTTTCATCGGCGCCTACGACATCCAAATAGAATCTCACATCGAGAACAAGAAAACAAGCGACGTCTCATTCCGGATAAAATTCAAGTTCGGCCCAACCGACACCTGGTCTCGTGGCTGGGCCGAAGAAATCGACCTTCACAAATACTACCAGGACATCGTCCTCAACTACTGGCGCAGCATCGGCGGGCGCTGCGAAGCTACTGGATTCAAGATGTACAAAATACTCAGAATCATAGCTGAGGAGAAGAACAAGTATCGCGTGCAGTGGGTTGGCTATGATGCGGAGGAGGATACAAATCTGGAGCCCAAGAAGAAGGTCTGGAGCATAGCGCCTAAAGCCGTTCTTGCGTGGAAGACTCGCGCGTTGGAATAGCTTGCACGGCGTTGGGCATGAAGAGGCAAAAAAAGTGTTTTTCTTTTTCAGATTGGTGGCGCCAGGATACACAGCGTTGGTTTTTTTTTGAGCGGGCGTCTGGTCATTTGTCATATTGGAGACATCATACCCATAGCGTGTTTTTTCCCTATTTGTTTTCACAGCCTCGCGCAAGCAAAGTTTAGTGGTATAATATAGATTATTGAGCTAAGAACTGGCGCCCTTGAATATTCAGGCCTAGATCTCAGTCATACTCCCTTGCTTTGCCTTTTCCTGCCGATTCTGTTCCCTTGCGATTTCCTTGAGCACATTTCCTTGCTCTCTTGCTATATCTGCTATCTCCTGCGACAGTTGGCGCATTGTCTCCGAATCTTCCTCAAACTGCTCTAAAGCCTTGCGATATTTCCCGACAATGTTGACTACATTTTGAACTGGTTGCCGATTACTTAGCCCGTTTCGCGCTTCGGCTACCAACGAGTGGAGTATGTCCACTGTAACTTTCTGTTTCGACTCAATAATCTTTCCCTTCGCATATTTATCCAAGAACAGTCTGTTAAGATTGCTAAGTCTTCCAAGTGATGCGAAAGTGGATCTGGTGGTTTGTGGCTGAGTTGGGTTGGCCGTGCGCCTTGCGGATCCTGATTGGCCCTGGTGGTGGCGGTTTGAAGGCATGCTTTGTTGATGTACTGAATAGCGTTGAAGAGGTTTGTGACTGACGATCTGTTGGAGAGTCTTTGTTATCGAGGCACTTGGGATGTTGGACCTGGTTGGGTCTTTTATCTATCCAACGGCCTGTAACCAGAACAGCTTTGAGAATCATGCATGCTGTCAGCACCGTGATGCACACCTTTACTCACCCTTGTCATATACCGTGTATCATGGTTCTCGTTGTCGCAAGCTAATCGCGAACATCAGCCTTCCAATAATATCACACAGGAAATCGGCAGGCGGTATGCTCGAAGAAGTATCACTGTTGACCATCTCTTTGTTGCCTTGACACAGGACTCAGAGCAACAAATCAGGCACCTTGCCCGAGCCCAAGTGATGGGAGGATATGTCAGTGCTTGCTGCTAGTTAACAGTGCAGTGACACTCGACAGAAGTCTCGGACACAGAAGTGATGGCTTGCACACGACGTCAAGCATCTCTGAGCAAGTGACGATAAAAAATGGGAATGTATAAACTAAGCGGAATAATTATTAGCAACGACGTTTCCCTGCTCCAGGAAGACTGCAGCAAAGCTTTGCGACTAATAGACATTGACTTGTAACTTTGTGTTGAACCAGCTATGATTTGCAGTCGAGGCCAGTGGCTGATGGTTGCCAATCACCACCTACTCCACAGAACCTACGTGTGATCATACTCAGATAGAGACTGTGCCAGTGACGAGCAATTCCCGGAGACTTCTTCACTGCGCTGGTCCTGAGTGACCATCATCCAGTCTGGGATGATCTCAACTCTTAAAGCCCATAAAAGACCCCAGCCATCCCATGTTTTCTGAGTCTGTCCTCAACCCAGTACAGATCCCAACAGACAACAACTGACAATCTCTTTTTTCACTGAAGAACTACACAGACCATGTTCTGGAGTCGCCGTCGAAAAGGATCCGATGCCCGGCGATCCACTGACAAGCCCCGATCCAGAAGGGCAAGATGGGAAATCCAAGAGCGCATCAATGTGCTGAACCAAAGACTGCACAGTGTCCGAGCGGAGATTGATGAGATATACCGCAGGCGAGACGAGAAAGAGAAGAGACTGAGAAGGGCGAAAGATGAAGTCAAGCGACTGAAAGCCAAGAGACGACCAAACCGGAGGGACATTGACGAAGCCAAAGAAACGTTGCGACGGAGGAAGCGTGATTTGAAGGACATTGAGGGTGCCTTAAAGCAAACGAAGCGCGAGAAGAAGTCTCTGACCAAGAAGAGGGATCGTCTCAGCCTTCGCGTTTAAATGGCCTTAGAAAAGGATGGAACATAATTGCTTAGTTCTTATCTTGCCATCTATCGTAACTTGGGTGAGATCCTGAAAGAACAATCTCTTCAATCTTGGAACCAATTTACTATTTTGCCAATGTTGCTTGCTCCTGTTCCGGAGAAATACGGCACGGATGAAACTGAACTGATGACTAGAACATGCCCTTTCCAGAACGTGCGGGATTCATTTGAAGTGATGGACAAGATATATCGGAGCAATAATGCTTGATTTAGATTCGCGGCTGAGCACAATGTTCAATAGCACAAAGACGCCAGATGCGAGTCGTATGATACGTTCTGGCGAACCTTTCATGTTCGGTCGGCGGGCGCGATGGTGGACAGTGATCACTGAAAATGAACAGAACCATGATTATGTTTATGTGGTTAATGATTTTTGGTATAAATTGTGAACCTGGCACATCTCTGTGGCAATACTTCTCCGTATTCCAACTTATAAGACCAGCTACAAACAACCAAAGATATCCTTTACATTTCACTTATGACCACTCTAGTCCTTCATGTCCGAACAACAAGTCATTGTAGTTGAGGTAGATCCGTCACTTAACAAACATGACGAGCAACATTCCTTGAAGGAGAAGATCGAGTTGGCAGAAAGCAAAATCGAAGATCTGCGAGATGAGATAATAGAACTGGATGAGAGAACACATATGCTGGATCGGAAGACAGAAAAACTAAAGAGGAGCAACGAAAGATTCGGGGGAGTCCTAGACCGAGCACAGCATGAGAGAGCATCGAGAAGGGCCCTGTTGGATGGGCTTGAGAAATTGAAACAAGGCGAGAAGACATGCTTACAGAATGAGAAACAGCTTCTTAAAATGGACCTCAAGTCTCTGGGGTTGCGAAAGGAGAAGCGGGAATGGGAGGTTTACAGAGAGGAGCTTAAGACTAGTCAAGGAAGATGAAGTTTGACGAGTGGATGGGACGCGAGGAGGGCTTGCGGTATGAGGAGTGGAAGAAGAGTAAGTACAGCCGGGACTAGGTAAGATATGCTGCACTTGGCTTTGAAGTTTTATATTGGGTCTGACTCAGATGAAATCTCAAAACGACCTTATATTTAGTCTTAGCATAAATTACTATAGAATGGAGCTTCCGCCAAGATATGTGTAATTGATCTGAAGTGTTTGATAAACGTATTGGAACTACCAGGTATTAAGTCTCGTTGCGGGTATGATAGTGCATTCGTGGTTGAGTTAAATATTCAGTGCACACAGATCCTAGCTGCTCGTGATGGACATGCCCGAAACGGAGACTGTTCATCACCATCTCAATGCAAGAAGAGTATTTAATGGTCAGTGAACAAGAACAAGAGTCATTGTGATTCCCTAATGTGTAGCGGATGGCCTCGGTATAAAGATGCGAGGCTCGTTCCACCAAGGGGCCGTGACCTCGTTAATTCAACAAGCTACCGACAACACATGATACTCCTTCCCAGAATTTTGATTAATTACCAGTTCAATATGCCCGACCGAGCGAGAATCAAAGTGGAGAAGGAATCATCTCGTCATAAGCACGAGCAACGAAGGTGGAAGCCCGAACAAGATCTCAACCGCGCGAGAGAGAACATCCGTGACCTGAAGAAGAGGATCATTGAGGTTGAGAAGAAAATCGATGAACTCATCGAGAGGAAGGAAACTCTGGAAGAGAAAAACAAGAAGTTCAGGGGTATAATCCAGGGACAGGAAGGAGAAAAAGCATCGCGGGAGGTGATAGAGAGCGCGAGTCGCCAATTACAGAAGAGCCAAAATTATAGTTCTGGTCAAGGGCACAAGTGGAATAAGCTAAGGGATGAAACGTCTAAGTTGGAAGCAGAAAAAAAGGACTGGGAAACTTGGAAAGAAGATATTGAGGAGGAATGCCATCGGAGAGCAGTCTTTGAAGCCCGGATAAGGAACGAAGAGCCGCGGAGCTATGAGAGCTCGAAGAAAAGCAGCCATCATCCAGTGAGGTGAGAGGTACAGGAGCTTCTATTTAGAACAATTAAGATAGAGTCAAGATCAATTATGTCACGGGGAAGCCTCCATTTAAAACGCAGTATGAAGTGGCTCGGGGTAAAGGCGAAGATGGCTGAGACGATGCTGCCTGGAGCCTGTAAGATTTGTGTAGTCGCATAGCTAGTTTATAGGCGATCCATTACGGGGAATGCTGAACATTGACTAAAGTAAAAACAGAAGGCTTTGGTAGGAACTTGATTTAGGAGGAGCATGGTAAATAGGATAACAACTGACTCTTCAGCGACAGCTACACCATTTTCTAACTCTGATGGGCTCATAAGGGCGAAGAACTTTGGTACTGATAAGACAAACGAGTGCCTAGTGAGACAGGAAAGTGTGGCTGCAATGAGCAACGAGAGTTATCGAGTTTGGCTGGAGGTTTCTATCCCCCTGTTTGTAGTGCAAAGCAATTCTGCGTTAGTGCAAACATAATAAAGAACAAACTAGCCGATTTGCCGAAGGTTTGGTAAGAATCATAATTGTATGACATGTAACAAGAGACGAGTTACTTTGAGCGAATTGTAGAAAGATACAGTGAGTTGGAAACCACCGCGAAGCTCTGTTCGAAGACCCTTGTCAAAGCAGCCACCACCTGGACCGTAGGTGACAGGCTGATCCGTAATACCTTCTGGCTCTGATAGCTCCGGGGAGATTCTCGCCTCGTCACCCATGACTTTCGTAAAAGCCCAGTGACACAGCGAAAGGTGACAATGATTAGAATTGCAAGGAACTGAAAAAGCTGTATGTTTCATTGCGTATCGTGGCTAGCTTGTACTGAATTGAAACGCGAGTAGCGCCGAGTACTATTATATCAAGGCGAGTTCCCCGATGGCCACTGTGTTCTGCATCAAACCTTCGACCAAGACATACTCAAGTGAACTCAGCTTGCCTAAACAGAATACCATCTACGATCCCATTTGGCCCCCTCTTTGGATGACATGATGCCAGAAGACAATCCCCAAGACAACAACCCCCCGCAGAACTTGCCACCAGGCAATGCACCTCAGAGCCCGGATGCGAATGCGACCATGGGTATGGTTGTGTATGAGCCAAATTCTGAGCCTCAGAACGAGCCCATAGCTGTCCCACCACAGTTTGCGGCCGAAGATATACCCCAATTCGTACCCCAGCACATGCCCGAGTATGTGCAGGTGAACGATCAATCTAGACCTGACAAAGGTAAATCTTGTGAAAACATGTCTCAAGAGCAAGTATATGGCAACAACGTACCCTTTTCAGATGGACTAGGAAGACAGACTGGAAGTAGGGTTCACTTCGATGAGAACTTGACCAGCCTACACCTAAGAGAAACGGAGTCCAGGAGAATGGGCTCGCACGGTGGAGGCAGTCATAGAGGAGAATCTCACAAAGGAGAGTCTCATAGAAGAGAGCCTCGCAGAACGGACGATCGCGAGACGAAATCGCATAAGAAGGAATCTCACAGATCAGCGTCTCACAAGAAAGACTCTCATAAGTCATACTCAGACAGGAAGGATCCATACAGATCGGAATCACGCAGGTCGCAGCCTCACCAAAAGGAATCCCATGGAAGAGGCTCAGACAAGCCATCCAAGAAGGAGGAGTCTCACAAGGCAAAGAAGGTAGATGCTACACCTATATATGGACGCATCTCGTTCCGTGACACTTTGAGTCACTATGCGCACCGAACTACTTATGTCAGAACTCCGGTTGAAACAAAGAAGAGAGGAAATTGAAGGTAGATAGCAAGGCATACGGGAAAGAGGTATAGTTAACGTGTGAGTTAATACAGGCAATGTCTCTTGAAAGTTGAACTGGGCCTACTACACCAAGAGGCGAGAAGACATGTGTATTGACGATCTCGAAAGGATGATTGCTTCATCAATCACAGGTCTGTCGTGTGGCCTCGTAACAAATCCAATCGCTCATGTTCCATTCTCCAACTACCAGTTTAATAGGATCTGGCATTTTGGTTACCAACTATCAGCCGAGCGAGTGATTGAATATATCCATGTGAAGAACGTTACATGAGCGAATGCCTCTCTAATTCACAGGCAATATCCTCGACCCCAAGCCCACACCCATCATAAGATGCCAAGTCAAACGAGGTTAAAAGAGAACAAACAGGTGAAGTGTAGCTAGGGGAGCATGACTGTTAGTGGTGAGCCGTGAATGAGATGGTTAAAAAAGTTTGGCGTGGAATCGCTGTCGGCTTTTGCTCTGAACAAAAAAAGATACCCGTCGCTGCTATAGTCCACAGTCAGCAGCTACAGTCAAGGGCAAAAAAACGCCAGATGGTGATGAAGTCTGGGTCTCGCAAGAGTAAGATGTATAAGATCCACCGATGGTTTGTGGGCAAAGTTACATTGAACATAGATCCCAGAAAAGACCACGTAAGATGATTTGAGCAAGGCTACCTCGATTCATTGCTGTTACGCTCCGGTGTGAGAGACATTTTTTACCGCACAAGAAATATAAATACCCATTCTTCTTCTCGCTCAATTAGTATATCCCGATAGTCACTAACCTCACAACCACTATACGTAGTCTCCCATAATAATGCCCAACAGAAACTTCCCCCATTTGTTTGACATTCCCGCGTTCCTAGCCCATGGCAAAGCTATCAAGGAAGCCGAGAAGAAACTCGATACAGTTAAATTCAAAAAAGAAAAACTTAAGAAAGACAAAGAGTATGTTGAAAAGGAGATCGAGGAGTTAGAAAAAGGTGACAGAAATAATGAGGATACGGATATGGAAGAGGAAATCACGGAACTTCGAACAGAGTTGCAGAAGCTAGACAAAAAGAAACAAAAGTTGAAACGTGAGAAGGAGAAACTCAAGGAAACAAAGAAGAAGCATCAGAAGGCAATGGCCAGGCTACAGAGGAGATAGATATTTGGGATGTTGCGATGGGTAGAACTATAGATTTGGAACTTGTAATCTAGCCTCAACAGAGATCCATTCTACTACTCAATGACCGCTAGTGAGTTGTTGTACAGTATACATGGCCGCTGAATCATGAATGAGGCGGAGCCAAACTACTAAATCATAGAGCCCATCGACTCTGAACAGAAGATAGAACTCCCGAAGAACGATTTCGCGGAGGACAACTACTATCTGGGGCATGGAGGTAGTCGAGAGTGATGAGGCCCAACTTCTCACAAGAGAAAGCTATCTGTAATTCACCTATACGCTGTAAGAAAGGTTGGAGTGAGTCAATGTTCTAGGTAGCGCCATGGAGGTTTATATCAGGAAGAAATTGGAACCATATGCTTTTGTTTTGAACTAAATGTTGCGCTCAACAATCTAAAAGAAACTTCCGCTACAGCAAGATAATTTCAATTGCCTTCTCTCCTCTTTCAGCCTGGATAACCTGCAGCTCACTAGAACGGCGTCATAGCTTCTATCGAACAACACCATCGCTTACTACTATCAGTCAACTCAGCAGAATGCCTGATAAACTTCTCGACAGGCGAAAGGATGTCCCCACGTCCACGACACGCAGGGAGCCGGAGAAAGAATTGGTGGAGAGGATCCACAGAGCCAACTTCGAGATAAACAAACTGGAGGTTGACAAGGAATACGTCAAGAAGAGGATCGACAAGCTACGTCAAGGCAAAGATCAGCTGAAGGAAATTATCAGAAGAACTTGGGACAGAGAGGAGGAAAGCAAGCGGAAAGGACAGGAAGCTCAAAGACAGAAATCGGCGATACTGGCGAGGTCGTACATACTCGAGCTCGAAAAGCACGAGAAAGAAATTAAGGCGGTAGAGTATATGTTGGAAGACTTAGACAGAAGACAGAATAAGTGGGATCTTGAGCTGAAGAACCTCAGGGATTTGGAAACGAAGGGCCGGAATTCAGTAGCCAAGGTCCAGAAGTAATAGGAATTGATCCCGGTGATACGGAGATGTCCTTGAGCTGAACATAGAATCTTACAGCTTAGACAAAAGTTCTTGTTGGGGGTTACTTGTGAGCTTGCTACCACCGCCGATTTAGTGTCAAAGGCTGAGCACTTTAGTACAGCAGCTAGATGTTAATGAACTCGTCGCGATACAGACAGGGAAAGCGAATCCATAACGGGATGCTGAGAATCTCTCTCTTGCCATGTAACTCCAATAAGCATCACTGCGACTCCTTAGCAGCATGATGAAAGGAAGAAGAGGAGTGTCTGACCAAGAAGGTCATTTTGAGTCTCAGCGACAACAAAGGTATAAGGTGCTGATTTACTGCACGGCTGTGTGATGTCTCTGAATGACCTACTGGTGCGACATAATCGTCAACTAATAATTGATGGACTTGCAAGCTGTGACTCGTAGCGGAGTCGAGGACCGAGCTCTTATATCAAAGCCAACCACCTCAGTTCTGGAATGCTCACATCCAGTTGAGATCAACTCCTTTGGACAAAACCGCTCCCTGAAGCTTTTAATTATCTATATCGTGCAAGAGCACCATGGCCGACAGCGACCCCACAAAGAGCGCCGACGTGGCTATGAGAGGTCCCGAAGAAATGCCCGAAACTGTCTCGCAAAACAAACTCGGCCTCCAGGGCGAGCATGAGATTGATCAATCCGAGCCCACAAAAGAAACAAAGACGAAAGCAGGGAAGAAGGTTAGGTTCAAGGATGACCCGCCAAAGATGGATTCAAAAGATAAGAAATCTCGGAACAAATGCAACCAAAAGGGATCTGCGCCTACAAGTTACAACTTCAGTCTTTGGGATGGAGAGACGATCAAGAACTTGAAAAACTGCTTGAGTCAAGCGAAAGCCTCATTGAAACGTGCCGAAACCAAAGTAAAAGAACTCGAAGACAAGAAGAAGGCGTTGCTCAAGGAACAAGAGGATTTACGAACCGAGATTGACATATTCAAGAAAAGCATAAAAAGGAAGCGCTCGTTGGCCTTGTTTGTTGATATGCCTTGAGGCAAGCTCAAGTTGCCTGCTTCTCGATATAGAATGATGGAGCTTTGGAGTTGAAGGCCAGTGAGTCCCTGTGTGATTTAGAGAGAAGAAATAGCTATAACAAAGATGCCATTAATGCTCACTATTCATTCTCCGTATTCAAACAACTTCTTGTTCCCTTACAGTCGGGTCTCATGCTGTCAGTACCCCGGCGCCCAGCATCTCCACCACCAAGGCCGACCCTCCCACCATGGAACCGTCAACTTCTTTCCAAAGATCTCTATCCGGATCAAGACCTTTATCCAACAGGTAGCGAGTATACCGTTGACATCTACCCTTCACAGCGTACCAAAGGAGTTCCTTGCCATGCTCATCAAGGAAACCGACTTTTCCTACCAATCTTTCTGTCATCAATATTGCCTTATCATCTTCTCTGGCTAGTGCCGCCGTGATAATCGCATGATGTCGCGTCCCCTTCGAGAAGCAGCCTCAATGTTGACATGTCTCCTCGTATGACAGCCATCTCCAGTGCATCAGCACCTCGAGCCCCAGTCTTATCTTTGCGAAAAACATCCTTTTCGATGAAGAAGATTAGGATGTCATGCTGAGGCGTGCCCACGGCGATATGTAGAGGTGTTTCGCCCCAGTCGTCGCTGTCATCGATGTATGCACCGCCATCAAAGAGCAACCTTACGATGTCGAGATATCCTCTTCGCACTGCCAGCAACAAAGGAGGAACATCGCCTTCCACATGGGAGTTTGGATCGACACCTTGATCTAGCATGAGCTTCACTAGATCATAACTGCCAGTCGTTACGGCAAGGTACACAAGATTGTCGCCAACCTTGTTCCTGCGGTGAACATCAGCACCTCTCGCCAGCAGAAAATGCACGATATCCCAGTGCTGTTTCTGGACAGCTGGAAACAAGGCAGTCTCATCGTCTTGGTTGATGATGTGGTTGACATCAGCACCTTGATCCAATGATCTCTCTACCACTGAAACGATGCCCTCTTGAGAACCCCATCGGAGTGCGTTACATTGCCAGTGTGCATCCTCACGATAGACAAGATCATTGGCAATGTGGTGAAACCGTTTGTTGGTCTGGCATAAGGCGTTGAGATCAGAGCACACAGAGAGATACTGTACTATCTGCTCGATGATCTCTGTTGCTAGGTCTTGAAGCAACATAGTTATGATCAGTATTGCACAGCTGGAATGCTTAGAATGAATTAAGCGAGGGCCAGGGGAGGAAAGAAACACAGGACCTTGACCCTAAGCAATGAACATACTTAGGTAAATCTGGCCTAAGCTTAAGGGGCCCTTCGCTAAGTTGATTTTAATACCCTATATTAAGGTCTGGTGTTTTCCTGCTCCCCGAGGGGGGGATTAACTCTTTGAAGTGGCGAAGGAATGAGAGAAACTGACGTGAGAATTTGGACCACCGACTTCCGATGATGAACGGAGGATCGGGTGAGTTCCATACGTGAAGCTTACGTGTTTTTCTATTGGATAGATAACAATATCAATGCACCAGATTAGACATCTCAGTAGACACGGGAACCAGATCATCGATAAGGAGAACGCCGGTCATGTCATGTCACGTTCGTCGTTGTCAATTATCTGTTTGTTCTAAAGTCTGATGGGACATGACACTTATCAAGTGGCCGTTGTTGGGCCTCTGGATTCGAGGCTATTCCCAAAACCGCTAATTTGATCCTTCGCCCTCATCGAATCTCACCATCATTGCTGACCATACCAAAGCCGGAGGGACCAGTCATGACCAAACAACCCCTTTAGTTTCTCCTCCAACGCCTCAACGTATATTGAGTATTCTCCCGAATCCACGTACCGATCTCTCGAGTCAATCTCGATCTTACATTTGGCTCGCGGAGACCTTTTGTCTCGTCAGACGGCGTTTCTTTCTGTTTGTATTTGATCAACCAGTCACATTTCTTCTCATTTTAGTAGTATCTCACAAATGCGGTGATGCACATGTTAGAGGATCTCGTACCCGTCCCGACTTTTTAGGAGTGCTGGATCTGTTTGGTTGCCTGCCTTTGGAGACAATTCCTAGTGAAAGATGCCGTACTTATGGTCACGGGAGCTGATGGCCGGTGATTTGAGCTGATCATAATAGTTACAACGGAAAAGGTCATCTAATTATGCACTCGTATAGCGAGAAGTCATTGAGCAGAAGATACTTTCCATTTATTAAGGCAATAGTGGCGAACTCTTTACTCCTTGTAGTGATTTAAGTCACTTCTTCTCCTTCCGTTTCTTCTCCACGCAAACAGAACACCATATTGGAGAGAAGTATTCGTTTACTATCTTGACCTCAGACTTGCATTTTTTCCTGTCCCTCGGCGTCTGGCAAGGCTTCACAGTCGTATCGTCATGGTCAAGAGTCCAGCAATCCTCGCATTGATATCGAATGCTTATTGTCTTGCACATGATGGTAGTTGTAGATATTACAGCGGGAAGCAATTTGTGGGTTTCTATGTATAAGGACTTGTGTGAAGGAATTTGTTTGAGACATGGCGTGCCAGAAGCGAGGAGCTGGCTGGATTTATATACAACTTGCTGGACTCTGAATATACACAAATTTCATTAATACGTGATTGGTATCGAACGCAAGGAGGGAAAATCAGCGACTCCTTAGCTCTGAGTGTCATAGGATTATATTCATTGGAAGGCATTATTCATCAAACGATATGGGGTGATGACCTCGCGCCTCATGGCAGCCATCAACCAAAGTCTTCACTTCTTGTCTTCCTTCTTCTTCTCCTCGCACTTCCGGCAAAGGTCAGAAGATAGATAATCAGTCTTTTCCTCAAACTCGGCAATACATCCTTTTTCCATATCTCCTGGGTTCTTGCATGGCTCCCCGTCTATCCTGAACCCGATCTTGTAAGAGCATACTTGGCACAAAGATGACGTATATATTGTTCTGCACATATTTGCTTCAAGGCTTATTTGTCTAATCAGTTGTTTTGATGTGGCCTTCGTGTGCTTGAAGTTTTAATAATTGAACTCCCACGGTAGATCCGGCTCATGGCCTTATTTATATTGTTCCAAGTGATGTATCACTGACATAGCTCAAGCTGACAGAATATGAGAGATGAAACATAAGACAGTGATGATTTGATTTAATCTACTATGCTTATAAGACTACAAACCTTCCAACTCTCTGGAACCACGTCATCACACTCTATCATTACGCAAGCAGCGCTTTCAACTTCCCTTCCTCCTCCTTCTTCCGAGCCTCTTCACAAGGCCCACATTCTATATAGAGAAGCGGGTCTTTCGAATCATAGTCTCTGACGCAACTTTCTTGGCCACAGATCTTATCAACAGTCTCTGTACGTATCAAATGGCCACAATAGCCCCAGTATCTTATAAATGTAGTCGTGCACATGGCTGGCTTGATGGAGTAGGAAGCGACGTTATTTATAATGTCGAGTTCGCGATAATAGTTTAGGACTGTGGTGTCTATACGATGTTGCGATATGCAGTACTGGGTAGAGACGTTGGGAGAATGCTGAGAGCTCGGTTTATATACTTTTCCGCTTTTGTAGGTGTATCACCTCACAGTTGGGGTCAAACAATCAAGGTGACCTCGAAGTAATACAACAATAGGTCTATTACAGTGGATCACTGCTGGTGAAATGTTAAAAGAAAAACCAGTAAAGACCTTCATGGATTCATGAACGTTAGAATCGCACCGTTTATGATTCACTGCATCGGTACATATGCACAAATTGTGGATCTTGATCAGCTTCACTATATAAGGACGGTATTCCTTGTTTGAGCTTCCTTAATCAAGGTTGCAGCTTTAGAACTCCATAGCGTTCTTCTTTCTCTCTTCCTCCTCTTGCCTCTCCCTCTCAATGAAGCATGCATTGCATTCTATAAAGCCATTCCGATTATCCTCAAGATAATTCACATGACAATACTCTGTCCCTTGTAAAGCGCAAGGTATGAATTCTGTGCCTGAACTGAGAGCATGCCCACAGCAGCCTATGTACTGTACTAATACGCTGTCACACATCTTTGAACTTATTTATAAGTTTGCGGTGTGTTGAGTGAGAAATCTAGTTTGTAATAGAGATTGATAATTTGTGGATGGTTGAGGGTTAGCATGGTTTGGAAGTTAAACGGCTCGACCTTTTATAGAGGGTATGGGCGCCTTTTCAGGGACTGACATTGAAAGTAAAAGCCTTGATTCACGGAGTGGGATCATTCTGATGGTAATTTAGTGAACAGCTATTATTGTATCCGGTGAAAAACGTGTCTTCTCATCCATGATGCCGCTCCTTGCCTGTGGTGGACATCTCTTGGGCGAAGAAATATTGAAGGTGGAGAATCGTGAGTCGTGATTACAAAGACATTTTCGAGAGAATTCTAGATATAAACTATGCATGTTTAACGGTTGGCCTATTTTCTGATTTGCCTGAAAGACTGGAGATACTACATAAAAAGACCCTCCTATCAAGACCGGCCGAGCTTAAACTCCTGAGGAGAACTCCATACAACGGTCTGCATAGATTTGCCCGTCACTACTTGATTGCCTTCTTAAGTTCCGCTGCCTGGAACTTCAAGATAGCCAACCATTCTTTACCGATATGAGCATAGTTGGCGAACCCTGCAGGGTCATCCAAATATGAGTATATGATGTCCCAGTTTAGTGCTAAGAGAGGGCCCATGATAGGAATCAGACCCAGCCAAGCTCCGACAATTTGCTTGACAAAGGTTGACCAAGCAGATTTATCAAGAGGTGCATACACGAAGCGAATCCCTTCATTTATCGACGTCCAATCATTGCCCTTTCTGTGGAAATCTCCCGAGTCCCACTGACTAACGGAGTCGTCTACCGCGTTGAGCGAGGCTGCTTCACGAAGGAGCCAGATAGAGTCAAAACAGATATGTGTGCCATCGGCGCGGCGGGCGGCTCTATCCTCTGGAATGCACAAAGCCGCCATTATTGACTGGACATTCAAACATAGAGCTGCTCCAGAGTAACCCAGTCCCCGGCCGTTGGTGATGTCTAAATGAATAGGCTCATTGTCCCAGTAGTTCTTCAGGGTCAAGCCTTGCGCGGAGAACTTGTGAAACTGAATGGTCCCGACTCTGCTGAAGCCTGGATAGCTGGGGTCCTGGAAGATTTGGGGGAAATAGAGTGCTCTGATGGGCAGCGTTGGATCTATGAAAATGTACTTATGGGACTTGATGTTGAAAACCAGGTAGGCATTCTGGTCTGTTTCCTTGTACCACTTGTATGTAATCTGCCCATCTTTGTGGACAAACGGGCTTGGTGAGTCAATGTACGTGCTACCACTAGTATCTTCAGTGTCATTGTAGAACACTGAAGTACTGGCAAAGGTTCCCAGGACATCTCTGCCTGGAGAGTACAAGTACTCAAAGTTTCCCCGCGGCCAGTTTGGCTTCTTGATCTTGTTGGAGTTTCCAGCTTGGTCATATACTCCATTGATGACGACCTCAACAATGAAGGTCTTGTAGAAGCCTGCTTCGGTCTGCATTCGCGCTGGAAGTGCAGAGGTTGCCTTATAACCTATTCCAGTGGGTGGAGAAGAAGCGTCAAATGCTTTGGGGCCGACGTTCGAGCTGTCATTGCTTGAGGATATGTTTGGTGGCTCTTGTGAGGCATGACTTCGCTCACTACCTAAGGTTTGTTCGACAGATGTATCAGCCATGGCGAAATAACCAAGAGAGGAGTACTTGTAGATAGTATGCTTGGGATAGAATCTAGGCTGTCTATGAAGTCTGGAGGGTGCTGCAGACAAGAGTCTTTCTTCTGCCTAGATACTCGATGAGTTTTATATGGTACTCGGAGGTGTAGATAAAGGCATTGCGTCAACTGTGCAACCACACTTCAGATTTGCGGCTGGCATCTTATCTTGCCGTAAATGTCTTGTTCTGCATTTGAGGCCTCTCTTCAGACACGGCAAGAGCCTCAACACCAGTACCTGATGTAGAGAAGCGCCATGTAGGACTTTTGTATTGCGTGTAGTCATCCCGCCCCACCAAGTCTGAGATGTGATAGAGAAAGGGGCGGCGGTGGGCTGGGCATATCAACCGGGGGAATGCTATTCCACACACAAGTACATACGGTGTGTATATAGCAATTTACCTTCCTGCTGACACCACATTCACTATGTCACTCATGACGATTCCTTGGACGGCGGTTGCAATAGCTCAACAGGTTTTCGGACTGTTCTCAATATGACAATCAATCAATGAGACCAGTTGTACGGAACGCATCTTCTCTTATGTCCGTGGCTACTGTGGGAGAGCTATGGAAGGCCTTGGGTCGATTCCAAGCTGCGTCTGGTCGGGCATCCTCTCAACTTGTACCCTGGGCTTTTTGAGGATTCTGTCGAGCTTAGGGCCACAGATTCAAGCTTAAGAGTTCAAATATTCTGGAAATGTTAATAGAGCATTCACTGGCGCAGTTGATATTTGGACCTCTCAAAGAGGGCGACATTTAATCATTCACTACATGACTTCTTGACTAGATGCTAATAGTTACGTAGATCCATCATGCTCCGAAGAAAGATGCTACTCAACAGACCATCCAGCCACGGGCGAAAACCAACGAGAACGATAGACCGACTGCAAGAACGAGATGGCTTTTGGAGTCTTTACTCCTGGTGTAAGATGGTTGACTTGAGTCGAAAAGTAGCCTTTCCAATCAGCTTGCACATAAAGAGTGCCGGCGCTCTTGTGCAAGCTCAATGACTTGACATCAGCCCGAGGCAGATTCCTCTCATGAGATCTGACAGGTTTGAATCCCTGCATAAATGACTGTTTTAGCACTTCTTCTCCGTGCAGAAATGAAGCCGAGCTCAGATTGAAGAGATGGAGGTCTAGATCTGTAGAGATAAGGAGGCATCGTTGGTCAGGCACAGGCGTAATGTCATGTCCTCCATCCCACCATGAGTCGTCCCATTCCTCGGTGAGAATTTTTGGAGGACCAATGGGCTCAACTTGAGAGGGCTTTTGAGAGAATGAACCATTTCTATACTCATAGCGATTCAACTGCGCTGTCGAGGGACTTCTTCCGTGAGGAGGTAAGTCATTTCCGACGGCCCAAAGACTCTGTGTTACTTGGTCCCATACAAGACTGTGCACGGCAGGGAGACCATCAAGTTCTTGAAGAAAGCCTGGATATGGGTTTGATACACCCAAGGACGTGTTGACGATCTTGATGTTTCCTGTTGCGTCATAGGAGGTTGTTGCTATAGAGAGCTTCCCATCGGGCAGAGGCTCAATGCCGTGAGTTCCTCCCAGACCGAATTTATCCAAACACATGCCGAAAGTTATGATCTTGTCTTTAGATGGTTCGTCAGGATAATGGTTGATGACAACGATTGCATGAGCAAAGACTGCCACGATGCTTCTACCGTGGTTCGCCCACTTGACGTCTGTCACGGAGCCACCATCTTGTAGACAGTCATTGAGCTTCTTTGGTATGTCTTGATTGACGAAGTCGACGTTCGTCCAGTTCCATGATGCATGCCCAGCAGTATTGTGGATACTGATTCGAGCAGGATCGTATTGACCTGTGATAATCTCAGGCGAAGCGTCTTGAAGGTGAAGGATATGCTGCAAGCCATCGTTGCTTCCAGTGGCAAGTACGATACTGGCAGCAATCATAATGAACATTCCAATATGGAAATGCCATATCAAAGCCACTGAAGCCATATCTTGAGTTGTTTTGAATGGGGAACAAAGGTTTGTTAATGTCGGTTAAGCTTTGGATAACGAATTGATATGTCTCATGGAGGCGTCATAAGTTTTAGGCATCAGTCAACGAATTGACGAGAAAAGCGACGGTAAAACAAATCAAGTCTCTTATTCACTTGGTGTTTGTTTGGTGAGTAATAGTTTTGGTTCGCCAACATCAGCATGCATATAAAGTACTACAGCCCAGTTTACAGAGAACTAAGGAATGACATCAGAGCGGTATCATCTTCTTCACGGCTGAATCAGGCATATGCATGAGACACGGGATGGGCAAGTGAGCAGGCCATGTCACCTAAGAGTGAAGACATGCATCAAATATGCACGTATGCCAAGTAGCTTGAGCAGAAGTCGTTGAATAGATATTCCTGCGGTAATAGCTGCAGAGCGGCATAAATCCTTTAGCCAGAAATATGGCAGATCAGCTGATGGCATCATATACAAAATATGACGAAACTAGGATACTAGAAACATGTCTCGGCTGTCTGACTTTCCGGTGAACGATGGCGTTAGGCGCAGCACATTAATGGCTGCAGACTGCCCTGATCCAAGACACGGCTTAGACCGGAATCTGACAATCACAATGTAGACTTTATGGTTGGGCAGTGATTGCCCCGTCATTGGCCTCCTTGTCTACACAGACAGTGGAAAGGATCGTCGTTTTTCAGCTCGGCCCTCTCAGCCACTTCTCAGCATCGGCATTGCAGATCTCCCTAACAGGGCAACATGCAGGCAAGGAGATACGATAAAACCTAGAATCTCTATCCTAAGAGGCAAAAGGCCTTAGGCAAACTTAGCATAATTTAGTACATATTTAGAGGATCTAGACCAAGTATTTTCAGTACCTTAATTTAGTATCAGAAGCCTTCTTGCACCTTGGGGGCAGGTCAAGTTGATACAGACACATTCTGTAATCATCATAATCCAATCAGTTCTGTTGACTGGCGATCAGTCCCTAGCCGGCTACCAATGTCCTAGCTGAACCCGGGCCGTGCCGAGCTAATAACGAAGTTCTACTGGTAGGTGACGGTGCTGATCAATCGCCGGTACTGTCTGAATGCATTTCAGCTTCAGCCACTAGGTCTGCTCCCCGAACTGCCGTTTATGTTATTTGTGCCTTCTATAAGGGATCTCGATGATCTCAAAGTTGTTCCAAATAGTGGCCGATATGACTCTGCCGCAGGATTATGACGGTTCATGTGACGAGGGCAGTGATCAGCGATGCAAGGAGACGGATAGGACTGACTTCTATCTGCCGGTTCAAGCTATCAGCCACAAGTCTTTACCGCAAACAACACATCTAAGAGACCGATAGGGGTGCAGCTATTGAGCACAAAGGCCTGAGATTTCTAGAGTATAGTGAGGGCAACCTACAGAAGAACATACCAATTGTCCTGCTTCAGCCAAGATTGTTGAACCTGCGAGCCATGCGACCTAAGATATCATGGCAAGAATGCTTAGATCTATACCCGACCTCGATTGATGCGATGGAATTTACATCCAGGGGGTAGGTTCTAGAGTACACTATACCGTAGAGTCATAACCGGCTTGCCGTTGCTAGCCGATGCCATGCGTGTAGGAGCAACGGGAAACTCTCCCATGACTGGTAGTGATGACAGTATGCCTGTAATCAGTGGGAATGGGTATGTTTGTCAGCACATTGACCCGCCCTAAGTTCGTCCGAATCTCTATCCGAAAGGTAGCGAAGTGTAAGACTGAATGGCATATCGCAGACATATCAGTGCGAAATCGGAGGTTTCGTCCGAAGAAGGATTCCGTGATTATCGACTCTTACATATATAACCTTAGCATAAGCCGATCGATAATTACAAAATTAATCTTCCCTTTTATACAAAGCTTACAATGAATGAAAAGGACCAGCAGCCAGTCATACTTCTAATTCACGGTGCTTGGCATCGACCTTTCCACTACCGACCTCTCATCCAAGCTTTCCAGCAATCAGGTTTTACTGTCCTTGCACCGTCTCTTGCAAGCTCCGGCTACGATGACTCGGTCGACGGCAAGACATACCACGATGATGTGAAGAGGATCCACGACGCTGTTCTGCCCTACATCGACCGTGGGAGGAAAGTCGTTGGTATTGGTCATAGTTATGGAGCTATCCCTCTTACTGCGGCGATAGAAGGCCACAGTATTGCAGAAAGGGAGCAACAAGGCCTTCCTGGTGGCTTCAGCTCTGTGATTTATGTCGCCCCAACCCCTGTCCTTCATAAAGGCATCTCCATGTATGAAGCTGCGGGTGAGCATCGCAAGACGCCATTCTTTCATGATGTATCGGTACGTCAATACTAGACTGAGCACCCCTAGCCGCTGAACTGACTATAGTAGGATACACGTATGCCACTGAAGCTAGAGAGGGCCAAGGAAGCATTTCTCTCGGATATTGATCAGGGCATCGCGGATGAGATTATCCCTACACTTTGCCATCAAAGCAAAGCTCCCTTCGACGTTCCTATGGTTTGCACGCCAGCAGACTTGGAGATTTCTAAGATCATGGTCATCTGCAAGAATGATCCTATCTTCAGCAGGGAGATGCTTCTGGGCGTGGCTCAGAATTGGGGTGCTGACACTTTGGAGATCGAATCTGGACATAGTCCGCATCTGGTGGAAGAGCACAGAAAGTGGCTTGTGAAGCTTGTATTTCAATTGATCAAGAATATATGAAACGACAATCACGGTTGCTAGTTATCTGGTTATAGGATGGAGGATGCGATCTAGTCGAATGCAAACTCCACTCAAATCGCACCTTCTAACGCGTCAATAATCATTTGAGATTACCGACAGGAACCCAAGCCTATGCAAGTCCCTATCACCGAAACCGCATGGCGGGTCAGTGGACGCCCAGTCCTCATCTCAAAGGCGACGAAGAGATTGAAGTACGGCTATACAACACCAAGTGTGATGAGGCGGGTGCTTTGCCGTGTCTGAAATGCGGTATCAACATCTGTGAAGAATGCCGATGTTGTCCTCGTGCAGCTCCACCAAGTGCATATCCGAATCGCAGACCACATTTGAGAGGCAGTTATGAGCTCGATAATATCATGTGTCTGTGCGAGGAGTGTGACATGAAGACTGAGAATGAAGTAATTGGGAAGTTCTTGAATGAAAGATGTGATTGCGATGTCTATACGCGGTGGATTTGCGTCAGATGTGAAGAGGAAGAGCGCAAGACGTCGCGAAAGTACTTTGCCGAACGAACAGAGATGGAGTGGAATTGGATTGTGAGGGAGGATATTGACTACGGAGATGATTCCGAGCCCTCAAAAACGCTTCATGATCATGCGTTCGAACGAGCAGTACGAACCCTAACGAGCAACGTTGAGAGGTAGGCTAATGACTTAATACAGTTTTGGTGTACTTGCGGCAAGACAGTCTCGCACAGAACAGTGCCACGTTGCATCTGGTGCAAAAGGCGGCATCTGCCAGAAAGTGAATGGTATCGAGAACGTCAAGATGTTGGCTCGAAGCATCCCTTCTTCGATAACGTAAGTGTTCAAACCCAAGCAGTACGGGTGTGCCCTTTCTTACTGTTCCGAGCAGGATCCCAATTATCCGCGATGGCTAAGCGATGATAACAATAAGTATCCGACTCCTTACCCAAGATTGGGGTATCTTCGTAGAGGGGAAGATGATGAGACTGGAGTCTCGTGACGGCGTTAGAAGGGTAGCCGTCGTTTCTGCATGGCCAGGGAAGTTTGGCCCCGTGAGTGGTTACTTGAAATAATAAATTGAAAATATTCGTTTGCTTTAAAGACAGTAATATCCATCATCTGTTTCCCTCGAGATCTGTGAATAAATTTCTCCCAAACTTGTCCTCAAGAAACTCCCTCACTTCGTGGGATGACGACTCTACCACCGCCAACGAGTCCTTACAGCTTTGACGCTTCTTCCACCCCCCAGGCTTGAGAATGGCAAGACCGTCAAGGCTCGTCACGCGCGACAACGCAACATACTTCAACGCCTGCTCCCATGCTTGCCCAAGATCCGTCGTGACGTGAGTCAGCGTCATACCCTGAGACTTATGAATGCTGACAGCCCATGCGAGAACCAGTGGGAGTTGTGTTCTGTATAGTACTGAGTAAGGTTCCGTTGCCCCGAGAGTATTGACCACTATTGATGGATACATCGGGCGTGTGATACCATTGTTGAACCGGACGATCGGCCATCTCCGAATACCACGCCGCTCTGCGTACTGCCTGATCTTCCTCGCTCGCCAGTCAGCATGGTGACCGGCAAGGACATCTATATTCAAGAGGGTGGCTTTTTTCGTGTTTGGAAGTTTTTCGGGGTCGTAGGGTTCCCAGCCGACAACGATGCCTTGGCTTCCGTTGACGAGGCCCTTCTCTGTATCCAGGTTGACCTTGAGCATGACCAGCGCATTGACTTTCATCTCAACGTAGGCGTCCAATGGACTCTCTTTGCACTGTTCTAGAGTCCCATGCACATACGGAACATCGGAATATTTATCCCGGCGTGCTTTATCCTTATAATGTTCGAGTTCTGTATGATGTTCTTTCCAATCGAAGCCGTCAATGGCTTCATAGATGGTAGCTTCTCCAGGCAACCTCTCGAAACTTACTCTATTCTCTGTCTGTACGGCCTTCTTGTGGGCAAAAAGCTTTGTCACGTTTCGAAACTTGGCATCGTCCGGATGTTGTCTGAGCAGCATCTTCTCTTCTTTTTTAGAAAATGGTATGCCAAGTCGGCACTTCTGGAGCATTTTCACAAAAGACTCATCACTTTGACGATGAATCTCTTTCAGATGAACATGAGTGAAATTAGCATCTTCCCAGGCAGCGCTCCTGAAGGCCCACTGGTCCTCGACATAAAATGGCCCGCAGTTCGACCTACAGTTCCACTCAGTTGGGGACCATTCAGCATTCGCCGTTGTTTCTAAGCCACAACGTATGCAGTGTTTGAAAGGCTTGACTGGAGGTAATTGACAGAAATCGCCGGTGACAAGAAGTTGGACGCCGCCAAATGCTGGGGCGTTTGGGAAGTAGTCCCCGTGTTGGGGTGACCAGCATCGCGCACTCTTGAGGCCTTCGTTCATGCGCTGGAAATGATGGTTTTCAACCATACTGATCTCATCGATGATAAGAACATCCGTCTTCGCGAGACGCTCCTTGACAGTTGGGCGATGTGAAAGACCTTTGAGCTTACCTATGGGGAGCTTCATATCGTCAATCATCCAGCTCATGTAGGACCAGGTAGTCACGCCATTGACTCCAAGAGCGGCTCGACCGGTTGGCGCGGTGATGTGAACGGTTTTACCCGCCGCTCGAAGCTTCTTGACTGCTGCTTTGAGAACTGTGGACTTGCCGCATCCTGCTGAGCCAGTGAAGAAGACATTTCTTCCTGACATGATGAGATCGAGGAGGTCCTGCTGCTCTTTGCATAGCGTTGGCTCAGGCACCGGGTCAACGGCCAAGAAGTCGTCCTCATTATCGGCGGGACCACTTGTCGAGGGATTGGACGGAAGTAAGGGCATCGGCCGTGGCTGCTGTGGAATCTGTTGTGGAATCTGTTGTGGAAACTGCTGTGGCCTTGGCTGTGTCCTTGGCTGTTGCATCGGCGGTAGCTGCTGTGGAATCATCTGTGACTTTTGCTCTGCGATGTGCTGTTCGAGCTGCTGTATCTTTTGCATGAGGATCTCCCGTCGGGTCTGCAGTGGCATTTCCTGTGTGATCTGCGGCGGCATCTGCGATGGTTTGTTCTGAGGCTTGTGCTGTGTCCTTTGCTGTTGAGTCTGCGGCGGCTGCTGTGATGGCTTGGCGGGCGATGACTTCTGCGGCGGCTCCTGAGATGGCTTCTGTTGTGGCCTTTGCTGCAGCGCCTGAGATGGCTTCTGCTTTCCCATGGCTAGAAAGTTTGCCATTGTATTCTTGTTCGACCTTGGTTGTTGTGGCGAGGACTTGGCATTGGCGCGGCTTGAGGAATTGGCTTTGGGGGCTTCATCTTCGTCGGACGATGAGTGGATGCTGATGTAAGAAGACGATCGCTGAAAACGCTTGGGTTCGTTGGCAGATGTCGGAGCTTGCGCATTGGCGTCGCGTTTCCTCTTGAGCGGTGCCCCGGGGGGGGTCCCTCTGGGGAAAGGTGTTTGGCTTAGGACCTCTCATTCTCGGCATGGGAAGGGTAGTCGTAGTAATTGGCTAGGGTAGGAATGAATGAGGCAGCTAAACTTGATATCAGTGCATGTTTGCGGTGAACGGAAGACTAGGGGAACCCACATAGCATGTACATACGCGTGAATCAAAGTGATCGGGTCGATCGCGTAGATGAAGCGTTGGGTTTGAGGAGCGGGGGGCGCGGGGACGCGACCAGTTTAATACGGGCCAAACTCTAAACGCGTGGTGGCCTCCCCCACGTGACCTAGCCAATTGCTTGTCAGTGTCTTATCGTCCGGAACCGCCCTGATCTTGAGTATCCTCGATTATCTTGGGCAATTGTATAGATAGCTGATATACTGTCTGAGTCTGAAATGGCTTTACAAGAGTGCTATTTTGGGTTGATAGACCTGACAGCTGATTCTCGTATCACGCGCCTCGCACCAATATCCTCGACGGGTAAGCGATCAGAACAGCAAGTATGTAACTCCTTACCCAAGGCTTGGCTACCAACGTGGGGTAGAAGCTGATGAGGAGGTCGTGAATGTATAGTTTTTAGAGCTTGGAGTCAATACCTTTCGGTCTTAAGAACAATCTGATCATAACGAGAAGTACTTCTCCTAGCAACAGACATATCTGGCCTGCCACAAATATATCATCGGTCAATTCATGCCGTAGTTCAACGACTACGAAACACTGAGGATTGTCAATGCCACTCCAATATGCGATCATTCACATACAATTATTATACAAAGCCCACATAACAAGAAACCCACATTCAACATCATCCCCCTTCGGCAAATCTTTATGTTTCTAGCTCGGATTTATTGTTTTCCTCAAGCTGTTCAAACATCTCAGGACCAAAAGTATCAACAAGGAACTGGCGAACCTCCTCATTCCCTCCCTCTCCTACCGTGAGTCCCTGCGCACCTTCGACCTTCAGACCCCGGAGACCTGTCGCTCTCGACAATGCAACGTAGACCTGCCCCTCTGCAAAAGCCCTACTCAGATTGACAATAACGCGTTCCAGAGTCATTCCCTGGCTCTTATGAACGGTGATAGCCCAGCCAGGTACAAGCGGAATTTGAGTTCGGTGCAGGAGGGAATAAGGCCTAATATCACCAATGGCAGTGATCACGCACCAGGGATAGATTGTGCGGACGCGCCCGTTGCTGAAGCGCACGCGTGGCCAGACGCGGTCTTCTTTGTTGATGTGCTTTTGTAGGTGCTGTGCAGTAAAGGCTCGAACGTGGCGTTCTCTGTCGGTCGAGTATGGTCCTTGGAGTGCCGGCAGTTTCGCCAGGTCGATTCTCTCCCAGCCGCAGATAACGCCTTGACTTCCGTTGACGAGTCCAGCTCTGATATCGAGGTTTACTTGGAGCATGACTTGCATTGTTTCTTTGAGGTAGACGACCGGGTCGAGTTGATGGTCCTTGAACACAACCAATGTTCCGTCTCCAAACCTTTTGCTATACTTCTCATTCTCCCATTCCAGTACCTCATTCCATTTGAAGCCATCACGGACCGTATACTGCTTCGGTTTATACTCTGTGATCGCTTGGAACTTGGCGTAATTAATCGGGTCAACCTCGTCTATGGTGCAGAGGAGTTGTGGCGCATTTTCAACTTCGCAGTCGTGATTCATGAGCAGGTCTATGTCATTTTCATTGAAGGGGACCCCAAGGCGGCATTTCTGTAGGACTTTGATGAATGTGGGGTCGTTCTGACGATGAATTCCTCTCAAGTTGAAACAGGCAAAGTTGGCCTCGGCCCAAGCACTGCTTCTGAAGGCCCATTTGTCCTCGTCAGCCCATGGTCCGTGGTCCCTGGATCGGGGACAAGTATGCAGGCCGGCTGCACTGTTGAAGCTGGTTGGGGCACCGCAATGATAGCACCACTGAAAAGGTTTGACAGGGGCTAGTTGGCAAAAGTCCCCAGTGACGATGAGCTGAATGCCGCCGAAGGCCAAACGTGCCTTGTCCGCTCTCACGCTTTTCAAGCACTCATTCATGCAGTTTAAGAAATTACTGCTAATCATGCTAACCTCGTCGATAATCAGCACGTCTGTTCTTCTAAGGCGCTTTTTTGTGGTCTTTTGGAAGCATGCGCCCTTGAGCTCGGCTATTCCTTTTTCAAACAGTTTGGGTCCCCATCCCATATAAGCGTGGGCAGTTGTGCCTTCGATTGGCACAGCAGCACGGCCAGTGGGTGCGCAGATTTTAACTCTCTTACCCATATCCTGCAACCGGCTAATAGCAGTCTTGAGAACAGTCGATTTACCGCTGCCCGCTGAGCCAGTGAAGAAAACATTGCGTCCATCGTCGATAATGGCGTTAAGTAGCTGATTCTGCTCATCAGAAAGTGCTATTTCTGGCTCAGTGTTGATCATAAGTCGATCGCCAGGAGGTGCCAACTCGTCGTGTTGGGTGTCGTCTTTAGGGCCGCTGGATGAGACTCTGAGGGATGATGCTTCGCATTGAGTCCGTTTGGGTGAAGGAGGAAGGGTTTGTAACTGATTCTCGTGCTCGCTTGTCGGAGCAGCATCACTGGCCTTTCGTTTTGTCCCCTGGGGCTCCTGGGGCGGCGGAGTAGGAGGATAAGTCGGAGGGGCTGGACCTCTCATTCTGGGCATGGGTTCGATACAGTATCTTCATACGATGTCAGTGCGTGCTTACAGAGCCCTGGCAGTAGGTACCCACATCACACGTAGGGTAATCGTTCGCGTTGGCGAAAGGCTGGGTTGCGGGAGGGAACGCGCCTGATTTATCAAGGGGCCAAACCCAAAAACGCGGAAGTGATGTACTGCACGTGACCAGACGTATTTGACGCAATCATGGCTCCGGCTTCCGTCCCAATTCGTTATTTTTTTGGAGTTTTGCTTTTCCCGGTACAAACACGTCATTTGCTGGAATCTTCCGTCGATCACAGCGAAATCTGGCGCGGCTTCAGTTCGAGACTCGTCGCACGATTCTTGATGCCCGATGCCGATACAAAGGTTTACTTCTGTAGCTTCTCCCTCAGTGGGGCAGCCCACTGGGGCTTTAGTGGATCTACAGGTTCGCACGGTAATACAGTGTGAAAACAGTCCGTTATGATAGTCCACCGTTACGACCACCGTTACAAAACGTTGCCCCATACAAACTCAACAGCAATATTCAACATGGCTGACATCTTATCGCTCCCCATCTCCCAGTTCTGCAGCCTCTGCGCTTCAACCGGGTTTGCCGCGTTTGCTTTCGCTTCAACGAGCTCACCCAACGTAGTCATAGGACAGCTCATATCAAAGAAAGCCTTCTCCGTCTGCCATTCCTCAAGACTTCTCGCTTCCCAGAGCAACCTGCTAGATGGGAGAGGAAGACTACACATGTCGCTGCACACGCTGCATTTCTTCCCATTCTCAACCGTGATTACGCAGCCTATTATCAGCCACAGACATGACATTCGGCGGCGTGATTCTGCGAATATCCAATCTTGCCAGGTCAAGCTTGGTTCGGAAAGCTCCGAGGTTGAATAGTTGCCCGCAAGTTCGAGGAACCGGGATCCGATAAGCTGGTGACGTTTAGCTTATTGTTTGTGGGGAGACTCTTTCAATACTAACCTCTGCTGTTTCGAATAGCCTCGATGTCCGGCCATTGCTTCCTGAATCAGGTTCGCTCATCGACATCATCATATAGATAATCATAGCTTCCAGACACAAATGCACCTCACGAGGAGAGAAGGCATGCAACTGTTTCGTATCAGCCGATGTTACTCGAAGAGGTTGGTCACGTTTACCTTTTCCCGAAAGCGCTCCTCCTCAACAGCAACAATTCTCCACAAGAATGGTTCAGTTTCCGGCGTTCGTGCTGCAAAGAGCTGAGCAAGACTGATGCAACTACCCAGCGTCTCGGGGAGGGTTTTCTCATGCCAATGCGGGTGGATGAATGGCGGGAAGGTTTGTCGGCGAAGCATCATTTGAGGATACGCGTAGAGCATCTGCATGATCACTCGTGATGCGTGCTGTAGGCTTGAAAGACGTTTCGATACACGTGTCAAATCACCTTTAGAGCTGAGCGATCTTAGCCGCGACTGGATCTGAGTACCGCTTGTTATGTTGAGTGGTAATACGTCCACAGAAGTCGGCATAAGTCCAGAAGTGTTAGTGACGAAAGTATTCAGCGGTGAGATGAAGCCACTTGCGAACTCGTCCAGCTCAAAAGGAACATCCAAGATCTCCCACGGAATGAGGTCATTCATGGAGTGGCTATTGGGTCCCTGGCTGTGCTCAATTGAAGCGGCAGTCCCTGTGCAGATTAGGCGGCCATACCCGCATCGGAGGTCCTTCTTCGTGCATCTCGAACATGGCTGCCCAAAGTCGCATTTCGTCTTGGCTATTCTACAGGAAGTGCAGGATTTTGGGCGTCCTTTACGTTGAGTTTGAGCCCGTCGGCAATAATTGACGTGACGTTTGTACGGATGCTCTGACAACTGTCAGCGGCTGACAGGCATGCTTAGGACAGACATACCCTGAGTGAAAGCCTTGTCGCAAAAGTGACAAGTTTCAAAGAATAGAGATTCCATTGAAGTCTCCATGGCGGCCGATACGAGTCTTTGCGATTTGAAAGTGATGTAGGAGAGTACAAGTGGAGGTTGGTAAGCAGAAATATGCTTTCGGATTTAAGGCTAAAATCTTGCGGCCAAGACCTGCGCAAGGATTTGACTCCGCAATTGGGCAAACACTAAATTACCGTACCAACATATGGTGTAAAGTTGCTATTTACAGAGGAAGCTCTCCATTACGGTCACTGAAAGTCCTTGTAGGCCCATCCTCCCCAATAGTCGCCATTTGCACGATCCTTTCAGCGCCAACTTCAGTACTCGTTCCCCACTCATGATAACCCGACAAGCCCGTCTTCACCAACCCTGGACAAACAACATTAACCTTTCCACCCACATCATGCAACTCTCGGGCAAAGTTGATCATAAGCATATTAACCGCTGCCTTGCTCGCGTCGTAAGACTTGTAGTCAATGTTGTAATAGATCGTGGTTTCATCAGTGGCCTTGGTGAGACTGCCCATGACGCTCGAGACAAACACAATGCGCGGCGGAGCATTCTTTGCTTTGCGAAGAAGAGGCAGGAGGCTTTGACTAAGACAGGCGGTTCCTATGACGTTGGTTGTGAATGTCTTGGAGAAGAGATCCCAGGTTGAAAGGCCCTTGTCAAAATCGAGCAAAACAGCAGCGTTGTTGATGAGAACATCGAGATGTCCGTATTTTTCGTCGATATGCTTGACTGCCTTGTCGATGGACTCAGGAGAGGTGAGGTCAAGCTCTACGACTGAAGCTTGATGGCCGTTTTTGCAAAGATCAGAGGCGATTTCTTCTCCCGCTTTGGCGTTTCGAACGCCGAGGAGGACATGGTAATTATGCTTGATGGCGAGTTCTTTGGCGACTGCAAGGCCGATGCCTTGAGTTGAGCCAGTGACGAGCGCAAGAGTTTGAGACATTGCGAGTAACTTGAATAGTGTAAAGGATTGATTTGTATTGTATTGGTGATGAGTTTGGTGAAGGGAGTGAAGAGACATCTTTATATAGCTATTCCATGGCAACGATAGCCATGAGACTTCCTACAACGTATTATAAATTTCAACGGCCAAGTTTGCCTATGAGTTCCATATTTTACTAGTGTTTCCGCATGGTCTCCATCGTGTTCTCTATATGGATCATGAAGTGGTTCCCGCGCGCCGCGTCCAAATTCACCGGGCTTAAAAATGGGTCCACGGCCAATTTGGCCGTGGTGATTAAAGGCTAAAGCCAATCGACCATTGACGTCCCCATGGGTATGAGGGGGCATTTTATTCTAATATGAAGAAAACAGAATTTATAAAAAAAATGAGGACATATTTGGGTTTGCTTCAGATATAGTTAACATGTTTGAGACACAAAAAGCCCTGATCCCTCTCTCGTCGAGGAAAGCGTGACTCAGCCTCTAAAGATGATCAGAAACGCGATCTTTGATCAAAACTAAGAAAGCATATGTTAGATCCTCCATTACAACTCCTTCTTTCGAATTCATTTGAATTTCTAAATCAATATGTCTCTATCCTCTGTGACTGCGATGATGCCGATGCGTAGAAAACGGACGTTACTTTAGTTAGCTATAGGTTATGTAGACCTAAACTAGACGCTTTGAGGCCAATAACGTTGCCTTTGCGCAATAAATAATACTAAATTAACCTAATTCCAGCAACAAAGAAGAGATTGTAATGGTAATGGAGTCATACTTTCATAACACCATTATTGTGAGAGCTTTCCTCACGCTTCACGAAAAGGAGGATAGCCCAGACAGCGCTTCTGATGTCAAACATTGCTAGTTGAAAACATGATATCGTAGCATGAATGATGAAGCCAACATATAGAATGAGTATGAGTTTGCACATGTCATTTGGGTAGTCATATGGTACTCCATGGTAGACTACCCTGTCCACTTGGCACCTCCATCAATAGTAAATCAATGTATGCCGAGTCTCTACTGGGTCATACGAACCCACAGACCACTCTGACCTGAAAAGCCAAGGCGTGGGGAAAGCTTGGCCAGTAGCAATCTCGAAGCTTGACAAGATTGGCAGGTCACTTGGAGCTGTCGCTCGTGTCATCCGACGATGGCCACTCGGACGAGGGGATATTCGACAAGTTGGTATGCCGGAATGAAGGAACCCTGGACTCTTGTCGCTCATATCATGACTTGGAAGAAATACATCAGATTTTTGGACCTGATATCCATGAGCGGGAAAGGAAGCAAGTCCCTAACGCCATGGTATCAAGCAAGGCTGATAATGAGGCCGCTTCGTATCTGCAAGATACAACATCCTGTCACTGACTCGCAAATAGACGCGTGATGCACTCACTTAACAAGCAATACTACCTTCCATATCAAAAGCGGCATGATATCAATTTGAACATCATAGCACAAATGCTACAGCATGTAAAAGGCAGTTCCAATACCCAAGTGAGCCTTAATAAATCTCGCAGGGCCCCAACTACCCCTCTTTACCACTGATAACAATCATCTTTCCTGCAAGTCATAAACAGCGGAGTGATGATTGATTGGCCCACCGTCTCCGCGTTGAGGGTGGTATTGCCGGGAGACATGGCCCAACATGGAAGGTCCGCAGATGTGCAGGGATGCCGTGGTAGATCACACGGATGCCGTTCGTCAAAAAGTACTTGTGCCAAGAAGACGCAGGGGCCGACGAGGCGCTTGCAGAGTGCAGAAATAACCTGGCGTCTTTATCTTGCAGATCAGAGTATATTGCGGTGTAGTGGTCTAGACTATGGACTTCCTTTTAGGGTATAATTGTTCTGATAGTGGTGTTGAGATGCTTGATAGTGCCTTTGACCGCAACCCTTTCATCCTGTGTATAGTCCGAGCATATCTATGACTGCACCACTTAATTTCTAGCGTCCTAAAAGCTCCGAAGATGTACAAAGAAGGTTTATCATGCTTAACCTGCGTTAACCTTACTCTTAAGCTTGCAATACTCACTAATTACTAGCCCTCGGCGCATACATACCAATCAGGCTATCCACTCCGCGCACTTTCCCCAAAGTGCAAATCTACGATGGTTCGTCCCGAGCCGTTTATTCCCTCGGCTGTTGTTTGTCCGAGAAGACCTTCCTATCTCGCTGTCGCCGAGATATTGCGATATGACGTGCTAACCCTAGCGGGACTGAGGGCCAGGAACAAGTGACCCCAGATAGCAATGTCGCATGACTGTAGTGTTTGCGAGATAGTGCCTGGACAAAAGACCCTTCTTGCAGCGCTTATATCCCAGAATAGGCCAGTGGATAGTTATGAGCTTCTAGATATTCGAGGCCAAGATAGACAAAAGTCCCATTTGAATTGGGAAGTTGGATAGAAGCGTGGATGACTGGAAGCATAGTATTGTAGAAGATAGAAGTATATAATAGATCCTTTAAACATGTCTCTCTGACCTTCACGAACATCATCATCAACTCAGCACTTCACTTCAGTGCAACTCATCAAGATGCGTTTCTCAGACTCTCTTCTCCTCATCGGCCTCTCCAGCCTCGCTGGTGCTCATCCCAGCCGAAGGACTCCCAACCCTTCACCGCTGAGCAAGCGTGGCCTCGACCTGGAAGCTTTCAAGCTTCCTCCCATGGCCGAGTACGTTCCTCAGGAAGAGGTTCCTGATGATGTCAGTGCCAAGGTCGTCACCAAGCGCGCTGATTATACCGAGACTGCCAAGGACTTGGTCAAGTCGACATTCCCCAAGGCTACTTTCCGAATGGTCAACGACCACTATGTCGGAAGTGGGGGTTTGGCCCACATCCACTTTAAGCAAACTATCAATGGTATTGATATTGATAATGCCGATTTCAACGTTAACGTGAGTATTATGTGCTTTTTAATGCTCAAAGATATGCTGATGCGTATATAGATTGGCCCTGATGGGGACGTCTTCTCCTTTGGAAACAGCTTCTATGATGGCAAGATTCCTGGACCCCTCACTAAGCGTGACGAGAAGGACCCCGTCGACGCTCTCAAGAACACTGTTGATGTTCTCTCCCTCCCCGTTGAGGCTGAGAAGGCTAAGGCTGAGAAGAAGAGCAACAACCACTACACCTTCACTGGAACCAAGGGTACCGTCAGCAAGCCTGAGGCTAAGCTCACCTACCTTGTTGATGAGAACAAGGAGCTCAAGCTCACTTGGAGAGTTGAGACTGATATTGTTGACAACTGGCTGTTGACTTATGTCAACGCTGCCAAGACTGATGAGGTCGTCGGTGTTGTTGACTACGTCAACGAAGCTACTTACAAAGTTTAGTGCGTATCTCCATATTTGCCCATTGGAATACAATTAACCATTCTACAATAGTCCTTGGGGTGTCAACGATCCTTCCAAGGGATCTCGTTCCACTGTTTCCAACCCTTGGAACCTCGAAGCCTCAGAGTTCACTTGGCTCAGCGACGGTTCAAACAACTACACCACAACCCGTGGAAACAACGGGGTTAGTTATGAATTGACAATTGGCCGACCAAAGCTAACATTGTGCTAGATTAGCCAGGTTAACCCAAGTGGGGGCTCCACTTACCTCAATAACTATCGCCCTGACAGTCCTTCCTTGAAGTTTGAGTATGATTATTCCACAAGCACTACTACCCCAACCAGTTACCGTGACGCCTCTATCACTCAACTGTTCTATACTGCCAACAAATATCATGATCTATTGTATTTGTTAGGATTCACGGAGCAAGCAGGTAACTTCCAGACCAACAATAACGGCCAGGGAGGCCAGGGAAATGACTTCGTCATTCTCAATGCTCAGGATGGAAGCGGTACAAACAACGCCAACTTTGCCACCCCAGCGGATGGCCAGCCTGGCAGAATGAGAATGTATCTCTGGACCTATAGCACACCCCAGCGCGACTGCAGTTTCGACGCTGGTGTTGTCATCCACGAGTACACTCACGGCCTGTCCAACCGCTTGACTGGTGGACCTGCTAATTCCGGATGTCTCCCTGGCGGTGAATCCGGTGGTATGGGTGAAGGCTGGGGTGACTTTATGGCTACTGCTGTCCACACAACATCCAAGGATACCCGCGCCAGCAACAAGGTCATGGGTGACTGGGTGTACAACAACGCTGCTGGTATCCGAGCTTATCCCTACAGCACAAGCCTTACCACCAACCCCTACACTTACAAGAGTGTGAACAGTCTCAGTGGAGTCCATGCTATTGGTACTTACTGGGCTACTGCCCTGTATGAGGTTATGTGGAACCTCATCGACAAGCATGGGAACAGTGATGCAGATGAGCCCAAGTTTAGTAACGGCGTTCCTACTGATGGTAGATATTTATCCATGTATCTGGTGGTCACTGGCATGTCGCTGAAAGTATTCCCCAAACCTATAAAACCGATATCTTGCTAATACTTTTGATAGGCAACCATGCAACCCTAACATGGTTCAAGCTCGAGATGCCATTATTGATGCTGACACTGCCCTTACCAAGGGGGCCAATAAGTGTGAAATCTGGAAGGGTTTCGCTAAGCGCGGTCTTGGAACTGGTGCCAAGTATAGTGCTTCGAGCCGCACTGAGAGCTTTGCTCTTCCTTCTGGATGTTAAGGGAAGAAGGGTCAGGACGATGAGTGGATGAATGAATGATGGGTTACGAGTTGGCTGTGAAGATGATGTCTATGTTTATTCTGGTATATATATGGTTGTGTTGTATATAGTCTCGTATGTTGATGTTGAGTTCAATTACAAGTACGTGAAACTGCTTTCGATGGTTGCATTTGGGATCGGGTGATTTTGAGTGGAGAGTGGGTCTTGTCGTCTTCTAAACTCATCTCGGTTTATGATAATAATCCTAAAATCCTCTAAACGCTTTCCTAAAGTCGTCCTAAAGTTATAATAAGAACTGCTCTAAGTCGGATGAATCGTCTGTACTCCCCTGTCGGCTGGTGTGCTTGAATGACCCATGCTTTGAACCTTGGTTCACCGTGTACGACCCGCGGCTGGCAGTTTCTTCCTGGTTGAAACTCTAGTGTATAGATAGACTCAATCAGGTCTTCGACTGAGCCGACCTCTGCTGTAACGGTGTGGAGATTGCAGGTGGTTGGTTCGATTATGGGATGACTGCGGCCTATAAGGTTAAGCTTTAGGCTATGAACACAGATAATGAATGACAACACGATATTTCTTTTTCCCCGATATAAGCTTTTACCTATAAGCTTTCACAATAACCAATAAATCTTATTACAAGCCCTAGGGCATTGCAAAGGGAAGAGACCAAGAGGTATATAAAGGGATATAACCTCGAGACGGCTGGTTCGATTGGATGTAGTTGGTCTTCGATTGGATCGGCGGACAAGACGTTGGTGGTTTCGGTCGTCGCAACAGCGCTACTCTTATCTAAGGACTTACTCTCGGTAAGCTCTCTATAGGTACGGGTGAAGAGTCGCCTGCAGATGAGTTGGCAAAGGAGGAGTTATGAGTATATGACGATTCCTCCTGTGCTATATGTCTCTTGCTTGGAGGTGTGACTGGGGAAGGATCTGGCGCCTTATCACTGAATGGATTGGCGACCAAGGCCGATATAGCATTGGAAGCATTGGAGGCAGCATGTCTGCGCTTTCGCGAAGTCGTGGGCTGTAGAAATCGGTCGGTATCTGAAGCCATGCCGGGGAAATTTGTCTATCTCACTGCACGAATTGATACACAAGAGTCCGCTGCGGATCTATCTTTCGCAAGGCAATGGTCTGCAGGCAATTCTTATAGCGTCTGTCTAGTCACGGTCGAGCGTCACGAGAGCGAGCTGGAAGAAGATTAGCGGAATTCTTGTGTGATGCGATCCGTGTCATTTTTCAGGGGAATGGAGCAGACTTGGGTCATGACCCAAGCCACCCGACGCGACCTCGTCCGAGTACGTACCTCGATGAACCCGTAAAAGCCGTAGTCAAGAGTCTCTTGAGAATTGTCTGTCTGTATTTAGTCCATTAGCATCTTACTTAATGAGACAACTAACTTCAGCGGCATCATTAACTTGAATACCCCCTGTTTACTAAATGTACGCTCAGAGATTGTATGACACCCGGATGATCGTCTGTCTTTCTGCAAACAAATTGAGCAGATGCTTGGCAGATATGGATCTTTAGTTGTCCAGTCTGTCGATGTCTCTTGCACTGGTCTGCACTGCGGCATAGTCAACTTGAATCCCACAGGCGAGGCTGAGTGACGTAAGGACGAACGGTAATCCAGGACATGTTGTTTTGGTTGCTCCAATATCTTGTTCAGTGACCCACTTTGTCTCGACACCAAAAACTCGCCTCCCGCAACATTTCCAACACATCAGTCCGTGACTTGGATCGGTCACCCACAACGCGCATCTTGTTATAACATAATAAGATTTCATTCATATGATCTACAGATCAAAGCTGCTCGGTTGGTGAACTTCTTAAAGTTCTGCGGCATCGGCGCGACGACTGAATCCCAGCAGCAAGATCAGACCTTGGAGCCAAGTAACAGGACCCCAGCGCCCACACATTAGGCGCCAAACGATACAAACGACAACAGTCCAGCTTCGCCGACAAAGAACTTTGCACAAGGTATTACCACTTGGTACTCCTCTTAATGAGAATCTGTCTTTACTAACCAACCAGACGAACAAGAGGATCTCACACAACAGATTGAACTGATGGATCACGTCGAGCCCGATACAAGTCATACACCTGCCTCCTCCAATCTCCTCACTGCCGACGACGGGTCTGCAGTTCCCTCAGTTCTAAAGTCTGGCAAGACACAGACAAAGGAGCGCACGATGCTTCCTGAAGTCGTTCCCGAGCCGTACCCTGCCAACGTCATCAACATCCAACAAGAACTGACCGACTTCATGCAGCCATTTCCATTCCGGCCAGCTCTCCCATCAACCCCGATTACAAAGGTGATCACAGCGGAAGAATGGGACCGACGCAATGCTCATTGGCTAGATAGACTGATGGACGACGAGAGCACAAAGGATGTGGTTGGGCCGATCATCGAGCGGGAAGTTACAGAAGAGATTTTCCCGCTCATCTCCAAGGCCAGAAGAAATCTCCTCGAGCGATGGGCAAAGTCGGAGAACTTTGACCTTGACTGGAGATTTCTGGAGGCCCCTATCCTCCTGGAGGTAGAGGTGACAGACGAGATAAGCCAAGAGATCTTCCAGGTGGAGGCAGATGCAACCAGACGAGCGATCCGTACTATCGAGACCCTGGCTTTGGGCCTACCCAAGGATAAACAGGAAGCAGCAATACTGATCAAGCAACATACAGACAGACTATTTGCTTATCGAGATATCGAGATGGACAACTACGCTCTCATGATGCAGAGCGTGGCCAAGCTGCGGGAATCATCATCTGTCACTCGAGCAGAGGTCAACGACGCCTTTATGGCTAACGAGACTCGACTTCGGTGTCGAGTCGATCCTGCCCAGATGGCACGAGATGAAGGAGTGGAGGCGCTCGAGGCGGATATGGAACACGCTTTAAAGACCCCGACCGTAGACGGATCAGCGGAACAGCTGGTCGTGTTTCTGAAGACTCATTGGCGAATGCGTGATGACGAGATCGCAGACTGGAAGCACATGGCAAACTCAGTCTGCCATGCGGAGAAGGAGGCAGGTCATCCCATCAACCAGACCGACCAAGAGGCCTGTAACAGTCACAACTGGAGTTTAATTCTACGCCTGGCGAATACCCGGGGCGGAAAGGCCCTTGTCACCCTCTTGAACATGGAGCGTTGCGCTCCAGATGAGGCCTTTCTGAGCCGACGAAACGAATGGTATAAAGCTACTCTGACCGAAGAAGAGTATGAAAGCTGGAGCAATATGTTTCCCATCGATGAGAGACCCCAGTCTGGCGGAGAGCAGTTCTAGTCTGATGAAGATGAAGAGTGAGATGGGGTCTCGGATTTTGGTGGCAGATAGGCTATAGCATGAGGGCAATATCTGGCAGGCTGGCAGCTTGTGGTTTGCGAAGCAGTACATGGATGCCGATAGGACGAAGGATTGCAAGCTTTAGTAATTGTTTATGGTCTGCGAAAGGCGAAAGAGGTTATGTCAATAGCTATATAGCCAGATAATGCAGACCGACATTGCTACTACATTATATTTCTAGTCAAATCTCGAGTCAGCGCTATACTAAGTTTGTGACAGGTTTTGATTAACAATTTGTATTTTCTGTACTATTTTCGATGCCAGGAGTATTAAATATACATCTGGCAAACTTCACGATTTGGTAGGTGTTGCGATTATGGTATACATGGTGTTTCTGACAACGCATCTGCGACATGCTGTGACAACAGATCAAATGGGCTTGTATATCCATTTACTAGTGATCATCAAGGTTATCATGTGCATGCGTCTTCTTATCGAAATGATGCACGGCATGTTCTCTAGCCCAGTCTCTTAAAATATCGAAGTCACGGCAGGTATGCGTGACTCGAGCAACCTCCTTTGCTTCTTGTGCCTTGTCACTCCAGACCCATGGAAGTGGGGTGATATCAGCAGAACACATAAGACTCTGTCGTAAAGCATCATAACAATGCTCCAGATGTTCGATCCCAGTCAGCTTATGGTTGGGATCGTATTTTCCGTCTTCGATATAAAGCCTTTTGCGGATCATGTTCTGGGCTGTGTTAGAGCTCCGTCGTGTTGGGGGTATCATCGAACTCATCGATGTTTTTGTGTCACCTTACCAAGCAATGTAGCTGATGGAAAACGTTCAACTCAATGACATATTGTCCTGGCTCGCCGGGTATTGGAATTGTCTTATTTATCAACTTAGCAGCCGAGTCGCGGGGAATTCGGCTGACGCCAACTTCAGAGAGAAACATTTGAGTTGACATCTGTATACTGGGAAGTCGAAGCTCAACTTACACTTCAGATACAAATCATCCCACAATGCATCTCTCTCGGGGGTAGGCGGTCCCTGGTAAGGTGTTCTCTCAGACCCGAAGCCGGTGGTAAACACTAGGTTCTTGTATTTCACAAGTTTCTCAACGGGGGCTGCGAGAAGTTTATTTATCGTTCTTTCCCAAAGCTTCACCTCAAGAAAGATGTCACTGAATTGTTCATACTTACAGTAAACTTGATCCTCAAACGTGGCATTACTACGATTCGACTCCTTGAGAGATAGGGCCAAATATGTGCTCAAGCACACTAAGGCAATAATGAAAAGAATGCATAAATAGAGAAGGCAATGGAGGGTTCCGTGTTTCTTTTTGGTCTGAACTGCATTGCCAAATTTGGGTATGAATAGTTCTTCCTCGTTACTGAGAGCATCGTTGACTAGGTCAGAGTCATCAACCTTGGACTGACTCATGATGATAACTTGGAGTTGAGCTTGAGAAAGACCTTGGGAACGGGGTCAGTATCCAGGTTATTAAGGAGGATTAGCTATACCATACGAAATTTATCAAATAGCCCAGGGACAATTGGGCTCGCGTACGAGCCGAACAGCCGTCAGGATTGTATGTTGGTTGACACAATGGGCCGTGTAGCCGTCATATGCATGTTGGTTGAAGATGCTGACATCGTACCTTGCTTAGTTGGTCCACAAAATACGCCGAATAGCCGATACCACTTCCGAGCACGTCGCGAAAACAGCATACAATATGCCTTTTCATGGGGTATAGATGTTCTAATATTGTAGTACTATGAGGACCAATTGGTTCTCTGGTAAGCGTCAGGATGGTCTGTGCAAAATGTTCTATCGAAAGAATTAAATATAACCACATATTTAGTCTTACTAGGTTTCGTGAAGTAAGCGCTTTATAGGGCGGTTCAATCTTCTACATGACCTGTATCAATGATTAATCCTTTCTAGGAAGGTCACTTGGAATCCTATGTTGCGTTTCAGTTTCTATCAAGGACACCGCTCATCCTTCTTCATAAGTGCCTGGTGATTGCCAAAAGAGAACCTCGCTTAGGAGGTGCTTTTGCTTCTCTGACTATCCCCCTGTTCCGTAGTGGTAGCACGTTTTGAGAACTTCTGCTAGGGGGATATCATGTCCCAGCCAGCTTACCATGATTAGCCTGAAGATTCGGACGCCCGGCAAAGGTATGGTGCATGGGTTAGCAAGTTATTGTGTTGGTTTGATAGTAGGATCCTTGAAAATGTTGCTTCTACCTCAAGTAACTATAAGACTAGATCAGCTGGCGAGAAGTATAAAGAGCCTACAGCGTCCAGCACTTCATATATCAGAATCCAGTCTTACCACAACAATTTCGCCCATCTTAGCTTCCTACCAGAAAACCCTCAAACCTTTCTCCGATATCTCCAAGATGAAAATCACAAACAGCCTTACTCTTATTGCCTTTGCAGCCCAGGCCTTGGGTTCTCCGTTGGGAAGTCGTTCCCCAGGGACTATCGAGGTATTTATTCAAGTAAATAACATATATTCATCATAGTTGCTAATACGTCAAGGCTCGTGCTGAGGACGTTGCAGAGCCGGGTAGAGCAGGTTGGCTGGTCGAAGACAGACGCCGAAGTGAAGATCAGGCAGAGCCAGGCAGAGCCGGATGGTTGGTTGAAGACAAACGTCGAAGTGATGATGTTGCAGAACCAGGTAGGGCTGGTTGGCTGGTAGAAGACAGGCGTCGAAGCGACGATGTTGCAGAGCCGGGCAGAGCAGGCTGGTTAGTTGCCGACAAGTCTTAAAAGACGGCCTTAGCTTCTTGGTATGAGACAATCTTGTCATCTATGTCTAGTTGGAGGACTGCAGCTATAAGTCTCATTTTAAGAAAGAAAAGGACGCATTGTCCTTGCAGTCTTGCTTCCTACATATATACCTACATATATTATTGTCTTGGACTTCAGGCTTTCAGCGACAGTGGTCGAGAGTTCTCTCACTAGCAGCATTACCAGACAGTTAGTTAAGCAACTACTATATTGCCTGGTCTGTTATGACAGGTGGAAACTGGCAACCTCATATGATTCGCTACATAGAAGGATTAGACAACCGTCGGTGCACTCAAGTCGAGTTAGTCCAGTAAGTTCTGGGAACGGCGTTTCTCTCTTGAGTGGAACTTTTTCTCTTGTCTCGAAGTCAACAGCTAGACATTACCGTCTTACAAATCAACGTGGAAACGAAAGTGTCACTATCTAAATACGGCGTTGAATATGCCACTTAGAAAGACTGGTTGTAATACTAAGTTTTGTATTGACTATTCTATATATCGACGACTCCACAGCCACTATTTACTAAATCTCGAACCTTGCTTAACTGTTCGCGTTGAAGGCGCAGTAGTCAAAGTTATCGACCTTGTTTCCTGCCCATGCTGGGAAGGCAACCGCCTTTCCGGAGCCACCGAAGACAGCAAAAGTCGCAATAAAGACCATGACCTGAGTACCACCATCAAGAGCGGCAGAGATCAGGTAGTTCCACTTCACGAACCACTCAGGGCGGTATCGTCGGAGGTAGAACTGACCAAAGGCACCGAGGATGAAGTAGCTGGTGACTGAGGCGTTGAGTCCGACAAAGAGGTAACCGAGGTACCAGAGGATGATGGGGATGTTGAGGTAGGAGAAGATTCGGATGTGAGGGAAGAACTTGTGAGCGAAGTAGAAGGGGAGGGGAGCAGCGAAGCCGATGAGGTAGGCGATGGTGACCCATTCGTAGCGAGCGCCGATGGAGAACATCTTGGGGGCGATGGACCAGGCAATGGCAAGGGTGTTGAACTGCTGGACCTGCGCACCACTCCAGACGTTGGTACCTTCGGCTGACATGAGGATGGTAGCCTGGTTGTCAACAATGCTACACATAGTTAGCTTCAAGTTCATATCATTGCCGATAGAGTCTTACCTGATCATCATAACATAGTTGAGGAGGGCACCAAGAATGCAACCAATGACCTGAGTAGTGAAAGTGGCCTTGGGAGAGAGCTTGTTCTGCTGGGCGAGCTTCAGGTCACGAAGGAGGAGTGTTCCCTGGCTGAAAGCGTTATAAGTGTATGAAGTGAAGTACATGTTGGCTAAGAGGGTTAGTATTGCTGGCAATGCAGGTGATTGGGATACTCTTACCAAGAGGGCGACCAGGGAACATGTAGCCAGCCAACATCTGGAAGATGGGCTGAAGGTTGAAACCGAAACCAGTGATGGCATATTGAGCCCCAAAGAAAACCATTATCACTATGAGGAAGAGGATGGCCAAGATGAAACCCCACCACGGGAGAGTCGACTTCATGGCATACAAGCAAGAGATTCCAATGATGATGCTAGCGAGAAGAATTACGAAGTACCAACTGTTGGGAACCTCGTCGTAGTCGAGCATGAGCTTGTAATGGGGATCGATGGTTGGGTCGTCGCGGAGCTTTTGCTTCTCTTCCTCGGTGCGGGTACCGACATGCTGCCAGAACTTGTATGTCCCAGGGCTAAGAAGCTGCTTGATTTTGGCCAATGTAATCCATTTCCATCCCAGGCTGACTTCGGCATAGTTCCAGAGGAGCATATGCACGATTGTGGCAGTGAGACCAGCGTTGGAGGTGATTAGATAGTTGATATACGTGGCAGTCAAGTAAGGAAGACCCTGCTGGTCGACGAGATCGTTGTTGACGGTGAAATCGGGGTTCATGATGGAAGTCTCGTTGTAGGGAATGTGGGTGGTAGTGTTGGAAGCTCCGTCGTAGAGGAGCTGGGCCATGAAGGGGAAGTCCTTTGCGCGCCAGTAGTTTCCGTAGTAGAGACCCATGGACAGAGCGATACCACCGATGTAACCGAGATAACTGTTGAAGAGTGTCTGAAGGGGCATCCAGAGGGGTGAACCGAAGCCAGCGATGTAGTTCCAATCGAAGCAGATGCTCAAGAAGCCCATTCCTTCGTTACCTTGAGAGCCACCAAAGAGGTTTGTGAAGACGGGGTTGTGGCGGTCGGCAAGGCAGAAGACGGAGACAGCGGAGAGGAGAGGGAAGATGTACTACTATTGTTAGCATGGCTTGGCGAGCTTGAGTTGGTGCACTTACCTCGGGGAACCACTCCCAGCAAAAGATGGCAACAAAGACAATCCAGAAAACTTGGAATCTCTTCCTGGTCTCTGACTTGGGCTTATGCAGAGTCTCCATGACAGTCGTAATGGGAAGGTTGGCGGGGTACAGCATCTTGGTGGGGTAAAGCAGAACACTCCTCATCATACCAGCGACACCATATCCGATGAGCTGAGACGACAGCGTGATGAAGATACCGGCTGCCACGGAGGGGTATCCACCATACCAGAGCTTCTGGACAGTCAAGGCTTCGGTGGACAGGGCTGAGACTGAAGCAGCTGAGGCCATGAGGACGGCGGCGGTATGTTCCTTTCTGTTCCAGGGACCGGGGTTGAGAAGACGACCGATGCGACCCCAGCGTGGGATGATGTGCGCGAGACCGGTACCGAGCGTTTCAGCGAGGACGGTCAAGAACATAACGGAGACGTAGACGACTTGGGGCTTGAAGTACATGATTTCTTGGAGGACAGCACCAAAGGCCGACAGTCCAATACCTATGGCCCATCAGCACATTACATTACAGCTCAAGAGTAGGTAGTTTACTAACCAACGGCAAACATGCGAATCGTCCATGGGTTCATGGTAGGGTCATCGTCGACCTGAATGACATGTGTGACGATATCTTCAGCCGTCTCAAGAGGCTGGTTCACCTTATCAGATGACATGATCTCAATATCATGAAGATGCTTGTCATCCTGAGGAAGACCCCTCTTCTCATCGGCAGGATAGATATCCGCCTTGGGAGAAGGGCTCTCCGGCTTGGTCTCCTTCTCAGAGATACTCATTGTAGCGTTAACAAAGGAATTAAAACATAAGCATGGAGAAGAAAGGATGTCGATGAAACCCAAGTCTTGGCAGGGCGATGCAACATGTTTTGTACTCAATTGATCTAAAACACCAAGATGATCATCGCCAATACTACAATAAAGTCGTGCTAGACCATCAAAGGCATTCCGGGTTTTCGGCACGCTATCGTACTGGATAGGACGGCAAAACCCAACACAATGGCACAGGAAGGAACTTTTCAAAAGGACCCAATCTGCCAAAAGTTCCTCTCTTGTTCCCGAAGTTATTTGCGGTTCGGTTGGTACAGCCCGGACTCATTTCGTATCTGTTATCGACTCGACTCGACTGCAAGACATGCGACACTGCGACTCGCCCCATGCGATATCAACCAAGAATCGCAAGCCAGTGACATGTCCCCTACTAACAGCACCTTTGCCCCCTTCCCCGCAAGATCACGCGTCTTTGGGTGCGAGTTAGCAACAAAAGGTCCTGGTAAATCGGCATTCGTGCGAGGTGACCTGCCCAGACTGGCTAGATCAGCCGAGGTCGCGCTGGATTGGGCAGTCAGTCCCATTTTCAGACCCTGGTCTATCAAGCCATCTATCGCCGAGTTAGCCGGGAGACACGTCAAGTGCCGATGGCATTGTACATATTAATCGTTGATATTAGCAATCCTGGGGGGTTTCATATGCTTAAGCTTGTAATTTCGCAAATGATACGCTGTCATATTATGAGAAAAGCGTGAGATTTTTACTCACTCATGTGCTGACGCGGGTCTTGCACGGGAATAGAACCGCTAACCTCCAACGGCTCGTATAAAGAGGCGAGAGATAAGCCACTCGCGCTCAAGAGGTGGCACAGATATGGAAATACGGCTATCGGCGTCCCGTTGCTAGATCGGCCGCTCGATACAACACCAACGTGTTCTAGTGCGCCATCGAAGCTGAGGAACTTCTGTTTTGGATGCGGGCGACTTATTAGACGCCGATGCCGGTTTGCCGGTTTCCTTATCCATCACGACCCCATGCCACGATAAGAATAGCCTTAGGTTAACGTTCGTGGGGAAGGTCATTTCTCAATCCATCGTGTTATAACCTTCAATACTTCCAAATCTGTCATAAAGAATGCAGCCACCAATTTCTGTGGACAAGGAGGCAAACCAGCCAGTGATGATCGTGGAAATGAATATTTTATGTACAAGAATCTATCTAATAGGCCATTCGCCACCGATTTTATCCTGCGTGCAACGTAGTAGTACAATCGATCAGAAGGATTCCACCCAGAACTTCTGTTATCATTACAACACCCGCATTCTCCTCAATCCTTCGTCATAGACGTCTTTCACGCCACTGTAATACTCTCCTTCTACTGGCTTCTCGATAGCAAGCTCCTCCGTACCGAAGCCGAGATGTCCGACTGAGCTCTCATCACTCTTGCCCATCGACATCCTTCCCCATTTGATCTTTCGCCTCGACACGTCTTTAAGTTCTTCTGCTTCTTCGTCGCCTATCAGTCGAGCGCTCATACTGTCGTACTCGTTGCTCCTCATGCTCATCTTTGACGTTGCGCGGCTAAGGGATTTGAGTTTTGTAGAGGGGTAGTGGCAGGCTGCTGATATAACTGCCGAGTTTGCGCCTGCGATAACCATCACGCCTGGCAGTTTGACGAAGGCGAGGAAGAGTGGCGTGATGGCAACACCGATCGATATCAGGAGACCGACCAAGATAGCCTTGGATGAGAACTGGAGACCGACAGTGACGGTTCTGCTATACGGATATCCTGGCGCGTATGCTATGGTGTGTCAGCACTTTAATCTGGATAGCTAACTGTTTTAGGAACAGATGCTTACCTTCGTAATTGCTCACGTAAATGCAGTTGGAGTAGATCCAGTGGAGCCCAATACTAATAATGATCAAAGGGATGGAGAACCGATAAGGAAGCTGAAGACGATATGTCGCGTTCTGCGAGCCCCGCGGGTCCGTGACGCGCAGCGAACGAAAAGCAACACTGTACTTTGACCATTCAAACTCAGCTAGCATGCGTGTGAAGAGGCCGTTGTATGCGAGGTAGCAGATGGAGAGGATAAGCTGCGGCGTGTTGGCAACCATGGTGAGTGAGATGAGAGGAAGGTTATCTAGAGTGTTGTCCCTCACGTCTTCGTTCTGCGGCGCGTGCATGAATTTGGAATTGCTCCTGTGATGGGGTTAGGTCTTGCATGCGTACTGATAGAGGGAGGCTGACTTACAGAGATTGACCCCGGATGGCGATGCTCAGCATGACCGAAGCGACGATGAGAGAACATCCAATGAGCAGGGATGATAGCACCCAGATGTTTCTTGGAACAGCCTTTCCAAACCTTCGTAGTGAGTTGTTCTGCCACTGCCTGGGACCCTGCAGCCATTTGTAATTCTGATCCGTCTCCCCCAATCTCGTCTGTGTAGGTTTTGTTGTCTTTCTCAGATCCTCCATGGTCAACGTACACATCCCCCTCGTCTCCTCATCCGGTCTCGAAATAAACGACGCAATCGCATCTCCCGGCGTCATAAGCGGATTCTCGTTCCCCCAAACACGAAGCTTCAGAACCAAAAGGCACAGAACGGTCTTGAAGAGACACATGATGCAGACAATGAGCAAGAGACTGTTCGCTATGCTCAATCTACACGGCGCCTCGTACTCCTCCGAGTAACACCGATCAACCTGCATAACACGATACTTGGTCTTGAAAACTCTCGGGTCTGTGATGATGGCGCCAGATTGTGGGTCAAAGATATTGCGCGTGCCTTGCAAATCCCATGTTCCGTAGACGTTCATGTAAGAGCGCTGCATTGGCGAAGTTTTGCCATATTCATCTGGTGGAGCGGACACCAGATAGCTGGGCTCAGGGTCTGACATGTACCGATTTGTATCACTGCTCGCCTGAGATGACCTTCCGGTGCGTGTAAATGCGTCCACTGACCAGAGAGGATTCCTGACGTTGAGATCGGTCGTGTTTGTTGTGTTCATCAGTACATCAGCTCGTTTCCAACCAACTGTTTCATTTCGGTATACGTCGTTAAAGTCGTAAATTATCATCATCAAATGTCGCCAATGTGTCAAGGCTTGTTCGGGGTTGTTATATCGATGGATACAATCAGGCAGCGCCATTTCAACCCAGTTTCCACTCGTCTGGTTGACCACGAAAGAGTCATTAATGGGCTTTAGCTTCTCCAGAGATTCGGCGTTACCTAGGCCCTGTGATTGATCGCTGTAGTTCAGTCTATCGTAGTAGGCTGCTGTGATTGAGGGAAGTCCCTTCCAGCCTCCTTGGGTGAGTTCTGGAGAGCCGATCATGACTGTGAAGCCATTGGTGCCTTTACTCTCGAGCACGCAACCGTTGAAGACGAGATGAAGTGGGACAGAGCTCATGGAAAAGAGAGTCCAGAAAAGAACTTTTCGCCAGCCAAGAAAGCGAAAGTTCTTGAGAGATTGAACGCCAATCTCTAACCAATGACCCGAACGATGCGCGGCGTCGACTTCAGCTCTCGTCGGCGCTACGAGTCCTTGCATGAAGAAGTTGGACGACGCCAAAATGCCAGTGCTCACAATATTGATGAGCAAATGAATCCACAAGTTCGCTTTGGCAGTAGTATCGCAATTCCCCTTGTACAAAACACTCTGGCCCAGCGCATCACCCGCATCCCTCCCACTGGTAACCGCATCATCTTCATCGTCACGCTTCAGCCCAAACAGCGACACGAAAAGCGTGACGAAGAGGAGCGTCGTGAGCGTACTCACGAGAATTGTGAGGTACACAGCTGTGAGTTTCCATCCCGAAAAGCGACTAAAGCAGCCCATGGTGAATGGCTCACCAGCGAAGGGGGCTGATGCGGAGAAATTTGGGCGTTATCCAAGGCAGACAGATCAGTCAGCCCTGCCAATCAAACGCGTGGATCTCTTGTCAAACAAAAACACGCGACAGCTCGGTTACGAGCTTTTGCGGCCAGCCTTATGGGGACCATGAGAATCCTCCGGAGGATCAGTTATTCAAAGTAGGCTTAGAGAGAGAATGCATTTGTAATCTGAAGAAGTGTCCTTCTTCCAGGTTTCGATAAGGTATCATTGGTATTTCGTCATCCGATTTCTTTTTTTACTTCTTGCAGAGAATATCTTATCCCATACCGTCGTGGCTGCGCCGAAGGATCAGTGTCGGGAGGAGAAGGCCAGTAAGAGGGCTTCGGTTAATGTGATGGGGTCATTCGGAGTTTCACTACATTCCATACGACAGAAATAAAATGGCAGTCTTTTAGTATCGATGGGAGAGAGGCGAGGAGGATTTTGTCACTGCCCCTGGTTTAAATTGATGGCCCCCAAATTCCCGCTCTTAGTTAGGAGAGCGAGGCTGGTTATGCAGTGAGATTTTGGTGCTGTAACGGGAGGCTCGGGCGGCCGGGGTTTTAGATGACCCGGATCGAAATAGAACAGAGAGGTCATTGATCTAGAGACTTTTCTGCTGACTGATGGGCCTCATAGCTTCTCTCGTTCGTGATTGGCTGAGTTTGGGTGCGGCGGTTTCGTGACGTAGTGTTTTTCTCAGACGACTTACCCTGTGTTTGGGGGATTCTAGAAGCAAAGCCTTCGAAGACTATGTGTATTCCCAGAGCAATACGACCGATATTTGTCTATATAAGAGTAATGCATAATATAGACTAGATTGTCAAGTATTATGCTACAGAGGTGATTGAAGGGGGGTCTTATCATCTTTGCCATTTTACCTTAGATCGAAAGTCAGAGACCAACTGTAAGATTAAAAAGGTTTTAAACAAATTTTACTGATCACAATAGCAGTTGTAACCAAATTGACTCAGCTTCAGGCAGATAGTAATCAGTTTAATGTGTCCAATCAACAACAAAAGCTTATCCATTTTAACTTTAAATGCCATTACCTCCATTGTTTGCTGTCTATTATAAAAGAATCAAATTGATATCCATCCTCACAAACCATTTCTCTCCTCTTCGTATCCTCAAACAGCCATGGCGACGCCCTCTTTCACCCCTCTTTTCTCTTTGCCTGACGAGATCATCAATTTAGTATGCCAGCAGTTCTGTCCCTACTGCAGCCAGAAAACCTCTACTCGATACTTCTTTTGTGACGGAGAACCGAAACTGATCCAGGATAGAGAGTGTCTATTGGCCTTATCTCTGACATGCAAGGAACTAAGGCGTATTGCCCAGCCGCACTTGTATCATCGACCGATAGGGCACGATTTCTTTGGGTTCATTGACACCATTGGCCGAACACCAACTATTGGTCAACATGTCCGGGAGCTCTGTGCGGATTCGTCGATGATCCGAAGTTTCATTCGCCAACATCATTACTATTTTGACTTTTTGTCAAACTGCGACAAAAGGTATCGAACCTATCTATCCGACGTTGCTCAGAGAAACCCCTTGTTTCGGTTTCGGACATCAGAAGAAGCAACATGCCTTTTCGGAGAAACCGTGGGAAATACCGAGTTTGCCATTGATTGCCTCTTTTCTGTTGTTATCTTTTTGATACCAAAGGTCAAGAGGCTTGAGATTTGTTTCTCTACCGACCGGAAGTTCTTGTCGATCCCGGCTGGACATTTTCCGAATTTGAAACAACTTATTATTACCGTCTCAAGGTGTTTCCCAGCTGGCAACCTCGACAGTCTGGTTGGTCTGCTGGACGCAGCTCCTCAGCTGGAAAGTCTCGAACTGGTCGGATTGGATGTACCGTACGCGATAAAAGAGTCAGAGATAGCCTTTTGTCACGACAATGTCAACCAGCTTATACTGAGATCGTCCATAATTCACATCAGTCGGCTGGAGGCAATCATGCGTGGCTTCCCAAAACTACAAACGTTCCGGATCGGTGCACCAGAGTATTGGCAAGGCCCTGGTATCGCAACTCTACGACAAGGTGTCTCGTACAAAATTGAGGATGTCTTGATGTTGAGAAGCGATACGCTTAAACACATCACACTCGACTTTTATGCTCATGGCATCGATTATCCGGTAGTGATCCAAGATCTCTCAGAGATGAAGGTCCTTGAGACATTGTACATCAACACCCGCATACTGCGTCGCCGGTGGCAGCAGGGTGTTCTGTCTACACCAAGGATCTACCGGATGCTTCCAGAATCCATTAAGGAGTTTGGTCTTATGGGCAGCGCATCTTCGCTGGTACATGATGAGGTTGTGGATTCGATCAACATATCGGCTCGGGCATTTCCTCTCCTGAGGAAGGTAGTTATTGACCGGTTTGGGGGATCACACCAAGTTGATGGGAATGAATGGAGAAGAAAGATTACCTCGGCTTGTGAAGCTAGCAACATAGAATTTTCAACGAAAGTGACTCGAAGCTCACAGGATTTGAAATTCCCGAATCCGGATCGGGGAATTCGAGGAGGTGCTGCATAATTGCGACTTCTTTCTGAGGCTTGCGTTCTGGGGCTGCATTCGAAACCCATTTAGCTGTATCGTTGAACAGAAAACATTCTATATCAGGAAATCGTCCATAGGCTTGCAGAATTTAGAATATGACAATGAATTAAGCATGTAATTCACTAACCTTCGAATGGCAATTGTCGCGAATTGAGATATGATGGCTGAGCTAAGTGAGACCGGCCCAATTGGTTCACCTTGGATTCAGTTTGCGGGGTTCACACCACTGTGATCCTTCGCAAGGTACTTGGAACCTGAAGGCTGGGATGACCTTACCTCAAAGGTGATAGACCTCGGTACCAGTCAGGTGGGAGCTGAGACTAAACTTTAGTGACTACGGAGCTAAGGATCCCGAAGGTTGTGACCCAGTATAACGATGGATCCTGGCGTTGATCAAGATGGTGATGGAACAGAGTCGTCTTCATTTATCTGAGGATAGGCCTCGGTAAGGTTGAACTGGTGGTGAGTTGGAGAATGAAGATGGTGTTGGATTAATCTATTCATGAACCTCGGCTCGGAACGAGAGGTCATTAACTTGAAGCTGGTTCTGAGATTCTATATTACTTCCCCTGAAACTGGCGTTGATGCTGACGAGCCTCGGTACTGTCTTCGGCTTGGTGATCAAGGTGGGTGGTGAGACAAGTCAGTCTAGTCCGTCTAGAGCCAATACGGTCTTTCTCGCGATCATTGATCTTGGCGATGTTCGGAAACCGGAATGATCATCAATCTAAAGACGCTGAAGTCCGTAGACTAGACACTTCATGTCGATTCAAGAGGGTGTCCCAACTGCACCAATATCTCACCGGCGCCGTTCTCCCAAAAACAAAATTAGGCATACTTTTAAACATATTCCGCTATCGGAACGACAACCAGCTCGAGCGTTCTTGACATCTTCTAGTGTCCGAGCACACGATGATCATCAGTTCATACCGAGTCAAGAAGGCCTCACCTGTCCAAGCCCAAGGGATCAAACAAGCCAGTTTTAACTATAATACGAGAGCGCTAAAACCTGTTAGACTGAAACTAGAAGTCAAAGTCACCATGACCTTGTCGACGACGGCAATCTATCGAAAACCCAAATTCCCGTCAACAAGGGAGCCTGTTTTCAATGCTCTAGCGCTGAACTACCCGCAAATCTGGCCCTTAACCAGCCAATACAACCTTGCACTTGTCCAAATAGCGCGTATGGAACTTACCGAACCGAGGTCATTCTTCAATCAAACTCGAATCGGTATGGGCTGACCACGTTAGCGAGTTTTAGTATGAAACCGGGAATAAATGCGCACTGCCACCATCACCCTCCTGAGGCCACCAACTCTGTGGTTTCAGGTTCCTCTCCACAAAAGCAACTGTCAAAGCGGCGCACACCAGTCCAGTCGGTAAGCTTAGGTTTCCAACAACGTGGTCATAGGGCGCCGTTTCATACTGCCATATTGCTCTGTTTCGATGATCAGTGGAGTTGGTCTTGACTTGGCGTAACGGGGCTCATTTCCTCTTTTGATGAGGGCTTGCGAACAGACTACTGGTTTTGGCGGCGGCAGACAAGGGCTTCTTGCATGACTCGGGAGTTGAGATTGGTGGGATGCATGGTGATAGGTTTGTGAACGAACGGGTTTGGTTGGTGTGTGCTTTTAATTTGTTTCCGGGAGACAGTAGAGGTTGCTTTGATCTTTGCTGATGGTGGCCGAAAAGTGATTTATCGTCTGTACTCCAAGTCATTCCAAAAGCGTTAGACTTGCGAAAGCACGGAAGATGGATGTTTTGTTGGACATTTAAGATAAATACCTGCGATGGCCTCGATGCTGATAGATTGAAACCAAGCCTCTCTGTCACTCACTCACTCAACAGCCTTTCTTTCATATCCAACTCATCTGTCTTCGATTCTTCTTCGCCGCAACCGCCAAAATGAAGTTCTCCATCATCTCTACTCTTCTCGCTGCTACCGCCTCTGCTCTTCCCGCTGGTCAGGATGCCGCTGCCCTCGAGGCTCGCCAGTTAGGCGGCAGCATCACCCGCAACGATCTTGCCAACGGCAACAGCGGTTCGTGCCCTGGCGTCATCTTCATCTTCGCTCGCGGCTCCACCGAATCCGGCAACCTTGTTAGTACCCCCACCAACTCTCCCAAGTGACAGATCATAACTAACTCTTTTATTAAGGGAACTCTCGGTCCCCGCGTTGCTTCAAAGCTCGAGGCCAAGTACGGCAAGAACGGTGTCTGGATCCAGGGTGTTGGCGGTGCTTACCGTGCTACTCTCGGTGACAACGCTCTTCCTCGTGGAACTTCTAGCGCTGCCATCCGTGAGATGCTGGGCCACTTCAACGACGCTAACCAGAAGTGTCCTGATGCTGTCCTCCTCGCTGGAGGTTATAGCCAGGGTGCTGCTCTCGCCGCCGCTAGTGTTACCGACGTCGATGCCGGAATTCGTGAGAAGATTGCTGGAGTCGTTCTCTTCGGATACACCAAGAACCTCCAGAACCGCGGAAAGATCCCCAGCTACCCCGAGGACCGTACCAAGGTCTTTTGCAACCCCGGTGATCTTGTCTGCACTGGCTCTCTCATCGTTGCTGCTCCTCACTTGGCCTACCAGAGTGCTGCTTCCGGCGCAGCTCCTGAGTTCTTGATCCAGAAGGCTGATGCTGCTGGAGCCGCCTAAGTGAATTGATGGAGGGCGAAGGAATAGGCTGGCCTGTTCTTGTATTTTATGAGGTTTACGGTTTTCATTAGTTTTGTTTGTATCTACTTCATGGAGGAATGGCTTTAGTGACCATGGACACTGAGACTCAATACGATAGCGCAATCGCATTGACTTGCAAAAAGCTTCTTGCCGGGGCTGTGAACTGCCGTGGCAAGTTGCTGACCATTATCATGACGCAAGATGACCGCCGAGAAAAGATGACATTCGATATATCACATTCTCAGAGCATGGATCATTACGAGCAAGCCACATCGCAATTGGCGGTTTCGTCCCATCTTGTCCCCTGTATGTTGTATCGGAAGTGTCTGAGGTGCCGGCCAGGGGTTCCATGCTGCAGGGGTTGCCATGCACGCATTGCATATGGTAGGTCCCATGTGACGATACATCTGACAGTGGGGGAATTGCCAAGCATGATAGGTACACTTATGAGAAAGTACTTGTTCGATAACTGTGAGATCTGACTTGACTTGCGACAAAGCTCTCACATTGGAGGAATCAGCTTTTGCGTGGGATTGCACTTTTCTTATTTTCATTAGCATCATTGCATCGATGGTGGGGTCGTATTATTTGATAACTTGGCGAAAGCCACTGTAGCATCGAGCCACTTCTCATTTCATATCGAATTGACTGATCTGGAAATTAGGTTGTTGCCGCACGCTCAAGGGTTCAAGAAGAATAAGCGTAATCATATGAGAAAACACCCCTCGGTGTCTTGATCCGAAGATCTCAGGTCGGAGAACAGTGTCGGCTTTATGTATTCCGAATACGTGGTCTATTTTTAGGCATTGTCTCGTCTATGATGTCTATACTCTACAGCCTCATTTCACCAAATAGCTGACCTTTGACTTTCCCTTACTCCTCGCAATCTTCTTAACCGTCGTCTCACCACACAGATCCGTAGTGTCTACATGCGTTCCACCGCATGGATAAACCTCCGCTCCAACAATTCTCACGACACGAAACTTTGTCTCTCCAGGTCCTAAGAAGCTTGCGTCTGGTGTAAGGTGTTCAAGACCATTCTTGCGAAACTCCTCGGCGTCCCACCAGTCAATCTCAACAGGCATCTTGGCCGCTAAAAATTCATCGACTTTCTTCTGAATGGGCTCTTTGTACTTTCCGTCAATGAGGCCTTGGAATTCGCATGATGCTGAGTCGGGGAAGTGAGAGGCTTTAAGCTCCTCAAAGCCCTCGACTGTGTCTTTGAGGAGATGGTTGACTGCTGAACCGAGAACATGGCCGGCGGTGTGATATCGCGAGTAGAGAAGACGCTTCTCAACGTCAATTTCTTGCGTGGCGCTGTGTCCTTCTGTGAACTTCTTGTCTGAGCCGAATCTTCCGAAATGCAACACCTGGCCATCGCGAACAGCATCCATACGAGCAGATGCAACAATGAATGAAGTCCCAGCTTCATCCGTCATCTTCCCGACATCTGAAGGCTGGCCTCCTCCTTGCGGGTGAAATATTGTCTCTTCTGTAACGACGGCATAGTCTTCATCGGTGCCTTGCTTAAATAGCTCACGATTCTCAGCCTCTAAGCTGCCAAATGGTCGAATTGCCGTGATCAGTGTTTGTAAGGAATGAATCTTTGCATTGCGCTGGAAAGTCAGCACAGTTCGTGCTGCTGATGCCATTTTGTGAGAGTGAAGAAGAATTCAAGATGATGAGAGAGATGGAAATATGCGAGGGTGAAGAAGGAAATAACTGATAATTCAACGAATGAGAGAGGCGAACACTAAAGCTCGCGGGGTTTAGTGCTGAGGATTCAGTGAATCACAGGGCGCGCCTTTGCAGCTTATCGCTTATCTAATTGGTAGTGTAAGACAGCCTAACCTAGAGAAGAAGGTATTTGCTTCTATCATCACTTTTGGAAGCGAAAAGTAACAAATAGAATGAATGCTATGAAACTTAGTCAATACGTGGCTATGTTTGACGCGGCTGTGCGTCGGAAGAGCTCCACGAAACCATTCTTTAGTGCCTTGCCTTGTCCGTTATCTGTACGTGTCACGAATCTCACGATAGTCACCATTTCGGCATCAGGACCATGACAGGGAGTGGAAACCTGATGATTTATCACGCAGTACGATATCTATTGGAAGATGAGACATCTACGGAGTGAATATTTTCACACATCTACGGAGTAGAGCCAAACATTTACCGCTCTAGGCTGTACTGCCGCTGAGCTAGGGCTGTGAATTGTTTCAATACGCGCCGTGCGGCTGAGATGTTTCTCTTCACAAAAAACAGTGGAGACTTTGGCACTCACTTCGAGCCTACATGCTACGTCTCAATCACCTTGCGATTTGTGAGACCAATCTCACTTTCCTTACACTAATAGTTATCACCACTCAATATGTGCACTCGCTTTCAGGAAAAAGCTCACTCATGCTTCCTCTGCAAGCAAAGATTTCTCATTCGAGATTGCAACGACCCACAGCCCCTTATTCATATCGATGGCCCAAAGAGTGATCATTATTGGAGATTGTGGCCTCCAGACCAAGAGCCGATCACTCTCTCGGAACTCAAGCAAATGGCTAATCTAGGATGTGATTTTGCAGAGTACATTTTTTTTGAAGTTCACTTCTCGTAAAGAAGTAGTCTCTGACAATGTCATTGTCAATCGGGGTCCTCCAGCTATGGGAGACACCGAGCCCAACTCCATCGTTGTTACACTATCAGGAGAGAACCATCACGAATCGAATTCATACTTTACATACATGACAGAACAAGGTCGGACCTCGCGCAATTGTCTTCGTGGGCCATTAACTAATGCTCCTAGACAGGAAGTAGCACAGCTGATGAAGTCTCTCAAAGACCTCCGAACTTGTTACCCGCATCACCATACGCTTTTAGTCTGGCAAGAAAATGGGCTCATGAATGTTTCCAAAACCATAAGTCTTGTGTCAGTCCATCTGAAGGATTCATGCCAACCAGGATCATCAAGATATTCGACTCGGGAAAAAGGATTGAGATTGTCGAGAGAAACTCCCCGGCTGCCTACGCAATCTTATCGTATTGTTGGGGCGGCCAGCAACGAATCACTCTCAGCAAGGCTCGAGTAAAGAATGGCCAACTTTCCTTCGATACAAGCACTTTACCACAGACGTTGCAGGATGCAGTCCGTGTTTGCGGCGAGCTTGGCCTTAGGTTTCTATGGGTTGATGCTCTATGCATTATACAGGACGATCCAGAGGATAAAGCTACAGAAATTGGAGAGATGGCAAAGATTTACGAAAACTCGTACGTCGCAATCATGGCTAGCAGAGCAAAGAGTGTTGAGGAAGGATTCCTGCACCCACGGTCACATTTCGGAGCATACAGGCGCTCTCCTGGCTTTCGTCTTTGATATGAGACCAAGAACGGCCGAAGAGGATCTGTCGTATTGGTGGAGGAGTCTTCTTCTCAAACTTACGTTGATCCTCTGAGTCTTCGCGCATGGGCATACCAAGAGTTCATTCTTTCTCCAAGAATTCTTGATTACGGGGAGCTGAGAACAACATGGATCTGCTGGGCAGATATTAATCCAACAGATGGATTTCTGTCAACACCAACTTCGTACTGGAGCCGACAGAGGTTTCAGGAAATAATGTCTCCCTCTATTGAGGCTGATTCCGTCTCGCCCCATCAACTGTGGAGCACTCTAGTTCTATGCTATATGCGCAGCTCAATAACCGATCCTTACGACCGCCTTCCCGCGCTTGCAGGTATTGCGGAACGTCTGAATACCATCATTAAAGACGAATACATTGCAGGTTGCTGGAAAAGTCACATCTGGCTTGATCTTCTGTGGTGGCATGAAGACGGTAGATCCCGTATGCGACCCGCAGGATACTTTGCTCCGTCTTGGTCTTGGGCGTCCATCCCAGATGGCAACCTTAACTACATATCAACAAGGTCATGTGTTGTCGATGAAGGATTTGAGGTACTGCATCACGATATTAAATTATCACATCCTCAATCTCAATATGGTACTGTCACAGCTGGCTTCCTTGTCGTCCAAGGGCGCATTATACCAGAGGAATACTTGCCTGACCTCAGAAATCGAGAGTTCTACCATCATCTAACACATATCATCGTAAACGGACAGAACATCGCAATTTCATGCTCCGTTATACCTGACTATGGTCTGGAAAACTTTTACAGCAGTAAATATCCTATCCAAGTGATATGTCTCTGTTGGGACGAAAAGAGAACTACAATTCGCGGTATTGTACTTCAAAATGCTGAATCAGACTGCTATCGCAGAATAGGCCTTTTTTCCGTTGACTTGGGAGTAACAGATCCGACTTGTCATGATATACTATTTGAAGAATGGACCGAAAGAAGGAATATAATTTTAGGAATATAAAGAAAGAGTTTACAAATTGTAAAAACAAAGGTAGTTTAGTAGTTTATATTGTAAAATAATTTATTTATACTCTCTATTTACTCTTTTTCTTTTAGTTCAATGGCCTCTGACTGATTCGGCAGGCTCGTTGATACAAGCAGTGGAGGATGAGATGTCTGGAGAGATCCACGGTAACATACCTACCGACCTTGGGTTCAATTGACGGGGGAGCTTACCAAACAACCCGAATCATCTCCGTGGCCTGAGCTCTCAGTCAAGAGATACTACAGAACTGGGCTTGAAAGAGTGAAATCGGAATGTTACCGATATTCTGGTGATGTTATTCGGAAATTACCCCGCATGGAAACTTCCGATACCTTGGTAAGTGCCGTTGACCTTGCGAAACCACTCGCCATGAATCACGCGGGGTAGAAGGGTGTTAAAAGCAGTGGATCGACCACTGAAGATGTTTTACCACGTCACAGATAAGGATCACGGCACCTGCTTAGCACCCACAATGATCCTGGATCTCTTCCTTCAGCACCCATGGACGTATCTAACAGCTGCTCTTGTCGGACTCCTTGCGACAAAGCTCCTCGTCAATAAATATGGCAATGGCTTGAACGGAGTTCCCGGGCCAGCTTTGGCGTCGTTCAGTGATCTCTGGCGCTTTCTCGACGTGTATCGGAGAAGACCAGAGGTGACACAGATTGCTCTGCATGATAAATACGGCAGCGTCGTGAGACTCGGACCCAACACGGTCTCGATCGCGGATCCAGCTGCCATCCAGACGATCTACGCTCACAACTCGGGATATACCAAGTCAGATTTCTAGTAAGTCACGAGGGCGATGAGAAGAGTTGCCTAGGCTGACAAGCGGTAGCCCGGTGCAGCAGACCCTCAACAAGAGCGGCAAGAGACTCATCACGCTCTTCACCTCACAAGATGAAAAGTTCCATTCGCAACTTCGACGTTCTGTATCGAATGCCTATGCCATGAGCACTCTCGTTCAGTTCGAGCCCTTCGTCGACTCAACGACCACCGAGTTCTTTAAACAACTTGACCAGCGATATGCCAACCAGAACGACGTCCTTGACTTTGGAACATGGCTGCAGTACTATGCCTTCGATGTCATCGGGGAGCTAACGTACTCCAAGAGACTAGGCTTCGTGGACCGTGGAAAAGACGTGGACAACATTATTGGAAATCTCGAATGGTTGCTCAACTATGCAGCACCTGTATGTATAACAACAACCTTGACTGGGTCTACTAATCTGACGCCCACGTAGGTCGGACAACTGCCGATCCTCGATAGCTTACTCCTCAAGAACCCACTGAGACTACAGCTTACAAAATGGGGTTTCACCAACTCATCCTCACCCGTCGCGATATTCGCCCGCAATCGAATGCTCGCTCGAGTTGATCCGGAGAAGCTCGGCGACATGAAGTTCGACCAAGACAATGGCCGAAGAGACTTTCTCTCGCGCTTCCTCGAAGCCAATCAGAAAGACCCAGAGTTCATGAACAACGATCGAGTGCTCGCACTCACTGTAGCAAATATGTTTGCAGGCTCTGATACCACGGCGATTACTTTCCGAGCTATCTTCTATTATCTCATGAAGAACCCAGACGATATGAAAACTTTAATGTCTGAGCTCGCAGAGGAAGAGAAATCTGGCCGGTTTGCCCGTGAAGATGGCCTTGTTAGCTGGAATGAAGTTCGAGACCTTCCGTTCCTCAACGCTGTTGTCAAAGAGGCTCTTCGATGTCATCCCGCTGCAGGTCTCATGCTAGAGCGTATTGTCCCCGCACGAGGTCTTGAAGTCGACGGTCACCGTATCCCAGGTGGTACCATCGTTGGAGTAAACGCTTGGGTTCTTCATCGCAACAAGGATATCTTCGGCCATGATGCAGATCGATGGAGACCATCGAGGTGGATTGAAGCTTCGAGTGAACAGAAGAGGCGAATGGAGAACTACATGTTTGCATTTGGTGCGGGTTCGAGGACTTGCATTGGGAAGAACATCAGTTTGTTGGAGATGTACAAGATGGTTCCTGCTCTTTTGAGACGATATGAGGTAAGTATCAGTGTCGATTGACGTGCCCTTACTGAGACTTTGGATCTAGCTTGAGTTCCCGTCGGCTGATAACACATGGCATCTGAACAACGGTAAGCTTCACCTATCTGAGCTCTCTCACACATCTGCAAGCCCCGCCCTGTGATATACTTTCTTGATACTGACTTTAATCCAGCATGGTTCGTGAAGCAGAGTAACTTTAATGTGAGGCTTAGGCGGAAGCATAAAGTATCATTTCTTCCAGACGAGAGACAAGGTTGAACAGCTATGGAAGTAAGGAATTTCCCCATTCATTCGATGCTATATGAACATGAGATCCTTCTACCAAGCGGTAGTGTTCGACGTCTATCTCTATAGTGGCTCGCAGTAACTATCAATGATACATACGACCATAGCTCGTAGAAAATACGGGATCCCGTCTGCTCTCCCATAGTCAAGCTGCGAAGCGCTGGATTAGTAGTTGGGTCGGTGACGACCAGCGAATCCCCGGTGTTGTATGTTTTTTTGCCTCTAGTTGTAATTTTTTAGTGCGTTGGCACGATATATCTCGTAAATATGTCAGAAGCTTTAACTTTTGATCAGGAATTGGCCATGACGATTAAGTTCACCTTGGCTCGGAGCAGACACTCCGAACCTGATAAGATAAGAGCTGCCTCCAATTTCTGAGGTATGCTTCTCCACATTCCCTCATCAGCAAGTACGTACCACGCTGAGAACAATGCCACCATCAAAGACCCGCGCCGAGCGAGTTGAAACGGACGTCTTACTGGCCATCAAGCCTGAACACTTGGCCAATATCATCAGCCGAGAAAAGAACCATGAGTATCGCAAGTATCGTCTGAAGGACTGTGTCTCGCGCCTCTGGCTTTACGAAACTGGCAGTGGAGGCGGTCGCTCATCAATCACGTACGTCCAGCACACCAACAATGCCCTTACCAGAGATCAGAATAATCTAACTAACTAATCAATAGACACATCGCAGTGATTCCACCAAACACCCGCCACGAGCCAGGTTCTGTGCCGACCGAGCCTTTTGGTATTGGCAATGAAGACTTCAACGCTGGACTCAAGGAGTCCAAGTACGGTTATCCGATCCTGGAGCTTTACGAACTTGTGAACCCAGTTACTCTCAGCGAAATGAAAACTCGTTGGGGAATGGGTGGTGCGCCTATGGGATGGCAGTATGTGGCATCAGATCTCTGGGAGGACAGATGGGGCGAGGACGAGCAGAGAAGTGAGAAGGTGAAGAAATTGTTTTAAAAGCTATCTTTGTTTGCTGGGCGTTTGGGGTTGATAACATGAAGGCCAATGATAGCCTTGCGCTCTGGGAGTTCAATATTCATTCTATCCAATTGTTCTGTTTCAGCCACGCCTCGCACATAGCGGGCCACTTTGATACCGGCAACTCCTTGGGGCTATCCAGCGCAAATCCGTGAGGCGCATCAGCGAAGACATGTAACTCAACAGGTGCTCCACCCTTCGTAAAGCCCTCTGCTAAGCGATATGCGTTGACGACGGGTACAACTGGGTCGTTGTTAGAGTAAACGATGAAAACGGGCGGCGCAGGAGATCGAAGCTGAACATCTGGCTGTACGATATCATACAGTTCTTGCTTTTCCTTTGGCGGAAGAGGAGGTTTGTTCTCAATAATCGTACGGCCAGCTGCATTCGTCGAAATAGGCCCGTAACCCAATACAGCAAACTCGATCTGAGGCATTTCGGGATCTGGCGATGTCCAGACTTGAGGATATTCTGCCAGAAGAGCAGCGCCGAGATGACCGCCCGATGAGAGGCCACAGATGCTGATCCCCTTTGGCGCAAGTCCACTCTCAACCATGATCTTAAGAGCCCTCCTTCCATCATCCAACGGAGCTTGGGCACCTGTTTCGTTATTCGGGAAGCGGTGCACCAGGACGAATGCGTAGAATCCAAGACTGTTGAGCCATTTTGCGACGGCGACGCCTTCGCGACCGGCCATGAGTTGTACATATCCTCCGCCACCGAGAATGAGGATACCGCGGCCGTTTGGTTTTGGAGGACGATAGCCGAATAAGAAAGGGCGATTGACCTTGGTCACGACGGCGTTATCGCCGGGGGTGTCGAGATCGAATGCTCCGTCGAGAGAGTCATTGCCCCATAAAGGCCAGGATTGATCTGAGTCAAGCATGGTGAGTTGATAAGAATCTAATGGTGTTAGAGAAATCGAAGACAATATTCTACATAGAGAAGATATGATGTATGATCGTGGGGTTACGGGTGGAGTTGGTAGATTTGGCCTCGCGGGAACATCCAACCGAGATGCCGAACATTGGGGGTTGGGGTTTCAGATGGTACCGTCCTCTCCACAAGCACACTTGGAGCCTTACATGCTTGCCTCGCCTCTCTAATAACTCTGAAAATGCTTGCGAGTTTGTTTCCTTGATCTGAATATGTTTGAATTATTTGATACACTTTGTAGGCTTGCCTATTACACTGCTGACGCCAATTTCCCCGTCTCCATTACTCAAACCTCTTAGCTTGTTGTCGCATCAAAAGCAAGGAACGTCGAAGCCTTTCCAGCTTCATCCTTGTCCTGCGAAATGTTGTTCTGCAACTTCTTGTTCTCCTCCGCCAGCGAATCAGAGACATCTTCACCCTGCGCTTGCTGAGCCTGAAGCTTGAGAATAGTAGCAGTCAACTTCAAGACCTTGTTCTTAATCTTTCCACGCTGAAAAGCTGTTAGCATTATTTATCTATTGTGATTCGATGGAGAAACTTACCTGAAGAGCATCGGCCGCTTCGCCAGAAGCTGCGTCGATAGCAGGGTTGAAGGCCTCATCCTCAGCATCATTCGCGATCTGGTTGACGCTGTTGAGGAAGTCCAAGTCAGACTTTTCAACTGTTGATAGGTCGGTTGGTAGACCGCCAAGCTTCTGTAGAGCCTCTTGCTGGGCGTTGCCTGCGGTGCCACCGCTGATGGAGAGATCGTCGTATGTTGTCTGACTGAAAACAGCGCGCTTGCTGATGGGGCTGGCGATAGCAGTGGCGGCGAAGCCAAGAAGGAAAGAAGTGAACTTCATGTTTGCGTTTGAGATGTGATGCACGGAAGAGGACGGATGTTGAAGTGGTGGAGGGTGTGAGTGCAAGAGAACAGACCAGCTGTAAGAAGTGAAAGTGAATTGAGTTTGTGATATCAAGACTGAAGTTGGAATAAGTGGCAGTGTTATCGAGTCTTTGTATGCGACAGAAACATCACAGAAGAGACTCTCATTGGCGCTAAGTGAGCATGAGACGTTTCTCACGGAGTAATTTTATGCTTCATCTTCAGGATGAACCTATTCTGGGGTGTAAGCGCTGTGGTAAAACAGAATATCCTCGATGGTGATCATACTCGCGCTGCAGAGGAGTAGGATTGAAGACCGGATGGGCGGTGATCCGTAAGAGCCCCAGTTGATCATCGCTATAGTTCATCGGCTGGCGGAAACGTCAAATGTTAGATCTGGGCCAATGTCGCAATTCATCCTTGGCGTTGCTCCATATGCTAAGGAGACCAGGGGTGTCCTAAGTGGCGCGCATGGTTTCATCGTGCCTCAGATCGCAATTGAGACAATCTACCGCCTCAGATTCGCTCCATGAGTTCATCCCAAGTCGTGAAAGAGTTTTAAGTCTAAATGTGTGCTTTGAAGGTAATTATATTTATTGTAATGCGCCGGATCTTACGGAGCGAGTGATAGGTCTTGCTAAGATAGCTGCGTTTGTAGTTGCATACGATGGCCTACCTCGATCAAGGACTGACCAATCTTCCACCAGTGGAAACTCTAAGTCTTAAAGAAGTTCTTTTGAGGATGCGTGTTCCAATGACCTTGATTGTTGAAAGTGGAAGATGGTGTTATTGCGTAACTTGTCGACGGACTGGCGATCGGATTTGCGGATGACATTTCACACAGAAATCCGATGACGCGTGGCTCGGGCTTACGCTCAATCACCGCAAGGCATCCTTCCACTCCACCCAATCCATGTAAGACACGAAAAACATGATTAAGAGTTTGTGTAATGGCTCCGTCGGACTAAACCTCATTGGATAATACGAGTAACAGCCCGGCGATCGGCATTATGAGGGCTGTGATTCACTGAATGTGCACTCACCTGGGCTGGGGAAGACAATAAAACTCAATACCTTGATATTGGGTGATGAAGATATTTAGGTAAGTTAGTCTAAGATTAGGTGTCTATATGATGAGTTTTTTTCGCACCATCTTCCATAGTCTCGAGCTTTATTGCTCCCCGGGACGTGTCTAAGGTGATGATGATGAATAATGCTGCGTTGCCAAGCCAAGGTCTGCTTCGTCTGTAAGCTCTTAATGCCCTACTGAAATATCAGGCTTACCAATTGAATGATATGCAAGATTGGTATAAATACTTAAAGATCCTAAATCCTTAAGATTTCTCCAAATTAGAAGACCATAACATTGATACAACAACACTATGAGACTTGCATCTTTGAGCATTCTTGCTGGTCTAGCAACTGCGCTTCCGATTAACCCTCCAGATCAGTATGAGTACATCATCATCGGATCAGGGCCTGGTGGAGGGACTTTAGCGTGAGCCTTTACTTTTTCTGATAAAAACAATTGCTGACAATCTCCCCAGTGCGAATCTCGCGCGAGCTGGCCACTCAGTCTTCTTGATAGAGGCTGGTGGTGATCAAGGCAACACGCCTTTGCAGCGGATCCCTGCCATGTCAGTATAGGAAGGCTTCTCTGCATCACAAGTACTTACAGTCACCAGGGCAGATCAAGTCGCTGAGCATCCTAGCATGTCATGGTCCTTCTATGTGAACCATTACCAAAACGAGACTCAAGTCCGACGAGACTCCAAATATGCATACAGACTATCCAACGGCACCTTGTGGTCTGGCCTTGATCCTCCCGAGGGCTCAGAACCGTAAGAAGCTCCTTTCCTCACGAGCTAGGGACCTGTTCTGATTTGATAGACTTGGTATACTGTATCCTCGCGGGGCTACGCTGGGTGGTTCTGCTCAGCTTAATGCCATGAACTTCGCCTTGCCACCTGACAACGATTGGGATGCTATCTCTGAACTAACCGGCGACGATTCCTGGAGATCTAATAAGATGAGGGAGCTGTTCATCGACATTGAAAACTGCACTTATGCTCCAAAGGGGACTCCGGGCCACGGCTTTGGTGGGTACATCCAGGTACGTACTCGGGCGAGATGGCTGTGATTCACCGCCAAGTCCGTCAAGAAAGATCCTGCCCTATTCAATTGTTTTCACAGCCTAGAGCGTCACCTTATAACTATTAATCGACTACATAGTCACTGACAACCCCTACAGAGCAACCGGAACAACATATCATACATTGCTGATCGTCCTGGCGTCGTACAATCTCTGAAGCGTGCATTTGAGAAAACAGAGGGCATTCAAGTCAGCGATGCCGCCGAAGTTGGCATGTTCATGCAACGAGATATCAATAGATTGGACAAAGATCGATATTCGCCTGGCATCTACCAAATTCCTCTACATGTGGATAGCCTTCGACAGCGCAATGGCGCATGGCGATATTTACACGAGACAATGACTGCTAGAACAGAAAATGGACCTACTCGGTACCCTTTGACTGTCAGTACCCATTCTCTGGCTACCCGTGTGCTGTTTAAAGACGGTCAGCATGGTAAACTACAGGCCTACGGAGTCGAGTATCTTAAGGGCGAAGGGTTATACTCTGCCGATAAACGCTACGATGAGTCTGAGTCTGGCCGTTTGATCAACGTCACCGCGTCAAGAGAAGTCATTGTCGCGGGTGGCGCGTTCAACACGCCTCAGATACTCAAGCTGAGTGGTATCGGCCCTCGGGAGGAGCTCGAGAGTCTCGAGATCCCGGTCATCGTTGATCTCCCAGCAGTCGTGAGTATTTACCTGGGGGTTGCCGAATACATCTGACAAGGACAGGGCAAATATCTACAAGACAACTATGAAGGTGGCGTAACCGTCGAGGCTTCTGTGCCGTGGGAGAACAATCCCTTTGAGAATTGTCTCTTCACGCTTGAAGCCAACGATACATGCTATCAGGAATGGAACCGTTCTCATACAGGGGCATATGGCGAAGGCGCAGCTCCGATTTCACTTCTCTACAAATCTAGCGCCAGCGAAACAAACGACACAGATCTGTACCTCTTCGGAGCGGCCGGTACTGTGTTTCGAGGATATTTCCCCGGTTATTCTACATGGCAGGCCCCTCCAACATCATGGTTCTGGTCCATTGTCAAAATGCAGCCCGGCAATCAAGCCGGAACAATCACCCTCCGATCAAAAGACCCCAGACAAGCACCAGAGATCAACTTCAACTACTTCGCTGAGAAGGGAGATCGAGACCTTCAGGCTATACAGGAAGGCGTTGAGCATACCATGCGTATCTTCAACGCTACAGGTGAACCTTACGCTCCATTCAAGGTTGTTGAGCCCCGGCCTGGCGTAAGTATTCGCCAGGGTATCATGGACGATGCTTTTGGTCACCATGCCACTTCTTCTTGTCGCATGGGACCAGCGGGTGATAGGAACTACTGCGTTGACTCGGAGTTCAAGGTCAACGGCGTGGATGGACTTCGGGTTGTGGATGCTTCGGTCTTCCCTCGTACGCCAGGAGGGTTCCCTGCCGCGCCGACTTTTATGATAAGTCAGAAGGCCTTTGGGGTGATTATGGGAAACATCAGGGGATAGTGCGAGGACGAGTGACTTTGAGGGTGCCTGGCTGAGATAAACATATAGGCACCCTGAGATACATGTATCTTTGTGGGCCAATTACTCTGTGAGAGGGAAAATCTATCGTGTACTATATATCTATAGAGCCCATAGTCAAGTTCCCCTCATGCATTTCTCACTCATCGGATCAATACTTCTTGAACAGCTTCTGGTATTTCGAAAGTGTCTTCTTGTCTCCCTTCCAAACACTTTTCGCATCATCCACCGCATCGATATGCTCGCCAATATAGGTGGCGACCATGCCATTTCCATAAGCTGACTTATCAATGAATACATGCTCATCCGGTTCAACGACGTTGACATAGTACGGATGGGAGAGCATATCGATCAAAACATCCGATGACTCGTACAGGAACATGGCAATTCCATCAAAGTCCACCAGCTCATTCGATACTGGCTCTGTGGCGCCAGCATCGGTAGGGACGATCTTTCCAGCTACTCGGACCTGAAACAGAATGTCAGTTCGGCCCAGTTTCGAATATGGAATGGTAACGGGGCCAATTTACCTGTTGGTATCTAGCGATACCGAAGTGGGTTGCCAGAGGGATCACCTTGGGAGCGTGCTGAGTGTCCCAGTACTGCCAGAATTCGTCCAGTGTCATATTGGGATTACGCTTGACGTAGGTAACCATCTGGAGCAGACCAGTGTTTGAATGAGGGCCTTTAGGTGATGCATACGCATTGCCGGCAAGGGCCGTGGCGATAAAGAAAAGAGAAGTTAGTCTGTTCATGTTGCGTATGTTGAGTGAGTGAGAGGATGAGACTGAAGAACACTGCCACGAGATACTTCTACGGATATTAGAGGTATTTATTGACGAGAACAGCCATCGGCGAGACGTCACGAGAATGTGATAAGGGAGTCGGGCTGCATTAGATCTGCCTGAACCTTGGCATCTGGTGTCAGATTCCTTCGACCAATAAGATCTAGAAGCAGGTTTCGACACGGCTATCGGTCAGAATACTCAGCCCAATCTCATTCCTGCAGAGCATGGAGACTACAACCCCTGTATAGACTTCTATTGACCTTCCGAAGCGTCAGACGCATCTCTCCTAACTGGTTGAGTTGGCGTGATGAGACCCAACTGCATTTGTCCAATCCGTTGAAGAATTCCCTTCCGCATTCCTACAGCCAACATTCACTTTATAAAGACCAGCCAGCACAGAATAAACAAACTGTAAATTCTGTGAGATCCCTCTTGGTCACCCAGATCTGGCCCGATCCTCTAGCCAAGAGATGGCTGACTCGGCCCGCCAATGGGAGGGGCCATATGCTCCTATTGACACCCATTTCGGGACATATCACCAGGACAAACATTTGAGATATGAGTGATGAGACTTGCACTAAAACGATAATTACCAACGGCCTTGACGATCTCCGACAGTAGTAGTACGGATTTCGGATGTGTCTGTGTGAAGCCCCGAGACCTTAGCTGATGCGTCGAGACTCTAGGGGAAGGACTAATTCCCAGGACCTTGATCCTAAACGACAAAAAGACCAAGGTAACTGGGGGTAAACTTAAGTTAATCTCTACTAAATTTAGGATATCTTTTCCTGGGCTTATTTTTGATATCCTTCATCCAAGCCTAAGTTTTCCGGCCCCCCGAGGTGCACCTCCCAGCTACAGCTCGGGGGTAAACGTGACGGTGTAATGACCAAGGCGACCAAGGTCTGTTGGCTCTACATCCCTCGTCCATTGCGAATGTTTGTTCACAGTGGAGTTTCCCATCCACTAGCTCAGCAAACTCACGAGGTGAGGATTTCGGATTTACAGTTGAATAGCAATGAACCAACACAAAACGCACTGATCAAATCATCATCCCTACATATAACACCGAGATAATTCTTTCCCGTAGAAATGGATACATCATATCTGACATGTCTTCTTATCCAGTTACCAACGGTGTGATCACGTTTCTACCGCCGCCGGAAGGATACGTCGTCGACTTTGACAAGCCTCAACAGCAAGATGCACTCAAGCATTTTCTCATCGTTGGCATCCTCGGGTCTCTAGCAATTTTGTGTCTATTGCAGAGATTATATGTAAAGTATTATATTACGCGCGGATTGAAGATCGACGATGGTATGTGATAGCTCAGATTGAGGGAGCTGCAGCTGACCTGGTGGCCTAGTCTTGATCACACTGGCATGGGTATGACATCAGGCGAAAATTCAGACTGTATATAGGGCTAATTTTGACTTTAAGCTCTTCTCTATTGTCATGCAATCGGCTCAGATATGTGAGTACACTTCTTCGCTGTCCCAAGCCTCTGCTAATGTCTCAAGGGTCAATATCAATCGGAGGCCTATGTCATCATGCATGGGAAATGCCGATTGACGTCTTCGAAAAGCATATGCTGGTATTACCTCCGCCCCAATGCTACGTTAATCTGCTTACGCCTTACAGAGTTCTTACATTGCCGCTCCAGCCTTCATCGTCTGCAACGGCCTCACCAAGAGTTCGCTCCTGACGTTCTACCTTCAAGTATCGCCACAGAAATGGTTTAGAAGGGCGATCTTTGTGACTATCGCTTTCGTTGTTCTATACACTATTATCATCGCCAGTCTGTTGCTGTTCGGATGTCGGCCTAGAGAATCAGCATGGGATCCATACCTGTTCGCTAGCGGAAAGTGCATTGACTATGCAGTCATGTATATCATCATCGCTGTCGCCAATATCATCTCAGATATCGTTCTCTTTGTCATTCCTATGCCGATGATTGTCAGGTTGAAGATGCCGCTGGGACAGAAGATTGGCTTGAGCATCATGTTCGGCATTGCTACAATGTAAGTAGAACGGCCAAAAACACCATCGACGACTAACGGCGGCAGAACTGTCACGACATCCATCATTCGAATGATCTACCTACCCTCCCTATTGGGAGCATTAGACATTCCATGGATCGCAGCCCCAGCAAATGTCTGGTCATTCGTGGAGGTCAACCTCTTCATTATATGCGGCTGCATGCCGACGTTTCGCAAGTTCTTCAAACGCTTTGCGCCGAAATGGATGGGCTCTTCCGGCGACTCGGGCAATTCGGAGCCTCCTTCGAGTGATTCGCTGCATAAAGTACAGAGGAAGAAGCATACAGGGTACACCCAGTTCGACACGTGCGGTTCCTTGGAACTCGCGACGTATCCCGATACCGTGAGTCGGACAACGCAAATTACGACAGGGAGTATTTGCAGTGGAGTGATGGGAAACACGTTGGATAATGAGAGCGAGGAAGCGATATTGCAACCAAGCAAAATTGTGTGCACAAAAACATACAACGTCTCACATAGCGATTAGGCATAAATAACAATCAATTCGACACGCTTATTATGACTTCATTTTCACAAGAAAACGCTGCATGAGATATGCAGTGCTCCGAGTTCGCAACGTTGCTGTGGTGTTGGTCGTGTTGCACAAAGTCCCCAAACAGAGAGCAAACACGTCGATCATTAACCGATCCCGATCGGCTACGTCAACGCGACTGTCAAAGCAAGGGCGCATTCTCAGCTTATATCCGTCCCAAACCCAACCCTTCATCCTCGATCCTTCCGACTAACCGCAATTGTTTACTCTAGTATTGACTACTGACTATTGAACAATTGATTGTGAAGATGTCATCTTCCTCAGAGACCGCTTATGCCATGGAGTCGTTGCAGGAACAGGAACAGCGGTGTGGGACTGATAGTCCGCCTGACACTGAACGCCAGGAAAATGTTTCTCAGTCACCGACGGATTCACTTCCGCCTACAGACCACGGCAAAGATGCGTATCTAGCCTTAATGTGCTGCACAATGGCACAGCTACCAATTTGGGGTATCCAACTTCCTCCCCAATGCACTTCAACACTAACAAACAACAGGCTACTCCGTCTCCTTCGGCATCTTCCAAGAATACTACAGCCGACCCGGAAGTCCCATCAGCACAGCATCGTCCGGAACAATTGCCACCATCGGAGCACTGCAACAGGGTGTAATGTATCTCATGATGCCGTTTGCCTTCCTCATCCTCACGCGGTATCCGCGGCTGCGACACCTTTGCGGACCGCTTGGTCTTGCAGTGACGGTCGCTAGTCTCACTGCTTCTGCGTTTGTGAACACTATTGCGGGGCTTATCGCTACACAGGGGGCATTGTACTCTATTGGCTGTGGGTTGTTGTTTTGTCCGATTTCGCATTATATGAATGAGTGGTTTGTTGAGAGGAAGGGGATGGCGTTGGGGGTTATGTGGGCTGGCAAGTCGGGGACAGGTATGACTCCAAGCTATCCGCTCCAAGATTATACACTGACGGAGTGAAGGTATTGCGATGCCATTTATCTTTGATGCTCTCCTACGCCGGATCGGTCTCAAGGCTACTCTCTTGGCCTGGGCGGGTGCATCAGCTGCCATGACGCTCCCAACACTCGTTTTCATCAAACCGCGAATCCCTTTGCACACTCAGGTTCAAGTTCAGCCGCTATCGTTCCGCTTCCTCCGCCATACATCTTTCTGGATGATGCAGGCCGGTGTGATCATACAATCACTGGGATACCTCATGCCAAGCACGTACCTGGCTAGCTATGCGTCAACAATTGGTCTACCCAGCATCACCGGTCCAATTCTTCTTGCATTATTCTCTGTCGCATCCGTCCCCGGAGGTATCGTACACGGTATGCTGGGAGACAAATTCTCAGCAACAAAAGCCGTAACAATCGCCTCCATTGGAAGCGCCCTGCCGATCTGGCTTCTATGGGGCTTGTCCCTTGACCTTGCAAACCTGGTAGTGTTTGTCATCATCTACGGGTTCTTCGCAGGCGGCTTCAGCTCAACGTGGTCCAACATGTCAACCGACATCCAAAAAGACGACTCTGCCGCTGATTCAGCTCTCATTTTCGGTATGCTCATGGGCGGACGCGGTATCGGCTTTGTCACCGCCGGGCCACTCAGCGGCGCCTTGCTCCAAGCAAAAGCACACCTGTCCAACGAAGCACTTGGTTACGCGACGCAATACGGACCCATGATTATCTGTACTGGTGTCACTGCTGTGTTTGGTGCTTGGGCGCCCATGTGGAAGGGCATGCGAGTTGCTCTAGGAACATGCAAAGGTCGCTGAGGTTTCACGGGCAACGTTTCATCCACGTTTGGAATGATGAGCTTGTGCGGGGCGATGAAGATAACCGGGTCAACTGCGTACCGAGGTCAATAAAACATCAATCACCCTGATCGATAACAAGGTTCATCTCAATGAGGGGAAAACGTGGCCTTAGCCCGGACTTAGGCTCGGCTTTAAGTGTAATCCTCAACCTTGATGTCATAAGCAATTCGGTAGATGGAACGGTAAAGAACTCAGTGTAAGCACTTAATAAGAACCCCGATGACACCAAGCACAATAGGCAACTGGAAAGAATGCGTGTGTGCCAACCTCCATTATCTCATATGCAGTAGGCGTCATTGAAGCTCGGGAGTGACTGTTCGCCGGCCTGTGCCCCGCTATCTTGAATTATTAATACTAACCCCCCAATAACAAGACGTTAGCTGTTTGAGGTAAGGGGCAGTCCCAAGCATTGAGTCCTCTGATTGGCTTGAGAATGAGAGCTGCTACGCTAAACTGTCGTCAGTTGTTTGCGTGGAGCCATCATCGTTGTATCAACCATCTCAATACCCCTCATTTCGCTTGGACCATCCAGAATGACATCAAGTCCATTTATATAAGAAAAACGCCCCTCCTCCTACCGTCAAACCTTCATACCCATCCCTTCTCTTCCAAATCAATCGCCAAAATGCCTGTTGAAACCGCCTACGACCCCAAGGACATGCTGTTCCGCCACCTGGGACCTACTGGTCTCAAGGTCAGTGTCTTCAGTCTTGGTGGCTGGTTGACATACGGCGGTACGCAAAAGGGCGATATCGTGAAGCAGATTCTCCAAAAGGCTTGGGATCATGGTGTCAACACTTTCGATACCGCCGAGGTTTACGCCAATGGTGAATCTGAGGTTGAGATGGGTCGTGCCCTCAAGGAGCTCGGCTGGCCTCGTGATGAGTAAATATCCCAAGCTTCCAAACCTCGACCTATACTGACTGTTTAGGTACGTCCTCACCACAAAGGTCTTCTTCGGTACTGGCCGCAAGGAGCCCAACACTCGAGGTCTCAGCCGCAAGCACGTCGTCGAGGGTCTCAAGAGCTCTCTCAAGCGTCTTGAGCAGCCTTACGTCGATGTTGTCTTTGCTCACCGTCCTGACTACGCTACTCCCATGAAGGAGATTGTTGAGGGATTTACTCAGGTCATTCGCAACTTGAACCTTGCGTACTACTGGGGTACTTCTGAGTGGACCGCTGCTCAGATTACCGAGGCTACTCACATTGCTGAGCGCTACAACCTCATTGCTCCTGGTAAGTTCCTTAATAGCGAGGATGGTGACATATACTGATATTAGTATAGTTGTTGAGCAGCCTCAGTACAACGCTTTCCACCGTGAGCGCTTCGAGGTCGAGTATGCTCCTCTCTTTAACCAATTCGAGTACGGCACTACAATCTGGTCCCCTCTCGCCTCCGGTCTCTTGACCGGCAAGTACAACAACGGCATCCCCGAGGACTCACGATTCGCCACCAACAAGGCCTTCTTCGAGAACACAGTCAACGAGCTTCAAACTGAAGCCGGCAAAGCCAAGATCGAAAAGGTCAAGAAGCTCTCCGAAGTCGCTGAGCGCCTTGGTGGAAACGTCGCCCAGCTCTCACTTGCCTGGGCTCTCAAGAACCCCAACGTCAGCACTGTCATTCTCGGTGCGACAAAGGTTGAGCAGCTTGAGGATAACTTCAAGGCGCTTGAGATTTACAAGAAGATCGATGATAAGGTTCTGGAGGAGATTGAGAAGATTCTTGATAACAAGCCCAAGCCTGCTCCAACCTTTAACCGTGAGAGGTAAATAATAGTTTAGGATCATGAGGCTATCGAGCTTTTAACTTTCATACGGAGGCTTAAACAGTGTGACCCCTATAGCAAGCTAGTATCTATAGGGGCCTCACTGTTTGAGCCTCCGTATGAAAGTTCAAAGCTCGATGGCCTCATAAGGCTGACGGGAAGACAAAAAGAAATGGTCTAGATATGAAGAATAGATCAATGATGATTGAACATGAGATTTGAGATTGGCGTGATGAGTGACGTGATTGATGAGATTGCTTATCTTGGGGCCATAATAAATCCTATCGTCGGCGACTGATTGGACAGATCCCACTCCATGGTGTGCTGCGGCATGCGTCAATAAGGTCAAAGGAAACTTCAACACACAAAGGTTAGGAAGAAGGGTTTATTTTATGACACATCGCGCGGTCGCCATCTAGTGTCACGGTTGTCTCCAATAAAAATTGCTGGTAGATTGGTAAAAAAAGAGTTATACGCAGTAGATCACGGCAACTTTAAAATTCCCAAGCGGCTCAAGCTCCAGTCAGATCATTTGTATGAACGTAATATCTGGCTTAAAGCCAAGCCTTGAGAATAGTCTGATCAGAAAACTTAAATGGCTGTATGGAGTATAAGAAGCCCTTAGCCCCTCATTGCAAAAAAGAAAGATTTCAATGCAGGACCTTGATCGCGGGCCAACGTTGGCCGCCAACCGTATCACGAACATGCTTGAACAATTGCCCCAAGAGATCTTGGATTTCATCACGAATGTGGTAAGATGGATTCATACTCTTCTTGCTGTACAGGCTCTCACAAACACTCACTGTAGCTATCCACGGAAGACATCAAATGTCTTTCTCTGACGTCAAAGGACCTCCATTCTGCTACTCTACAGGCCGTCTGGGAATCTGTAGTTATACCGGCCTGGAACGAAGGCGGTATTGTTAAAATCAACCTCTCCTATTTGCCGCTCAATCGACTTCTCCTCGCCAGACATATTAATCTACGGTTCATAGCGGAGCAGTACTCTAGAATTTGTCTACACAGTCAAAGACTACAGATCTGTGGAGAAACAGCCGACGAAACCATCGTCGCCAGGCCAGCGGCCTTTAACAGTTTCGAAGAAATCATTATCTCACGCCTCGAAGAATGTGAAGTGGATCATTGGAAATCATTCAGGTTTGTGAATCACGTACATCAATAGAATTCCAGGAAGAATACTGATGCACTATAATCAAGCTGGGATCTAGGAACATGTATACCAGCGCCGATCTTGGGAACCAATGGTATAATCGCTCGTCAGCAGCCCGCGTTAAGAAATCTGCAGTTGACAACACATCCTTTCTGTCCTCAACGTAAAACCTCCCCCGAAACAGCGATCGACTTGTCCGCCTTCACCCATCTTCTGAGCATCAGTTAGAGAGGACCTGATTCACAAAATCTCAAAACATTGGCCATTGCGCTTAGAAACAACGAGTCACACCTTGAATCGTTGGAACTCGACCTCGTCGACTGGCCGCATATGCAAAGGGAGCTGGGGTACCAAAACGATAGGGACGTAGTCCACGGGCTGAGAGCAAGAGACTACATGAACGAAACGGTGTTTGGCCTTGACAAGGGTTCTCCTTGTACCAAGTTTCCAAACTTGCATACCCTAGTTCTGAGCCATGTTCCTCTGACCGCAACTCTGGCAGAGGCTGTCGACTTCGAGATTCTCAAATCTCTAATGATCCGGTCATGCCCGCAGTGGTATGATTTTGTGCTAGCAATGGCGAAGCGCAAAGTCCCAGTCAAGCTAAGAAAGCTGGAGCTCCAGGAATCATGGCCCAAGAACAATGATGCAACGGTATGCCTCGACGAAGAGGATCCAATTTTGTACTTGCTGTGTCTCTTTCAGGGACTTGAAGAGTTCTATCTCGGCCAGATCGGCGGGACGCAGTCCATATACACATGGCACATGATTGGTCATCATAAATCGACATTGAAGACATTTGTGAACCATTCGAGGTTCTATGATATACACGATCGAGACTGGAGGGATCAGTCGGATATGGAGCTTAGTAACTGTTATACGACACATTTCAGGGATGATCCAACCTCTACGTCTCTTTATCAACTGGATCTCGAGTTCATTAGTTTGTCTTGCGCGCCGAAATTTCTGGTAAGACCCAGTCCTTTTTTTCTTATCGAATGCTAACTGGTGTAGAATGACGTAGTAAGCCCTTTCTCCACCCTTGTTTAGATACTGACAGATAGAGCATTGTGTACTGAACCCTTTCTCCAGAAAGGAGTGTCTGAAAGTCTTTCACATCCGCCAATGGCGTAACGACGTGGGGTCTGATTCTGTGTCTTGGGCAACCACGACGGTAGTCGACGGAGCACCCATCGATAATGCTCCAGCGGTGGACGAAGGTGATGACCCTAGTAAAGAGTATTTAGATTGTGCGTTCTGGACATTCATTCAGTGGGCCTTCTCTTCCAAGGGTATTAAGTCCCTGGAGTATATCGTGTTCGGGGACTATGGCCGATCTGAACGAACGAGCAGGGAAAACCTGCTGATATGTCGGGAGGGTTATGGATCGCAAGATTTCCGCATCATTAAGGAGACATGCCCAACACCTGAATGTGATTATATCAAGAAGAAGTACAGGGATGCTCTGAGGTCATGTCCCTCAAAGCCGGTGTTCGATACGCCAGAAGTTCAGCGCTTCAAACATAAGCTAGCTCGATTCAGAGCAAATGCAGCAAGATTCCAGTAGCCACATTAGACATATTCCCAACCACATCCCAAAAGTTCGTGTTACTCGTATTCCTCGTCTGCTCCAACTCCCTAATCCTCGCCTCCATCCTCCTCTTCTCCAGTCCATACGCCGCCGCCTGCGCGGTATTCGCATCCATAATCTGCCTATTCAACCTCTCAACCTCCCCCCTCCACCTCCCCGCCTCATCAACCGCCCCTCTCTGCCTCTCCTCAATCTTCCTAATCGTCTCATCATACTCCGCCCGATCCTCCGCACGCGCCGTCTCCATCTCCAGCTTCAGCGCGCCGACCATGCGGTTCGATTCTGCCATAGCAGCTTGAAATCGCTCGTTGGCATCTGCGCGCTCGGTACTTAGTCGGGTTTCCAGGTCTTGGATCTTGGCTTCTCTTGCCTTGCGTTCTCGCTCTAGACGGATGAGTTGGTCGTTGAAGGCTTGTTCCATGCGGCGTTGCTGTTCGCGGCGATCGGCGTGGAGGGCCGCTTGCTCGCTCTCGAGACGGCGCATGAATTGCTGTTTTTCTTGTTCGAGCTTGTCGAGCATTTTCTCGAGCTGCACGTCGCGGTCTTTGATGGCTTGTTCTTTTTCTTCGCGTATGGAGTCGAGTTGGGCTTGGTGTTGCTCTCGTAGCTTGTTGAGTTCTTCGTTGAGAGCTTCACCTGCTGTTGTTTGGTCGACTCCTAGACCTTGCTCTACGATCACTTCTTGGATCTGCAGGGTCACGGCGGGGAGGCCAACAAGCTCGTTCACGATCTCAAGAGCAGACTCTCTCGTATTCTGGAATCGTCGAATTCTTGAGCCTTTGTTGCTCATATACCCCCACCACTCAGGAGTCGAGATCAGCTCATGCTCTCTCGCAGCTCCCTTTGACTCATCCTGTAGCTCGTCCCAGAAAGTAGTCGCAAGAATGACATTCTCAAAAGCGCCGTCACCACAGAGGTTGCGGAACATGGTGAGGTTTCGCATGATGGCATTGGTCATTCTCTCATCTTTGATGCGGTGCAGGTAGATGATTCCACTGAGCTTGACATTGTTCATGTACGAGGAGCTGAGGGCTTGAGCGACATCAGCAAGAATGTCGGCATCGCCGCGGTACGTGTCATCAAATCCGGGTGTGTCAAAAAAGACGAATTGCTGGCCCTGGATGAGGCACTCGTAGGCTTCAGTCTTCTGCGTGCCTGTTGGTGGTTAATCTTTGGTCATCATCCACAAAGTTGAGTGTTGACTTACACGATCCAAGTGAATGCCCGACTTGGGGCCCGTCTTCATCGTCTCTGCCAGTCAAGAGCCTGAGAAAGTTGCTCTTTCCAGAGCCAGTCACCCCCATCACCGCAATCAGAAGTACAGGCGGGAGGCTTTCCGACTCGTCGCTTACCGACGTGTCTGTTCCCACCGACGGAGCTTCTGGCAAAGATTGGGCGACTTTGGTCATAGTGGAAGCTTACAGGGATCTCAACAAGTGTGATACACTAATTCCCAGCTTCAAGTCTAGACTTAAGAGTAAGAGAATGTCTCTTGATAAATACAACAAGGCAGACTAGACACAATCACTTTATGCCGACATATCCGGCACTGCAACACCCAAAATCAAGCTTAACATCGCATTAGGGGCAATTCACACTCTATTCGTCAACAATAAGCACTAGCTTTACAAAACGACCGTTCTATTTCAACCTCCACGCTACAGCAAAACCTGCATTTCAAGCTGAACACCCAGAACACGACATCAATCACTAGTCCTACCATCCACTAATACCCTGCATCCTCCCAATTAGACACCCAAACCTGCGCAGGCGACCAGACAATGCCTCTTCCGCGACTCTCAGATTCCACTGGCTCCGAGATAATCCGCGGGCGCACTACCACACAAATCGGGCGACCGTCGAACCGCTTATCACCTTTCAAAAGACCGACTGTGGGATGCGCCTCCATGTCGCCGAACATGCTCTGGAACCGATGGAGGGTCGCATCGCCTAGCGCCTCGATGCGGATAGTGGTTCTTAGCTTCCAGAGTCTGAGCTCAAGGCTGCATGTGGTCTCAAAAAGCTTGGTAAGCTGCGTGAGGCTTTCTCTGTCGAGGGGCTCGATGAGGGACTCGAAGGTCTTTGCGAAGCCCTCGGCACATGCTTGCAGTCCTTGTTTGTGCGGGGGAAATGCTTGCTCTAGGTATTGGCAAGTCTGGATCCACCACGTCACTGTGGCTTCTGCGCTGGCACCTAGAGATTGCGTTAGTTTGCCTTGTTGCCTGGGAGTACGAAGTGTACAAACCTCCTTGCAGGGCTGTTTTGTTCAAAGAATGCCGACTCAGAAAGAATGGGTTTCCAAGAAAGGTCTGCACGAGCGTCTTCGTTAGTGCAGCCTGCAGCAAAACTGCTGTAGCTGTTCGGTGCGTCACGTCGAATCGTAGATGCTCCTCACAATCTAAATTGTTGATGATACCTTCAGTACGCATGAGGTTTCGCGTCTCTTCAACTTTTTCGATCTGCGGCAAGCGATTGTCAATGCACCACTCAGAACACTTCTCAAACAAATCCTGCAGTTCAGTTCGGACCTGATCATCAGGAAAGTTGCTTGAGACATGACCAGCCAGTAGTGATATAGCCCTCGAATGCGCTTCAGTAACCTTGACCTCTTGATCCTCGATATCTTGTCTCAGAGTCTTGTTCTCATTTCTTTCCTCAGCAAGCTCGGTTTCGAGATCTTGCTTTGTTCGCTTGAGCTTGTGATAATCATCAAACAAGCGATCATAAGCGGCTTTCGTTTTCCTGTGCTCATCTCCTTGTTTGCGCCAGTGCTCATCGGACTTATCTTTCCAATCTTCCCATTGCTTGACCAGACCCTTTTTGCTATCAAGATCTTTGGTTTGTAAATTGAACTTGACTGTTAGGTTATTGAGACTTGTGCTCAGAGAAATTTTGTCAGTTTGTAGTTGAGTTACTTCCTTTTGAAGTTTCCTTTCTCTTGAGGTTTCTGATTTGTGGCTCGGCTGCTTCTCAATCACTTTTTCGGGAATTGTAGAAGACTCTGAAGGCCCGAATGGGTTCAGGGACTGGGTGATACGCCCAATCACTCCGGGGTTTTGCTTTAGAGCCTCTCAGGTTTGGCTAGAATCGACTATACGTTGCTTGTTAACCTACCTTTGGCTGATGACTAGATGTTTTCACCGTCTCAACGACGTCAGACATGATCGAGTCTTCTGGAGGATGATATTTCGGCCTGTTGTCATCGATCTTGGAGTATCTCGACTGTTACAAATTTAGTAAGAGGAATACGACGAATTTGAAACTGAATACCTCCTCATATGGTCCATAATCCTCGCTTTTTGGTTGGAGTTGGTCACCGATATCCTTCAGGGCTGCTCCACCGGGACCATCCCTTACAGATCGTTGCTCAGATTCTCCGCCCATTGCGATGCTGCCAAAACACGTCGTTGATTGAATGGCGTGGCGATACAATCATCCCCGACTCAATTAACAAAAGCACTCTTTATAACCCGGGATGGGCGTCTCCCCGCTGGAAATCAATGGTATGGCTTTCTCCCCCCCTCCATTACCCTCCTTGTAAACCTTAGCCTGTTCAGCCGTGTTAGTGGCTGCATATGCAAGGCCGAGCCCCCGACAAAACGCCAGTGCAGTACACGGCAAAACGCCCGTGCATTTCAACCACCCCTGTAAGGCGTACTGATATCAGCCGCAAACTCGGCGAACTGTCTAAGCTGCCGCCCTGAGCCAGATGGCCGGCCATTCGTACATGATGTAAGTCATTTCAAGTCATTCCATCAAGATACCAGAGCCTCAGTCGCCTGGCCTACAGTTCATTTCCATATTGTAATTGAGGACACAATGTTGGCAGTCAGGAATCGAACGAAACTGATAGTCGGCATTGACTACGGTACAACGTATTCAGGTTAGCATAATGCAGCTTAATGACGAAGCCCCTTGGCTGATCTTCTCATTACCAGGTCTCAGTTTTGCGCTCTCCAATGCTGCAGACTTCAAAGACATTCACCCATGGACAAAATACCCCGGCTCATCAACTCACATCGCAGAACACTGCCACAAAGCTCCATCATGGGTCGCCTTCAAAGATGAGAATCCCGATCTCGACGAAAACGCATGGGGCTATCAAATCGAACCTGGTATGAAGACTTACGCATGGACCAAGCTCCTCTTGGATGATCAAGCACTCGCGACAGAGTATGATGATCCTGATCTTAACAAGGCCGCTGGGAATGGCCTTATGAGGCTACCGGCTGGCAGAACTGCCAAAGACGTGGTTACGGAGTATCTCAAGGGTATGCATTCTATGTATAGAAAAGCTGTCATTGAGAAGATCGGAGAAGGTATCCTTGAGGAGATGCCCGTTGACTTTTGGTTGACTGTTCCGGCGACTTGGACCGAGAGAGCAAAGCTAATCACTAGGGCTGCTGCTTTGGATGCTGGTTTTGCATCGAGGCCTATTGATCGTTTGAGCTTGATTACAGAACCAGACGCGGCTGCGCATATGGCTCTCAAGTCCAGCATTCATCACGTTGAAGATCTTATTGATGCAGGTAGCGCCATCTCACTTTTCGAGTCCATGCTTACACTGCGCTTAGGTCGGCACGGGCGTGATGGTTTGTGATCTTGGCGGTGGTACTGTCGTAAGTCCAACTTTCCTCGAGGCCTTTTATCTTACTGAGAAGACCAGGATATCACGACATCAGAAATAGTCAGAAAGTCACCTTCTCTGAAGCTGAGGGAGATTGCCATCGGAGCAGGTAAAGCAGTCCCTATCCGCAGATGGAACAGTCATGCTCACACTCTCAGGTGGCAAATGCGGCGGGACATTCGTAGACCGCAATCTCTACAAGCTGCTCTCCGAACGCTTTGGAACTGCGTTCACGAGCCTGGGCCCACAGCACGTAGGTCCCGGCAGTCAGTTCATGGACCAATTCGAGAATCGCAAGAGAGACTTCAGCCTCGATACACCGAGCAGGAAGTCTTATAAACTAACTCTACCGATGCGAAATCTGGTAGTCACTCCAGAGATGCAGAAGTACTATGACCCTGACTTTAACTGGGTGCTCTTGAGCAAAGATGATATGAAGAGTCTTTTTGACCCCGTAATTGACGTCATTCTCAAGCTTGTGAAAGATCAGGTTGATCAGGTCAAGAGAGATAAGGAGCCAATAATCAAGACTATGTGTTTGGTTGGTGGGTTTGGTTCCTCGCCTTATGTCAAGGAGAGGTTGCTTGAATGGTGCTCTGAGCAAGAGATACGGCTTACAACACCCTGGACAGGCGCGTAAGTATCTCATTCTGGAGAAGCCTTTGGGATCAGCTAACATGGCTCAGTTGGGCAGCTGTTGTCTGCGGTGCAGTGTTGCGAGGCGTCGAGGGCTCTATGGTCAGACAAAAGAAATGTCGTCGACACTATGGACATAGCATCTCCCGAACCTATGATCCAGCAGTTCATTTCAACTTTGATGAGAACAAGCGAAGATTGTGGAATGACCCCTGGACCAAGGAGCAAAACCTATCTGGCTTCATGGATTGGGAGATTGCGAAGGTAAGCTTTCAAGAGGTGATATTGCCGAAAGAATATTAGACTAACGGAATTACAGGGCGCACTCCTAGACGATGACACTGAGATCAGCACAAGCTTCTACTCGCACTTCTCAGAATACTTTGATGGAAAGCATACGCATGATCTTTACTCGTGCAGCTTGGATGAGGCACCTGAGACTATTGAGAACGAACGTGAGTAAGCAAATTTCCCGTGACACAAACCATGGAGCTAACGATGAGCTAGGGATCGAGAAAGTTGGCGAGGTTTTGTACACCATTGATGACATTGGCATTGACAAGACCAAAATTAAGTCGATCCAAGACGCCAATGGCATTCATTGGTATCAGCTACTACTCACCTTGACGATTCGTCTCAGTGACGACGATGTTGGTGTACTGGTATGTCGAATCTTCTGTCGCGGGAAAGAAGTTGGAAAGGCAGAGATAGGGTACTCCTTTACGTGATGGTCCATTGTCTACCCGATCGTCTTTTAAGGCATTGAAGGTTGTTGGTCTTCTAGTCAAGCCCGTTATTATATATGGCGAAAATGGCTGATAAGAGCCACTTTTCCCGTCGAATTTACGTGATTTGACTCGAGCAGAGATCCAGGAACACTTGTATGTAGATATTTGGAGATTCCTTGGTTAGAGAAATGCCGATATTTGTGAAGGTTGTGATGATGAATTACCGCCGGCTCAGGCAAGTACAAAGAGGCTCCTCGGTCCTTGGAACATGGAGTTTTCATAATGCTCGAGACCAGCCAGGACCTCGGAATACCGACAGTATCATTCTCGGGTTGGCGATAAGCAAAGGGTTGGGTCTTAAGTCCGCTAAGCTCCAGAACGGGACAAATGCGAAATGTAATATGAGTCACAGCGAAATGTAGAGGGCATTTAGTAATAATCTTTGGCTGGGTTTGCTTAGTTATTTGGACGGTGACATGCCGCTGGGTTCTTCAAGTGGGATGGGCGTCACGTAATCCGGCGCGTCGGGGTGCGGGGGAACACCGAGCTTCCCCGAGCTTGCAAGATCTTTTGGAGCTCCCCCACTACCGTTATTTAAGCCTCTATATCTTCATCAACGATCGATTGTTGAGTACGATACCTCAAAACACTCCCTGAACCTCCTAAGAATGTCTAAATATCTTTTTTCCAGCCTCAGAGGCTACACGTACAAGACCATCCCATACAAATCTGGTCCCGATGGCGACATCGTTCTTGATGTCGTGTACCCAGAGGAAGCCGATGATTCGCCGACGACTGTTCTCATTCACATCCACGGCGGATTCCTCGTAAGTATGGTTTAGATATATGCAAACGGTTCTAACGTGTGCGTAGATCGTCGGGGACAGATACAGCTTTGCTCCATACTGGCTTGTCAACGCTGCAACCTCTCGGAAATGGATCTTCGTGAGCCCTGACTATCGCCTTGTCCCAGAGTCTACCGCCCATGCATCAGTTGATGATTCCATCAATGCGTACAACTGGGTGCGCTCATCGCTGGCTGATACGCTTGGACGTCCTATTGGACCTGTCTTGCTGGCTGGTTCAAGCGCAGGAGGATATCTCGCACTGACGACTGCGAATGCTGTCGAGCAAAAGCCAGACGCGCTGCTTCTCATCTATGGAATGCTCGATGCGGCTGGTCCCAGATATACGACTCCCGGTTCAAATATCTGGGGCGCACCGCCTTTTGACACCGCCACGGTATTGAGCCAGTTTCCCCGGACAAAGCAAAACGATGATCGGAAAGCCATCTCTGGGTATCCCCCACCCGAGAACTTCCAGCAAGACCCACGGTTCCAAGTTGCATCAGCTCTTCACATCGACGCCCTCTTCCCAGACTACATGACCGGTGTTGAAGGCTTAAGCCGCGAGATCGCAAGCAAGGGCATCGATGCCATCCCCGAAGAACACCGACGACTGTTCCCTCTGTCTTTCGGCGATCTTTCCAAGATTCCCCACACATTCTTGCTGCATGGCGTCAATGACTCTGCTGTTACAGTGGACTGCAGTATCGTAGCTGAGAAGAAGCTTCGTGAGGCGGGTGTTGAGGTCGAAAAGGACTTCCCGGAGGATGCGGAGCATGGCTTTGATGGTAGAATTGGAAATGTTGATGTTGAGAAGACAGAGGCGGATGGGATTCCCAATGTTGAGAGTCTGAGAAACGCCGTCCGCTTCCTTGACTCTTCTAGTAAGAAGTAGACATAACGATGCACCTGGCTACAAAGACCAATTATTTTTTACGTGATTCATGTTCTACCCTGATGCGTAAAGCAAATGCATGAACCATATTCTCCTCTAGATTAAAGTTTACTTAATCTCAGCTACGACATTCTTGATAACCTCCTCAAGATTCTCCTCCTTCAGCCCAAGCAACCCAATTGCATTCTCATCGCCCTTCAACGCGTGGCCAGCACCATCGGCAAACAGGAACTGCTCGAGATAATTACCAAAGGCACTAAAGTCTCCTTTGGCAATCTTCTCGTCTCCAATCTTCTCCTGCTCAGCGCCAGTGACGTGAGAAACCTCAAACTTGTCCCCAGTGAGCTTCTCGACGATCTTCAGGACCTCATTCTGAGTTGTCGTTACACCGGCGATGTTGAGATACTTATTCTTTGTCTCCTCTGGCTTCTTTAGAATAGTAACTACGGCTTCGCCGACGAAGGCGAGTGAAGTTGTGGAATAGGGTTCGTTGCCTGAGTCGGTGATGCGAATCTTGCGATCTTTGATGTTGATGAATCCCCTGTCGCTTTTGAGACCCTGCAACCCAGTTAGAAAGCTCTACGGCTTCAGTCGAAGTCAGACACCATACCGAATCAAGGAACAATCCATTGGAGAGACCAGTCCAAGAGAACCAATCATGCTTCTCAGCAAGTTCAATCAAGTAGTCAGTATTCTGGATCTTGGCACTGAGAATCTTTCCAATCTTGGTATCGCGATTCAGACGAGACGGAATTCCGAATTCTGAGGGAATAAATCGTGGGACTTTTGCTGCGATGGCTGCATCAATGATGATCTTCTGGCTTCCAGCAGCAGCAGTTGCGGCAGCTGACACGACGGCGTCTTGACCCGCCAGAGCTTCCTTGACCGAGTCAACCGAAGTTATATTGACACGCTTCACGATTACTTTATCGGGAAAAGTGGCAGAGGACTCATTTCTGGTGATAGCTGTAACTTCGAAGCCAGCTTTGAGGAGCCTGTCCACGATTTTTGATCCGATAAGACCAGAGCCCTGGCGAGGTTAGTTCCCTGCCTAGTTACCCATGATGATCCTCTAGGGTAAATAACTCACTCCAACGACAGCGACTTTCTGAATGGCCATGTTGATGTTCTCAATCGATGTGTTCTTCACAGCAGGATTTGATGAGAGGTGATTCAGAGAATGATTGACCTGAAGGCTTTATCTAGGGTGTTGTCGTTTCTTCAACCCCGCCATTGTAACATTTCACTGGAGATGCAACGATATTGAGCCATACACAACGCGTGATTTTCACGGCCATCTCCACTTCCTCATGATGCCATACTGGCGAGAGATTCTCAACCATCAATTATGAAGTCGCGTGCTTGCGGATGAAAAATAGCGAATTAGGACACTCTCGGTGCAAATATCGAGAAAAGCGAGCTTTCTGAGCGACTCGGTGAGTATCTCAATAATGATGCCCTTTCTGATTGAACCGAGCAAGCGTTTCCCTGTTATGTTCAAACAACGAATAAGATAATAAAGGGTATTTGATATCTAATTGAATTCTATCGCCTAAATGATCACTTCATCCATTCTAGTAACACATAAACCAGGTTCTGCTCGGCAACTGGTGATGTCAAGAAATTGTCGCTTATGGTCTTATGGAGAATCAACAGATCTATCCCTCGAGCTTGCGGAGCCTCAAGGGCTTGGATAAGGTTATACGGCACCATGAGACGCTACTGACAAGTGCCGTCTAGACGAGTCTTCACGGTTCGTAGCGGAATGACGAATCGCTCGGCTACTCACTCGCATGCCTGACACCGTACGCTTCAGCGGAACGACTAGATGCGGCTTCAACTTCGAAACGAAGCATTTAAAGTGGTATAATTGTACGAGCCAAGGTGTCACTTGCAATTGAACGGAAAAGAACAGCTACGCCTAGAAAGAACCCTTGACGGAACTTCCAGAACCACCGACAGGGAGAGTCTTCCGTTAGTCCCGACCCTAACCAATTCCACTACCGACATCTCAAAATAGATGTCTCAGAATCAGACGATAAACACTGCCATGAAAAGTGGGAAAATCCGCGTAACATCCATAGCAACTGAGCACCATCTCAAACAAACTTTTTAACCAAGTGAAACTGTCAATCTATCTGACAGCACTCCCGTAGATCTTGGACAGCAACCGCATTAAAAAGCTCCAGTGGCTAAGGCCGTTGTGCCGGGTAACCGGACGCCACTGTGGCTATCACCATGGAAAAATCCGGGGAACAGACACAATGACGTTGGCAGAAGTGCCGATAACCTTGATTCGTAGGCCAGGAGATGATTTGACATGGAAAATTGCAAACGTGCAGCCAGCCACATTGTGAATTCGTTATTTCCTTGATTTTGTGCAAAAGCGTCGATCAATGAAAAGAGCAATGCATAGCGGCGTAGTCACGCGAGCAAAAGTCCTTTGCTTGACAGCCATAGAAATTGGCTGAAGAATTGATGTCCTGAATTGGAATGTCAGATGCTGAGCCCAGTTTCTGACCACCTCGGCTAGGGCGGCTCAATCCTCCTTCTCGTATGGCTAATCTGCATCCTTGCTTACGTATTTCCTTGTGGAAAAGTAGCCAGAGACATGTTGGTTGGTGCCTGAACTTAGTCCTGTTCGCTCAAAAATAGTCAGATCATTGTTGAGCTGCCAGAGCAGTTTTCATCTGTGGCGCGCGTCGTTGTGCTGATGAATATTTAATCTTTTACTGGTCACTCTGGATACTCAGCGGGAAACTTTAGGCAGAGGTGTCGCTGGCTGGCCGCTGTAACAGTCAGCAAATGGAGAACTTTAGTGGGTAGATTCTCATGGAGTGAGGAGTCCGCGTCGAGCTTAATGGCCTTTTGAGGCGTCAGTGTCAACCCTGCAGTAAATCCATTCCTCAAGGGCAAAGTGAAACCTCATTTCAAGAGCAAAGCAAGCAAAAGGGCCCTCTTCTTATGTACGAACGGACCAAACACAAGAGACACGCGACACCAGAGTCCAAAGCTGAGAGAGCCCCTTACATGGGGTCAACAAGGCCATTGTCCAGACCAAAACAAACTTCTCCACGCTCGCCAAGAGATCGATCGACGACTATACTCAGGGGTAGGCCAAGAAAAAACCAAGGCGCCTTGCGCACCAAAGCAGTCATCGTGTAATATTTGGGTAAGAGGTGAAGGTGCAGACAAAACGCAGCGTTTCCGCCTGGAGAAAGGAATCATGGCGCAGCCTAGCGTGAAATTAACTTGTTCCATGAGTGAATGGTTCGACCCATTAACATTAACATTGGTCAAGGGGGGAGCTAAAAATGGGAAGAGTCGGCTAAGCGGCTTTTTTTGCGCAGGTCAGCCTGGGAATAAAGGGGGGGACTTTTTTGCCCGACGACACCGGGCCATGTAAGGTTTCTTTTTTTTCTGGGGAAGAAGCTGAGAGAATTGTATGTACGTACGTACAGTGTTGCAACCAATTTCATGCCCTCATGCAGAGAAATGCATTGTTTTCTGCATGTGCTGATTTGTTGTTGATCAACATGCCGTCAGCAAGGAGACTTGTTGGGCTGGACACTATCGACGCCTCGTTCAAGCCATGCCGGCCCCTCATCATTAAACGAGTCGCCGCCCGTGGCTCATCACTTCAAAATTGAGAGAACCTTCGCAAAAAAGAAAGCAAGCGCCCAGACAAAATAGCCCATTCCTTGCATTGCCGCGTGACCTTGTTCTTACTCGCTGAAGCGTAACTGACTCCCCTTCCGGCGCCGGCTCGAATCTGTTTACGGATGGCTTGGCGACAAATCTGTGCCGTGCTGTTTAATTTTACTCTGCATCCTCCCTCTTGGTGGCCAATTAGATGCAGGGGAGCGTTCGGTTAGACGGAGCCGTTTAGTCAGATTGAAGTGGCACATGAGAAATACGAGCCTTGAAACCGCCACTGGCCTACACCCATCGTCTAGCCCTACATGGATCCAATGCAGAAGTGACCGACGCCAGGGGTCGAGCGAGGATGTGCAAAATTGTCCGTATTCAGCTAATGAACAAGTCATGGTTATTTCATGTTACGTAGCAGATTTAATCTGGGCTGGGCCAGCCTGAGCCTGTGGCACACACAACACGCGAGCAGTTGCTGTTTTTACTGTTAATTCCCCATTTAGTTTGATGTTTTAGTGACCTTTTTTTTTTAGTTAGGGGGGCCCAATGGATGTCAGATTTTACGACCGTGATCCTTTTTTTAAACAACCTCGGATCCTTTTCTGCTCTGCTGCTGAGGCTCCCTTTTTTCTCCTCTCCTGTCCTCTTTCTCGAACCTCTTTCCATGGAATATTCATCTATTTTTTAATTTTTCGTTCCTTCTCTTGTCTCGACTGGAGAGCAATCCATCATGTTTGCGACACTCGTTCCCTTTTGTTTTTCGACGATATTTGTTTCATTGACGTTTACTAAACTGGTCCACCTTTCCATCCACGCCAAGACAATCTCTCCCGGCGCTTTCGTCCTTTTTCTGCCCTCGCTTTTACTTCCTGATGTTTTAGTTATTTGCCTGTCGCGCCTGGCGCTGCGGCAGCAGAAGGGCCTTTTCTCTGTTGGAGCTTGTGTTTTGGGCTGCATATTCTCGTATGTTTCTCTCGTCTGCTTCAATCGACCGCTGCTAATAATGGCAGATTTATTCTTCTCGGCGCATCCGCTTCACAACTGGGCTTCTTTTATTCGACGGGCAATGAGGTGAAATGGTCTGAGGCATTGAGCTATGCTGGCGATAAAGATGGAATGAAGATTCTTCTTAGTGGGCTTAACTCCGTCCTTGCGGCGGGAGCTCTCATCGTCGTCGTGGCTTGGGTTGTGAAGTGGTTTCTCTACAGGGCTGTCGGTTCATTAATTGCAACGGTTGGAATGCCTGTTGTACATGGTACATTGCTCTCTCAATCATCGTCAATTAATACTAACAATTACTCAGCCTGGCAGTGGTTCCGACACAGAAACGGTCGATCCCCTCAGTCACTGGCTTATGACTCCGACAGCGAACTTGACGAAGACCTTGAAGGCGGTAAAGAAGGCGCACGACTCATCCCCGATACTCACGAAGAATCTCGAACGAGGCCTCGAACATGGATCATTCTCGCCATCATTTCTGTCTTCCTCTTCCTCACGACGACCCTGCGTCCTGCCGCTCCCTACACCATGATGTCCATGACTCTCCCCGCCGCTATGCTCGAAATGTTCAAGTCTCCGCCCAAGCTGTGTAACAATGTCGAAGGTGCATGGCCTCTCCCTGATCTCATCACTTCCGATAATTGGGAGGAGCCTAACGGACGCTTCCCCGGATGGACACCCAGTAACAATGGCGAGGCTGCACAAAAGTACCGAGATACAGTCCCTGAATGGCTACCCAGCGACATCCCCGCCGGCTTTTCCAAGTGGCTTTCTAAGCCCAACAAGACCGTGGACGAGGAGCCAGCAGCAAGCCCTAGCAATGCCTGCGAAGTCCCCAAAGCCGATGGTACCTTCTACAACCCCGTTCTCGACCCTCTCAAGATCTCCAACCTCGACACCGACATCATTGACGTTATCCGCGACACCCTCAAGGGCGGCGATGTCAAGATCAAGCACGTGGCACTAATCATGATGGAGAGCTACCGCGAGGAACTCTTCCCTCTGCAGCAGGGCTCCGACTATCACAAGCTCATGGTCAAGTCGCACAAGGGCGAAGACATCGACGAGATCAACGAGAAGCTCTCTCGCATGAGCCCCGTCGCCGAGAGACTCACCGGCAAGTCAGGAAACTGGAAGAGAAAGGATGGCTCGGATTTCGAACACGTGGCTATTCCGCAGTGGAACGATACAGCGCAGGAGGGGTACGGAGGTATCAACGTTGTCGGCGGTTTCACAACATCGTCGTTGTCGTTCAAGAGCATGGCTGCTATCCACTGTGGCGCTTGGTCCATGCCCGTCGATGGCTTCGAGGAGTCTGAGACGGATGCGTACCAAGCCTGTCTTCCTCAGGTGTTCAATCTCTTCAACAAGCTCAAGGATGATAAGAAGACCAAGTCCAAGTCGAAGTGGATGTCGAAGGCGAAGTCGGAAGATTTCTTGGAGCAGCAGTGGTATCCGGCTTTCTTCCAGTCTATTACCGATGGTTATGATCGCCAGGACAAATTCGACGACAAGATCGGTTTCGAGCATATCGTTACACGAGGCCGTCTTGAAGATGATCTCAAGAAGGAGGAACTCGAAGAGATCAACTACTTCGGTTTCCCTGAGACAACGCTCAAGAGCCACATTGAAGATTACCTAGAGGAGGTTAAGGAGAAGGGCAAGCGTATGTTCTTCTCTCACTTTACCAGCACGACGCATCATCCTTGGGGCGTACCAAAATCATTCAAGAAGACCGACTTTCTCAACACCGAGGGCAAGATGGGCTGGCACTCTGAGTTCAACGACTATCTCAACGCCATGCGATTCACCGATGCCTGGCTAGGCGAGTTACTCCAGACATTCGACAACCACGGTCTTACAAACGAGACGTTGGTAGTATTTGTCGGCGATCACGGACAGGCCTTCAAGGAGGATCAAAAGTCCAAGACTGGAACCTACGAGAACGGCCACGTTAGCAACTTCCGAGTGCCTATCACATTCCGCCATCCTCACATCCCCCGCGTTCAATACAACGCCAACGCAACATCCCTCTCTATCCTCCCCACCATCCTCGACCTTCTCATCAACACCGGCTCCCTCAATGAAAAAGACCAAAGCGCCGCTGAGGACCTCATCCACGATTACGAGGGCCAGTCCCTCATCCGCCCTTATAAAACAAAGCACAACGGCCGCCGCGCCTGGAACTTTGGCATCATCAATGGAGGAGCTAGCATGCTGTCAATGACATCTGCAGATGCTCCGTGGCGAATTGTCATACCGCTTGATGACTCTACACAATATAGATTCACGGATCTCAAGAACGATCCGTTAGAGAAGAAGCCGCTTGAGAAGTGGACGCTTGATCAGCTGACGTATGCTGTTCGGAGTAAATTTGGGAAGGAGGCTTCGACATGGGCCGCTGAGGCGGATGCTGTGTCCAAGTGGTGGGGACCAGAGAGGAAGAGATTATGGGGGTACAACCCTTCGCATAAGGAAGATTGATGATAGAATTTAATGTAATGCGAATGTTTAATGGTTTCAATTATGCGTCTGTGTCTGTGATGACTGTTGCGTCCGACTTTGCAACGACGAGAAAAGTCTCAGCTTTGCCATCTTAAATATGACCAGGCATCGATTGCTTCATGGTTCAAACTGAAAATTAAGAAGAACGTGCGTTACTTGAGCTCGAGCACTCATCACCGGCATCAAATTGTATTCAGAGTATTAAGTTGTCATTCTGGTATTTCCATTCCACGTCCATGTTAATGCTTCATCTATACAACAAAAGAAAATGCGCCGTTCGATCTATAACCCGACCTGATATCTCACTCCAAAACCATCCAATGCAATTTTGATACAAATTAGCGATCCTTAAATGATCTTGGTCCCAGTTTAATGTCCAGAAGCTTGCTTCTTCGCAGCAAGTCTTCGCTCCTCAGCAGCGACCATATCTGTAAACTGTTAGCAAGGCTCAAGGTCGATCAGATCAAGTGACTTACCTTTCCAGAGGTCTTGACCCTCATACTCCTCCTTGTGGACCTTCTTCTCGATGATCTTTGTAGGATCATTGGGGTCCACGTACCGAATGGTCTGCCATCTGCTATCTCCGTTCTTGAGATCGTTGACCTCAAAGATTGCAGACACCAAGAGTACAGCTAGCGTCAAGCCCTGCGCATAAACACGAGCTTGCACAACCTTGTTCGCTGTGTTCATAGGCTGTCGACTAACAATCGCAAACGCAATACCCATTGACGCCAACCACGACGCGAAAACAATTTGATATCGGTTCTCCTTGGCATATGACTTGAAACGCTCATACGCGGACTCATTTTCTCGGATGAGCTGTGCTGTACGCGCTGCTTGATCTTGGTAATTGCGTTTAGGATCTTGAGCGATCTGATATGCGATACTCCATCTCTCTGCATTGACGATGGCGCCGAATGTACCCGTTGATGTGACGAGGAAAGCTCTAAAGGGAAGAGTGAGCCCTCGGAAGGTTGGGTAGCGTTTTGACGCGTAGTAAACGCCCCCAAGACCGAGACCCAGGAAGAGTGTTCCACCGATGAGGCCGCCCTTGACGACTTCAGCGTAGTGGGCCTCTTCTTCTTGCTTGGTGAGAATCTTCATGATTGGTGAGGGTGATAGCGATAAGAGACAAGAGATATGGATAAGGATAAGCTTGAATGGGTAGGTAGTAATGTAATGTGTGTATGATGTATGGATGATATGTCCCACTACAGACTCCTGGCAAGCATGTTTATATAAAGGTAGCAAGTCTGCAAATTTCACCGGGCAAAGCCGCTACGAAACGGATTCCTCATGTCATGTTGTCGCACGATTATTCAAAGTCGGGATGCTTACGCCGCAGCGAAACCCTTGGTCATGATGCCGCACTCGCCGCAGTCATCGCTGACGGTTCCGCCCGATTGCCGCAAGTGGATGCTTTGCGGCGCCGCATGACCGCAGAGGTTGAAGAGAACTTTTCTGGTCAGTGGTTCAGGGCATATTTTTTGGTGACGGGCGAGATCATCGGATACTGTAGTGATGATCAACGGCGATGCCGATGAGATATCCAACGAGTAGCATGGCTATGGTTTATGTATGTGCCTGCGGAAGTGAATTGGACAGCAGTTCACGTCTTGATCATCGCCGCCGTCTGAAACCAAACAAGGTCCAGATGGATGGTCGGTTTGAGAAGGATGAGGGAAATTGAGGGCTACCATGGTTGTTATATAACTATTTCTACAGTATTAGCGCGATGAGGACACATCTTCTAAGCCCCGTCGTCGGCAGTCATCAACGATGGAACGAGGTCCCTGCGGCCAATGATTTGGGAGATCCGGCCGGGCCATCTCTGGTGAAGTTCGATGGTATGCTCGATTCATCGCACAGCTGATCTTGGCATGAAACTGAGCCTTTTCGAGTAAGATGTGCCAGTGAAATACCACCCTTTACCCGTATGTTCCCATCAAACTGAGGCTTCTGGCTCTGTGCCGATTGGCGGTCCCAACAAATCGCCGCCCATGCCAAACCCATGCCCTCCAATCTCTTTAGATGTGCCGAGACATTGCGGCACTTAATGTTCCCCATGTCACATAGGTCCATGCGTGCAGTTCTCCATGGCTGACGCCACAGTTTGCGGCATCTTTAGAAAACTTATGCCGCAGCCCTGTAGGGCAGACTGGGCAGCGTCTCTCAGCTATGAGTGCGCAGCTATAACATATCAAAAAGATCACTCTTGCCATTCACCAGAGATGGAAAATAGTCTAAGACATAGACACAGTGTATCAAGTCAAGTCATCACCCATGATTTATTTGCATCTGAAATATAACCCTCCTGAACTCGAAGTATCGTCAGATTTATTGTTCACCAGAAGCATTAGAATCATACTCAAAGGCATTGAGCGGAGTCAAAGGGCGTCCAAGTTTAATTATACTAGTCTCAAATGTGATGCCATCGTCACAGATCCAATATATACTGTCCCTCCGCTGCTACAAGTATGATGCCTAGCATCGGCGCCTAGTCTCAGCTCAGTACGATCAGGGATCAATATTTAGGCTTCGGTGACGTTGGGTCGAGTGCTCCACTCATCAGTAACACCCACGGCATTGTAGGAAACATCCGCAAACTCGTCTGCGTCGTCACGCTGATAGTAAAACTTGATCTGGAAGCTCTTCTTGTCACCAGTTGACTGGAAAACGTTGGCAGCCAGACCGCTCACTTCGCAAATAGTGTAGTCCTTATCGTTGAAGTCCATGCCGTCGTTCCAATCCTCGTCCTTGTCACCAACACGGATGATCTGACGGAGGAAGAGCTTGTCTCTGTCGACATAGTAAACTCGGACATTGGGTTGCAGGGTCAGCACAGAACTATACAGATGTAACAACGTGGCTTTACCTGAGCTCTGCCGCCACAAGACTCGGGGTGGGTGAATGCGACAGCCGAGATAATGGGCAACTTAGGGTTGACCTTGATAGACTTTCCTTTGATCTTGAGGGTGTTCATGTCATACTTCTTCCTGGGGATTCTTTCACTGGGGGTGCGACTCTCATAGAAGATGATCTCGTAGTTCTTGTTGACTTGCAATAGAATGATATTTCCGTCATTCTGCGCAACAGCGACCATGTTCTGACAATCAGGTCGTTAGTATATAGCTCTCAGTTAAGTCATAAGAGAAGTGGCAGAGGCTAACTGGATATGAGACATATTCACCGAGGGAGGATCTGAATGGAAGTATTGAGAGATTGGTTGTTGTGTGAAAGGGTTCTTTGAATGTTCAAGATGATCTTGTGCTGAATGAAAGAGGTCTTGGACGGGGTCAGTCAGCTTCTTTATACTTTTTTCCACCTCCTCTATGACCTTCTCCTTCACCTTTCCCTTCGCAATGTCCTTCTGCTCCTTAGCTTCGATTGGTAGACTTCGCTGGGCGTGAATGGTGAGTCTGATCACGACGATGACGAGGATCAAGCAGCTAGTGCAAAGTATGCACACCAGGACGAGGCAGATAAAAAGAAGAGGCAGAATCAGGTCAGGTTCTGGGCTCGGAATCTGCATCGTAGCTTCGGTCTGTCGATCGAGCTGGTGAAAAAGTAGCATTTACCATGGGAATGAGCACTATTGGCTATGAGAGAGGTCTTGGTGTGTTCTTAGCCTCAGCTCAAATCGCCTCCGGATACCTTGCTGAGCTATAACATGTGGTAGACTTACTGGTGAGGATTCTTGGAAGGGTAAGTGGAGAGAGTCGTGTAGTGCTTGGTGTGGCTAGATGACGAATATGATCGTGAAAGGGGGGGACACTCAGCGATGGTGTGCACGTCGTGTTCTCTACACGATGAAGTATCAGCTAACTACTATACGCAAGCTTCCTGCCAAGCTCTTAAAGTAACAACTAACTGTGTTAAGAATAAGACTATCTCCAACGGTTAACTTGGCTTCATCAATAAGAAGCGTATAAGCATCATGGTTGCCAAATCAGGCGGCAAGTTAAAAATTAGACAGATTTCCAGTTGGCCATTAACAAAAACCTCCCTATACCACTTGATGTAGCGTACCCGACCGCTCTATGCTACAGATCGCGAAACCTTGACGCTGGAGATCTCCTAGGACATCATGGATCTGGCACTCAAACTCAAGTGTCCCGAATAGAGACCGACGTTAGGCACAGTCACGTAAAAACGGATCGTTAAAATAGGGTAGACTACTTGTAAAAGCGGATCCAAGAATCCAAGGAACAAATCTCCGCAAGGAAAATATTTGACTTCCGAGCAGTGCAGGCTTGCAGACTGCAAGGCACTGTTGGTTTCACCTTGTCGGTTTCCTGCAGCCCGGGAAGTGGGTGCAGACCTGAAGCTACGAACCATGACTCCTCCCCCGCTCGTTCGTCCTTTTCGAGGTGAGAGTGGTCTCGCGGGTGTTTCGAAACAGCTACTCAGGGAAGTTATTCGATCCCACGGAGACGACATGCGTTTAGTGGCCCGAGTTCCGAATCTGAAGAGTCCAGACTAGCAAAGTGTGATGGAGATTTTGAGCTAATCAGATTGAACGCTGATCGGCGAATAATATTGCCAAGCAGTCACAGGTACTAAGAGCTGTTGATCCCGGAAGACCAATCATAGCTAGGCAGCGGTTCTCTGTTTATGTCCATTGTGATGCCTCGAACGCTTGTTACACGAGAGCTGTTCTCAGAGCTACTAACGCCGTTGTGGCTTCACGATCGGAGCATGACGATCGAAACTGTGCCGATGGTCCGAGGAAATGTGGTTGAGGGGTAGTTGAGTTCAACGTCTGCCCCTCACAATGATATCGGAGACTCGGCGAGATGCGCTGCTGCAGTCAAGTGGACACACACGCCACGGATTCCAATGAGAAGCATAGCGTGGCCAGTGGGAAAGGAGAATGCATTTCGCGAATCGACATTATATTCCGGCTTCCGCTAACATGAGAAAAAGGCTGGCTGAAGCTACCAAACTTGTCTAGCAGATTCCGGATTACGAACTCATGGTAGGACAGGAACGGTCCGAGCGGGAAACGACTCTAACGGCCTGAACTGGGGGAACCAATGTCCAAGCTTCATTCTTCAATGTTAAGGTTTGCACTAGTGGTCGCCCTGCCGATGCCGGAATCGCGGGGTCTTGGTGAGTGTGACGGGTTGTAAACTATTGACGACCTACAGCAAATAGTTGGGTGATAAGGCTGCAGGTCTATCGTGGCTGGAACCTGGGGTGACCATTTAACGTTATCGGGGCATTTGAGGCTGGCTGAGATGGCGTATCTAACTTCTTTCGCGCATCTCGATATTGGACTAACGAAGGTATTGCAGATCTCAAGATTGTCACTACGAGGTCCCAAGAGAGCTCTCTTCAGGCAGCCTCCTGTAGCGACAGTTCGGAAAACTATTGTAATTGATAAGCTTTAGCAGTGTAGAGTGGCGCGCTGAGCAGCTGTCGAACGAGCGTCGAGACCCTGCAGCTATCGGAAACTAAAGCCTGGCGGGAAGGAAATCGAGGACCGACACGAACTAGGCTAAGCCAATATTTTCAGCTGCAGGACTATAGCATAAAGAAACAGTTATTGGATAGAGCTTTGCGTGATTTATCCTTTTCGGGACAGTTCTTTAGGTCTCCGTAGGAGAATGAGCACATGATCTGATCTAGACTGGCCAGCTACCTACGCATCTGGATTGTCGTTGATGATCCTTAGAACCAAGTTATTGAATCTTCTATTCCGCATATGTGCTGCGCAAGACTATCTAGTCAAGCTCAAAATCCAGACCATTTGGGTTACTGACTTTCGTTATCACTGGGTAGATTGGATCAGGATTGACGCTCTAGACTTGCGCCCACTTCCGGCTCCGAAATGCATTTCACTAAGAACCACTCGTAAACAAACCTAGTACTCGGCAAGTTCAAAAATGGCACTAACACGCAATACTAGGATTCCACAACTCCAATGCATCACTGCTGCTAACCTCAGACGCCGACTCCCCCGCCAAGCCCTTACCAGTTCGCGGCCTTGTTGCTGATAACCTTGCCCTGCCACTCTCGGCTTCCATAGCTGTACTGATGCATGGTGACTTTGGGGCGCCCATTCTCGCCCTTTCCAGAGGCAAAAACCTTGATGTCCGCCTTGTTACCCCAATCATGAACGGAGGCCGTCAGCGAGGCATCCTTGTCAACGTAAGCCCTCCCCTCCTCCTTGTAGCCGAACACGCCATGCTCCCATCCAGTGCTGGAGCTGAAGGCGACCTCTTGGATATAACCTCTGTTCTCACATTTCCCCTTGTCGGAAGCAATGCAGTAGATGCGGATCTATAAAGTCAGAGTGCTTCACGAAGACTGGTGACATAACTTACTTCTTGGCCGTTTTTCCCCTGCCAAGCCACTGCGGCGATTTGCCTGCTGCCGCACTTTACCTTCAGGTCTCCGTCCTTGGATTTGACGAGTTGAGGTTCATAGTCATTGGTTTCTGGCCCAGGGGATTGGAGGTAGCAGAGCTGATGATCCGAGTTGATGAAGAACACATAGGTCATGCCCTTAACATCTACCGCAGCGAGGTCCCTAGGGAGCTCTTTGAATGCCTCTGCAGATGCCATGACTGGTAGAAACTGTGTCTCGCAGATTTCACTTGCCGGTATTTATGGTGATGGCTGTCCGTTGAATGCTGTGCAATGAGAATAATGATTCAAAGATTTGGAACGAGGAGAGCGCCTGCTTTTATAGACTCCAGAATCTACCTCGTAGCTACTTTGGAATTCTCCAACATCCCTCGTGCATGCAGGCTCATCACTCGCATTGGCTCTTGATTGTGGCTATGGCTGTAATAGAGAGGCAGCTGCCCCCAGAATAACTCAGTATCGACTCAAGACCAGAGAAGTCAGAGGATATGCATTATTTCCGGCTGAGCCTTAGATCTGGTAGTTTGGAGGCTGGCTGGCCCGTGTAGCGGAACTCGCGCTCGGGTGGTTACATGTACGTGCATCCAGCTAGAGACTAGTCTCGCCATATCTGGGCGATTCAGGAACTACTGGACATTGTTGTGTTTGTAGATTTGTCTCTGTGGCTGCTCTGCATGGCGTCCCATAGCGTCTGCCGATACTTCGAATTATACGAAGTACCGCGCCCGTTAAAGAAGGCCTCAATTGTCCAATCCGGACCACTCAAGGCGAGAAAGAGAAGAGACTATCCCGACCAGTTCGCCTAAAACATCCAAATTCAGTAATTTTGCTTAGCGATTTAATGGTGATTTCACTACCGCCAGAATTATATGTGTCCTTCCAAGGCGCCGTATAGCTACATAGCTACCTTAGATTAGCACGCACTAGACCAGCCAGCTCGAGCTACGATGTGCAGCACATTGTGCGCCAACTGTATGTGTACAGCAGCTTTTGAGGCGTAGCTGGTTTCCGATAATGGATATTCAGCTCTGAAATTGGATGAGGGGAAGCGCGAATCGTGCCCGTTTGAGACCCATATTGAACCGTTGTCCGCTGTGGCTTGGTCCTAATCAGTCTAGACTGTAGATAGCTGGTCTCCTACGTGTCGCATCAGCCAGCCTCGGTTGAGACTAGCCAGCCACTTTAGCGATACTACTCTCTTCAGAAGTGCTCTTTGGAGTAGATGGGCTGACTTTTGAAGTGGACTGCAGCTGTAGATGCACTATCGCATACATTCGATGGCCCGCACCACAACCATCACCTCAGATAGCTCGATAATTGCTTTAGCGCTGAATTACGCAAGCCCTATGCAGCAAACCCCCCCCGTCCTCTGAAGAGACCTTACTCCGTAGATAGTTGGGTGTTAGCCAAACTCAATTCCTTCGAGAGCAGCTGCAGGCTAGGAAGGGTAAGGGTCCATTGCTAGATCCAGACTTTGCATAGCTGGCTTGGACCCTGGATAAGCTCTCTAGCTCGACACAGCTATCAAGCTGCATTTCCGTCAAAGCTGAGGTCGTGTTGATAATCCTACCGTCCCCTCGTTCTTTTTAAATCAGCCAACGGCAGCTACAATCGCAAACCATTCTCCATCTTCATTCTACTTCTCATCACTTCGCACTCTCACCAAGGTCTTCGCAATGCTTACACAATCTCTGTCTCGCGCCGCCATCATGGCTACTCTCTGTTTCGCAGGCTTCGCGTCTGCTGTGAGAGGTAAGTTGTCTCTAGACGCCACTTGGGACTACAATCGTACACGGGCTTTGAGTAACAAAGTACAGAGTCTGGCGATCCCAGTCCCGCTATCGTCTCACCGTCGACCTCGACCACTACCGCGAGGGTAGGTGAAACCAAGATAGGTAAGCCTGACGAGAAGGTCATGGTATCTTGCGCTGGCCACATCACACAATGTGGTGTATCAGACAAAGCCAAGATTATCTACGTACCAAGATCCACCGACACCAAGACGAACACAATTGTCAAAACCGAGGTCGTGGTAAGTTTCAGTCGCAAAGTCCTTGAGCTAAAGACAGACATGTTGATGCAGAGATCAGACCCTTCCAACGTCAACCAAGATTATTGAGAGTGTTAAAGTTATAACCATCACCAGCGCAACCAAGGGTTAGTACATGTCCGCCCCTATCTTACTGTACGGGGATAAGAGTCTGATCTTCAATGACATCAAGGCCACTGTCGCGAGACCCACTATCTTCCCGGTGACCCGGTTGAAGTCACTGTCGATGTCCTAATTGTCACAACCGAGGAAATTCAACCCATCAAAGAGAAGGTCAAGTGGGTTACCAGTAAAGTTACCAAGAGTGCCATCGAACAATGTTTCCTCCAGAATAAGACTATTCTGGGACAAGGTCTGGGAAGCCAGGGAGGCCCCGGTACTTCATCGACAGCTGAGGCGACACCTGCCAGCTCATCCGTGGCATCTGCCCGCTCGTCCGACACCGTCAGCCCTGCCGCATCTACACATGAAGCATCGGATGAAAGCTACCCAGATGGTGAACCTGCCCAGGAGCCTATGGGCACGGATGAGGCCCGACCCGTAATTGTCGGGTCAGACGGAGATATTTCGGAGTAAAGTTCCAACCAAGGCATGAGTTGATCATCAGTCAGTCCATTTTGGTTATGAAGGATGGATTAACAGTCAAGGCTTACTACCGAGCCATTAGTGTTGAATATTCTATCTATGTAGAGTATGAAGATCTTATAACAAGAAATAATGGGTTTTATGGAATATGCTTCTAATGACCTTTGCCTTGATAGTGTAGTTCTTTCCAGGCTAGGACTGCTTTTTACCATTATGGATATCTGGAATATTAGTACTTCTCGGAGCAAGAAATGTCGAGCTATATTAGTAGTTTTGCAGTACTCCTAGACAGCTCATGAGGACGATCGCGTTCCTGAGTGCGTCTGGCAGCTAGATCAGTGCTTCTCTGAAGGACTACATTTGAAAAACACTGGTAGTTTGTAATCGCACGCTTCCGCTTGTTCTCCTAACGTAAGTGGGCCTCACTTCCCCCTCCAACTCCTTTCATCCTGTTAGTAAAGTTATTCTTGCATTAGGTAAATAAGGCTTGCGGGCTCGACTTTATAAGCCTCTCTAATTTGATAAACTCCTGGTAATGATCTATTATCTGTTATTCCGTAATTACAGCAAAACAGTTTATCCCCATGATATACGCTCCTACCTCTTTAGATCATATTTGACGAGGATCCCAACAATGATCCAGACTACATCTCTTGTGTCAGCTTGAGACCTAATGAAAGAGTGGAAGGAGAGCACTATTGGCAAATGATAGTATTGCCGAGCAAGCAGTTCGATGATACTAGTATTGGCCCCCTAATGGCATCGTAATTTAGCCATGTCCCTTACATATAATCTTGAACTTGATCCTTTGTTATCTTTAACCGAATAGTCACAGTGATTGGATGGCCAACCACTATGATGTTGCTTTCGGTTACATATCTCATTCCTTTCAATCCACATATCGACCGAACTACTCGTGACCCTGCTAACAAAGGGTATATGTTGTACCATATAGCCCTTTCCTGTAGCATGGGCGATGGGGCATGTCTTAGAGTCAGAACATATTCCCACTACCCAGGTCTGTTGAGGAATGTCATACCCTTACAGTGGGGCCGATAATAAATCATATGGAATGAGGAATGTTATCTCACTGTGGTATCAACGCATGCGCAGCCCGCTTTGAAGAGATAGAGGGAAGTGTCTATGAATCAGCTACATAAATTGCGCCATATACCTATAATAATGCAACAGAATAGACAAGTTTAAGAACCCTTTCCTTCTAGAACAGACTGTCCGGTGAGATGAAAAACACACTGCCTCTTCTAGTACTAGTGTCCCAGTCACTTGCTGCGACTATGAAGCTGGTGAACCATACTTCTCTTGGTCCTATTGGCACTAGTAACCCCAACATTCTGGTGGGAGGCACTGTTCAAACCGATGCTCCGCCTCTAAGCTCCTTCTTCAAAGGTCTCAAAGGGCCGGTAAGTCAACCCTTCTATGCTTCGTGACTAGCACTGTGGACTGACCAAGCAAGTATCCAACCAACGGATGGTGGGCTCCATACGCTGCACCTCCAGGCACAGGCACGGCAGCAGGCCCATTTCCTTACGAATCGTCCCTAGATGGGTACGGTGTTTCCTTTGGTATCAACCAAGCTCGTGACTTTGACGGGACTTCTGTCAAGGTGTACACTCAGCTAGACTGGCGGGCTTCATTCACCGAACATAGTGGTGGCTTTGATGGTCACAAAGCAACGGCTTTTGACACACAGACTGTCACAGTTCAGTATTTTCAGGGCAACTCATCTATGACAGTATATCTTGTACCAGGGTCGCCATACATGACCTTTGAATACAAGTCTGCAACTCCACTGTTGACATCGTTGAACGGAGGCATCAAATCATTAAATGGCAAGACGCTGGTCGGTGGGGATACTGGTACGTGGCTCAGACGCCAGAGAAACATTATGAAGATATGCTGATGTAGACAACCAAACTCTAGTGAGTGTTCAAGGCACCAAGTTTACTGTCGTCGACGCAAAGGGCACTACATATCTGATCTATTCAGACTCATCCATCAAGCTTATCGTCAACGCCGAGAATGGTAACAAAGGAACCCTTACCGCAGATGGGAAGTTCACCGGTATCCTGCGATTGGTTATGCTCAGGGATCCCAGCCATCAGCCACTCCTCGATACCCATTCAACGGTGTACCCTATTTCTGTATCTCAAGACTATACCATCAGTGGCGACTCAGGCACGGTAACTTTCAAGTGGGAAACGAAGGGCCCTGGTGACTTACTGATGCTCACTTGGCCCCATCATCGCGAAGTCCTACAGAGTCCCAGTTCTCCAGAGCCATCTGCTCTTAGCTATTTGACCTTGAAAGTGAGCACTTCTAAGCCCCGAGAAACTTTCCAAGATGGCTAATCATTTCAGGGATGGATGTACCCAACGCTCGGAAACACTTGGCGACTGACATACAAGTTGACTTCGATAACTTGGAGCGCCCCGCGCGACGTAGATCCCTCCTGTAAAGAATCAGTTGTAAAGGGTCTCAAGTACGAAGTCGACCAACTTGATCCCTCCCAGGCTCCTGCACCAAACGAGTTCTACTACTGGGGAGGCACACTCGCTGCTAAGTCACGCCTAGCGCTGATCGCGTACGTTTCTCATCGATAACGTCTTTGGTGAATTCAGACTGACTTGCATGTAGTGATCACGTCGGACGCAAAGATCTTATCGACCCTGTTATCAAGTACCTCAAAACCTCTTTCGAAGGTTGGTTCAGTGCCACGAACAATGCTCTACCTGCGTATGAGACAACATGGGGTGGTGTCATCAATAAAGAAGGTGCTACAAATGTCTGGGTCGACTTTGGCAACGGCTACTTCAACGATCACCATTTCCACTACGGTTACTTTCTTCACATCGCTGCGGTGATCGCCAAGTATGATCCGGACTGGTTGGCTCAGCACAGAGAATATGTGACTTTCTTTGCCCGGTAAGCAGTCTTGGTCCTGCCTATGATCCCGTGAGGGCTGGTGCTGATCAATGCCCAACAGAGACATCATCAACCCTTCATCTGACGACCCCTTCTTCCCCATTACGCGCTGTCTAGATTGGTTCGCCGGTCACTCATGGGCATCAGGTATTGCAAACGGAGCTGGTAGTCGTGATCAAGAATCCGTTGGTGAGGCTGTCAACGGTTACTACGGTGCCATGCTCTGGGCTACGGTAGCGCTTGATCAAGAACACGCCAACTTTGCTAGACTCCTGCTCGCTATAGAACAGCAAGCCACTAGAAAATACTGGCACTTGTACCCTGGCGCTGGTGAAGATGATCCCGCAAACCCTTATCCCGAGGCTGAGTTCAGGGATCTCATCACCGTCGGCAATGTGATGGACTGGCAGACGGGGGCGTGGCTGTTCTGGGGCGCTGAGAAGGTGCAGATAGCTGCGATTCAGATTCTCCCTGTCACGCCTGTTAATGAGGTAAGATTGCTTTGACCTTGTTTGATGGCAGTGACTTACACGAGATGGCAGGTTATGTACGACGCCGAGTGGGTCAGCAACGTCTTCGCCTACACGATGCCCGAATTGACGAATGCCTCATACGCCGACTCGTGGTGCGTACATTGACCTTTCCTCGCGGCTCTAGATTACTAATAAAGCAGGAAATCTGTCATCTACGCCGCCTACGCCAATGCCAACCCGCAACAAGCCGCTGCATGGAGCGCCAACCTGAGCGACTGGGGTACGTTCAGATTAGGCCTCGTGTTTCAGATACAGTCAACTGACACATCTCTAATCACAGGCTCCGGAAACACATACACGAACGAACTGTACTTTATAAGCACCCGCCCGAATCCGAACGGCCAGCCCATCTGCGGCAATTTTCCAGAGAACCCATACGGCGACTACAAGATCCAAACCACATCAGGCAAATACATCGTATCCGCAGCCAACGGCGGCCGACTATCTGCTGCAAGCAACTCGACCAGTTATGCCGACGTCTTCTCCAGTGCCTATGTTCCCAACGCTGGTACATTGCAGCTCGCCAGGGACAAGCAATACGTGACGGCGGATCAGTCCGGCACCTATTCGCTCTCAGCAGCCCGCACGATTGCAGATACCTGGGAGCGGTTCATCATCCGCCAGAAAGTAGGTGAAGCTGAGGGTGTCTATTCAATCAAGGCATTTAGTAACGGGAAGTATGTGAGGGTTGGCGGTGATGGGACGCTGGTCAACGATGGTGCGGTTGAGAACGATGCAACTGGGTTCCGCTTTATCAAGCCCTGAGATGGCGCGGGTTTCCAGACATGGTTTGAATTGCATTGTATCAAGCCGTGGGCGCCGGTCTATTCTTTGGCTTACTCGCTTACTTTGTTTCTTCGACTGCCTTGAAGAAGCATTTGGTTTCCTTCTCCACAAATTGGAAAAACCTGTCTTCTCTGATCTATTCTCTTTGTGTATTCTGCGGCTTCGATTTTTTTCCGTTGGTTCATTTGTACGCAGTCTATATCTAGTTACACTTCCCTTTAATCTCTGATCCATTGGCCAGCAATTACTTCATAACTTCTCTCACCTATCTGACTTCTTGAACAGCTTGAAAAGACTTCCCCTCAAAGACAACTTCTTCGCTCCTCTCAGCCTATCCCCAAAACTCTTCTTGACAACAGTCTCGCCCTCTCCAGCCACACGCACTGGTACCTCCTCCTCTCGTACCTCTTCTTCACCTGTCTGCAAATGCTCCATGACCCAACAGACAGCCTCCCTCACAGCTTCTGGCTTCTCAATAATAACATCATGACTGACATCCGGGATATGCACATAGCGATTATTCCTAGAAAGTTGCAACTGTGCCTTCTTCAACCTCTCATCTTCCTTGTCTGTCGCGTCCAGGAGCTTCTTCTGCATCAGCAGGCTTGGGCTAGCGAGGTTCTGCTCTGCAGCGATCGCTTGATCGTACTGTAGCTGTTTCCATTTCAGAGTGTTGCCTCGAATGACGACAAGCGGTTTGTTCCCCAAGATCTTGTTGTCATATTGTCTTTGTTCGAGTTGGGCGTCTATCGTTGGCTCGGCACCCGTTTCGGCGAGGACTATTCCTGCGACTTGGAGCGGCCTCGCTTCGAGGAAGAGCCTTGCGAAGGTGCCGCCGTATGAATGTGCGATCAATACATAGCTCTTGGGTAAATCCCTACTATCGAGAAAGTCCAATAGTTCTGAGATGGCTACATCGGTTCTGACATATGGATCTTGCCTATCCCAGAGCAAAAGCTGGTACCCGGGCCGAAGGAGTTCTGCTAAGGCGGCCCAAGACTCGCAGGAGTCGCCTGAGCCGTGGAAGAAGATGATCAAGGGATACGAGCTGCCTGAGTCGCCCACTATCTCAAACTTTGTGATGGTATTTTGTGTCGCTTGTGCCATTTTCTTTGTTGTTTTTTGGCATTTTATTGAAATGGCTGAGGTTTGACAATCGGTGAGCGTAAGCAGAGTGGGTCAATGCGACTTAATGGATTGTTGGTTTTCATTGCTGCCTGCGACATCACGAGATTGATAGCATATCTTGAAATCCAAAAAGCTGATGCCTGGAAACACAATCCATGAGCGGTGTCCAACTTGTGAAGGAATAATGTCGGAACTTATTTGTTCCGGCACGCGTACTCTGGAGCAGGAGATGAGGCCATTTGAGAGTGATGAACAGGTATTTTGCTTGAGAGCAGATGATCCAACAATAGTCCCACTAGAGTGCCAAAACTTGATGAGAGTTCACTAGACAATTTCTAAACCACGACTCGAGAAAATAGCTTTCAGATACTTCACTATGACAAGTCCTGTTGCTGGCTGCTCAGCACATCACGTCATCTGCCGGGCCGTTGCAGAAAGTGAGTAATTAAGGTTGATTCAGGGTCAAAGTCAACCGCCACCACCGCATCAATTCACAGAGGTTGAACCAACATCGTATAACGATAATTGCCATTAAATCAATCCATATAAACCATAAGCATATCCCAACGTAAATGATCCGACCAGAGCACAAGACCGACATACAAAAATGTGTTCCTTACCCTGCACCTCAAGCCCGCTTCTACCCGCTGATCCCGTAACCGAGGCTTCCACTCGCCTTTCCCTTCCTCCTCACAAACTGAAGTCATCCCATTATTACTCAATTGTGCTAGCGACAGGAACAAGGGCAAAAGTCCCGCCGTGAAGCTATCCACAGTCATACTTCCGATCATCAGATGAACTGCAGGGTTTGTCATGATTGACATAATTGACCGAGATGGCTACGACTTGGCGGGATGCAGTGACAAAAATCACCTAACGACTTGTTTCTCTAGACTGGAGGACAGTGTTGGCGGTGATTCAGGCCAGCAAGGATTGTCGGGAATTTCCCCATGGCGCTACTCAACTTCCCCATGGGAATCATGGCTTGGTCCTGGGGTTGAACACTAAAAGAACATGGTCTCCAGCGGCTAACTCGAGTGCCACCGAGTCACAGACCGAAGTCGGCCCAATGATTGGGGACGAGAGGCAGTGGTGATGCAATGGGGAATGTACCCCCGGATGACAAGGATATTCCGCTAACAGACTCACACCAGACTCACACGACGTGACGTTAGTCTTGGATCATCATCAGTGAACAGTACCTGTCACTTCTCGTCGCAGCCACACTCACTTCTGAAGCTCATCAAACCAACCCACGATCATTACCCAAAGCAACCACGCTCCGTCTCCCACTTCAATTCATTCAACACGAACCTGTTCAATTATGCATAACGTTCGGCCCGACATTGGGCCAATCTCATGCTCGACCGTTACTCACCCAGCCGAGTAATTTTACCTTCAAAGTTTTCCCTCCTGTCTTTGAACCTTATGCAAAAAGAAAAAGAAAAAAAGCTGGGGAAAACCAACCCCGCAAAATGGAGCCTCCGATCAAAGCATCCCTGCACAGCATCACGCAACGAAAACCTGGTCCCGGCTCTTTTCTCGGCCATAACCTAGCTTAAGCTTGACTGTCTTCACAGCAATGATGACCGTTGCAGCGGGTTTTCTCTACGGAGTCTCCCTCGCTCTGTTCCTGAGCGGCGGAGTCTCCGCTGGTAGCATGCATCATGACGAGACGATTGAGAATCACGGCGCCAAGAACGAATCAGTATATATAACCAAGCAATATGGCTTGATGGTCTATCTCGTTCAGCAACCAGCTCTTCTCCTCTCAATCATGTTCTTCAAGACGCTGCTCACTTCGGCCGTGGCCTTTGGCACTGCTTTTGCGCAGAGCAAGGCTGGCGTTGAAGACCTTGACAAACCCCGCAGAGACCTCTTCGAGAAGGATCTCTCCAAATGTCCCGGCTACAAAGCTACCAACCACCGGGAGACCAAATCAGGCTTCTACGCTGATTTGTCTCTTGCGGGACAGGCCTGCGACGTCTTTGGTGTTGATCTCCCCGAGCTGAAGCTTGAAGTTGAGTATCAAACTGAGGATCGTCTTCACGTCAAGATCTTGGATACGAATAACACCGTTTACCAAGTACCCGACGATATCTTCCCTCGTCCCGGTTATGGACAGTGGGCTTCACCTAAGAACTCGAAGCTCAAGTTTGACTTCAAGGCAGATCCTTTTTCTTTCACCGTGACGAGGAAGGATTCTGGGGAAGTGCTTTTCGACACATCGGGCAGCAAGCTCGTTTTTGAGAGTCAGTACTTGTACCTCAAGACAAAGCTTCCTGAGAGGCCTTATCTTTATGGCCTTGGTGAGCATAGTGATCCTTTCATGCTCAATGCGACCAACTACACCCGCACGATCTACACTCGCGATGCTTATGGGTAAGTCACTTTGCTCTTATCATCGTTTGACAAGCTTGCTAACATGTGGCAGCTGCCCCAACGGCCAGAACCTCTACGGAGCTCACCCTATTTACTTTGACCACCGCAAGGGCGGCACTCATGGTGTCTTCCTCCTCAACTCCAACGGCATGGATGTCTTCATCGACAAGAAGAACGGCAAGCAGTTCCTAGAGTACAACATCATCGGTGGTGTTCTCGATTTCTACTTCATCGCTGGCCCTACACCCCGCGACGTCGCCAAGCAGTACGCCGAGATCACCACCCTTCCACTCATGACGCCCTACTGGGGTCTTGGTTTCCATCAGTGCAGATATGGATACCGCGATGTCTACGAAGTTGCTGGCGTGGTGGCCAATTACTCAGCTGCCAAGATTCCGCTCGAGACTATGTGGACTGATATCGACTACATGGACCGTCGTCGCATCTTCACTATCGACCCTGAGCGATTCCCTGCTGATAAGTACAAGGATCTAGTTGACACTATCCACGCTCGTGATCAGCACTACATCGTCATGGTTGATCCAGCCGTGTACGACATGGAGCCCAACCCAGCTCTCACCAGCGGTCTTCAGTACGATACTTTCATGAAGGAGCCTAATGGTTCAGACTACAGAGGTGTTGTCTGGGCTGGACCTAGTGTCTTCCCCGATTGGTTCAACCCCAACTCTCAGCAGTACTGGAACGAACTCTTCCAGAACTTCTTCGACGGCGAGCATGGTCCTAATATCGATGCTCTCTGGATCGATATGAACGAGCCCGCTAACTTCTTCAACCGTCCTTATCCCGGTAACAACACCACTCCCGAGAACTTTGCCAAGGTCGACGGTGACCCTCCCAAGGCCCCTCCCGTTCGAGATGGTCCTCCTGCTCCCATCCCCGGTTTCCCCGAGAGTCTTCAGCCACGCTCTCTCCGCTCCACCAAACGCGAAGTCACAGCAATCGCCAAGACCACCAAGCGTTCCGTAGAAGTCCGCACCACTCCTCGTGGCCGCGGCGTTGGTCGCTGGGCAGCTACCCGCAAGGTCTGGGGCCAGAACAAGTACGGTCGTCCCGGCCACGGCTGGCAAAACGGCAAGAAGACTGGCTCTGGCTGCGGTCCTGATGAGTGCAAGGGTCTTCCTAACCGAGAGCTCATCCAGCCTCCATACATGATTCAGAATGGCGCTGGACCTACACTTGCTGACAGTACCACCGACACTGATCTCGTTCAGAGCGGAGATTACGTTCAGTATGACACGCACAACTTGTATGGTGCTCAGATGTCCTCTCACTCTCACAACGCTATGCGCTCGCGTCGCCCTGATAAGCGTGCTCTTGTCATTACTCGAAGTACCTTTGCTGGTTCTGGCAAGGATGTTTCGCACTGGCTCGGCGATAACCTGTCTCAGTGGGATCAGTACCGCTTTTCCATCTCTCAGATCCTTCAGTTCGCTTCTATTTACCAGATCCCCGTTGTTGGTGCTGATGTCTGTGGATTCGGTGGTAATGTCACTGAGACCCTTTGCGCACGATGGGCTACCCTTGGTAGTTTCTACACTTTCTTCCGTAACCACGCCGATATCACTTCTCAGTCTCAGGAGTTCTACCGCTGGCCCAAGGTTACTGAGGCTGCTCGCAACGGTATATCCATCCGATACCAGCTCCGTAAGTCACTCTTTCCCTTCATATGGACTATTGCTAACAGGAATAGTTGACTACATCTACACCGCCATCTACAAGCAGAACCAGACCGGCTCTCCAACCCTCAATCCCATGTTTTTCAACTACCCCAAGGACAAGAATACCTACTCCATCGACCTCCAATTCTTCTATGGTGATGGTATCCTCGTCAGCCCCGTCACCAAGGAGAACAGCACCAAGCTCGAGTACTACCTCCCTGACGACATCTTCTACGAGTGGTCCACAGGCAAGCCCGTTCGCGGCAAAGCTCAGTACGAGTCTGCCGAAGTCGACGTCACCGATATCATGGTCCACTACAAGGGCGGCCTAATCTACCCCCAGCGCGTTGAGAGCGCCAACACAACCAAGGCTCTCCGCCAAAAGGGTTTCAACCTCGTTATCGCCCCTGGCCTTGACGGAAAGGCCGAGGGCTCTCTGTATCTTGATGACGGAGAATCTGTTGTTCAGGACACAGCTTCTGAGATCGACTTCAAGTACAGCAAGGGCAAGTTGAGCTTTGATGGAACTTTTGAGTATGATGCTGGTGTTGGAATTGAGACTATTACTGTGTTGGGCGTCAAGTCTAAGCCTCATGGAGCGCAGCATGCGGAGTATGATGCCGAGAACAAGAAGCTTGTGTTTACTGCGGATATTCCGTTGACGCGCAAGTGTCACGTTGACTTGTTCTAGATGAACACGATGGGACCTGGTTATGATTATGATTCTAGCTATGGCGGTAGTACGTGGAAAGTATTAGCTTTCGTCTCACATATATGAATAACTATTAATTTGAGAATATCACCGCCTGCTTTGCACTACCCTTGAAAATGCGTGAAAGTCGAGAACCTTGCCTGGAGCATAACTCTAGTGGTAACGCTATATGCGTTGTACGAGGAGGTCTGTTGAAATACTCCATTAGTAATTGACCAACGCCATGCAGTTGCCTGATGATATAGAGTTGACGTAGTAGAAATGACAAAGACAGTGAAGATCTACCAACATTAACGAGGTCTGATATGACGATGCGGTCGGATTGGCTGCTGACTTATTTTGCCGAATAATTTAAGCGGCTGATGACTGAGCCATCTACCACTACAAAACCCCAAGATGCAAACTTCTCTACCTTCACCCAGCACTGATCACTTCAATTCTGGTGAGATTTCATGATGGCGACGACTCAGACAGCTCTTCAAGCTCCCTTCGAGACGATTTCCCTCGAAAACAGGAGCCAGAATGAAGATGTCCCAGAGACTCGACGTGCGGGGCGAGTCTTTGAAGCTGACCCTGCATTCACGACAAGTCCAGCATCACGCCGACTCATAATCTCTTTATTGGTCTGCGCAAACATGATCCAGGTATTTTAATTATCTCCTACAAGTTATAAAGTTTTGGTGGATCATTTGCTGACCTTTGCTCAAGTTCATGTCCAATTGTGTCACCATCGTCGGCGGTCTACCGCTTAGTAAAGACTTGGGGCGTGAATCAGGTCCCGGCAAGGCAAATTGGATGGTCGCTTCATATCCGTAAGTATAGGCCCTTAAATTCTCTTTTTACATCTGATACTGATATTTACAGACTCACTCAAGGCGCATTCGTCCTAGTGACAGGCCGACTAGGCGCTATCTACGGCCATTCTCAACTTACCCTTCTCGGCTGTGCAATCTTCACTCTCTTCTCTCTCATCAATGCATTCACCAAATCATATGACTCTTTCATCGCCATGCGCGCTTTGACTGGTGTTGGTGGAGGCATCTTCATGCCCAATGCCGTATCAATTATCACCACCATGGTTCCACCAGGTCGATCGCGAAATGTCGTTTTGGGGTTTTTTGCAGCGTCGCCGCCTCTGGGAGGAATGATCGGTTCGTTAATCGCAGGCGTTTTTATTGATCATGTCAATTGGATGTGGCTTTTTGTTCTGATGTAAGTGTTTTGCTGGTCTGTTGAGCGATGACTGACGTTTGTGTTAGTGCTGGTATTGCGGCTTTCAATCTGGCGTGGTTGGCGTATCTCATGCCGAAGGAAACCCCAGTTGACAAAGGAGGACACATAGATATCCCCGGGATCATCCTGGGACTAGGAAGCTTACTTCTTTTCAACGTAGTATGCAAGTAAGTACAACTTGGCCTCAACAGTCTTATCTGCGACTAACCATGGCAGCCAAGCGCCATCAGCTGGATGGAACGCGCCCTACGAGATAGCCCTACTAGTTCTTTCTGTAGTCATGTTCCTTACCTTTCTGCTCTGGGAGAAGCGTTATGCCAAGGACCCCATAATGCCGCTGTCAGTCTTTCAAGCGCCGACTTTCACAGCTTTAGTCTTTGTTGTGCTTCTGGTACGAGTTGCCACTGTCAGGCCTCCCTTAATGGTTCATACACTGATGTATTAAACAGAGCTATATGGCCTTCGGGATCGGTCTCTGGTACTCGACAAGTTGGCAGTACCTCCTGCGTAGAATATCCGTCACCCAAATTGGCATCAACTGGGTGCCTTTCGGTCTAAGCTCTGTGCTTGCCGTTTTCTTCGCAGCGTGGCTCATCCCACGCGTTGCAGCGCAATGGATCATGGCGATCGGTGTGACCGTCACGCTGGTCGGCAATATCCTCCTCGCGACCATGCCGGTGCAGCAAACATATTGGGCGCAGGTCTTCCCGGCTATGGTTCTCTACGGTTTCTGCCCCGACTTGGTGTATGTAGCGGCACAGGTAATCGCCAGTAACAGCGTCAGTCGTCGCCAACAGGGCGTGGCCAGCAGTCTGATTGGAACCCTCAACCTTTACGGAAACAGTTTAGGTCAAGGCTTTGCTGGGACAATTGAGACAGAGGTTGGTACCAACAACGGCGATGAAGTTGGGGGTTACAGGGCAGCTCTGTACTTTGCGGCTGGCCTGGCACTGCTTGGCTTGGCCTTGGATATCTTGTTCGTCAGGGTGCCGAAGGATCAGCGCGAAGGATGGGATGACCCGTCGGAGAGCGGTGAGCAAGAGCTGAATGGCATGACTACAGCTATCGAAGGACGGGCCTCGCTACGGACTTGAGTCATGTCCTGGAATGACAAACAGTGAGTTCAAAGAGAGGGCATATCGATTGAAAAGCAGAGACTTACTCAGGAAGGTGGATAGTGCACTACTTCTCTTCGAATCCTTGTATGGATCCGGGGGAAGTATGAAGGGTTAGGAGGCAAAGGATATTAACCCCGATGTAGTCCGTCGGTCGGGTTTGATGGCTAAATATAACTACATGATAAGAATTGGGAATAAGAATGAAAACTTGGAATTGTCTAAGCCCCGTGGGCCCATGGTCAATGCGCAGCAAAAGGACCCAAAACTCCATTCAAGAATAGACAATTAGACGATGCTTCAAGGATATCGCTGAAGGATCGCAGCCAAGACCCTAAGCGAGAGGCTGCGCAAGGCCCGATTCGCCAGGCTGCTGAAGGATTCAAGACGAGACAGGTCCTTATTTCGATTAAGCTGTTATGGTAACGTCGACCCAAAATGCTCTCCACCAGCCAATGCATTAAAGATTTCGGATTTCCATCCTTCAGCTTCCATTGCAAAACCACCCACCTTTTCAAATTCTCGACGATCAAGATGCCTTTCTCGAACGCGCTACGACGACGAGACGACGATGGCGAAGCAGACGATGGTTGGTGCGAGGTCGCGACTATTGAGGATCAATTCATCTGGCCCCTTCAAGGCAAGACTTGGGTGCGTGGACAAACACAGATGGTAGGCTGGGGAGCCGGGCGTGACGTCAACGGAACATGGGGCGAAGGCAGCACGAAAGTCAAGTTGGAGTTGATGTGGTGGACAGGCACATATGGTCCAGGCCCAGATGATCTGAAACCCATAGTGATATTTGGTATATCTGGTATTGGATCATGACAAAAAGACTGCTGACTGATTGAGTATAGACAACAAGACCTTTGACTACCCTTCTGCCGACTGGAAGCTATGGAACCCCAACTGCACAGACACGTACATGAACTATACCTGGACAATACCGATGGACTTGGACGTCGGCGATTCGAAATTCACAATGACGGTGTACGACGTGTCGAACCGTAGCGACATAAGCATGTTGCAAAGCAATTTATTCTTCATCAACGCGGACAACGGAACATCAACCGCAGATTCAAATGCTAGCACCTCAACACCAGAATCCTCACAAGAAATAGCAGCCTCGACTGGACTCGCAACCGGTGCAAAAGCAGGCATTGGCGCAGGCATCGGCGTCTTTGCACTAGTACTCCTTCTCGCCGGTTTCTTCCTCTACCGACGCAAGAAGCGACAAGCATCAAGCATTGTCCCCACAGATCCAGATGGATTCGAAAAGCCAGAGCTGGATGCAAAGTCGACTGGCATTTCTGAAGTTGATGGGACTGGGATATCTCCGCATCAAGCTCAGGATAATGCGATATACGAGGCTCCTGGTGTTTTGGTTCATGAGGCTCCTACCGGAAAGGAGCAGACGGTTGTGGAGAAGATGAAGGCAGCGCGGCAGATTAATGAGGAACCAATTGAGATGCCGGCCGATTCACCAATGTCGTCGCCAAAGACTTCGCAGGACAAGCTGAATAGAACGTAGTATTAATACATATTCGGTAGAGTGGACGCAAAGCACAGTTTTCCACTTAGTGAGCCACCTGTTCAATTGAGGACTTGTTGTTCGCGAAGAACCGCACAGACGTCTTTTATTTCAGTATTTCCAGCGAAGCAGTATATCGAAGTATCTCGTCACCACGTGGCTGCAGTCTTGCCTTTGTGGTTAGTATATCACTGGTGAGCTGACCCCTGCTATAAGACCTCACCCTAAGACTCGTCGCGGGGATGGGAGTTCTTAGGCTAAGACCTCTCATCCCCGCGCCTCATTTCACGCCGCGATAAATACACCGCGTCGAAGCTTCCACCCTCACCACGGCGCGCAATGTCTTCAAAGCTCTGTTTGCCTTGTCGAGATGCATTCCTCTCGGAACCAAAACCTCTGCATCGCGATTCCACCATCGCCTGCACTCCCTTCCACGAGGCGCCGTGGAAAGCATTCCAGAATGATACGCACTCATCTCAAGACATAACCGAGTCCGTGAAGGTTTGCGAATTTTGCTCCTTTGTCGTCGCGTTATCAGCGGCGGACAAAGCCCCTGGCAAATATGGGAACGGATCCTTCGTTGATTCGGCCAGCAAAACATCTTGGAGGACGCAGGGCGAGCCGATGCTAGCGCTATGGCAGTATAATGAGTATGCATATGAAGGCCATATTTCAGCGGATCTCGGTCTCAGCAGGAGTAATCTTCGCCATATGGATAAGCTTGATATACGACTCTTTGGAGCCTAAGGTGCGCTACTCGGCCATTGTCAATATCACTGAACTAATTGGCGATAGATCCTCGTGTGAAATGCCAGAGACCAATCGACACGACGTCAACAAGTACATCCAGTGAGACTAGTTTTGAATGCTTGTCTAAATGGATCAAGAATTGTTCGGAGAATCATGAGTCATGCAACAAACTACATGCCCGCATTGGTGAGAACAAAGATTGGCTTCCAGCTCGGCTGGTCAAGATCATTCCAAATACCGACGGCATGCCTGGGATCATCAAAGTTGTTGAAACGAGCGCAAACGACGAAATTCCTCTTAGCATAGAATATGCCACGTTGAGCTACTGTTGGGGAAGCGAACCATTCACGAAACTACTCAGATCTAACATCGAGAGCATGACCACTACTGGGATGCCGATAAAAGACCTACCAGCAACATTCCGTGATGCAATCACTGTCACAAATCGCCTCGGTATGGAGTACATATGGATAGATGCTCTTTGCATTATTCAGCTTGATGCGGAAGACTGGGGCCTACACTCCGTTACAATGGCCAAAGTCTACTCATACTCAGCCATCACGCTCGCAGCAGCAGCATCATCAGACGCATACGGGGGTCTTTTTCGCGAACGCGATCCCGCAGGCATCAATGGTGTTAACTTGCACTTAAAATGGCCCGCACACCACCTAGAAGGAGAATTTCATCTGGTCCCAGTAGATCCCTGGGACAAAGCGGTCGGAAACTCGCCGCTGCTGAGACGTGCATGGGTATTCCAAGAACGACTTCTGTCCCGAAGGACTGTCTACTTTGCTCACGACATGCTTTACTGGGAATGTGGTGAGCTATATGCCTCAAAGCTTTATCCTGAAGGGGGGCCTTGGGATCTGCAGTACCGATACAAGAGGTTCGACATATCTGATAGGCTTCCCTCTGGCGTGCAGTCGGTAGAGGATTGCAGGTTCAAGCATATATACACGGAACTTCTCACGCGAGAACTGAATTCAGAGAAGACAGTCACGGATGAAGAGATGTTTCTGTATGTATGGGCTTCAGTGGTGGCTCAGTACAGCGTCGGCAAGTTGACGAAAGACGCTGATAAACTCATTGCAATTGATGGCGTAGCTGAGCAGTTGACAAGTATTGTACCGAGAGAGCAGTATCTCAATGGACTCTGGAAACAAGACAGTCTTCCACTTTCTCTACTATGGAGCACCATAGAGGAAGAGCAGCCGACAAGTACCCGCGTCGCGCCAAGTTGGTCATGGGCATCTGTCTACACGCCCGTTAACTTTAACTTCCTATTCCGAGCACAGACCGACCCTAAAGTGGTTACAAAAGTCATCGATATCATCACCCCCGACGATGAGCCAGAAAGCGTTGAGATGTCGCGCCGAACGGCACTGGTTTTTCAAGGGCCTCTTACAGAAGTACGCTTTCGGTCTGCTTCACGCAATGGACTTGGGCCCTTACATTCAAACTGGTGGATAAGCCACAAGACGATGAGAGATCGCATCAAGTTCTTGAATCCAATTGACCTGACGCCTATGCTTGTATTCGTTGGTAAAGGTTTGAAAGCAGATTATCCATGTGATATCTCACTAGATAGGGAGGTGCCGAAGAACAGTCGGATCTTCGCACTCAAGATTGCGGAGGCTGATATTAGACAACCATGGCAGGAGAGATTGCCGTCTGAGTGCGGCTTATTGTTGATCGCAGACCAAGAAAGAGGGGCTTTTAGGAGGATCGGCATGTTTGAGATTGCTGCTGAGAAAATGAAGAGGGATTGGGCAGACCAGAAGACACCATTCACGTCGATATCTAAGTTGAGGAACGGAATCTGGAGTGATTCATGTATAGAGAAGAGGTTTTATTTGAAGAGGGATGGCAAAGACGGCTATACTATCAAGATAGTCTGATAATGGTTACATGGCCAATTGCGTTTTCATTCAGCCAATAAGGGATTCCACCAAGCATTAAACGTTTGTCAACATAGGAATCCAATGCTGATGATCAAAACGACAAGATGATTCCGTGGGAATAAAGTATGTACGTACAGTTGTCGCGTAGTTTCGGGTGAATTTGTGACTGTGAACGTGAACTGAAGATATTTGACTCTGGTGCTCCGCAACCAACGCCATAGGCAACGGCACAAAAGGCGCTCTCATACCGACTAGGAAAAGCAGATCATCTCCTTCGCCAGTGCCTCCATTTATCGAAGATTGGCTCGACAGCGGTGCGCAATATGGATCTCAGACTAGTTATTCGGAAGTTGGTATTGTTACTCAGGATATTTCTACGGTCTGCGGGGTGAGTCCTGATAGTAACGAAATAACGTGGAAACAGCCCGACCTGTTATCCCAGATGTCGTTTCTGAGCCGGACGATGTAGACAGGATGAAGAAAAGGCTCAGTAAGTTGGTAGGAAACAAGCTTAATGTACACGCGGCGTAAAAAAGTGGGGTCAGTCTCAAGAAAGAATATGAAGATAATTTTTAAGATGAGAAAGTTCCCGCGATTCTTCCCATAGTCGTAGGTGTAGGATATCGAGGAATACGTAGAGGTAGGAACAATGGGTGATTTGTTTTACTTTGTTCTAGCGTTTCAGTTTTGTTATTCAATTGCTATTCCAATATTGAAGTGCTATTGTATCACCATTCAGATACCTCGACAGAATCGTTCATTGGCTAGACAGATTCAAAGAAAATTGGCTGTGTGGTGTCCTCTCCCGATCTCGTACACCATGCGCCGCCTTTCAACCCGTCCTACAGTAACCATTCCGTCTTGTGACAGGTTGTAAAATGTTAACTAGACACAATAGGTAATACCACTGTTGCCTTTGCAGCAGTTTTCAAAAGGCGCAGTATCTCCAGATATAGTACACTCAGACTAAGAGTTGACTAACGTCAGTATGCTATGGCACATCAAGGTGCTTGGCGTCGCGAGACAACTTACACCGTCAAATGAGTTACTACCGCAGCAACTTTGAGTATAGCCATCGCGCTTTACCACATCGCCGCCGCTATTGACAGAACAGCAATATCGCTTAAACGTCTGGGCGGAAATACTTTAAGAGGTTATTAGCAACAACGATATCTCCACGGTGAGATAGATAGAACATAACATACCCCAAGGCCAAAACAAGAGTACATATAAAGATTGACAACTGCATTTTGATGATGACCCTTTAGTGGTAGACTTGGTAGTGCTGTATATGATAACGAAAGTAAATAATAGATAAACCTGTTATAGTCTAATATAGTAGACCATATCCAGATATATATACTAAATAGCACGCTTATAAATATCCATTAAATATACTTTAAACTCTAAGTAATAACTCCACTTACAGTGGGTTCATATAAGAGTGAATTTTTTAACCGAACTTCTTAATGTCGGTCTTCATCCCATAAGAGCCGTCTTATCCGACATGAGGTATTCAATGAGAACTTGACAATGCTCTTTACCTTTGGCCAACTTCTGATTACTACCGATACGGCGTATTAAAATTTTATGAACCCTTTTGGTTAGAAGGCCAATCTGCGGAATCAGTAATTCTTTAAATAATTTGCTTCGACGCCGTAGAGTACGATTCCGTCGCGGATGGAATACATGCATGTGCTTCGAAGCCAGACTAAGCGCTAAATCTGTGCATTTGAGATCTAAGGAAGAGGAAGCTTCGACTGTAGCAGCAACGTGGGAGCAATATGCATATATGCGGGGAATATACGGAGTACTCCGTATCAAGATCCTCACTGAGCGGCTAACGGCATGTTCGGCAACACTCTCCCCATCGATAGACAACAGCAGTAGCAGCGCATGAAATTGATGCTGATCCTTGCTGCAGATATGAACTTGCAAGCCTTATATCGGGGGGAAATTATCGTGTTATCATTCATTACCTCTGTTCGCAGCCTAAATCTTAACCTTATAGGCAGCAGTTATTCCTAGTTTCGTATCTATATTGGACATTGTAGATAACTCGTATAGCGGCATCGGCTTCTGGCAAGGAAAACACAGTCCTCGGCTTGTCAGGACCGCGGCTCAGGCTGTATTTCTCTCATCAGCGTGAAAGAACCACGAAAAATGATCCAAGAAGTCGCTGTATCGGCTGATTATTCCTGATATCTGACCGTAAGGTGGCCTCGCCTCGCTGTATGGAGGTCTGCTCATAACGTCGCAGCAAAGGTCTATAGGATTTGCATGATAAATAGAGTATAGTATTCTTGCTAACTGACTAGCTGGAAGGCCAATTTGCTCAGTCGTCAGCAAGGATATACCCATCTCCAAAAAGGTTAGCAGGATGCAGCACAAGTGTGTTTAATATGGAAGCTACAGATACCTTCTTGCGAACCGTGGAACCTTGGCCGTTAACCTATCCAAGACCCAGAATAAGCTGACGAGAGAAGGAGAAACGCATTTTACACATCAGTTTGCCGCTCGATAGCGACTATCGGATCGCCTGGTCGTGGGCCGGTCAAAGTGCTTTAGCCACTTGAGACCTTTCTCGGTATTGATCCAGCCATTTTGTCTTGTCGCAATGGCACTATCACCCAGCAGGTTGCTTTCTTAGTACCAGCTGCTAAGGCGTTGCTGGTCAGCACTTATGATAAACGTTAAAATCGCTTAACCTTCTATATTAATCGTTTGAGTAACAGTAATATTTTCCCGGTTTTAAGGCTGCACTGATTTTGGTTATCAATAACTTTATGTACCTATAATAATCACCCCGCTTGCAATAGTGCCTATCATAAAGCCAGTCTCGTTGAAGTGGTAGATATCATCTAATTGAATAGTATTCTGTATAAACCTGAACCAGCTATAAATGATGGCTAGATATTTGTTTTAGCTCTTTGATAGTTGTATATCTCGAGATCCTTATACCGTTTGATGAAGTTAGAAGCCTAGCGCTTGTGAATAGATGGCGCATCGTGATCAGTAAGTAATCAACTGACCATATTTTGAATACCATATAGTTGTGTGGGATAATCTCGCGAATCTAGGTCTTGATTCAACTGGAATTCTCCCTTGAGTTGTGTCGAACCTCCCGACAGGTCACTGCAGGGGGTGGTGGCAGCCAATTAAAATGCGTCAGTGAAAAGAACTTGTCGCCCCCTTCGTATTTGAGCCTACTAGTAATTACTTTAGTTATAAAACGCTACAGCACACTGCTGACGTTCCCAATCTCTCAAGAGGTTCCACCTATGTCCCTACTATAAGATGCAGGGCCCCTATATCAATATAGCTGGGGGTTCCGGGTGAATTTGTTGCTATTGATATGAACTCTGGCGCTAGTGATAGGCAACGTCATGGGCAACGGCAGAGCAGGGAGCCAGGGACCTTGGCATATTGGACACGGCAGACGTTTACGGAGGCGGTCAGTGATTAATAAGCCATGCTAATAATATTTTACAGTTCAGCAGGAAATTACCGTATGCAACACGAAAATTGAGCCTCGTTGTACAAACAAGAACGAGACTCGGTCTGAAATGATTGGCATTGGTGATGCCGTACAACAAGACTTCAATCTCAACGGATCATCGAATATATCCAACACCCGACATGTCTCACATTCACCGCCAATTCTGAACACTTAAGCTTGTATTACCCTGTAATTCAGAGCAAACATCTAGCGCAAACCAGCCACCAACACCCAATGTCTCAATCTGCCTTATCTTGGCACCATACAAATTAAGCTCACAGCGCGCCCGCGCACACGCGTCCGCTTGGATAACTCAAACCAACATACCCGTGGATCTGACCTAACGGAAGCCCTACTCAGGGAGTGGGCGGCAAAATTATAGAATAAGGGCAAAATCGTAAAACAAGCCTCTACCCTGCCCAGTTATAATTCTATAATTTTCACTACCTAAACTAAAGATTTTAATAATATTTCTAAGTATTATCTAGTTAAATTATATACCTAAAAATATCTTATTTACTAGACCTTTAAAATAATTAATTCTTATAATCTAAACCCTGCTATAATAGCTACCTAGGCAATTATAATTTTATAGTTATATTACCATAATACTAAGGAAAAGCCTTTTACAATCTGCGCTACCGCTAAAAGATACAGGGCTTTAAAGACTTCTATTAGTTATTATCTTTAGTTAATAAAGCTATTTAAAAGGCCTGCTTTTAGTAATAATAGCATTAGCTACCTAAGGAATCTTAATAAGGCTAAGGAGCGTACTATAATTATATATATTATTTAGCTTAAAAAAGCAGGTTTTCCTTATAATTAGTAACTTATTAAAGAAGCAGTAAATAATTTAAAGGTATTATAAATACCTCTAGAAGGCCCTGTTAGAGATAGCTAGTATAGGAGATTTCTTTATAATAATCCATAGCTATAAAAAAAGAAGTTAGTTTAAGCTTTTAACTAAGATAGGGCAGGATTTAAAGCTAAAGATATTACTAATATTAAGTAATTCTATACTAACCTTAGTATAGTTATAAAGAAAAGAGAAATTAAGGCCTTATAAATATTTAATACTAATAAATACAGTATATACAGTATATAAATTAGTGCCTTTTATAAGTAGCTTAAGATTATTATTATAAAGAAAGAGCTTAATACTAAATATAAAGTTATTTCCTTTACTAATAAAGAATTAACTATAATACTTAGATATATAAATATAGCTAGATATAAGTAATTCCTAACTTTAAAGTATATATTAATATGCTTTTTAGTTATAGTATTACTACTAATAGTATTTAAAACGTAGCTAATAGAATCTTAGGAAGTTAATAACCTAGATAAAGGTATTTACTTTATATATTTAGAAAGCAGCTTCTCTAACGCTAAGATCTTAATAAATTAAATATAGTATTTTAACTATAACTCCTTTAAGTACACTATAAAGGTATAGGCAAAAGGCATTACATTTAAAGATTAATTTAGCTATAATAAATTCATAAGAAATCCTAATAATCCTAACTTTATTTAAAAAAAGCTATAGTTTAAGTGGCTTAAAAAGCAGTAAATTTAAAGACTTTTTATTATTAATAGCTTTACTAGTAAAACCTCCTTAAAGTTTATAGATTACTACCTTTACTTTAATATTAAGATCTTTATCTTGCCTCCTTATTCTATATATTTTACATAGCCTCTTAATATTGGAGTTTTTTAGCTACTAAAGAGCGCTTATTAATAATATCTTTAGTATTATATTTATAAAGGTTATCTTAATTTTAAATACTTTAATTTTATTAGTAAGCTTAGTAAGATTCTTAAAGAAAGCTTTACTCCTTATATAATTATAAATAGCTTTAAGAAAAGCAGAATTTTCCCTATAAACAGTATAGAGGTTATTTATAAAGTTAAGGAAAAGAAAAAGTCTTTCCTTATAGTTATAAATCCTACTATTTCTTTACTTCTTTTAAAAGAAATATAATTTAAAGATACTTATAAAGTTTCTTATTATCTTAAGTATAACTATTATAATAGCTTTAGTTCCCTTACTTATCATTCCTTTAGTATTTTAAAAGATATTATCTATAAGGCTATTATTCTAAATAGCTTTATAAAGGAGTATATACAGAGTTAACTTTAGCATATTACCTCTATAAATAATAAAAGGAATAAGAGGAAAAAGGTAATACTAATAGGGAAATATATTAATAGCATTACCGTAAAGTAATTATAAGAAAGTCTAAATGCCTTAATAAAAAAGGACTGCAAAGATAAGCTTTACTACTAATACCGCAGCTTAAAGTAATTATATAAAGAAGAAAATAACCGCCTTAAGGAGGAATAAAGAAAAAACTATAAGTATAATATAAATAATAACAGGAAGCTAATTTATATTAGCTTTAAGTATTAAAAGAAATAAAAGTAATTAAATATAAGAAATAAGATTATCTTTATACTGCCTTTATTATAAGAATTATTACTAACTCCTTAAGAAGGCTTTTTTTATAATATAAGCAGTTTAGTATAGTAAAAGCGCTTCTATAAGCGCCTTTATAATGCCTCCGCTGCTGGCCTTTATTGAAGCCCTCTTTAGGATATGCCTGCACTGCCTTTAAGCAATAGTATTAAGATTATACTTAGCAATTCTTAGCAATATCCTGTTTATAATAGCCTTACTTTTAGTAATTCTAACGACTTAGAAGTTAATAAAAATAGCTTTAATTATTGATTTATTATAGGATTATAAAGAGCCTAAGCTATTGCCTCTTCCTAACCCAGGTCCTAGCTTAAAGACCAATTTCTCCTTTAGATATTATAAAATTATAAATACTTTATACCTATAAAGGTATATATAATAATATATTATTACCTCTTTCCCGGTTAATAAAGAAATTAGGCGCTAAGTAAAGGCATCATAGGCTGGGAAAATATAGCCTAACAGTGCCGCTATTAAGTCGCTTACTTCCAGTTATAATACCATAAGAAATAGAGCTTATACAATAAAATACACTTAGCAATATCTTTAATACATTTCAATCTATTAACTACAGAAATTTTAAACTAATTACAATAAAATTAGAAGCTACTGCTAGCAATTTATCGATTTTCCCACTAATTCCTCACTAAATAGCCTGTCCTACAATTTTGCCCTTATCCTATAATTTTGCCGCCCACTCTCTAAGTAGGGCTTCCGTTAGGTCAGATCCACAGGTAACTTCAAGCCACGAATACATACTCTAACCATGGCCGGGTGGCAGATCCACCCGCTGATCAATGACGATGTCCCAGCCACTAAAACTGCCGTGATTATCGTCTCATCCCTTTGTACTACACATTCCTTCTTCTCCTCTTTCACCATTTTCATGATACATCGCACTTAACTTGACTGTCTGTATACGATATACATACGCACCATGTCAAGAATTGCAGAGGGCCTGCCAATGGCTGGCTCGACGACTACTATTACAACGCAGAGAAAGAAGAAGCCTACTGAAGCCAAGGCGCTGACGACAGAGGTTCAGATGTTGGCTGGTGCTGATGTTTGGGGTCGTGCAGCATTTGGGAGGTCGTGGCTGCGATCTCTCGTAGGCGCATCGCCTCTGTTTCTCGCGCCAATGGCTTCGATATCAATCTTCATCACACTGGCTGAATACGAAGGATCGCTCTCCCTCTTCGCAGACGCCGTAAAAGAACACGGCTTCTGGACCATTTGCGCCCAGTACGGTCCTCACCTCACCACCAAAGGCATCGCCGCAGTGATCTGCTGGGTCGGAATCCAAGCCCTTCTGTACTGCCTCCTCCCCGGAGAACAACACCAAGGCCAATTGACACCAGCTGGCTATCTCCTCAGCTACAAAATCAACGGCCTCTCAGCGTGGATCGTCACGCATCTCCTTTACGCACTTCTCAGCTGGTTGGGGATCCTGGACCCTGGCTTCATTCCCCGCAATTGGAGTAGCTTGATTGGAGCTATGAACTTGGCTGGGTTCGTTATTTCGGCACTTGCGCTCGTCAAAGCGTACGTAATGCCGACGCACCCAGAAGATAGGAAGTTCAGCGGTGAGACCACTACGTTTTTTGAGTTTTTGGTGTAATTAAACGCTAATTTTGATATCGACAGGGTCGTTCCTATACGACTTCTTCATGGGCATTGAGCTGAACCCGAGGTTGGGGGAGAATTTTGACCTTAAGCTTTTCAGTAATGGCAGGGCAGGGATGATGGTGTGGACCCTGATGTAAGTCTGATTAATTTGATACGAGAACGGAAACTTACATGTTGCAGCGACTTTTCGAACATGGCGTATCAGTACCAGAATCAGGGATTTGTTGAGCCGTCGCTTATCCTTGTAACGGCACTACAGACCATCTACGTGGTGGACTTTTTCGTTAATGAATCCTGGTATCTGCGCACAATCGACGTCAAATTCGACCATTACGGCTTCTATCTCAGCTGGGGCTGTTTCTGCTTCTTACCAACAACATACACCATCCAAGGCCAATATCTGGGCCGTTACCCATCATCAGCTTCAACACCTTACCTAGCATTCTTCTTCGCCCTTGGAGTAGCAGGCTACATCCTCTTCCGCTCCGTCAACCACCAAAAAGAAATCGTACGACGGACTGGCGGAAAATGCACCATCTGGGGTAAACCAGCAGAATGCATCGTCGCATCCTTTAGGACCTCCGATGGTCGGCAGCACAGGAGTCTTCTCCTCTGCAGCGGTTGGTGGGGTTGGTCTCGGCACGCGAATTACCTGGGCGATCTGATTCTTAGCTTCTCCTCTTGTGCGCTGGTGGGTAGTACGAGGGCTGTGGTGTGGACGTACGCGGTATGGATGGCGGTGTTGCTTGTGCATCGGTGTATACGTGATGAGAAGAGCTGCTCGGTTAAGTATGGCGCTGCGTGGACTGATTATTGTAGACGTGTACCTTGGCGATTTATTCCTGGCGTTTGGTAAGATTTCGGATTCTAAGGCATTGATGAAGGGAGATTTGTGCTACGTGTTGTGTAAGGTTGCGAGACAGCGTGGATAGATGGTGTTACTCGTGCTCGGGTGAAAGTTCAGCTCAGGTCTAGACTCGATAGATTTAGAATGTTGTGCAGGTTATGCATATTGTGAATGAGAAGGCTTTATCTTTCTGTGTAACGAATGTGTTACCAACTTCCTTGTAGCCTGCATCACCCACCTAGATTGGCTGGTTTAGGTCGCATGTAGGCATCATCACCGCCTTTTCCTTCCCGTCTACTGTCTGAGATTAATCATTATGATGTTGGCCAAGTTACACCATCCTTTCCCCTACTCGAATATTGCCATGTATTGGGGTCTACCAAGTTAGCCTTCGCAAGTGCTCAAATAGGGAGTTAGGCAGTACCTCGAGTACACATCTTAGTCGCATCTGTCCAACGCCCAACTCTTTTACAAGTCGTGCCAGTCGATTTGAAACATGGAGCGCCATAACCAAATTGTTCAAGACATTGCCGATAAAATACGCGACTTCTACAAGCTCCGCCAGCCATATCGCGTCTCCCATGGCGCTTCAAGCAGTACTCGTCCTCGCCATGGGTCTGACACGAATGTTGTCGACATCAGCATGCTATCCCAAGTCATTACAGTAGACTCGGCGCAAAGAACTTGTCTCGTCGAGCCTAATGTACCAATGGACCGACTCATCGCCGCCACGATGCCGTACGGTCTGATACCCCCAGTAGTGATGGAATTCCCTGGGATCACAGCGGGAGGGGGCTTTGCAGGGACATCTGGGGAAAGCAGCTCATTTCGGCATGGTTTCTTCAACGAAACGATCGACTTCGTAGAGATGATACTTGGAAACGGAGATATAATCCGGGCATTGCGCCAAGAACATGAAGATCTGTTTTATGGTGCTGCGGGCGCTGCTGGGACTCTGGGCTTGACGACGTTGATGCAGGTCCGGCTGGTTGAAGCGAAACAATTTGTCAAGACAATGTATCACAGAGTTGACAGCGTGACTTCTGCTATCTCAACAACGAAACAGTGTTGCGAAAAAGTGGGCATTGACTATGTCGATGGCATCCTCTATTCGAAGGACCATGGCGTTGTCATCACGGGTGAGATGACTAACACCAAGCCAAGTGACTCTCCAGTACGGACTTTCAGTAACTCAGGAGACCATTGGTTCTATCTACACGTGAAAGAACAGACCGAGTCTCTCCCTCCCTCGGCGACAGTCACAGAATACATACCACTTGGTGAATACCTCTTCCGTTACGACAGAGCTGCTTTCTGGGTCGGCCGTCAAGGATATACATATTTCAAGTTCGTCCCTTTCAACGAGTTCTTTCGTTGGCTTTTTGATGACTACTCTCATACCCGGACACTGTATCATGCACTCCACGCAAGTCGGATCTCGGACCAGTTCGTCGTTCAAGATCTAGCATTACCATATGACACAGCTGAAGCGTTTGTTGACTGGGTAGACGCAGAGCTGGGAATATGGCCACTTTGGCTTTGTCCTCTGAAAGGTTGTCGAACACCCACTTTCCACCCTGTTACGAAAGGATCTTCAGATACCGGCGCAGGGAACGACATTTCGCAACCGATGCTCAACATTGGAGTTTGGGGTTGGGGGCCCTCAGATCGAGAAGAGTTCAAAGTCAAGAATCAGGCTCTGGAGAAGAAGCTGAGGGAACTTGGTGGACGGAAATGGCTATACGCACATACTTACTACACAGAAGAGCAATTCTGGGACTTGTACGATTGGTCTTGGTATGAGAGACTCAGAGAACGCTATTTCGCTACAACTTTGCCAACCGTCTACGACAAGGTGAAAAAGAGTGGCCCTGACACGGATGGGAGGCATGAGAATGGTTGGGGACTCGGGTCTTTGTTGAATAAGTGGCCCGTCGGCGGGATCTATGGCATGATACTAGCGTTTTACTCCGGGGATATCAATCTCCATCGTCGAGCGAAATGGAGGTATGTGAACCAGCAACACAAGGAAGACTGAGTTTACCTAAGCCTGGTTCGCCTAATCGACATGTCATTCACGGGGCATTTGCAGCTTGGCAGGGATGTCGGTGCTGCACAAAGTTCTGATATAGGTTCGTTACCTCAGAGCCAACAATACCACTCTCGACTCGAATCAGTATTCATTTCAATTTAAACAAATAACCCCAGATCTTGTATAGTACCCACAGTTATGTTATTTACAACTACTTTCTGATTAATTGGGCTGCCGAGATGCTTCCCCACTCCAATGCTGACATGCAGATCAATATCTTGGCAGACGACGACGTGCATGAAGATGACGTTTCCGTAATCAAGGCCCTCTAGGCAGCAAGACAAGATCTCAATCTCAATCTCCTTTCTAATCATCCCCATCATCAGGAACTATCCCTAAAAGAGACCCGCGTTATCGTCAAAATGGTAGAGAGAAGTTTCCAATACCTCCCAGTGCTCAACTTCACCGATAGCCCATTCAAACAGTTCACCATTCCCCAGGACTGGCGAGCATGGGAAGTCGCATGGCTTTATCGGCTGCCCGCCATCATCACGCATGATACGGTGCCCGCTAGACTGATCGAGAATGGATGTATCATTGACAATGTTGCCAATTGTCATAAAGCGTGTGGAAGCGAAGAATATATGTTTTCGAATCCCGCAACGCTATGGAACTGCCTGACCTTGGCGACCGTTGCTATGATGTCTACCAATCGCGGACCGGATTCCATAAGCAGCCAGACATTGGAAGAAGTGGACAGAAAGTTCAATACCGGTCCGCTGAGTGAGTTCTGGAGACTCGGGGCATTACTGAGCTACGTCAAATGTGCGCTACAGTCCTGTTCTGACTCCAAGTTCGGCGGCTGTCCGCCGGAGCTGTGGACGTTTCAATGCCAAATGATCACATCAAAGAACATCAAGGACCTGGGCCGGATCATGAGTGCGGAGTACTGCGACAAAGCTGATCCTGGGATTGACTACGATATTGCAGGGCCTGGTGTAAGTCCATGCGACGTAAAATAAATGCCTCTGCTAACCGAAAACAGATAATCGTGGCATATCTCATCCAGTTCACGATAGTCCTATTCTTTGCATTGTGCTACAAGATCACCAAGACTTGGGTAAGAAACTTCACCCTTATTTCGCTTCTTCCGCTCCAAGGGCCTGCTAGAGCCGTCGAGACGGCATTTCACTGGCAAAAAGTGGCCACGAGGAGTAGTTTCGGTGTAGCAGTTGCCTCAACCCTGATCGATCTCCAAGAAGCTCAAGCTGTGTTTCTCGGTACTATCTCAATAGCCACTATCATCACATTCTCAGGTTCTAGCGGAACAGGACTCGGTAACATCAGTTCACTGCTCTCCTGGCTAACCAACAACCTCACCGCGAGGGGCATGGTATCAGCTGGAATGTATCCCCTGCTATTCGTCCAGCTCATCCTTCAAAAAACTCACAATCGTTGGTGGTATACGCTTGCGCTTGTGTTCGTCAACTGGGTTCTTGTTATACTCATTGCTCGTCCCCAGACTATTGATGAGCCTTCGTTATTGAGACACTTCAATGAGACCTCGCCTCTGGAACGTTGCGGGAATCATACTGGGCCTAGGACGTTTTGTCAGACGTTCAACAAGGCTGCGGAGAGAGGTTCTAGTTCCACTACTGGTGAAGAGGTTGGTCATCTGGATCGAGATGCGGAGAGCTTCTTCAAGTTTCACTCTAGAATACAGGCGCCAATGCATGTGATCATGGCATTCCTGATTTTAGATTGGATACTTGCCATGATGAGGATGCATCTCTTTGAGCGGGGCGACTGGTTATCTCACAAAGCCCGTGCTTTGATGGATAGCTTGCCTTCGTGCCTGAAGTCGTTTTACACCCAGAAGCACTTCGTGCTCTTCACAGAAGCTATTTGGATCTCGATGGAGGTCCTAACTATCGTCATGGGTGCAATCGGCGTACATGAGTTTGCGGCATTTGTGCATCTCCTCAGCGGCGGAGAATCTGGCAGTGAGAGCAAGATCGCCCTATCGAAATGGGGCTTCGGACAGCTGGTAGCAGTATGTGTCTGGGTTCCTGTTATCCTCAAATTTGCTTGTCTCTTAGTTGGTAAGTCAATATTCCTCTCTCATCCCATGAAGTTTGCGCTGGTGGCTGACAAATTCAAGATGGGGCTCTGCCTGGTTGGAGAAAGCGGTTGGGCCAGTTCGTTGAGATCACGCAGCGCAAAGAAACTGAAACTGATGAGAATGATGTTGTTATGGAAACTTTGCTTCCGTCTAGGCCTACCAAGAGGGGTCAGACGGACGAAGTAGAGGGACGTACTTTGACGGCGAGACGGTCTTGGGGTAGAACATATGACTAGTCTGAGATTCTGTGGCATGCGCGCGATATACGCATCAGTAATCCTGTGCCTGGTGGGGTTGAGGGGTTGTCGAGGAGTTGCTGAACTTACCTAGCCAATCAGCTAACCCATAGAGCCATCCGCTTTGAATTCGAGCTGAAAGATATCGTGAGGCGCTATCGATTTTTAGCGTGTAGAAATAATGCCCCTCAATCTTCCCTCATCCATTTTGCAACATCTGCCCCATTCGATCAGTTGTATACCACTATGGCTTCATCTAATCCCGAAAGAACCTATGCTCGATGGTCTCTTCGAGACCTGTCCCCTACATCCGCGACAGACGTCCTCCCCATCGGACCTGAAGCAGACGGAATTCAGACGGTGTTTGCCGATGACTCTCGAAGACTGGTTGATACGGCTGACATCCAGCCTGGAGGGAAATATCATTGTAGGTTCCGGGGGCATTTTAATCTCGATAACCCAGCATCAGTCTAAATCTGACTCTGTATTCAGCTATCGTCAAGCTCCAGATTCGATTCGAAGGCCAAGATGCCAGTGACACGCGTCATGCCCAAGCTACAGGATGGCTAATCATGCCCCATATCATCATCACCGCCGCCCAGTGCGTTTATGACCACACCCACGACTTCGGCAAAGCAGTTCAAGTCCGCGCTTTCGTGGGATATAATGGCAAGAACTCCCTTGACAAGCCTGGTGTTCAATTCCGCAGAGGTCTCAAGGTCGTCGTTCCGAAAGACTGGATCATTAGTGACACCAACCGCGCAAGCGATGTGGCGTTCATAAAAGTGGAAGAATTTAGTAACGTTGTGCGTGTCGCCCAGCAGCCCACTGTGGGCGTTGTGAACAAGATGCTTTTGAGCGTGGTTGGGTACCCATGTGACAAGTCCCTGGGTGATGAACGGGGAGCACAAATGTATGAGATGACCAGAAGAATAGATTGCGATCTTTCGAAAACTGCTTTTAATTTGCTCGAACATACGATATCTTGTGCAAGTGGTAAGTGGTGGCTTTCGATGTGAAATGCTCACAATACTGACCATACATATCAGGCCAATCCGGATCCCCGATCCTCATTAGCGGCGAAAGCAAGTCTATCGGCGTCGCTTCGTATGGCACCGGAACTAGAAATACCGCGACCGTGTTTCGAGGTGGATTCGGAACTTACCTCAGCGCCATGTCTGGTGTCATGTATGCCCTGGACCGTGGTCCTCCTGGAGGCGAAGACATCAGATATATCACGACCGATGGCCGCCCGGAGGGCAGCACGAGGGAAGAGCCCCTCAGTGACGGTATAGCCTTTTGGAAAATCTTCAATAAGGTCGCCAGCGTCGGCCAAACAATAGATCGTTCAGTATTACGAACTGGGTTCCCTTTCTTGGGCCAGGTGGGCAGCCCTATCGCTGCCATTGCCGGGACCGCGCTCGGCGTCTTGAGCAAGCTGGGGGCAGACGCTTCGATCGACATTGGTTCCGTCCATGTCAATTACAGGCACTATGCTGCCCGAGCTGTTGTTGCAGAGGCTGCTATGCAGACTGTCATAAAGATGGATCCTCACAAGGCGAACGATTTAAAAATACTCGACAAGATTGAGGATCAGTTCCCGGAGGCGAAGGATATCGTTCCCCGGGTTGCTAAGCTCATCACCCCTGGAATAGTTGAGTCAGCACTTCGCATCTCAGTCGATACACAGGCTGCGGGCGAGGACATTTCCAAACTCTACCCACTGCTCCCTCCTAAAAATGATTCTCTGAGCGATGATGCCAAACTATTTGTCGATGCCTTTACCCGGTACATAAATCAGGGCAATGCCAATGAGATGTCCGAGTTTCTTGGAAGGATTGTGAAAACCGGTTTATCCACTGGCTGTCCTAACATGGACGGCATCACTCGAGCCATCGGCGAGTCTGAACTCAGTGTGACCGACATGTCGCATCATGTCGAGATTCTGTGTCACAGAGCGCTGATTGGTGATACTTGTCTACAGGCCCTGACAGCAATACCCCTCGATCGGTGGATGCAGAAGGGTCTGTTTGATCATTTTGTCGCTACGGTTGGAAGAATTGGAAAAACGGTCATCGAAGTCGCTCCTATTGTCACTCAAAACATCTTGGTCCATCTCAAGCGTGATGAATAAGCTTATATTAGCAACACTGCTGAGAAAGGGGTATTGGCAAAATACTGTTATACGCATGTTAAGATTGTAGCCAAGTTCTCTCTGCTGACTTAGCCTGTCGGCTACAAGTCTCCTGCAAATCACACATGTAGCTTATTTAGGCTTTATATTGCAGGTGAGATTGTAGCTCCGAGTACTCGGCGCATCATTGGAATATATAGGAGAATCCTAACGATCCTTTGCCTTCAGATTACCGCAAGATGGTTTCCAATACTTGCCTATTGTGTAGCTGTTTACTAGGGCTCAGCCTTGGACTTTGAGGCCTCCAATGTCTCACTGGAGTGCTGAAAATGTGCGGGTCTCGGGATACGATTGGTCTGTGTTGCAGAGATCGACCTCTACTCCAGGGGATGACCGGCTGCATTGCTATTTCTTTCCACACTAGGACTAGAGGCCTCTGTTGAGTACAGGGCCTGAGATTGGAGGCCAGTTGATTCCCAACCGTCAAAGCGGCGGCCTTTCAAATTCTGAAGGCATTTTGGGGTTTAACGAATCTGGAGCTCTGAACTAGTGGCCGGAACAGAAGCTTCATCAGGGTTAATCCCTAAATTTGTTAGCCAGGACAGTTATTTACATTTCAGAATTATGGCTGACAGCTTGGATCACCAGAGGGAACTTAGTTCCAACAGGGCAGCGCAGCACGAAAGGATCCACAAACGCAATTGTATATATATAAATGAAAGAAACTGTTGACAATATCTGATCTGTGGCCATACAATCCAGATGTTTTCCCGGATCAAATGTATAGCTGCGACAGAAGAATGGAACGTCACGCCCTCCCTTTCTCTTAGACTACCAATCCATTTCCCTATCTCCCCTGACACAATGTCTTCAAATAAGAGCGGCTACATCAGCCCATCGAGAATCAGTCGGCAGGTGTCTCACTCTTTCTGATCCGAACCCATGAACAAGCGGTGGATACGGTAGGGCTGAATGTCTTTGGGGTCGGGAATGGGAGGCCAGGGCTGGATCTTTATCTCGAACGGGGTGATGGTGATGACACTGACTCGCTGCGGGTCGTGTGCAAGATCTGGAACCTTTTCCCACTTAATGGTCCACTTGATAGACCCTTTTTCATAACTAGCAGCGACCAGCTTGATGAAATAAGGGTTAAAGTCAATGTTTACCGAAGAATCAGGCTGCTTGGGGACTTCAGCTGTGATTTCAAGGCGACCCTCGTCCGCGAGATAAATATCTTTAACAGGGCGGATAGTAGTAGTGTAGGATGGTTTCTTATCTGTGTTGCCAGCCAGGGTGAGGTCGTCTACAGCAGCCAGAAGAGGCACAGTAATATCCGTAGGCTTGGCCCAGTCAAGATAATCAATCTTGACCTCAGAAATGCCAAAGGCGGTCTTGATCAAGACCGACTCGTTGTTGAAGTCGTCGATGGGTAGATGGATTGGAAGTTCAAAGTCGAATTCTACGTCCTTCTCGTGGGGGAGCTTGGAAAGGCCACCACTGTAAGCCATGACGGCAAACTTGAGTGCGCCAATCCAGAGCTCTTGTTCAAAGAAGGGCTTGAGGTAGAATCCGGGGATCTTGCCTTTGGCATGTAGAAGGAGCTTGCCATTGAGTCCCTGGTACTTGGCAGTGAGTTCACTGAACTTGATGGGGACAAGAGAGGCCATTTTGAGAAATATTGGGTTTTCTGGGCTGAGGAAAATGAAGTGTTTGATGGTTGATGGTTGATTCCGTTGGTGAGTATCTCTGCAGGTATTTATAATCGGTTTGAGGGCACGAGACGGCGGACATGTTTTTCGGTGGCTGATATTCTTCAGCTGAAAGCTATCTTTAAAGGGTCATTTCATTCACCGTAAGCACAATAATATGATGCCATATCCAATATTGTTTGAGAAGGTTTGGATATCACATCCGCATATGGCCTCTTCCCCGGCCTTCATTCTCGAACTCAAGAGGCTCAAGTACGATAGACCTATGAGCACTCTTTCATTCGTCCTTGTTCCTTTCTGGTAAGCGTGCGCGGCTCCAAATCTAGGCCATGGTTCTCCGTATTAGGGTCACCCAGCTAGCCACGGGCCGCGGAGGGGCCTGAAGCCGACCGTCCAATGTCTCAGTGCCGTACTCAAAAGCGGAAACGATCACCTCGTTCTCGTATCAAATCGCAGCGTTTGGACATTATCACATATCAGCACGGGATAGTTTATGTGATAATGCAGTCCCGTGCACTAGAACGGCCCATGCCGTCCTCAGCTCCGCCCGTTGCAGACATGGTTATTGTTGTTGTTATTGTTATATTATTTAACGTCCTACTGGGCTTCCCCTAGCCAATCTCTACAAGGAGTAAAGAGACATACTAAGCTAGCTAAAATAGGTTATTTTACATATAGGCCAGGTAATAGCCTACTAAAAATAAGGCTTTATAAGGCTACGCATCTAAATTATAATAGAATCTTAGTAACTCCTTTACCCTTCTAATTCTAAAAAGGCCTTATTTCTAGAGCTTAGTCTCCGTTAGCAGAGGTATATAAGCGTAGCTATTGCTGCCTATTTAATCTAATTATTTTAGTAGTTAAATTGTCTAAACCTATTCTTTATAACTACTAGTAGTTATTTCCTTAGGTATATTAGCTTACCTGCTGCTAGTTAACTAAGTTTTAGGCCCTATTTAGCGTTACGGGCAGATCTCTGTGAAAAAGCTCGTTACCTCTGTAAACTTAATAAAGTCTTAGTGTTTTCTGCCTATTATTTAGTTAATTTCCCTTTAAGGTATAGGTATAAGCCGTGGCCTTTTATTAGGGGCAATCTTTTAATAATAAAAAAGGTAATTAGGTAATTTCTACTGCCTGTAAAAGTATTTAAGCAGGGTATTATTATACTAAAATCTCTTATAGTAGTTAGTAAAGTCTTTATAGCCTATTTAGGCTACTAGTAAATAGTATAATAAGTATCTATAAAGGCTAAGCTTTCCTAGATATTTTAGTATAATTTAGTATAGCCTTAAGGCTAAGGTTTTTATAGCTATTAGGGATATTAGTAGTCTACTAGTCCTTAAAATCTTTTTTTATTCTAGCTTTAGCCTATTTATAGATATAGGCTAGTATTAGTTAGGCTCTAGGTAATTCTAAAAGTTTATAGTTAGTTTTAGCTAGGGCATTTACTTATTTATTGCCTTTAATATCTATATACTTAGGGCACTATTTAACCCTAATAAGGCTATAGGCTTAAAATATCTATTAGAATTTAAAAAATATATCCTATAAAGAGTTTAAGGCATTTTGCTATAACCCTTTAGCTACTAATATATTATTTAAGTATATAGTTATGCAGTCTTCTGGCCAGGCTAACTATATAGCTACTTTAAGGCCTTACAGGGTGCCCCTTTATATTAAAGACCTTTACCTTTCTAAGTTACCTATTACCTTTACTAACTATTAGCCCTAATTAGTAAATTATATATCTATAGCCTATAGCCCTAAATATTAGCTATAACCTATTAAAGTATATAATTAAATCTAGGGTATTAATAAACTATAGCTAGGCATTAAAGCTAAGGGCTATATATTTCTTTAGGTAGCTTTTTTTTAGTAGTAGGAGGTATATATACCTTAGTACTATAAGTTTAGGCCATAGTATAATAAGAAGGAGTTTCTAGGTATACTTAAGCTATATTAAACCGTACGTTTTATTCCCCTTTATATCTTTTAGGCTATTTAAAGTAATAACTAGCAAGTACCTTTTATCTAGTACCCTATAGTTATATATAAAAGTATTTTTATTTTGCTTTTAGTATCTATTTAGCTAATAAAATACTACTTTCTCTATATAGTACTAAAGTAAATATTATTCTCTAGACTAAAAGTATAGCTTATATTAAATCCTTAAGGGTACCTTTTATAAGCTATATTAGGTAGTTTACTTTAATATTAACTTATATCCTATTATTATCTTTATTAATTACTATTAATATATACCTATAGTTAACTATCCTTAAAGTACTCTTTCTTATATACTATACTTTAAATATATATATTACTATAAGGACTGCATAGGCAAGTATAGTATATTAAACAGTATTTAGTTAAGGCCTATAAGCAGTATTAAAAAAGCCTTAAAGCAGAGACTATATAGGCTTTAGCTAATTACTTTATTATATAGTTATAGAAAGTAAGCTTTTTATTAAACTATATATTAAGCTATCTTATCTCTCCCTTTACTTTTACTACTTAGCCTTTATATATAATAGTTAGGCTTTCCTTATAGTACTTATAGGTAAAGTATATTACTTTTATTTTTTTAAGTCTAAATAAAATACCTTATTTCTTTCCCTTTTAAATAATTTTAGCTAGGTTATTAGTAGCTAGTTAGGCAGTCTTAGTAAAGGTCTTGCTAATTTATATTATAGTAGTATTATTAGTATATCCTAGTCTAATTACTAGGGCAATTTTTATCTTTACTGCTAGGTATATAAAGCCTATATTTTCTATACTATAGATCTATATAATATATAGTATATATAGGATAGGTAATGTAGGCAAGCCTTAAAGAAGGCTATAGTTAAGGGGGCAGTAATCTATAGTAAAGTCCTATAGCCTAATCCTTGCTAATCTATCTATTATAAAGGAGTATATCTATTAAATTATTAGTTCTAGCTAGCCTTATTACCTAAAAGCAAGCGCTATTTAGTTCCGTAAGGTTATATTAAAGGCTCTTTTAATATTAGCAGTAATTATAGTAACTACTAGTCCTTAGTTTAGGGCATTTTCTATAATATATATAAGGATAGTAGTAAGGTCTATAGCTAAGTATTTTAGTAAAGTACTAAATTAGTTAGGGTATAATACGCCTTAATTAACCGCAGTATAGGCTATCTATTTTACTATTAGCCTTTCCAGGCCTTTAAAAAGGCAAAAGAGAAAGGCAATTAGTTACTAGAAGCATATATTAAAAAGGTTTCTCTTTCTAACTTTAAGTATTATTATTACTTTTACTAGCTTAAAAGCCAGTAAGTAATATCTAAGTATAAGGTATCTCTAATATAGCTATAGTATATACTTCTTAATATATAGCTAAATAGCCTTAAGGATATTAATAGTAATATTATTAAAGCCTAGAAATATATTACCTATTAAGGTAACTGCTTATATTATTTCTTCTAGTATAAGTTCTATAGGAAGCTTAATAATTAAAGTAAAGTTAATAAGTACCTACAGGTTAGGTATATTATTCTTTACTATAAATCAGTCTAGGATTACAAAGCGCAGTACTTCTATCTTCTTTAGCAAGCTAATATATACTTTCCCTTTATATTTAATAAG